CCCCCTGGTGTCTGACTGTTCAACAGAGGTAAGAATACGTGAGGCAAAGGAAAGCAAGGCAGCTACCTAATGTAGGAAGGTGCCTGTGTTGACCCTTCCTTTCTACCCTGAGGCGACAAATCGGCAGGAAGACATCTCCATCTACCTATCTGTCTTCCTACATACATACCACATGACTTGACTCCGAGATGATGCAAAGACTTTTTCCTTCTTTGCATCGGGGGCTGGCTAACTCGTAGACACAATACCGAAAGCTTGCCAAACAAAGGGAACAGATATGGCGGCAACCTCCATTGCCTGACGAGTGCCACTTAGTTAACTGTGCCTGCAGCAGGCACGTGCTTCTGCCGATGTGAGTCCAGTGTTGAGTTTTCGAGCTTCAAAGCTTTGGAGAAGCAGAAGCAGCAGCTACTGATACGCCAGGAGGCTGAGTGAGAGATGTGCTGCCAAACCACAGTCGAGTCGACCTTCCAACATCCGGCGATCTTAGGGTTCCTTGCGGGTGGGCACCCCATTTACCGGGCCGTGTCTTGAGTAGTCTTGTGGACGCCTAGTGTATCTTTTGCTCGTTTATCTTGGCTCAAACCGTCAATCACACTATTTCTCCCAAGCAACTGCTACCTTAAAGAGTGGTTTTCTTGCAGTCATGCGGCTGTCAATGCAGAGACTCCTGCCAGGAGAAATGAAGTTGAAGATGGTAAGCCGTGGGGTACGGATACTTGATGGAACGGCTGGCAGTGCAGGGCACCCAAGGATAGATAGATGAGAGCTAGATTCGACACAGGGTACTTGACCCGACGTCACTCCATGCCCTATCTTTCTGGCCTCTGGTTGGCGTCCAAGTTTGTACGACGTTTTTGTTACTGTCCCTCATTCTCATCAGTAGCAAGATACACATGCCTGGGGCCATGTACTTCTTTGATATTCAAGGCATCGCGCGACTGGAGCTCTTTATGCTCCTCTAGACTCGATGATCGTTAGCAAATCGATAACTGTTTCCTAGCAGGATTACGGTTGCTGAGCCTCGCCAATCGAGACTCTGGACTAGACGGGAGGATGACAATTGGCGATTCTCTCACTGTCTGCCAAAGTGCTACATCAAAATTGTGCCGCATTGTGAAATGCAGGATAGCGATGACCTGGCAAAAGAAGAAGCAAACCTGGACGGGTGAGGAAAGAGTCTCGTCAGGGGGTCTGACATCAGGACTCGCATTTCATCTCATCTTGACGGGGCTTCAACATCTCTCGGATTCAGATTCATGGCGTACACAGACAGGCGAGCCAAAATCTGACCCTGAGCGGTACGGGATGATACATGCATGGAGAGAAGCCTTTGAGTACTGTAGCTAACTGGCAGCTCGTCCATCGGCCTTAACCTTGTTCCTTTGACCCTGTTCCGGAGAATGCCACTAGGGACCCCAGCATCTACGCCCACATTCAATTCCCTATGGGAGGGGGTCCGCCTTGAGATCCCAGCGAGAAGAAGACAACCCCCTCTCCGCCATGTCCACCCACCCATTGCTTTGAATGGGACCTTTTCTTGCTTTCCCACCTGTCCATTCCCATTTTCAGCTGGCGGGGGCCGGACCCCCCTTACCCCTTCTCGAGCTTCCACGGTATCTTCCATCCCACATCTTCTGTCCTGTCGTGCCACCTGCCCTGTTGTGTCCAGCAATGTGCGTATGTGGGTGAGAACAAGATGATAAACAGAGAAAGGTATGGTGTGCATATGTGCTACCTATAATGAGTGCCTGTAAGGGAGAGAGGGAGAGAGAGAGAGAGAGAGGAAGAGATATAGAAAGCGTGTGTTTGTGTGTGTGTGTGAGCGCGAGAGAGAGAGGAAGAGAGAGAGAGAGAGTAGGAGGTACGTACCTCAGATGGGTGAGTGATTTGGAAAGAGGAACTCAATGACTGAGCAGGAGCTCCCGTCCTCGACCTCTCCTACCCCTAAAATTCGCTGCTGCAGGGTAAAGTGACCTGGGCCCGCCCCATGCAAGACGGTCCATCTCACACGCCCGCGGATGCTCTCCCACCCCCTCCTCCAGCCCAATCAGCAAGCTTCCATCATTCACGACACTTTCCCCAACCTGAACATTCTGAACATCCTCACTTGGTGCTCCTGGTGGGACGGGCGCCACACCTCCCTCCTTCTTCTCCCACTTTTGGCCATTGACATTGGATAAGATCCCTTTTTATTTATATTTTTTTTTTTGCCCTCTCCTTTTTTTTATTGCTATGCTTGGGCTCAGCAATCAAGCTGCACATGAACCACGCTCGCACTCGCTCTCCCACACCTGCTTCTTCGGCTGCCGTCCTTGCTCTCCTGTTCCTTGATAAAAGGTGCCTCAAAACACATGGGTTACCGACCGACTGATTGACACAGCGACGCCGCAGTTGGACCGGGCCACACAGAAGCTGACTGCTGGATCACAGTCTAGAGTACACGCTACCTTACACCATCCCGCAATTCTTGTGGCACTTGCTGGCCTTAATCAGGCCTTCTTTCTCTCTGTCCTCGCGGATCCAACCGACTATCGATCTAGTCGAGCCACCTTAAACCTTCACCAGCAGCAGCACCCGCAGCACCAGCAGCGCCAGCAGCCACCCCCCCGTCTCCAGTCCTTGTCCCTCATTCGTCGTCATATTCCCGGCGGCCCTGGCTTTCGGAAACCCTTCTCCTTCTCTTCGAACTCTAGAACTTCCACCTCTCTTGCATCCCGCATCCCTCTTTCGCTGAGCGTTCCGCCACCCATCTAGACCAGGAGGGCACCCAAGTCTTTCTCTCCAATTAGGCAATCTGGACACATTCCAGCTGTTCCATCCATTTGGCATTCCCCCGACGTTGGAAGCCTGCCGGACGCTGGGACAAAGACTTGCCACTTACCTGGCGGATCGAATCACGGCTGGACTCCAATCTCTAACCTGTTCACCCATTCGCGCCCGCCTGCTTCGACAAACGTCGTTGCCGTTTCCCGCCAATTCAAACCAAAGGAAACCTCCCATGCGAAGCTGTCTACAGGCTGGAAGGCACCACTCGACGCTGCCATCAATCCCAATACCCGTACCCCATACCTCCCGCGATAGATTGATCCTATAACCTTTTCTCTGCGCGCATCGCTGCAGAATCCGCCCGCCTCACCTTCACTGTTCTGCGAAGCCATGAGGTGAGACAACCCCCTCGACGATCTTCTCAAACCCTCTGCTGCCACGATTAATGCCGCTCCAAGTCTTTCTACCGTCTGCCTTGCCGTTCCCAAAACCCGCATTCCCTTTGTAATCCATTGCGCCCGTGTCTCGAGAACTAACCGGATTCTTGCATCTCGTAGAGGGGATGGCCACAGTGACTGAGAGTCCGCAGAGAGGTCCTCTGCCTGCTAACGGACATGCCGATCTGAATCCGAATCGCATCGTACCAATCTCGACCCCGACTCCGACCATCCAAATGTCTGCTCCGTCTCCCGGTGAGCCTATGGAGATCACCTCCTCAACGAACGCCAGTACCAACTCTCCTTCGAGCAAGAACAACGACACAGACGCCAACGGCGCATCCAAGCATACATCGCCAACAGACCAGTCTACGAATAACTCGATCGCCATGCCCGCAGCGCCCGCAGCTGCAGCCGCGGCTGTTCACCAGCCGAAGATTGTGCAGACAGCTTTCATCCACAAGCTATACAGGTAAGCAGGACCAAACATTGTTCTATAGAACCTTTCAGCTAACATTACCAAGCATGCTTGAGGACCCTAGCATACAGCATTTGATATCGTGGTCAGCGAGTGCTGAGAGCTTCGTCATGTCACCCTCCGCCGATTTTTCCAAGGTTCTTGCGTAGGTCGATACGCTCTTCAATTTCGTCCGTCAGTTACTCACTGCCGACTAGACAATATTTCAAACACACCAACATATCCTCCTTTGTCAGACAATTAAACATGTACGGATTTCATAAAGGTTGGATTGCTGATTCTCCTCCGACAAAATGTTCGAGACTAATTGCGGCAACAGTGAGCGACGTTTTCCACACCACAAACCCCGAGACCGCTTTGTGGGAGTTCAAACATGGAAACGGCAATTTTAAACGAGGCGATCTGGTCGGACTCCGCGAAATCAAACGGAGAGCTTCTCGACACGCCCTTGTCCACAGAGAGTATCCCAACTCAAAGCCGAGCCCTTCACAGCCCGGAACACCTGCGGAACCGATGCCACCTCCAAGCGACGGCTCCGAAATGCGTATGCCTGGACTCGAGCATACCCTGTACGACCTCAGCATGCGACTGCAAAGGAGCGAAGAGAATGCCCATTACATGCACATCAAGCAGCAAGCAGTAATGGAGACAATGTCACGGCTCCTTCAGTTCAATCAAGAGTTGTCGAGAACCGTGCTCAGCCTGGTTCCAAGTCCTGAAAACCCAGTACATCGAGATGGTAAGTTGCATCTCTTTCGATCTATGTACCTGGCGACTAACAATCTGCGAAAAAGTTCTGAATCTGCAGGGAGAGATGGCAAGACAGGCCGACATGCTCCGTACTATTGATGACCCCCAGGAGTTGCCATTTGCAAGCAGTCGAGCGTACTTTACTAATGTTGAGAATGCTCCTGTTTCGCCGCGGCAGTTACCCCAAGATGACCCGAGACGAAATGCAAATCTTGCTGTTCCCCAGCCCAGGGGGCAGAATTTCTACCGTCCTCCTGTACCTTCAAATCTTTCCATCAGCACGCGAAGGCCGTATGGCTCGATTGGCGGGGGTTCAGTCAGCGGTGGCACGGTGCCACAGGCCTCATCTCCCTTGCGGGGGGCGCCGCCTCCACCCCCTCCTGGGCCGCATCCCTTAGCTCAGGTTGAGCCGCCTCCTGGAAGTCTGGCAAGACGTCACACATCTGCTGATATTCGTGCACACGGATGGCAGCCCAGCGCTCCGCCGTTCGCTTCGGGTCCTCCATCAGGACCACCCTCGGGCCCTTGGCCTTCTTCGCCCAGTCGACTCGCACCGGAGGACCAGCGCATCAGGGAGTCGCTGTCCACCTACTCATTACAAAACGCAATCCAAGTAAGACCACTATCACGGCCAACTACACCTCCCGGTGTGCCGTTTTCGAACGGCGGTGGCGGGGACACCTTTGGCAACTGGTCATGGAACTCGGCCAACCGTGATAATAAGAACTTGGCCATCAGGGATCACTCAGGACCTCCTACGCGTCGCGGAAGTATGGCACACATTCTCAACCCGACCGACACGGCTGAAAGGGACGACGAGGACGAGGACCCCCGAGGCGACGATGATCGAAAGCGCAAGCGGATGCAGTGAGCAAAACAACTGCCTCCTTCGGGATTGCCCATTGGATCTTCACGCATGCCACATCCCTCAGACGCGTGCCCGTACATTTTCATGACAGATAGACACGATGATTCCTGGAAATGTTTCCTTCATTGTACAGAAGAAAGGGGGACCAGGCTCGGCTCAGTACACGATGTGCACCGATGCCTCTCTACAACAAAACATCAGGATCAAGACCCGAAACACACACGAAGCCTACGGCCACTACATAATACGACTCAACAATCGTCAACCTCAACTTCCAACCGGAATTCTAAAACCTTCACATCGTCCAAAAAGTTTTACATTTTTACCAACCACGTGTTATTTACTGCATCACGGCCGGCTTGCGTGAAGCCACAACATATTATAAACCAGCAGCCCTAGTAATTCAGCGCCATAACGGCGTCTCACCAAACAGAACGAGCGCGGATCGCACATCTCATTTCACATTGTTCGCTCTTGGATGGAGGCCGGATGTTTGTGGTCGGAGCTCAGGAGACGGGATACCCAACGGATATTAGGCGGCAAGGTTTGTTAAGATTTGTCCAGAACTGTCCATATTAGGGTGTAATTGATGACAGCTGCATTCGGGATGCGAGAGGAATGGGAAATCATTCAAAAGCATATTCACATCTCACTGTAGAGGTACTCGATCAGGGGCCGCAGCTATGTGTGGCTTGTAAATGGCCTGATTGCACATGCTCGATGAGCCTTGGCTAGATCTAATGCGAAGATGCAATGACCAATTTTGTCGAAATAAACCAGCCAATCCGCGGCAGTTGTGTGATTCGACAGTTTCCGAGACTCGTTGCTGATGCCTGCTGCACATGCAGCTCCCAAGGGATGAAGGCGGTGTTCTTGGCGAGGTGATGTCCCGGCATCTCGGGTCAAGGGAGTCACGATGAGTGTCGTCGATCTGCAATTTGCCCTTGACAAGTGCGAGAGCTTTTAATCTCCTCTATGCCACTGGTATCTGGTGGGCGGCTCCAATGTTACTTTCCGCCGCCGCCGCTGCCGCCTTATTCTTCTTGTTCTCCTTGTTCCTCTTCTTCTTCTTCTTTTTTTTCTCCTTCGAGGCTTCGCCTGTCTCGGTTCGATTATCAACCTCCTCGGCGGGGTCCACCGGCGCTATCACCTCGCGGGACGGATTAGGAATAGGGGCGTCCTCCTTGTCGTCTTCGTCATTCTTGGTGTGGTCCACGGCGTCACGCGACCCGCACCCGCGCATCTCGACATCGTTCCGAGCGTCTGGGGGCCCGAGCAACACCTCGGGTTCAGAAATCTCCTGGCGGACCTTTGTCTTCTTCTTCCGATTGCCGAGGCTGCTTCTCCCTTCCTCCTCATCACTCTCATCGTCTTGTAGTCTGCGTTTCTTCAGCGCCGCGGCGGCGAGGGCTTTTGGGTCGTCTGCGGCGCGGCCTCCTCGTTTGTTGCCGAGGAGGCGGCGGCTTAGGTCCCGGGTCGCTGCGGAGGTAGCCTGGTCTGATTTTGAAGTGGCGAAGCCTAGGCCCGCGTTGGGGTTCTCAAAGCGGAGTTCTGCGTCGTCGGCTTGGGCGCGGCGGGTTGAGGCTGTTGGCTGTGGTAATGTTGTGGTGGTTGGTTTCGACATTGACGAGAAGGTACCTGCCGCAGCGTTGTTTGGGTTGGTCGCTGATGTAGACGCCGAAGCGGGTCTTGCTAGGGATGGGTACTTTGCGCGCATTGAGGTCAGGAAGGTTGCTTGTTTCGCGGAGGCGAGGGAAATGCGGTTGTAGAGGGCGTTGAAGTCGGCCGAGGCGGGGAGTTTGGGCATCGCTGCGGAGGCGGAGGACGGCGAGGTTGGCGCCATGGTGCCTGCTTATGTCGAGTCTAGGATACTTGGTTGCTTGGGTACACGTATTTGGGTATTCTGGACTGCCGAGGATTGTGCCACTCGAGTACGTGGGATGAGGGATCCTGAGGCCTTGCGGCAGGTTGGGACGGTTGACGATCGACGTTTACAAAATGCGCGGAGGCGAGCGAAGGTGAACTAAAAAAATTTGGGGCGCAAGGTAAATAGTTGTTGGCTCGTGCATTATTACCGTGACGTCTTATCGCCAGCACTCCCTCGTTTATCTTAGCGTGGACTTTCGGGTACGCGGGCCTAAAAAGCGACCGGGACGAACGAGCAGGGGTTCGTTCCTGCTGCCCGCTGCGGCGCGGTGCAACCTTCTCCACAATCGAACGTTGAAGGATCGCTTTTGCCGCGTGTGACGGGCAGTTTTTTTTTTTAATCCGCCCCGCTCCGGGTCCGGGCCGAGGACGGGGACAATCCGGGACGGAGGAGCGTGCTAGTGCACTCGATGCAGGTCCCGACCTGGAGATGGCGATCCAATAATGGAATACCGTTGGTGGTCAATTTTTAACCATGGAACCAACTGTATTGATTTTATGAGCTTTGGCTCGATTAGTAAAAAAAAGTTTTCGGGCTTCAGGAGTTAAGCTACCTACCTCCTTGTGCAGCGTGGTGGTGAAGCTGAGTACTTTATTACGATACTTGCCTGACTTCAGGCATCTAGGGTAGCCTCGGGGTATAGTTGACATGCATAAACTAATGTGGAAGGAAGAGGAGGCCTATTTGATTTGGATCCTAAAGGATGGCATCATACCTTGCACCTCAGCCAGAGTGAGGACCTTGTTGGGGGAGGGTGTGCTCAGAATCGTAAATCGCACACCCCTTCGAATCGTCGCGAGGAATTCAGGAGTGTGATGAGACATAACCTTTATTATAAACGTCTCATAAGGATCACTATTGACCTGCGAGAAGAACGATTGTATATACAGAATCTCCTTTCCAGATTGAAGTGGATTCTCACACGGCGATGAGAGAGGGAAAAAAGAAAAAGATGCCCAAGATGCGAATCGAACTGCCAGAGACCGTCAACAAGCGAACCCTCAGCAAGCAAAAAAATAGAGAGTGATATAAGAGAAGAATGACTTCAAAAGACAGAATGCAAATAAGACGGATGAGCAAAGAAAAAGAGGTAGCGAAATGGCAAAATGGCAAATTATCGTGCTGCAGTGAGACGCCAGGCAGCTGCAGTCTTTAAATGGCAGATCGCGTCAATGGAGGAGAAGCCGCACTCAAACCTTTCGGCCAAGTGTACTTTCTCGCCCACCCCGACAGACAGCGCCGACTTGATGGACTATGAAGGACGAGGACTGTGGGTTGAGCCACAATGAGCGGGTGCGCTGTGAGATGGATGGCCATGGTCGGTACCAGGGCGGGCGGAAGTCTAATAGCCCAAGACACACTGCCCGACTCATTGGGTTGATGCACTCAGTCTACTGTCTGAGAATGGAGCGAAATAGGTAAATGAAGCTTTCATGATGTTAGGGCTTTCCATGGGGGCAAGGAGCTCGCACCATTAAGTCTTGTCTTCTTGCTGGGCTAAATTGAGACTGACGAGGGTATATCCTCTGCAAGATGAGCCACCAACCGAGGCAATACCACCCCGATATCATAGGGAGACATGATTTCAAATTTACTGTATTCATTAGAAGCTGGATACTGGCTAAATCACTTGAGATACCCATTCGCCTTGATGTCGCCTTTTCAAGATGAAGCTTACCAACACGGCATCTCAGACATCACGGCCATCTTTGTTCACCGCTATCAACCCAGGTGACTGACTATACTATCTATTAAGCCAGAACGAGTTGACGACATCGTCCCTAATTCACATAGCGAAGCAGGACACGTCATCAATGATTCAGCCGAATTTTTCCGCTATTACTGACAACTTGTAAAAACCACTGGGGGAATTCGTAATGCACTCTCAGGGGCTGATCATTTTGTTATTTGCTTCGCTTTTCTTTTCAACTGATTTGCATACAAATGTCATTGTTTCGAATGTGGTTTCACTCCGTAATCCAGCGTGGAGTTGTGATGACGGTGGTGGCGGTGGCGGTGGATTGAATGAAGTGAGGAAAGTGCGATGGGCAAGTGCACGCGATGTGAGCATGGTGTGAGATGGAGTTGGCAAAAACCTCCTCTCGAGCGATTCCCCATAAATAATAAATTGAAACGCAATCATTTCTAAAGAAATCCTAGCTTTCAAATCGGCGTGGTTGTATTTGGGCTGCGAGTCATCTACGATAGACAAACTTATTGACGTCCTTCTCATGGCTGAACCTCAACCTGAGTTCATAAAGTGGCTTTACAGCTCCAGTATCTTATATAGAGTCGATCAATATGACAAGGCTCCAGATCAATGGAGTTCAAATCTCTCCAAGCTAAAGGAGCCGTCATCCAGCTTTGCCTTCACTTCGCCACTCATCACCCCAACAACCCAACACGTGCCCATTATCGTCTAGGCTGAGAAGTTCAAACAAGCGGCATACCAGAGACTCCTCAGCGAAATCTTGATCAATGCATAACAGTTAAAACATAAAGGCGAGAGCCAACTCAGCCCGAAACTCGGAGCTTCGGAGCTTCGAAAGAGGTCAGATTCATCATGACCGCCTGATTCGAACAACGCACGGAAGACGGCTTCCTGCGCAGTCATACCATTTTGAAACTGAGTATTCTCGGTCCTCAGCTGTTCAATGAGGTTGATGAGTCGGTGCCAGGTATCAAACAATACTGGCTTCGGGAGGTTGCGTATCACCTCGCCGATACGAATGCCAGACACCAACAGGCCTGTTCTCAGTGACATGGGCGCCTGGGATATCTGATCCGAATATTCCTCTATCGGCATTTCCAATGATGGGCTCGTACGACCTATTTGAATCTCTCAATGGGTGTGGGTAGTTTGGAACCCAGATAGAAAGGTCTCCATTGGCGAGTGAGCGAGTCTCACTCATTGTCACGTGTACACCAGCCATCGGAAGAAGCTCGAGTTTCTTTACCTCTTCCTGTTCCCTTCCAGAAGGCAAGGTATTGGGCGAAGTAGTCGACATAAACCGCTGCGACCGAGACGTCCGTGTCGTAGTCAGGGATCAGGGGCAGCTTCGTGAGCCCGAGCAGGTTGTAGATACTATCCATGGGATGGGTGGCGGATAGGGTTCCAGCTCATTATGTGCCAACCCCAGTGCTCCCACTCGTCTGCACTCAGATTTTCCGGTCTTTTGTGCACCTGAGCCGCATGGAGTTATGCTGCGGCACCCTGTCGGACGACATGATGCTAAGCCAGGCAGACTCCACCATCCATGACGGCTTCATCATGTAGCTTTGAACCTCTTTCAATCTCACTATCCAACAGCATGTGAAGAACAACGCTATCTAGTTGATAGAAGACTCGACAGATAGAAAGATCAGGTTCTCTGCGAGGACTATCACTTGAACGACCCAAACGCCAAATCAGTACGGTAGGCCGAAGAGTGACTGGATGCTCTTCCACGACTGGTTGGAATGCCAGTCATTCTCGGGTCCCATGTCATCCAAGATGAGCTGTGGTCAATCTTCCATCCAGCTGATCCAATCGGGCTGTTCGACAGCTCCAAGGTGGTATCGCCCTACGACTTCGTCCATCTCACGGGTCGCCAGGTTGGTTGCATCAAATGCTACGCCAATCTCTTCATCATCTGTTCCGAGCCAGGAGAACACCAGCTCCACACAAGACTAAATCTCGCGCATGAACTGTACCTGCTGGTCTCGTTCTGCAACATCTTCTTGGTTGATGCAGAGAGCATCAATCCAGATCCTGGAGCCTAATGTCGCCCATATAATGCATATATCCAGTGATCTTGAAGGTGCTGAAGAGTATGGAAGAGTTTTCTCTGGTTGCTTGAAACTCCTGGCCCTTCAAACGGAGGGGCTCAGTGATGGACGCATCTCCCCATACGTATGAAAGAGCTGTGTAGGCGGGATATCCATCAAGAGATACCGAAGTGAGTCTCAAATATGGGTGGCCAGAGAAGCCGACATATTCAAGAATCCTGATTTCCGACTTTGCAGGATCGAGGGGCTCGTTCAACGAAATGGTTCCCTAAGATATCTTGCTGGGTTTTTGAGCTCTTCCCCATGTGCGCACGATAGCCTCCCAGTGGAGATTTTGACGGACTTGTTCAAAGTAAATGCGCCTAATGAGGCCATTCGTAGATAGACGTCCGCTGTCAGAGGCGAACACCTCTCGCGGGAGTACGTCCTATTACGGTTAGGTGGTTGGCGTGAAGCAGAGAAAATGTGCAGGCGAGGACAACGTTGGGGCTTCCCTCGAACAGGAGCGCTCCATTGGCTGCACGAGCCAGCTGGCACCCCTGCTACAAGGCGGCATCGCCCGAGACCACCCCGCGGACCATGACTGGGGCCCCCTAAAACACCCGGAACTCAATTGTGGACGTTTCTTCCAACTTCATATCATGATCACCACCACTCCATTGCCTCAGCCAGCTTCAATTATGCCGAATACCCGTGGGAGGTATGGCAAGTCTCCAAAGTCTACAGACATTCTCTCTATTGGGTCAACTGAAATCTAACTGTCCCATAGAGTCTGCCTCGGTGGCTAGAGCCCAAACGTAACTTTGATTGGCCTGGGTCGAGTGTGGCTGAGAATCCATTCGTTCGTCGCCGCCGTCATTCAACTATTGCATCAGCCGCATTCAAGATTTCGAGTCTGTTCAGGGGGCGGCTTGGGGGCTCTCGATAAGAGATGACTGAGAGTTGGGGCTCGAAAAGTGGCTCACCACCGAGGTGTGGCATCACCGGTTGGATCCTCGAGGCCTCGGTCTGAAATTGAATGTTGTAGATTGATCTGCCATCCCTTCAATCTTCAAACAAGGTGCGGGATTAACAGGAGTCAATTGTTGTGTAACTTTGGCCGACGTAGCACCGAGAAACAGCGACAGACCAGGGTGGCAGCGGAAACGTCCCTCACAAACTGATGTATACCCTACCTCTTGAAGGCCGATTCAAGTGAGCAACGTTAGCGGCTCAGCAGCCCATCATCTCATTGCTCGGATTACGGCAAATCAGCAGACAGAAACACCATTCGGCCAAACTGTGGCTGGTCGCCTGCCGTTTCTGCCTTCGAGCACCCCGTCAGCCAACCAAACCAAGGCACTAGCCACATCATGCACGATGAAGCTTGCCTCGCAGCCCTCGAATTCTTAGCTGCAGAGCACCAGCCACAAGTACTCCGGTGACAGTGACGGACTTTCCGCATTGGCTCCGACTTCAATCGCCGGCAGAACTTCATCTCCCCGACAAGAGACATTTGCGTCGTCTCATTGAATACCGGTGCCTTGTTTCAGCGTCTTGGAGCCCTCCGAGAATCATCTGTGGTGGAACCGACGAGATTATCCCTGGAGTCCGTTGTGGCTCATGCCATGCATGGTGGGCAGTATGTGACCAGTATTCTTCCCGGGTTCCCGAGTCATTTTCCCCAGCCGACACACACGAGCTTCTCCTAGAGGAAGGTGTCAACGAGTATTGGATGTTCTCGAAGGACAATAGAAGAGCGCCCCAGGCGCTCTTCACCGGGGACGACCCCACGAATGGTTTAGACGGCCTCCTGACTTGCCACCTACCGGGTCTCTGGGACGTTGGAAGTGGATGTTGCGGGCCGTAGCCTTAGGAGGAGCAATCTGGGTTGGACCCGGTACGACAAGGGGGTGTGAAGCAGGGTACGAAATTATTCATCTCCTGTCTGGGACAAATCACCGGCCGGCGGCGGAACGGCGGTCAAGTCGAGTCCATGTGCGGACGACCGCGGCTCGCCGGCGGACCAGTGTCTTATTCTATCATTCTCGAGCTCGGTGGCTCTTCCTCCAGTCAACTTGGCTCCGAGAAGAGAACTTGGCAGGTCGCCAATACCTCACTACCGCCCCAAACTAGTTCGCCTCGAGCTCATTTGCATTATGTCCGGTCTTTTCAGCCGCACACTTGGCTCAGATGATGTTCTTGTATAAGACCCTCCACTCGGCAGTATTGTCGAGGGCATTGACACAGAAAGTCGAAATCACCGAGCTTCTAATGGAATAAATTCATCAAGCTATCAGATCTCTTACTCTAAACTGCCGCAATGTCTTCTCCTGGGCCCAGTCCTGATCACGGGGGGTAGGTCGAAGTTCCTCCACGATAGCAAAACGACTATATTGTGCTTATTATATCCATACTAATATTTCTCTTAACTCAGGGAATACACCCGTTCTCATGCCAAACCTCTTGATGATTACATACCTCGACAATCCCAACTGGCCAGTTTTCAGCAGGAACGCTCCCAAGACGGCAACATTCTCGTGCCTCTCTCCTATGACTCCCGGGGCTTAAAGTCTGCCATCGATCACCACAAAAGTCGTGCTACTCGAGCCATCAAAACGTTCCAGCAGAACTTTACAAGGCAAACGTCAGAATATTCAGGAAATGTAACAACCAACAAGTCTAGTTCTACTGGAGTAAACGATAAGAGCAATTGAAGTCGAGTTCCAGCACCAGCACGACTTTAGTGGGAAGCTTTGAGTCAATACGGGCACCTCACTTCACCTAGATCATTTTCTCATGCATCGGGCGTTGTGTCAGCGCTGGAAGCAGCTTTTCATAAATGTCGTCGATGCGAACTGCAAGTGGCCCCGCATAGTGGTATTAGGGTAAAGACATACTCAGCCAGGAGGACATTGCATTGGAGAAGGTTTCACTTGATTAGTTTAGAAGCATTGGATCGTCCTAGTCTTCCATTGAACCCAATCCCAACTCCCCATCGTTATTTCTAAATTCGAGTTTCGCTGGTTCAAGTGAGGCGGGGACAAACGCTCGCCCGTGATGTTTGTGAGGACAGACAGGGCTGCATCTTGAGGGGATGGCGGTGTATTGGTGGGCATGCGTACTCTTCTGCTCATGGGACCAGCTACTTCTCGAATTAGGTAGCTATCATCCAAAAAGTCCAGATCACTTTGCATCTTGCCAAGCATGTTGCCCCAAAGACCGGCTGCATCTCCGCTGTTCCGGCCAGATTAGGCTCAAAGACCGACCGTCCAAGCCTACCTGTATATGCAAGAATGGGTTGACGAACAAGAATCAGTCCAATAATTCGATTAAAATGGAATTAGAGCAACCAACAAGTGGGGTTACTGGCGCTTACGCCGCATATGCTTGGGAATGTAGAACGGTGGCACCTCGCTACCAACAGCCACGGCTACGGCCACGAAACAATATTTAACCCCGTCTTTCCCCTCAATTTGATCAATCGTGTTCTCTCACATAACTCTCTTGTTTGATGAGAGATTTGAAAGCTGCCCAATCCATACTCAAAGCATGGCGGAAACTACGCAGCAATTTCAAGCCGACGTACGAATCCGAGCTCCACCAGAAGTTCGAGACTAGGGTCCAGGTTAACAAGACAGGCAGAATCTTCAAGATAATGATGGAGCCTCAACTATAGGTGGCAGTGTCAGTATCTAATGCAAAAAATAGCCTACTTCCGCAATGTTGACGATAGATAGTCTACCGATGATTCGCTTGCTTCTTTGCGATCGAGTATCCTCGACTATCGGAGGGAAAACGGACGCACATATCACAGGGTCAGTGATGGGAGTAAGCTATATCTGACTACCAATTCCCATAAGTGATTACTGATTCCTTCGGATAGAATATTATCTTCCTAACGATGAGGTGACCCATCCCGTCTTTTTCGTGTCTCTGAGAGTCGCCTTAACTTACATTCATAATGCAGACGGAAAAAGACCGTTTAGGTATGTGCTAGTCCGCAGGCCAGACTTCGGAACGCGCAAGCCAACAACACGTCGCAGATTTCGCCAATCATTTATGGATACTGACATGGGACGGAAAGCTGTGTAACTGTCCCAAGCAAGAAGGTGCCAAGCGAGTTTTAGATGTTGGAACTGGAACGGGCATTTGGGCTCTTGATTATGGTAGGTGGAATGGCTTTAGACCACTTTGACATTGTATTTGAAGTTGAGTTGCTGATGTAGTTACAGCGGACGCTCACCCCGAAGCAAGTGTACGTCGAAAGAATTTGTTTCTGATGAAATGAAGCCTATTGACGAGTCAAACTAGGTCATTGGTGTTGATCTAAGCCCGATTCAACCCATATTGTCAGTGGTTCTTCACAAATGATATATTGTGGACTATTTATTGACCGTTTCGGACAGCGTTCCTCCCAATTGCCGGTTTGAAATCGATGATCTTGAAAAAGAATGGACTTGGACAGAGCTCTTCGACTTCATATTTATCAGATCAATGGTAGGAAGTTTCACGAACTGGTCTGATGTTATTAAGCAAGCCTACGAGTAAGTGCTGTTCCCTCGAAAGCCGTTGACTCAGCTGATGAGGGATCAATGAAGCAACCTGGAGCCGGGAGGCTATCTCGAGATCCAAGACAATGAGTTTCCTATATTCTGCGACGATGACTCCATGCCCGCAGACTCTCAAGTCCTGAAGTGGACTCAGCTCATTGTTGAAACCACGAACATTGTTGGGAAGCCTATGACTGTTGGGCCTACTTTCAAGCAGTTGCTTAGGGATGCCGGATTCGAAGATGTTCAGGGGCGGCAGGAGAGATGGCCCATTAGTCCATGGCCGGAAAAGGACCCGAAACAGAGGGAGTTGGGGATCTGTTCCCGAGCGGGTACCATGGAGGGCCTCGAACCGATTTGTATGGCCTTGTTCACGCGCGTACTTGGCTGGACTCGAGACGAGGTTTTGGTGTTCTGTGCTGGAGTCAGGGAGGAATTGAAACAGCAAACCATTCACGGCTACTTCAATGCGTAAGTATCTAATCGCCGACCGACACTTTCCTGTGTAGTACGGATTGGCTAACCGCTCTGACTAGATATGCTGCTTGGGGTCGCAAGCCTGAGAAGAAGGAAGAGCCAGAGACTATCTAGATATAGGAGACATGATATATATCCCTTTCCTTCATAGTGCTACCTAAAAGCTGTTCAAAACCAAGGCGCCTTCAATCTTATTCACTGTGAATTGATCTTTGGTGTTCGAGAAATTGTAACCAGTGGGGAAAGCTCCACTGGTGTACCATACGGCCCCCGAAAGTCAATGAGAGTGCCAAGAAGAAACCAATTGTTCGGTAGGATTGTCGCAACTACTACTTTTGATCAGATGGCCTGATTTCGTCGCCATGCACTGTGAGACTCACTTTTTTGACCTTTGCCGAACAGCTCGCCAACATGCAGGCGATGTTTTACGAAGATAGTGCAAGCCAATCATGGAAAGTGGAATAGACCTGGACGCACCAACAGGCGGGTCTGGCGGTTGCTTGTTGGAGGTGCAAAAGCAGGGTGTTGCCTCGGCACCAACGGTCACGACACAGCATCCAACTTGCCTCTTTTCCCCTCATTTTTCCTGCTGTCTGTAGAGTGCTGCTACACAGCCAATTGTGACGCCGCCTTTTTTTCTCCTCCATAAGGAAACATGGCCGAAAACGCGCACCACCAGGTCGATGTGCGCGCTACGTCCTCGCCAATCAGCACGGGTGCATATGCTGATACCGTTGAAAGGATGTACGGCCTGACGATGATGCCTCTCCAGCGAGAGACTCTGTAAACCCATAACTTTAATCAAGGCGTCCTCTTGGCTCATGTCTGGTAGGCATATGACGACTTGCTAGCTTCCTTGCGATCCAGCATCTGAAGGGAGAACGGGTGGACTTATCATGGGCTCAGCGGACGCGGTATAATATCATCTCCATGGAAATGATTGAGACCCCCGTACATGTTGACTCTTAATGTGGCAAGAACAAGATCGCCTCGGTGTGTTCTCCAAGTGAAGATGCCTCCCATTGATGCTGGCTACTTGAGCAGACCTCTCGCATCATCTGTGGAAGTTGACCTACGATCGCACGTCGTGCAACTGCCCCAAGAAGCAGGGAGCCAGGCGGGTTCCAGACATCGGAACCGGAACCGGTATCTGGACTTTGGATTACGGTACGTCCACCCGCCTACCCCATAGCAGACTTTTGAGATACTGATATTGTACAAGCAGATGGAAACCAAGATGCAATGTGTCTCTTAAGTTTCCTCGACCCATTCCATGAAACATTCTAATGGATTTATCTACAGGTCGTCGCTGTTGACCCAAGCCCAGTCCAGCCGGCATTATTAGTGAACACTGGGCTGATATTTGTGAGCCCATTGTGCTGATGCAGATAGCGTACCACCCAATTGTCAATTTGAGGTTGACGATGTTGAGAAGGCCTAGACTTGGCCAGAGGCATTCGATTTCATTTCCGCCAGGTCGGTGAATGGACCATTCAAGAGCCGTACCGAATTTTTTGCCAAAGCATTTGAGTGAGTTTGATTTTCATGTAAGAAAACCTGACTAAAACAGCAACTGCACAACTGATAGATGAACTAAGTAGGAATCCGGAAGCCAGCGGGTATCTTGAGATGCAGGATAAAGTCTTCCCGTTGCTGTGCACCGATGGGACTATGACAGATGACTCCCAGGTGAACAGATGATCTGAAGTATCGATAGAGGCCACAGAGATTGTTGGAAAGCCGCTCAAAGACGGCCCAAAGTTCAAGAAGATGCTTGACGACGCCGGATTCGTGGACGCGCAAGAAAGGACGGATGTATGGCCGATCTGCTCTTGGGTTGATAAGGACGCGAAATACCTAGGACAATTTAGGTATCCGGTGCCAATCTATCACGATTTAGAGCCTTGTTTTATGCGGATCTTCGACTGGACCAAAGAAAAGACTGTGGTTTTTTGCGCCGGAGCGTGGGATGAGTTGAAGCAACAGAAGAAGGTCCATGCCTATTTCGGTGTGTAAGTTGTGGCCCGGATCTCTCAGTACATCACTTGACTGAAAGATCTTCTGGCTATACAGTCTGGGGCCGGAAGCCTGAGGAGAAGGAAAAGGAGGACACTACTTGGATATACTCCTAGATGTACTCAGCATTTTCTTCCTTCACTTGATATCCTTAACTTTTCTTCACTACCTTATGCTACTCAAAGGGTTTTCAGAAACGATGAATTTTTTGATCCCGTTCGCTATCAAGCACATAAGTTTGTGTTGTTCCAGGGATCTTAACCGGTGTCATGCCTCGCTACTCACGCAACAAGGGGGCCATGAACTCGGCGATGTGTTGCCGTATTTCGACATACTGGCCACCGCGGGATAATAGATATTGGTTCCGGTCACTCTGCATATGCATGCATGAGATGATAAATGTGGTAAGGTCCAATTAAGAGTAGAAAAACACATTTCCGTAAACCAACAGAGGGATGCAAGCGGGGGAAGACGCATCACTATGGAGAATACGGCCAGGGGCCGTCTCGTTAAGGAAGGACGCGAGATTGCATTTATCCAGCCCGTTGCCCCTCACTTGAGACTCGTTCGCATTTATTATTCTGTTCTTCTCCATCAATTGCGTGAGATGTTCTTTGAATTCTTTCCATAGAATACATTGCAAGATGACCGATCACGCACAACAGCCAGTACTAGCTGCGGTAAGAATCCAGCCTCTGCTTGTGTGCTCATCTGTGCTCATCAACTATAAGACAATGCATGGCTGACATACATTCTAGGAAGCTGAGTTTGACGACGGCGCATCCTCTCTTGATGGCTCGGTGAGTTATAAATCTCAGAAGTTTTGGCTTTGAACTCGGTTTTGACATCTGACAGTCTATCGACGACTCGCTGGCTTCTCTGAGGTCCAGCATCCTCGATTACCGCCGAGAAAATGGCCGCACTTATCACCGGCTCAGCGATGGAAGCAAGTTATCCTTCGTTTCGATTCGTTTTCCGAAGGCTAACCGAATATCATCACCGAGTAGAATATGTTCTTCCCAATGACGAGGTACTAGTTCGTGACTTCCACCTCATTAAGTTCAATCTGACAATTAGACTATTGAAAGCGAGAGCAAGAACGACTAGGTAAGCACACTGAATACAAGAGTTTCGAGCTGAAATGAGCTCATCTGTCACCAGATCTCACCCACAATCTTTGGCTTCTTACCTGGGATAACAAACTTTGCAACTGCCCTAAGAATGTCGGTGCCAAACGAGTGCTAGATATCGGTACGGGTACTGGTGTTTGGGCTTTGGACTACGGTCAGTCAATAACCTTGGCCAACAACGACCCTGACTAATGCGAATGTAGCGGATGATCATCCCGAGTCTTCCGTAATTCCTCCCAAAGACGAAACGTGTGTGCAGTTGCTGACTTTCCTTAGGTGCTTGGTGTTGATCTCAGCCCAATCCAATCCGGCTTGTAAGTTTTTGATGACAACTCAAACACGATACCCTAGCTAATGGCCAATTTTAGTGTCCCTCCTAATTGCTCCTTTGAGGTCGACGATGTTGAGAAAGAGTGGCTCTGGTCGGAGCCCTTCGACCTCATCTTTGTCAGAAACATGATTGCGAGTTTTTCTGACTGGCCGGGAATGATTGCGAAAGCCTACGAGTGAGTATTGCAATTCGCTCAGCTGATGCTTAACATTAATTCAAATTGAACGCAGGCGTCTCGAGCCAGGCGGTTATCTTGAGCTTCAGGACAACATGTTCCCGCTCATGTGTCGAGACGACACGATGACTGACGACTTCAAGCCGTACAAATGGACTAAGCTGGTCCTGGAGGCAGCTGCAAATATGGGGCGCCCGGTCAACGTCGCTGCCAGCTTTAAGAAGATGTTGGAGGATGCAGGCTTTGTCGACGTGGAGGAGAAGAAGGCAATATGGCCATACAACCCCTGGCCCTTGGACCCTAAGCTCAAGGAGCTGGGTACATGGGCTGAAGCATCTGCCGCCACGGGCATTGAAGCAGCGTCGATGGCTCTATTCACTCGTGTGCTTGACTGGAGCACCGAAGAGGCGACTGTCTTCTGTGCTGAGGTGCGGAACGAACACAAGAAAATAGGAGTCCACGCATATTACGATGTGTAAGTGTATTAGACATGGAAAATTTTGAACCGAGTTCAACTAACGACACTTATAGGTATGCTGCCTGGGGTCGGAAGCCAGAGAAGGAGGATGAGGAAGATGCTGTAGTGCCCTCCTAAGAGAAGACGTGTGTTTATGGTAGACCCATTACCAATGCGTTCCACATAAGGCCTTGTCACAATATATTAGGAATCACACAATAAAGACTTGGAAACTTTACAGTTTGGAACACCATGATTTCATGAGCACTGTTGTCGTTGTAGATTTGAGTGCTGTAGATGCACGAAATGTTGAGCAGGTGATGTTTTCGGAAGGTGATAAAACAGTGACCGGCAATGCCTCCTAGAACTTTAGAAACTTCGGAAAACGTTGGGTATCAGTATACTGAAGTATATGCTCTTCTCCAAGAGAGAATATTAGGATCGGTAGAGGCTGGCTCCCTTGAAGACAGCTCGGGGAGCCAATTGACTGGACACGCTACACTGCGTTCGCCTACCTGTCTCTTATAGGAAGCTGACGTCTTGCCATTTCGTCAATGGCATCCAAGCACGAAAATCACCGAGAATATTGGCGTTTGCCGGCCTTGACATTGCGACTCGGACCCTTGCGGCAGTGCGGCATCCGAAGCCCAGCGATAAGTAGAGTCGGAAAAGCCACATCGATACGGAGACAACGCTTTCTTAAATATAACTGAGGAGATTCTTTGCCCTCGTATTAATGGCTTCTTCTTCAGTGTTCACTCGGTAGTGACTTAGGAAAAGTAGGGAATCTGCACGACTTATCTCGATACTCAGGTTTACCACACATGGAGCAAAGCACAACCTGCTTTCACAATCTCATGTTGTAGATATCTGCCTGGGACGTAGAGGGGGATGGAGACGACTCTTGTGGCAGATCTAGCTTACTTCCAAGGCCTATGCAAGATGTATTGCACTGCGACCGCCGCCGTTACTATCACCGTCGTCATTAACGCGATCACCATCGTCTTCAGTATGACCATAACTGAATCAACACCGACATACGAGGAGCCGAGCGACTTACTGGAATATGATGAGGACATGGTATGTGAAACTCACCGGCTATTCATTCTATGAAAGCCGTTCATAGGCGGACACGTTTTGTTAGTCCAACCCATACGAGAAAGCAGTCAGTAGCAGCAAGATAGAATAAGGCTCAACCTGGAATGTTGCCTTTAATAATGTAGTCAAAGAAGCAGCAAATATTTCAAAAGCTCCTGCATGGGTTATAACACCCATCCTACCTTGATCATCGGACATGCTGCAAGGTTACAAAATCAGTAGTCTCGGCAACATACGGTATTTCGACTGCCGTGAAATTTAATACGGGAGTTTTCAAAGCCATATTATGACGACAAGGCAAGCTGAGTTGCATGGAGAACAACTTTGGTGACTTTTAGTGAAATAATGCGAAGAGAAATGAGCTGATAGATGAAAAGTCTATGAAGCTGATTTTCTTGCGGTCGGTTTTGAATCATCGTGCGTGTAGACAATAGTTGGCTGACGTGCGTTCTCATGGCACCGCTGTCGTCAGACAGCGATTGGGTGACAGCTCTACGTGGACAATGTTTCCGTTTGAGGCACGTACATATTTTTTCCAAATCATCACGAATTTTTCTTGCTCGTAATGCCCGGTCAGTGCATAATACGAGCTCCTAGTATGCCTCCATCCATCCAGAATGAGTGTTGAATCATGAGATATCCTCGTAAAGGTGTCGCCTCGACGCGCTGAATTTGTTGTCCAAGATGGGTCTTCGGAACTGATCGACTTATCCATCTAGTGTTTCTGTCTTGAGAGGTGCCTGCGAAAAGACGTCATCTCTGGCCCAAGTAGTTCAGAGATTGAGATCTGAGATGAAATTGAAGATTAAAGAGCTAATTTCGATGTCGCGAGTTGAAGAACTCCATTCAGGGACCTGGAGATGAAAAGCAACCGATAGCTTGGCTTCTCTGTCCTCTCAACCGTCATTTCCCCAGATGTTTGAAGTTGACAATTGTGAAAATATGATAAAAGATTGAAATTGAATAGGACTGGCTGTGGCATTCATCATTCGTCCAAAGGGAGGGGAAAGAAGGGCAGACGATGAAGTCCCCGGATTTTCGACTGCTTTGGCGAACTATTAGCGAATGGTCTCTGTCATCTCAAATGCGAACCATGCAAACCACTGGCAAGCGATGATGTGTCTCCCGGAAATGTCTGATTCAACACCATCAGCCAATACAATCGCTGTAGAAATGTGTGGTGAGCGTGAGCTGCCTTGTGTAACACCAGAATCGGGTTTTTTGCAAGAGGCATTTTCGAACTTTCCAGGCAGACACGCAGGCTGACTGATGCCTGCGTAGCTGCAGCCGCCGTCGATAAAATACCGCAACCTTCTCACCGCCCCATTATTCAAAACAAGGCCACATGAGTTAGGTTAATGACCTCCTACTGGCGTGAAAAAGGAGGCTCGCTGGGGATTGGCCGATGTGAGGCGGAAGACCCTTGTCGAAAGTGAAGCAGGTTGACGTGGCAAAGGCTCTCGACTCATATGAGGCTGTTCATCGCCACCACAAACCACGTAGAGGTTGGAATGACCTCCTGATGGGCGGCTGGCATGGAAAACGAGCCTAGGGCTGCTGCCCATCTACCTCAAGGTGTTGTGCGTTCTATTGGGCTTCCATACTGATATCAGACTGCTGCCTATATAGGCACCCGATTTCAATGCCTTGCAAGATGTCTGGCCTCAGAAGAAACATATGCCTCGGGAATGGAGAAATGCGAGTGAATCTGGCAGAAAGATGAGACTACCAGCGTCGACATCATTCGTTGGAGACGCATAGCATCCTTCTAGATATCTTTGGCAGCAACTCCACTGCACAGATTCAACATGTTGAGTTCGATTCCAGAGAGTCAGGAATCAGTTTAGTCGCATTATCCATGGGCCCAGACCCGGAACGGCTCTCGTAAGTCGCTCTCGATGGCTACTCAAGCGGCGATTAATGATGTTCCAAACATCGTCACTAGTTCCTGGGTTAACTCTGGAAGTTTTAGGTCAGATTCTCTTCGATAGAGGCTGGCACATGGCGAACGAGCATACATCTGTGACGGCGATGTCTATAAAGAAGACGCTGTATCTTTAGGGTTCCATCAAACTCTCTTGTATTGACATGCTACGTTGGACTTGTTCGTGATGAATCGCTATGTTAACTTCGTAACCTTTGCGATGCTATACGCAATACGCAGTGAGTGGTGTTTACATTTACGGAGCCTCCCGACCCCGGCTTTCCCACATGACCGGGAGCGTGTATCAACGGTAAAGTCCGCCAGGATATGGCCTCTAATGACCACGTCTAACTTCCCTATGTGTCGTTCGTCGCTCCCCATCACACCTCATGCCACGAGGAAATCTGTCGAATTCACGGGCGAGCAGCTAGACCACATGCATCCAGGAACTAGGGATATTCCCCAGCATGCGGCTCTGCGAGCATGGTAGGTAGCTCTATGATTAGCTGCATTGTCCTGACGCGGGTAGGAGGGAGAATGCACCAGGCTTGATACCTACCCACACCTACCTGGAACCTCTATTTCGCTGCTTCTTGGGTGGCTGCTTCAACAGACACACCCGCACGTTTCAAGATTATTTCCTGTTCTTTCAGCTTTGCCCCCGATGAAAAGTCTTCTATGTATAGGAAGTCGGGCGCCTAGAAGTTTATGCTCACAATGTCTTGGGTATTGATTCTCCTGTGCAAGCACCATCGCCGCCATCGAGGAGCAGTCGAGCCAACATTTTGCAAGCCCGTGATATATGCGTATCGATTCTCGGGAAGTGCTTAGCATTCCAATATCAATTGCTGTGGACAAAGTCTCTAATAGCGCCGGCGTAAATGGACATGATATACCTAGATCCCAAGATCCTCCTTCCATTAACGCCATCAATAGGCTTACTGCTGTCCGAAGCCCAAGCTGACGCAGGTTCAATAGGGAGGTGCCCTAGTAGCACACCTCATGGCCCCAAAGCCACGGAACAGGCGGAGAGTACCAGGCAAGGCCTCATAGTGTATTAAAAGCGATGAGATTTGCCTCTTTGGCTATCGTATGTTCCATGATAGCGCACCTCATGCCGCTACGAAGGCGCGGGAGGCACGGAGGCAAGGATGGTGGCCTGGCAATGCACATCGGGGCCCTAGGCCGAGTTTCCGAGTTTCGTTCGCAGAATGAAGCTAGGGGCCGTCTAAGTCATTAGCTGTCAAGCTGGATCCTGGTATGAAAGACATCGAATTGAACATCAGGAAAATCGCTGCAGCTACAGGTGAACTAGTACAGCATTGCTTCGGTAGCCAATCGCGATGCATCAGGTTTCCAGCGTAACAGACACACGATGCCGAGGGGAACCATGTGAATCAAAGGTACGCGCATGTTGTTGTCCAGTGACGCTAGCGCCCCCCGGGAATAATAGCAGTCGCAGTCGTGGGAATGCCCTCATCGACGTTTCGAGAAAGATTCAGCATATCTTGTCGACTTCTGAGGTTAGTTGATTCCTCTGGTTTGTGAACTGGGGTCCTGTGAATGCTCCTAAGGAACGTAGCTCCGAACGGATGGCCCTAGAAAGCGATTGGCAAGCTCAATTGCAGGTGCACTTGGGTACCGTAAGTACCTTAAGGTAAATGCCCCACGATCAAGCCCCCAATCCCCCACACCCACGCACTGTCTTGGCAGACGAACTTTCCTTAGCTGTACCCGACCCCCTACCCCCTTAGAAACGAAGATTGAATACCGCCGTCTCTCAAGCCATCTAGAGTCCATCGTACAAATAAATCGATCTCCCGGCGCAATCGATTTCGAAATATCTGTCGTCTCCATCTTTCTCAATGGGTAAATGGCCATACTGGAAGATTTTCAACAGTCCTTTTAATCGGATCGATCAAACAGGCATTCCACCATTGCTAAACGTCCCACAACATCAAAGCCACCATGAACTCAGATTCTAAAAAGTTCTGCGTCCATGGATAGAAATGTCTTTCTTCTTCGCATTCCCTAGTATTAATTCTTAAACTCAAGGGAATTGGTGCACTTGCCCAAGCGAACTTGCTACCGCGTAGCGACAACTCAACCTCTGGCCGCAACCTCATTCATGCCGAAGAAGCACAGCGTCTCCAGAGAGAACAACATCGCCCTTTGTACGAGACGATGACTGTCCCAACCCGATGCTGCCTCGCATGATGGATTCATCGATTGAATCTATTTATGAGCACCGCAAGAACTTGAGCTCAATAAGATCCAGAATGTCATCTCGAATGTGGAGCAATGAAAGGCTTGGTATGGCTGTCTGTGAACACGCGCACTGGCAAACATTGAAATGTATGTGTACCAAGAATTCTGTGCGAAAAATTTCGAAGAATCTTAACGTGGCGCTGTCAATTAAAACACTCAAACCGACAGTCGGTCTAAACAGCTGTAGACTTGGCCAGGCGCTCTCAGCAATCGGAGACTGAGCTCTCAGAGTCATCCCGCACCTGGCGCGCACCGTTACCGGACCCTTTGCTTCTGGACGACATGTCTCGATCCAAGCCGAAGCCGTGTCGGATCCCATAGGTATTCTTTCCACAGGTCGGGCTCGCAGCCCCGGATCCAAACGTTACTGCAGTTACACGTTCGGGAAATACATAGTAGTTGACCTGCCCGTTACAGATTGCAGTGCTCGGGCGGGGGGCACAAGGGGGACAAAATTACAGGCCGGTTTTCTGAGCACCGTCAACAAATCTATCCTTCCTATGCCGAATATTTAAGAAACATTAAATTCTAAAACATAAAGAGGGTATTAAGATATGTAACTATATAGGAGATATATTTCAATCAATTTCTATTGGGTACGTCGTGACTGATGATCATTGCAACTGCCACCGCCTGCTTTGGGCTTAGCCGCCTTTTTCTCCACCCGACGAGTTCTAAGGGTACGCTACGTAGTAAGAGTGGGATCCCCGCAACTTCAAAGGTCACTACTGAATTCGAGATTTTTATAAAGGCAATGAATGAGCCTCCCTGACTCTCTCATAACTTGGAATCCGATCTTCTCATCCTCTCGAAACTTGTGTCTCGAACAAGTCTGCTTTTGTTGCCGTATACGGGGTATTACTATTTGTTTAATATCCTACGTTATTCCTGACTGCCCGGTACAAGCTGCTTTCAAGTAATCGAACACACAGTATATTTTAGCAGTGTCATTACAAACTGTCACTTTATCGCTGGGTGTCACTACACAAAGTACCTTGGATTAATTAGCTTTTGCCGCCACGATGTATACATCTTCGAACCGAGCTACCGTCAACGGGTACAGCCCACCTTATTCCGCTTTGCATACCTACCTACCTACCAAAGAGACCTAACCTGTTCTATGATCCTCTTTTCCTCAGCAAAGCTAATATTTGTTCTTATCAAGGAATACCCCTCCGACCCAGACTGCAGCCCAGGTCCTGCAACAGAACAGACTCCAACAACACCGAATCCAGTCCTTCCTCACCGATGACGATGGCCCCAATACTATGCTTGCTCAGGCCTCCACATCGGCCGAAGAGTCCATGGCCAAGCATCGTGCTCAAGCATCCCGAAAGATTGACGACATTGTTTCCAAGGTCAAGGGTTGAGATGGCCCTGAAGATGTCTTGAAAACAAATCTTTTTACTGTTCTTGGGTGGTGGAAGAACCCGCCGGTCTACAACATCCCACCAAGTGCGTGCACATGCTCCTCGGATGGGGGGAACAAACTAACAAATGCATCAAGCAGACTTCGACCAAACAAAAAACTGTAAAATAATATACCTCCCCTTCCTCGGGTCCGACAAAAGGGTAACGGGCAAGGCAAGCCGGCGCTTACACCGATCGAACAATGGATCCCGGATCCTGTCGGCCCCGTTGGGTCCGAGGCCCGTGTCAGGTCCAAACCCGCCAGTTCGGATCCGAATGGTCTCAATGGGTGGGGAGCGCCACCGGCCCGTGAAGTTTCATGGGAGGCAACCCCCTGAGTGCGACAGCACCTTGTGCACATCACCTACAAAATTGGGGCTGTGTCTAAGCTGATTGCACTACGCCGCCGCGCATGGGAGGTACTTTCAGCATGGCCGGTATATTTGCAAGTACCTCCCACGTCGCTCAAACCCATTGGCTGCGGAAGCTTGTCAAAGGGTTGCAACCATGTCGGTTGCCTTACATTGTACACACTCCCGTCAGGCACCCCAGCATCGCAGAAGTACTAAACGGATGCGATCCCCCTCGAATCCATCGCAGATCCACCCACCACATTGGTTTTCACCTACACGTTTCCTCCCGTACACGCTTTCTCTTCTCCTCAACGTCGAACAAGCCGAATTCCTCGGAGATTTTCCTACTCTAGACCCGAAGTTTAGTTCAATCCGCAAAGCCACCACCCGCTGCCACAGGCGACGACCCTGTCAAAGCGCTTCTCCTCCCGCCAATCACAAAAGACGTGCATGCGATTCTCCCGCTTGCGACCAGAAAAACGCCAGATCGAGGTGTATATGCCACTGGTAGCAGATTAGCGTTCGTTGGCCGGCGTGGTGGAGATTCACAGTGGGTGGTGGGACTTCTTCAAAGAAACACAACAAAGTTATATGCGTGCTATTAACATTAGATAATACAACAAAAAAATCGAGCCGGCCTTTTGCCCCCTCACCAAACTCCGTGGATATCATGCAGTGCCCATAGTCATTCAATCGTTATACTTTCGTGCTGATCAGCTCATCCGGTCCTGGTCTCCCGCAGAGAGAGGATGTATGGCAGGTTGGTTGAGTCCGTCCGCGTTGCCAGTCTGATGACGGAGCCCGAGGCGGAACTTCCTGATAACCTCGACCGCAAACTGACGCTGGATGAAGAGTGATTGGGGCCATATGCCGGCCGAGTCTGGGCGAAGCTATTCATGCTGGAGGATCTCGATATAGCTCCTGTTAACGTACCCAGTGGAGTAGCTGGCGCGGTGCGGTATTGAGCCCATGTATTTGCAGAGGAGTTGCGCGCGTTTACGGTCGGCGCTCTCCTGTTGTAAGAGCCTTGCGTGCTCTGTGTCGCAGACCGGGATAAGCTGCGTGGAGTGGTAGGATTTGTGGCCATGGGCGCATCGTTGTCAATATCGCTTTCCGAGCCCTCGCTGGGCCCGTCCAGAGGACCGAGGACTGCCGGATCCAACGGTCGCATGCCGCGTAGTATCGCAGCAAATAGATGCATCAATTCGCGGAATTGGGCATTCGACATCGCCCGCGTAGAGAAGCGCGCATATTCATAAGTGGAGAGGAAGTCTGCGGTCGTCGCATTAAGCGAGATGACCCCCAGATCAGCCAGGTGGCCGAGATAGTCGCGCAAACTCATGGGTAGCGGGCGCTGCAGCAAGTTCACTGCATCGGCATCGAGCATCGGTGGTTTTGTGGGAGAGGTAGGATCGGGGGGTGCCAACGTCAGGGCTTTCGCTTCGATGAGGTTCGGCAGCTCGGAGAGGACGGTGCTGTACTGTAGATCCGGTAGGTCCAGCGAGTTGGGCGATGACCAGCCGTAGTGTTCTATTTCGCCCCAAACTGGCCGTCGAGGGGGTAGCGCGATGCCGGTCTCCTTCTCTGTTGTGGCCGGCTTCTTCAGGGTTGGTAGCTGAAAGCGCTTCCTCGCCGCGCTGCCTCCGGAGTTCTGTTTTTCTGCCAATATCTCCTCCATTTCACCACCTAACAAATTCGTCTCGATGCGCGGCCTTGCGTCATAGGCAATGGCTGCGCTGCGCTTCAGTTCGGCCGTGATCATTTCGTGAACCTTTTTGTTCACATCGCCCTTCTCGATGGGAACCCATGGCTTCGGTATGGATGCGAGTATTGTCTTGTTGAGATACAGTCGCGTCGCGTATATGAAGGAGACAATCAGGGTAGTGAGGACCAGAGCGGCGGCAATGATCCATATATTATATGGCTGATTGTTCGAATAGGCCTGATAGATGGTGTCGCCGGGTGTGACAAGGAGGAGAAGGGCAAGGAGGAAGCAAAGGACAAAGTAGAAACTGCCGTATATGAAACGGAATATCGCTCGTGGTGAGAACATCGGAGGCGATTCGAGGGGATTCCCAGCGTTGAATGTTCAACCCGGGAAGCGAGGAGATTGCTGATTGGGGATCATGGACCGACGGGCCAGTGCATGAGGTAATGGCGCAAACTGGAAAAGCATGGCTGGGCGGGGAAAAAGCCTATGCAACGAGGTGGAATGTAGCTGTAGCTAGGCTAAGAGGGAGAAGGATGAAGTCTAGACATGACATAGGAGAAAAAAGGGTATAGTACGATGGAGCGATAGAATGGAGGTTGGTAAAAGGCGTAGACAAGAAAAAAGGTGGAGGTTGCACACGCAGTTGCGTGAGGGTGACGACGAAGAGGGCGGCGGGACTGGCGAGGACGGGAGCGAGAGGTTGGTTGGTTGGGGCGTTCATTTTGTTTTATTTCAGTCCTTCCCGGCCACAAATGGAAGCACAAAGCTCAGGTGGGGATTCCTCCATGCGGACCCCTGTAGCTTCCAGGCTTTCCGTGCTCTATGTAATCCACGATCCGGTTTAGCGGCACCAGCGGGTGGGCAGCAACGGGCACTAACTTTTTTGCATTCCAGGCGCTCAAAGGCCACAATGGAACTTGACGGAATGGGAAGAGAGGGCAGTCCTCGGCATGAGAAAGCTATTTTTTTCACACCTGCCGCGACGCCGCGTTGGCTTGGGAGAGGCATGAGCCCATGACTAGTGTATGCTGTCTTACACGTGCGGCGGTGCCCAATCGCGGGCAACCAATTGTCTCACATCATTGCTCTCAACTAGGCTAAACCGACGGACAGACGCAGCCAGGGCCGGCTTGTGCACCTCACTCACATGTGATGAGACTGTCAGTCAGTCTGTTGATACATCCAGGATCGTGTTACAATGTTTTACTGCCTTGTGGAATCTATGATACACGTCGTTATGCCGTTATGCATGTGTCTGTTTTGCCTACCAAACGCCCCTCACAATGTACGGTTGTGCCGCGATACCACGTATGCCAAAGCCTGCATCTAGCGGGCCTGCTGCATCTCGGGTGCCTGGGGCCAGACTTCACTCGTAGGTGCCTGTTGAGCTGCGGCCTCCTTGGCCAATCTGATATCCGTGCGAGTCAACCTCAAGTCGCTACTGTAAAGTTCAAACTCTGCAATCACATGGGCCAAGCCCGTCTTCAAGGCCGCAATCACCGCTTCGACCTCTGGTGCAACCCTCTTCTTTTCGACATCAGTCCAGTGAACGGGGAAATTGTCCACGAATGCCTCGATCTTGCCGATGACTGTTGTAAAAGTACGGATGATAGTGGGAACATCCTTGTGGATCCTGCCGTACTTGTCCTCGGTGAGACTGTGGACGGCCAACAAGCTAAGCACGTCAACGGCGTTAACGTACTGGCTCAGCTCCGAGTATGGGGTTCCGAGGATGACGGCAGTGAGGCGGTTGCGGAACTCTTGGCGGAAGATCCAGCCCATGTACTCGTTACTAATCACCTTCAGAGCCCACGTCTGGAATTGGTTCATCAGTTGAGGAGACGACAGTGCCTCTTGCTGTTCCTTGCTCAGAACCTTGTCACGCGCACCCCTCAGTGTCTTCTTTGCGATAGGGCTCAGCTGCGACACTGGTGAATGGCCGGGGTGGCTTCCCACCTGGGTGAGGGCCTTTTCCAGTTCGCCGCGCACCGTCTTGTTCGCAGGTTTGCTGGTAAAGATCGGATCTTCCTTCAGCGGCGCGGAGGACCGAGCTCGAACCTCGGCAGGTGCCGCTAGGGCAGCCGGTACAACCGCGGGCTTCCCGTATTGATCGATTCTTTGTTCAATGTTCTTGATGGTAGTGAGGCAGTAAACAAATATTTGAGACCATGTAGAGCCATCTTTCCGGTCGATATCTTCGAAGACGGCCTTGCGCCTCCCGTCGTCACTGCGAGAAATGTATGCCAGTTCCCAGAGAGCGAAGCACTATGTCTGTTAGCTCGAGCGTTGATGTAGGCTTTTGAATGAACACTTACCCGAACGGAGTCCTTCTTGCTCTTAAGACCATTGAGAAGACTGCCATTTGGATCCTTGGATTCGCTCGTGAGGGGCTTGCCATTCTTGAGCGGCGCCTTGACCATGAACGTCGAGAACGCATGGTTGGCCATCTTCCAGATGGCGGTGATCAAGAAGCCCGCAACGGCGCATCGGTACATCAAGTAGATGTCTCCAGGCCACTGGGGAGGTAGCATGTTGGTTTTGGGAAGATTGTAAAAGGGCCGCAAGAAGAACAACGCCCAACCCCAAAAGAATGACCTCAATGCCATGAAGTAGACCACTCCAGTGACAAGAGTGACACTTATACTTCTGACACTAGACTGGATGAGGATCGCGGGGACTTCGCCAAGGACCTTATTCAGCGATGCATCCCCGGAAACCTTGACTTCGCCTCCCTCTGACCGCGCAACACCGATGATGAGCTTGTCTTGGTCCTGATAGAAGTGGAAAATCGACTGAACAGCGGCGCTGACGGCCATGTAGCAGAAGAAGATCAACGTTCTCTCGTTCACCCTGGCACGGTCCCCACTGTAGTATGTGACCCATCCCAAGTTGGCGCTCTCCGGCAGAGCCCACAAGTAAACATGACTGAACAGCGCGCTCGAGAAGCCGTAGAAGAGGAAAGCCTCGAGGGTGTGGATGCTAAAGAAGAATTTTGCGAACGCGTGGAAGGTCGAGTTGGAGGCGCGGGTGCCGACGTGGTACTGGGCGATGCGCAGGATCAAGATCGAGAGACCGCAAGTGAAGAGGAACAATGTTCGGAACCCCGCGGGGCCAATCGGAAACCAAGACCAAAAGTCTACGAGACACAAGTTAGCGGGAAGCTTCGCGAACTTGCATCGTGAACGTCCACCACTCACAAGAGCTCCAGCCCGAGAGTAGGATGGCTTGCAAATAAGAAATGGCAAGCAGGATAGTTGCGGTAGAAGAAAATCGCCTGTGCAGCGCAGGCTGCAGAAAGTCCTTATACGGAGCCCTTCTGACTGTTGCCGGTGCCATGCTGATGGTGCATGGTCATCGAGACCGAGTGTTTTGGGCGAGGTTGGCGAGGCTGCACTTGGACTTGTGCCGTGGCCGGGATCTGGAAGTAAATAATGTAAAAATCTCCCGTGCAACAACACTCCAGCTACCGTTCGAGCTTAGGTTGCGTTAGCACCAGCCTGAGGTGGAAACTGACTGAGCCACATATATCACGTGGAGATAACACAATCAGGCACCACAATTGCGAGCTGCAGTTGATTGGACAGAAAGTGGCACCCTTACGTAGTGCTCCAGCCACAGCCGACGACGACATGCGGATTCCTGACCATCATTACGAGCCTATCTTCCCTAGACATCTCAATCTATACTCGCTGGTCAAACAGTGTCATCCGTAAATCCATTCGGCGCCATTCCTTTCCCCTTCTTTGTGAATTTTCTGCACTTGAAATCGCAATCATGTCGTACGACCAGCTATCTTCGCTCGAAGCCGGCCGATCGGGTCGTCAAGGCGGATACACCGATGATCCCGAGTTCAAGCAGCTTCAGTCCCAGTTGACCAACAAGATCTTCAACTTGCGACGCAACATCCAACAGCTGACTACCGACGTTAACATACTCGGAACGAAGCGCGACACACCCCGTGTTAGAGAACGAGTCCACGATCACCTCGAAAAGACCCGCGACTTGTGCAAGGAGATTGGAGACGGCGTCAAAAAGTTGCAGACGTGGGATGATCTGACGGTTCGTATTCCACAAACTACTTGCGCATAGACTCATACTAACTAATTATGCGTACAGAAACAACAAAAATACGACCAATCCCGAATTTCGACAGACTTCCAGAATGTCCTGCAAGAGTTCCAGGATATACAGCGCAAAGCACTCGAGAAACAACGAGCGTCCGTTACAGCTGCGCGCGCGGCGACCGAAGGAGAGGCAGCAGATTCGGCGGCTGGGACTGAGGAGCGCCTCGAGCTGCAACAGCAGCAGGAGGTGAATCGCTTGGCGTCACAGGATGAAGTGGACTTCCAGGAAGCGCTCATTGTCGAGCGTGAAGAGGAGATCCGGAATATCGAACAGGGTGTTGGTGACCTCAATGTCTTGTTCAGACAAGTGGCTCAGATTGTGACCGAACAAGGCGAGCAGCTCACATCGATCGCGGATAACGTAGAGGATGTGCGCGACGATACTCGGGGCGCTCAAATAGAGCTCCGACAGGCTGCGAGACACCAGAAAGCGGCTCGCAATAAGGGGTGCTGCCTGATGCTTATCCTGGCAGTCATCCTCACCATCATCATTCTTGCGATAGTATTGGACTAGCACGGCATGGGGTATCGGCGGTTTCTCTGTTTGATTGCTGTTTCTACATTGGCGTTTTGGTGGCGTGTCGTTACTATTGTACATCAAGGCCTAAGTACAGCTGAGGATATTATCTGAGACGGCATGTGTGTCTTCATCCACCACATTTTCCATCGCTCCTCCAGACTACCAGCTCCGCAAGCTGAAGCGCTCTGTTACAGGAGCCGGCTGAAACACGTGCTCTTTGCCGTAAAGCTTCTCCATGATCTTGCCAGAGATCTGGCCGAATAACATTGATGAAATCCAGTAGACAAAAATGCCTGCTGGCAAGTTGAGACAAACCGCGGGGATAAGGATGGCCGTGACCAGCAGACCCCTGCGAAGACGAACTCGCCATTTCAACCCTGGGGGCATGAACTCCTGAGACTTTCCAATGTCGAAAACGTGATTTCTCATCTTGCCTGTAGGGAACATTGACCAGCCAAGGGTGCCCATCAACATTACAGGCAACAATAGTGTTGGATCAGCTACCGTGAGGTCGGTAAACCACAATATGCCGCCATTTGCCATTTCTTCCGCAACCGAGCTCAGGGAGTCCAGACTGCTAGATACGGCCTCGGTGGACGACGATGCTGCTGTTGATGCCTGTTCCGACACAGAAGCTGAGGCGACACTGGCTGAAGTCTCATTGTCCTTGTAGTTACCAGTAAGCAAGGACAGGATTCCGCCATGGGAACCACAAAGACGCCTCAGAGCCTCGGACATTAAGTACCACACGGGGACGCCGAGTGCTGGCGCCCAAGTCTTCCAATCCTGGCACCCTCGCTCCTTGAGTAATCTTTTCCGAATCTGAGCCACTTGTATACTCCGTGAGAGACGGGTCCCCTGAACTTCGTGTCGCCAGGCATATTCAAAGGGTGGGACTCTTCTCTGTTGGCGAATGATGCGTCTAGCGACCATCTGAAGTGGCATTCTGGCTAAAGCGACAATCAAGGCCGAAAAGACGATGGTGCCTGTCCAGTTTCCCGTCGCGTTCATCGAGTGCAGCGAGACGACAGCTTGCGCGGTAGCTTCAACGCTGCTGTTGACGAAGGCGCCCACGCTGAAGTTTCTGGCACCGATAGTCTGTTTCGGGATAAGGTGTGGGCGAAGAGAGGCAGTGAGTGGCCTTGCTGATGAGAAACCGACGAATTGGCGCAAGCCAGGCGTCATGGCGCAACGCGCCGCTTTCAATGAAGCCATGATGAGATGTTTATACGTTCATCAGAGGGCATGTAAAGGTTTTCCCTCCTCGAAACCTTGCGGTAGCAGAGAGTGGCCCAAAAAAGCGAATGAGACGGGCTTGTGAAAGATCGTCGAGGAGCTGAGGTTGGAATTTGTCAACAGGTGAGGATGAGAATGAGACTGAATATACAAGATTGACATTGGACTCTCAGTGGTCAATTGGAAGCGGCGCCAGCGGCTTGGTGCACGGGCCATATCAATCCAACGGGCGCGGCTTGAGCGGATCTGCTAGCTCTGCCAGCTCCACCTTCCCGGGCAGCGCGTCACAAGTCAGCGAACTCCCAGCTCGCCGGGGCCGGAAAAGACCTGGACCCTTTAGAGGTGGGGGGTTAACTGCCCACTGTACCGCTGCAGCTTCCCCCGGCCCATTTTCTAGCTTGCAGTACAACCTGGCCAGTTTGTGAGTCCCCTACCTCACCACAGCATCCCACGACGTCAACGGGCAATGCTGAAGCTGGACCTGACAGCCGCCCCCTTCGGCTTCGACTCGCTCTCTTCTCCTCCCTCGACACCGCCGCCCGGTTTGCGAATTTAAGAAAACAAAAACTATACCTACTTCCGCCAGTCCTCCGATTCCTCCACACCCGATGCCCGAAACCTGCACAGCGCCGTCTGGGCAGAAGCCCTTCTCTTTCGGCCTCGATCCCTGGACCCTAGCCTACGTCGTTGTGCCGATCATCGCTTTCACTCCGATAGCAACCTTCATCATATTTCCCCTGGTGATAAAAGGTATCGGTTCCCTACTGGGCTGGTACCTTCGAAAAAAGACAGAGGGAAGGAGAGCACAGCTTTTGGAGCTCAAGACTGCTGAGCAGCAGAAGTTCACGCAAACCGCCCAACAGAATTCAGGTGGCGGAAAGAACATTGCGCAGACAAAAGCTTCGGGGAGCGCTGAAAAGAAGGATGCTGAGTGGACTGGAGTCGTCGGCTTTTTCCACCCGTTCTGGTACGCTTGAGATTTATCGTGAAAGTCGCAAAAAGCCAGCCACTAACAGTTCAAAGTAACGCTGGTGGAGGAGGAGAGCGAGTCCTTTGGGCTGCGATCAAGACGACACAGGAGAGATACCCCAACGCACTCTGCGTTGTATACACTGGCGACCATGAAGTGAACAAGCAGGCCATGCTCGCACGCGTCAAGGTTTGTCTCCCACTACATCACCCCCCTTTCCTCCTGCCAACACAATTTCTCAGACCCGGTTCAACATCGACCTGCACCCTCCCACTGTCAACTTCCTATACCTGAGCACGAGACATCTCGTTCTGGCTCCGACATGGCCTCACTTCACCCTCCTTGGGCAGTCGCTTGGATCTGTCGTATTGGCATGGGATGCCTTCCAGCTCCTTGTCCCCGACATCTTCATTGATACCATGGGCTATGCTTTCTCTCTGGGGTTGTGCAAGTTGCTCTTCCGCAGAGTTCCTACTTGCGCCTACGTCCACTACCCCACAATTTCGACTGACATGCTGGAATCACTTGACTCCAAGGCCGAGACTGGAAGCCAGGGCGTCAATGCTGGCAAAGGCGTTGGTCTTCGAGGCAAGGTCAAGAAGTTCTACTGGAAAATGTTTGCGGTTTTGTACTCTCGGGTTGGATCTACCGTTGACATTGTCATGACAAACTCAACCTGGACCCAAGGTCATGTCCAGAAACTTTGGGGTCCCTACCGCCAGGCCAAGGGAAGAAACAACCCCATCGCCGTCAATTTCCCTCCATGCGCTGTTGAAGAGCTCGAAGAAGCAGTGGAGGTATCTGAGGCTAGTGAGCGGAAGCGAGAGCAGGCCTTGGTCTACATTGCCCAGTTCCGCCCCGAGAAGAATCACACCCTCGTCATCCAAGCTTTCGCCGACTTCCTCAACACTAAAACTGAAGCCACAAAAGAGGCGAAACTGGTCCTCATTGGTAGTGTCAGAGACGACCACGACTCCAAGCGAGTGTATAAGTTGCGCCTATTAGTGAATGAGCTCGGCATTAGAGATCGGGTCGAGTTTCACCTAGACGCTTCGTGGCCCGAAATTCTAGACTGGCTGCAAAGAGCTTCTGTTGGCGTCAATGGCATGTGGAATGAGCACTTTGGCATTGGTGTCGTCGAGTACCAGGCCGCCGGTCTGATTTCTGTCGTCCACGCCAGCGGTGGACCCAAGCTGGACATTGTCATCGAAATCGACGGCCAGCCCACTGGTGAGTGTTGTTTGCCTGGCTTGACTGTGAAGATGAAGACTAACCCGATTACAGGGTTCCATGCCACAAATGTCAAGGAGTTCGCCGAGGGCTATGAAAAGGCCCTCGCCATCAAGGACCCGCTCCCTGTTCGCCTGCGCGCGCGCCAGTCGGCCAAGCGCTTCACTGAGAGCGAGTTCGATGAGAAGTGGATCGCGCAGATGGAGAAGTTGGTGGCTATGACGTTCTAGATGCATTTGTTACTCTTGCTGGCATTTCTATATGTACTTGATAGACTCGAGGATACCCCTTTCCTTCAGATAACCTCAGTAAACCTGGCTTATGTTGCACGAAAATCTCATTATCTAGGTAAAACGTGAGGACGAGGTACTCATTTCGTTCTTAAACCGTAAATGCGCCACTGTTCTTCTGACGCGGCTCGCTCGCGGCCTCAAACACGCCGTTTTCGAACTTGATGCCCTGCACGGCGCTGCGACCCTCGGGCACCCACGTCACGTCGTGGCCCTTGTCGAGCATGCTCGCGACGGTGTCGTTGTCAAAGCCGTACTCAAATGTCACGGTGTTGGGCATGAGCTGGTCGTGCAGGCGCGGCTCGCGGAGGGCGTGCTTCATGGTCTGGCCATGCTCGAGGACGTTCCAGGTGACCTGGGCCGTGGAGCTGATGATACGGGAGCCGCCCGCGGCGCCGACGGTGACGAAGAGGGTGCCGTCTGGGTGTTCTACGATGACGGGGGTGATGGAGGAGAGGGGACGCTTATTGGCGCGGATGAAGTTTGCGGGGGAGGGCTCGAAGCCGAAGGCGTTGCGGACGCCGGGGATGGAGAAGTCGTTCATCTCGTTGTTGCTGATGGTTTGTTAACGAGGATCGATCGCGGAGAGGAACAATGGTGAAATAGGGGATTAGGAACTAACAGGATTACACCAGACAAGGGGTCCATAATCTGGGCGCCAAAGAGGAGGTTGACGGTCGAGGTCAGGGAGGTAGCCATGCCGGATTTATCCGCCGTCACAATATGTGACGTCCCGAACCCTTCGCTCGAGTACAACCCCTGGGGATCGTACCGCTCGACCGGCTGCGTCTGGTTATCCAAGATCCTACCGCGGATATCCTTGGCCGTGGCCTCGTCGATGAGGGTATCCTCAAAGGGCCCGATGCCCTCAACAAAGTCCGGGTCCCCGAGCAGGGACCGGGCGCCGTAGGCGAAGCGCATCGCCTCGTCGAAGCGGTGGATGCCCAGCTTGGTGTCGGCGCTCTCGGCCGGGTCGAACTGCTCCATGATTTTGAGGGTGTTTAGGCAGACGGCGCCGCTGGCGGGGGAGCCGACGGAGGTGAGGCGGTAGCCGCGGTAAGTGATGGAGAGGGAGGGGCGGGTGACGACCTTGTAGGATGCGAGGTCGTCGAGGGTCATTGTGCCGTTTGTGGCGCGGACTGTCGCAACTATTGATTCTGCTATCGGACCAGAGTAGAAGGCTTCAGGTCCTTCTTCTGCGATCTTGGCGAGGGTGCTGGGTCGTTTTGTCAGTGGGAGGTGAGTTTTACTAGACGGGAGAAGGGGGTGGAGTGAGTATGTGACTTACGCTCCATAGCGTTTGCGGTAGATGGTGTCGCCGAGTTGGAGGAGTGTGCCTGGTCAGTGTAAGATGACTGGCGCTCGACTTACATCTGATGGATGTTTGGGACTCACCGTTGGGAGCGAACTCCTCGGCCCATACTGGATTTTCAACAAGGAAGTTCCACTGCCCTTTGATAGCGGAGTTCATGTACCGCACCAGGTCCTCAGAGACTCTGAAACCCGTTGTCGCCAACCGCGCAGCTGGAGAGACAACACTCTTCCAGGGCAGGGTCTTCAGGACCACAAAGTCAGTGACAAGAAACTCTCACCTCTTTGCAAGCTGGTCACTTACACCGTACTTCTTGTGGATGTATTCCAACCCACGGACCTCGCTCGGGACGCCGACGGCCAGGCCGCCGTAGACACTACCTGCGATGTTGCCCTGATACATATCCTGGAAGGCTGCAGCCGGCGCGGCCTCTCGAAAGTCGACAGACTCGTAATTCCCACCGGCATCTCTGATTACGACGAAACCACCACCGCCGAGACCCGAGTGGTACATGCCCACGGTTCCAACACAGAGAGTCGTACCGACGAGCGCGTCCACGGCGTTCCCCTGTATGCAGGTCAGTCTTGTGTAACCTCGCAACATTTGTCTCTCGAGAGAGGTTTCTGAAGAAAAAAAAAACGCGTGACAAAACTTACACCACGCGCAATGAGATCGCGGCCTATCCTGCTGCATTCTACTGACTCACTCGCGACGGCGCCAGAGTTGCCGCCACTAGGGTCAAAGACGAATTCCGGTATCGCTGCGGCCGAGGCCAAGCGGCACTCGGCCAGCAGAAGCAGAGAGGCGGAATACTGCCATATTGACCAAGGAGAGGTCTCTGTTCTCAGTTAGTTTCTTGTGTTTACTCCTTGAAAAGTGCTGATCACTTGTGACGAATGGGATGAACTCACTCATCTTGGATAGGCGATTACGGTACGAAAGGCCGGGCGGCGGTCTGTGGACTCCAACACGGGACGGTGCCTCCGAGACACAACGGCCGAAACTCCGATAAGAGATAGCCAAGCAAAAGGGAGACTAGGTACCTTTACTGGGGGAGGTAAGCAACTCTCGATGTTGCGTTGCTTATCTCTCTCGATAGACAGGCCTCTCTTCCCAATGGCCAAGATCACCAAGACGAGTGTTGTGAGTAAGCTGGAGGCATTTAAAGCAGCCCGTTCCGCTGTCGGGGGGGGGGGAAAGGGCCATGACTTATTACTCCTACTGGGTCCCCAGCGATTGCGACAGACCAAGTCCCTATTACCAACTCGTCCAGACCCAGATCCGGCAGGCACACTGATAAGCGAGAACTGGGGGTGGGTGTGCCGCATGATAGCGGTCATGCTTGATGCGGCCCCACACCGCGACCGAGGGACGCCAATCAGCGACGGGCGAATTAAGTAATTCTCAGCAACTTTCAGACGGGCGACGACTTTTTTTCCTCACAGAGCGCCGGTCACAAGCTTCAATATCGGTGTTGGACTCATACTATTTTAACTTACACCGGACTTGGTTTCTGAAAGTCATATTGTAGCACTAGACTGGTGAAGGTCGGTCTTATCTACCAATTGACTAATACTCAACATTGGCTTGAGGCATTCAATGGGTTTGCCCCTGCGGCTCCTTCCGAGACTCACTTCACCTTCACTCCGTACGGCTCTCAACGCCATCACACCTATCCGGGTATCAAGCTCGGCGGCGGCTCACCAGCCACTCATTTGCAAAATCAAAATGTCATCAACCACAGAGGCGTCTCAAACAGCGGGACCACCCGCATCGAAACTCTCACAAGAGCTCCCTTCAAAGCCGGCAGCAGCAGGAGAATCTTCTCAGCAGGGTCAGGGACAAGGCCAGCAGGGAGGCGCGCAGAAGAAATGGCAGAACGGCGGCAACAAGCCCAGCGGCAACAAGCGCCCGTTCCAGGGCGGCCAGACAGGCGGGAGGGGCAAGGACAAGCAGCGCAAGTCGAAGCGTGAGAGGAACATCACCGAGGGGTCTTCTGAGGAGGTCTTGGCGTTCGACGTGCAAGCGCTCATCGCATTGCGCAACGAATCACTTCCCGAAGCGCCGGCGCCGGCGGCGGATGAGGAGGTAAAGGGCGGCGAGAGCGAGGAAACCGAGACCAAGACGCCGTCGCAGCCTCCCCTTCCGGAAACCTTTACCGAAATCGAAGTCGAAGTCCACGCAATCTCCTCGACCGGAGACGGCCTCGGCTTCCAGGTCGGCTCCGCCTCCACGCAGGTCTACGTCGTGCCCTTTGTCGCACCCGGCGACATCGCAAAGGCGAAAGTCATCAGGCACGTCCGCGAAGAGTCCTACTCGGTAGCCGACTTCGTCTCCGTCGTAAAGGCCGGCCCCCTCCGCGACGACGCCCGCGTGAACTGCAAGTACTTTTCCCAGTGCTCCGGTTGCCAGTTCCAGATGCTCGACTACAACACCCAGCTCGCGCACAAGCGCTCCATCGTCGACAAGGCCTACAAGAACTTCTCCAACCTGAACCCGGACTTGGTCCCCTCCATCAGGGACACCATCGGCAGCCCCCTGCAGTACGGCTACCGCACCAAGCTCACGCCGCACTTTGACGGTCCTCCTGGTCACCACAAGAGGAACAAGCCCAAGCAGGCGCTGAGCAAGGTCCCCGAGATCGGCTTCAACGCAAAGGGCCGCCGCCACGTCTTGGATATCGAGGACTGCCCCATCGGAACCGACGCCGTCCGCCTGGGGATGAAGCGCGAGCGCGAGCGCATCGCCAGGGACTTTGGAAACTTTACAAAGGGCGCCACGATCCTGCTCCGCGAGAGCACGAAACGCTACCCCAAGAAGGTCATTGGTACTGGCGGCAGCGCTGCGACGGAAGGACAGCAACAAACCACCACAGAACCGGAAGATGAACCCCCCGCGGACACCCCCTCAGATGCGGTGCGCGTCGAGGCAGACACCCACGTCGACATCAAGACCTGCCTCTCGGCGACGGGCGCCATGTCGAGCGAGTACATTGACTCGTACCTCTTCACCAACCCCGCAAACTCCTTTTTCCAAAACAACAACTCCATCCTGCCCAAATTCACCCAATACATCCGCGACCACGTCATGCCCCCCCTGGGCCCCCACCGCGACCGCATAAAGTACCTCATTGACGCCTACTCGGGCTCCGGTCTCTTCACAATCACCCTCGCCTCCCTCTTCACCGGATCCACGGGCATCGACATTGCCAAAGATTCCATCGAGTGCGCACGCAAGAACGCCAGACTCAACAACCTGCCCGAGTCGCAGTGCAACTTCCTCGCCGCCGACGCGCCGCAGCTGTTCAAGCAGGTCACCTACCCGGCCGACGAGACCGTCGTCGTCATCGACCCGCCGCGCAAGGGCTGCGATAATGACTTCTTGAGCCAGCTGTTGGCGTTCGGGCCGAGGAGGGTCGTGTACGTCAGCTGTAACGTCCACACGCAGGCGCGTGATGTAGGCGTGCTGGTTCGCGGGGACGGTGGCGACGGGACAAAGTACGAGATTGAGAGCATTGTGGGTTTCGACTTCTTCCCGCAGACGGGACATGTCGAGGGTGTTGCGGTGTTGAACAGGATCGAGAAAAGTGCTTGATTACCGGTTTGTTTATTGGGACGGGTTTGGATAGACAAAAAGGGAGGGAAAAAAAATAACGTGATACCAGCGTTGGTCAGTGTTAATTTCAAAACTCAACAGCCACCGAAATTCAGACGTGGTTCAGGATCATTCTTCAATCATTCTTTCCAGGTCTTTTACCGTTTTATTTCGTGCTCTTCTTGTCTGTCTACTCATGTATGACGTTCTGTCTGTACAAAAAAGGAGACCGGGTCTTTAGCCCTCCAATGTCCGATTATCCTCGAGCAGGATCTTCAAGGCCTGCACCAAGACTTCAACCACCTCCGCTCGCCGACTCTTCTTGGCCGCCTCCTTGAGCCCCTCGAGACCGCCCTCTTCGATAATCTTCTTCCGCGCATTAGCACCAGGCGCACCCTCGGCAGCGACCATGTTGTAGATGATGAAGCCGGCGCGGTGCCGCAGGTCCTCGTTGTTGTCGGCGCACATGTCGAGAATGACCTTGACACCCCGCTCTCGCTCCACAATGGCCTGGACAACGTTCTCGTGGCCCGTCAGCGCTGCGAGCGCACCGCCTGCTGCGCTTCTCGTGCCCTCGTCCTCAGCGTCCGCCAAAGCGAGGAGAATGTGCAAACGGCCCTTTGCTGCGGGGCTGCCGTCGGCGTACAATGCCAGACCTTCCACAGCCTGTACGAGGTTACATATGAGCTCGACAGCGGCCTTTGACACGCGGGGATTCGAGGAAAGCAGTTGATCTTCGATTTGTGGCCAAGCTACCCGGATGATGGCTCGTCTTGTGTCGAGATCATCGATTGACGCGAGGTTGGTGAGCGCCATCAACGCCTCGAACGTTGGGAGAAGGTCGCGGTGCTCAGCAACTGGGTCTGTGGGAATGATGGAAATGAGGGGCCGGATCGCGGAGCTTTGTGGATTGGAGCGGCTTCCACCGAAAACGAGAGCCGGGTTGGTGCTGATGAGAATGCGTGCCAGAGCTTGCGCGGCGGTGCGACGGCCCGCGGCTTCGGACTCCGGGAGCAAGGCCCAAGCAGCTAGAAGAAGCTTGACGGCGCCTTGCTGAGCAAGCTTTCCACGCAAAGATGTCGTAACTGAAAGAGAGTATATGATAGCGACAGTGAGTGATAGTGACGCTGCCGAACCACCCTTGCTATGGGTCACTAGAACCGGAGTGACGCCGGCCTCGAAAACCCGGCGGCAGCGTTCTGCAACGTGGTCGTTGTCATTGAGAGGATCGGGCCCAGCAGATTTTCCAGCAGCGGCCGCATATGCCTTGAGCTGGTTCATCTTCTTTTCCTCCTCCGACAGATTGGGCTGGTATCTGGTGAGATTCACCAGGATACTGAGCGCTCCGTATGTCACGGGCGATTTCGCCGGGGCGTTGGCTAGCGTGTTGACCAGTTTCTTGAGGAAATCCGCATTCCCTGACAGCTTTTCCTTAATGGCCGGCTGGATCGATGCGTATGCCAGCCCTTCGATAGAATGTCGGTGTCCATGGTCGTCTTCGCTCAGGAGCATGGAGGTGAATCTCGTTGAAAGTTCCTCGATGGTAGTGATTGCAGGTGATATCTTCCCTTGTCCGTCCTCATTCAGCGCCGGCGCCGTGGGCACTGCCTTCGTTCTGAAGTCAGTCAGATCTGTGATTGGACGGCTTCATGTCCGTTTGTTGATGAATACCATACCCTCAATTTCGCCAGGATGACCGCTGCCAAGTTTTGGACCTGCTCCGAGTGCTTGCGCATGGCGACCGACCCCTCCTTGACAGAGTACTCCGGGTCCTGTGACATTTCCTTGGCAATCTCCTCGGGATCCTGGTCAACGACCTCCTCCAGCCACTCGGTACAGTACTTGTTTACTGCATCACGGCACTGCGAGTTCATGCAGGCGGCGTTGAGCATCTCCAGGCAGGCGGTCTCAACCTTGCGGCTCTTCCACTTCCGTCTCATGAGCGGGCCAAGGGAGCTCAGGAAGCCTTCACTGAGAAACAGCTCAGACGTAAGATCTGGAACGACCGGGAACGTGGAAGCAGCGACACAAAAGGCGACGATGTAGTCGTCGTACGTGCCCCTCTTAATCTTGTCGAAGAAGAAGTTGGAGAGCTTCTTGGCACCGTCGTCGCCGGCGGCCTTGAGATAGGCGGATGTGGCGATGACGGCGTGTGCGCGGACAATCTCTGGTTGTCTCATATCGAGATATGTCAAGATGGTGTCGACGCAATCACCATCGATGAGTTTGCATATCGTGGGCGCACCGGTCTTGGCCTGGATGAGTTGAAGATCCTCGTTCAGCAGCCTGGTGAGCTGGTCGAGGTCGCGAATGGTTTCATCGTCCTCCTGGCCGCCCTCCATTAATCGCGCAAGGACGAGGAGGGTCTCATCCTCTCTCGGAGGCGCCGTAGTGGGAGCGGACGCTTGGGTGACGGCGGCCATTGTCGATGCGGATCGCTCAGGCTGGAAAGCTGTTGAGCGGGCTGTACTGTGATAATGTATACTTTGGTACCACGTCAAGGTGTTGTTGAGTGAGTGAGGAACGAACAGACCTGGGATGGATAGGAAAAGCCTAGAACAAAACGGGGCGGAACGGTGATATAAGTAGGTACCTTGCTGCGGTGGTTAGGGCGGCGGCGGCGACAGCGGACTATGCGATGCGTTGGTCACAAGGTCCGGCGATGACAGAGGCGTGGAGGAGGATGTGGTAGGGTTGATTGCTAAGATAAGAAATCCATGGCAGCAGACAACCTACCCCAAAGAGGTTTCACAAGTGAGACTTGTCACTGGTCAGTGGGCGTTGATGGGCAGTGGCAGTCCAGCAAAAAAATTGGGAAAGTAAAAGGTGCACAGCGCAGGCGGTTATTACCTAGTACCGAGTACGTACTCGAGCCGCCGCGTTTTCATACGGGACCTCTCTCGGGCTTACCTTGGGGCGCCTTATTCAGTGCCGCCGTGCCGCCCAAAGGCCCAGCCCGTCCGGGTAAGGACTGTCAATGGAATGGAACCAGGAAGGTTTCCCACGTCTGGGCGGGCTCTGGGCGGGCGCCGGGCGGTTTCTGTTCAACCGTCAGCTCCTCGTACGGATACAATGGACGGGCTGACTGTTGCAATTTGCAGTGCTCCCGTCTTTTTTTAGGTGCCACGGGTGCCCCTCCTTGGCTACCATTTGTAGCAGACCACACCCCCTACACGGTATACCCTGCCCTCGACGAACCACGACTTCCAAAGGAACTCTCAACCATTGGAACCCAACGCTCAGGTACACCGCCCGCTACGCATGAAGTCGACCGACTGGGCCTTCCCACGTCTCTTGGCTTGTTGAATAAGGTGCTGCCCATATAGTACCTACGTCATGCTCAAGTCAGGCACATCTTAATAAGTCAGACTTCGAGTGAACAACGAGTCCCCATTGCAGGGGAGGAGCGAGGCGGGGTTGCTTGAATGCACTTCGCAGATTGGCATGGAAGGTGCTACCTCACCTCGAGCTTGCCTCACCAAACCCAACTCTCGCGAGCGCATGCGCGTCGATCGTCTGTCACTCAACGCGCCCCCCACGTCAGACGCGCGCCTGGAGTTGCTGCTGCTTCTCCCTCGGACTCTCGGAGCCTCTTCCCCGTCATCCCCGGCCCCGTGCCATCCAATCAAACTTTGGCAGGTTTGCGTGCCGTCCAGTGTATGGAGCACAGACCACTTTGGAGCCCCAGGCACATGGGTTATGTATATTTCTGGACGAAAGCTAGCTCCGTTGCCTCACCACACCTCACCCAAACCCCTACCTGGAAGAGAGAAGAAAAAAAGAGCAGCTCGCCCTGTTTTCTTGTGAATGATAGTGCGCCAAGAGACCAATTCCATTCGCTTGGCCTAGAGGACGTAGGATCGGAGGGGGTCCGAATCGAACGAGGTCCCCTCGGACAGTCAATACAGCGTACAGACTTCCAACACCTCGTACAGCAAACCGCCGATGCTCCGCCCGTGACACTTTCTCGCGAACAGGCGCCCGCCGCCCTTCGAGGTCATCGTCGTCTCCCGCATCCTCCGCCATGAACGCCGTCGACGCCTCGGATCACTACGAGGTCTCCTCGCACGAGGCCACCCCCTCCCTCCTGTCCATCGTCATCGACACAAACCCTCGGGCCTGGGCCGCCCTCAATGACATCCTCCCGCTCTCCAAGGCCATCGCCAATATCCTAGTCTTCGTCAACGCCCACCTCGCCTTCAGCAATGCGAACCAAGTCGCCATTTTCGCCTCCCACAGCAACCGCGCAGTATGGCTGTACCCGTCAAAGCCCGGCGCTGCAACAAACGGTGCTACACACTCTGAAGATGTCGCAATGACGGGCGTCGACTCCTTTGCGCCGACGCCAAACCAGTCCTCAGCCAACAAGTTCCCCCAGTTCGCTCAGATCGAGGCTGCCGTCATGTCCGCAATGCGCCAGCTTGTCGACGCAACCACCGAGGCCGACCTGGCCTGCACGACGACCCAGCTCTCCGGCGCCCTCACTCTCGCCCTCACCCACATCAACAAGACCTCCCTCTCCCTCAACGAGACGAACAAGGCCCCCGACGCCGCCCGCCCAACCTCGTCCGCCCTTAGCCGCCTCCGCGCCCGAATCTTCATCCTTTCCGTCTCTGACTCGGAGCCCGTCCAGTACATCTCTACCATGAACGCCGTCTTCGCCGCCGCCCACTCCCAGATCCCCATCGACACCCTAGCCCTCTCCGGCGACGCAACCTTTCTCCAGCAGGCAAGCTACATCACCGACGGCACCTTCATGCAGGCCGCCAGCCCCCGCGGCCTCCTCAGCTACCTCATGTTCGCCTACTCCGCCGATGCCGAAGCCCGCTCCTCCCTCATTCCGCCCACCCATCACACCGTCGACTTCCGCGCCGCCTGCTTCTGTCATGGCCGCGTCGTTGACACGGGCTTCGTCTGCAGCATCTGCCTCAGCATCTTCTGCGACGTGCCCGAAAACTCAGAGTGCCTCACTTGCGGCACAAAGCTCTCCCTCGGCAGCTACGGCGCCAAGCCCGCCGTCGTACCGCGCAGAAAGAAGAAGAAGAAGAAGACGGTCCTGGCGAACGGCCATATCAGGGAGGAGACGGGCAGCGCGGCAGGCACCCCTCGTCCAGGATAAAGCACGGAAGCTCGACGTACACAGCAAGGATGTTAGTCGAGTAACGAGATTTTGTGAGCAGGCTTTTCTCTGGAAAAAACGTCAGGAGTGCGGCATGCGGTCTCCATAGACGGCGAGCACGATACGAGTTGTCGCCCGACTGCTGCTCACACCCGTCAAACTTGAATGCGTCGCGAAAGACTCAAAATGGGTTCATACAGTGACGGATATCACAGTTTCTCAACCCCGTCAACAGCGACCAGCGCATTCCATCGCGGAGGGGAGGGGGTAATCGCATGGACATGCGCAGCTTCGCTCTCCTAAGTCGCTCAGGCTCGCATGAAACCGAGCGGAGAAGAGCTCGTCGTTGTTATTGGATCGAATCAGCCGTCTCAGACAGATATCACGGCACGATAGAGTTCCCTCCTAAGAGAGGAGGTGGAATTGAATATCTGAACCATGCTTCATGAACATCTACTTTTTTTTTTGGCCAATCATCCGTATTTCTTGTTTTCTACGTGATACACCCTCCAGATGATGCTCTAGGAGGAAATACATGCTGCGCTAGGAAGGGGTATCACTACCGAGTAAGAATACTAAGGCCGTAGCTCCTGGCTCTCTGAGGTCTGGTTACCCGCGTAGCTGTTCAAGTCTGCGCCAGCCGACCACGAGTAATCTCGTCCAAACTCGACTTTTTTGTTTGTCCTCATCCAACCCATCGCCAAGCAGACCATTGTCTCCGCAATCACATACCAAGATCAACCCGAATTTTTCGAGCGCCCCTTGTGACAAGCGCCGATTCCCCTAGGCGAGACATGACGCACACGGGCTCTCGATCGGAGCCACCCATCGAGGCGAGTGCAAAGGAGTCAGTGTTGTGGGCAAAGTATAAATAGTACCCTGTCCGCGTCTTCTTGACCGTCATGACACCAATCGCCCCAACCGAGTTGCAGTTTCTGACGCCGGGGTGCCCCATGAAGTCGTTCGTGATGAAGGATTCCATGATGGCGTCTTCGTCCCACTCTTCAATGTCTCTACCGTTCGGTCCACGACGGGTGCTGCCATAGATCCTTTCAGCGCACCGTTGAGACGCCATGGTGGTGGCCATGTGCTCTCCCGTACCGCTGGTCACCGCGGCAACGCTGACTTTGTCTGGGTCTTCAGGGTCACAGGGAACAACAGCCGTACCGATGCCCACCAGAGCAGCGGGACCTATACGTCCACGATGTTTCATTCCGATGCCTCCGGAGGATGAGCCTGCCGCAATATGCCCTCTTTCGTCAATAGCTATGGCTCCAACAGTGTCAGTGATGACATCCTCGTGCTCCAATTCGGTCGCAGAAAACGGCCGCTTAAGTCCTCGAGAACTGCAACCCTGCAACTGTGCAATCGTGCTGGCATGTCTAGCCCCGTCTGTCCACTGAGACGACATGGTGCCGTCACGATTTCCCTCCTCCGCCAGGTGGCTGGAAGAGGCCATTAAAGGGTCTCTCTCTTGCAGTATATGAGGCCGAGATCTATTAACGGAGGCCATGGAAGCTCCCACATGGCTCAATGGCGACCTTTCCATCGTTGCTCTTGGAGGTGTTATCCGAGGATAGCCCTGCATCTGTTCGGGCACCGGTGAACCTCGGTGAGGTGAGTCTGGCTGGCCCTCGTTCCATGTTCCATTGAGAATAGCATTGGCATGGTCCCTCTGTTGACTCTGGTAGATCCGGGATGGAACCGTTGCCGGCATGTTGTCGTATTGCTGACAGTGATCGGCTGATTCCTCAAGTGTTTTGCGGGTGCCGGCTTGCTTGACCTTGTCCTCCGCTCGTTTCAGGTCTTCCTGCCACCGCAGGAATCGATCTCGCGCGTTCTTGGAAATCAGATAGTCATTTGGTACGATTTGCATCCCATTTTCCACAGAGAATGTTTTGGCGCCTTCCCCCACCAGAATATTGGGTGGTACTCGGCGTAAGGACAACGGCTGGTTGCTTTTGTCCAAAATCAGCTTTGCGAGACAGATTGGATTTCTGATGTCTGAAGGATTATGTCAGTCATGGCTTACGAGTCTAGAGACCATGACTTAACTTACTCGGAACTGCTCCGCAGGCACCGCTTCTTCCGAAATGGTCGACAATAGTTGCATCACATTCCACAGTCCCATCCATTGACAAATTAGAGCCGTAACCGGCATTGGTGATTTCTTTGTCTTCAAGGACACGCAGAGCAGCTTCAACAGCTTCCGTCGCAGTGGCACCTGATTTCAGGAATTTCATTCCCATGGCAGCAGCACTTTTGTTGTCAGCATTGATGCCTCGAAGACCAGAAGATAACATACTCGCTGCAAGCCTCCAGATGGACTCGCTCATTTTGGTGACTGTGGAACCCGGCCCCGGCGTGGATAAAAATAGCTCCCGTAAACTTCCCTTTATGCATTCGCTTGAAGACTCGGTCAACTGTGCCATTAGCGCCTCCTATCTTCTCTGGGTGGTTGCTTCTGTGACCTTGGGTCTTGGAGGTATCCAAGGGAATCTTTCCACGTCCCTCAGCTATGATGGCTGGGTTGCGCTTGGTCTCAGGGACACGCGATTCCATCCCACTTGCAGCCCGCCCGAGCCTGGTACTCTAAGCCCGTGAGAGGAGATATCGGCCGCGGTCTCTGGTGCTGAAGATACTTGGCAATTGATATCTGATGGGGAGTCTGAATCGTGTTCTTGGCTAGGATTTTCGTAGTCTGCATCGGCTGCAGCACAAGGTGGCTTTGCGTTCAGAGAATGTGAGGCTCTGGGGCAGCCTGGCAAGCAATGCTAGTCGATAATTCTGAAAAAAGATTTTTGAGGTGCCAGGTCGAATAGTCGACGGCGTTGTTGAGAAACAGGCCTGGAGTCGTGCTAAGAAGAGTTGATGGCTGCAGTCCCTAGCCAAGGCACTCCAAAGGATATAACGCTGAGACACGATTATTGGAGGCTTGTCCTCGAGACCGTTCGATTACCATCCAAGAGACGGAGCGGAAAGGTGGTATAAGGTAAAGAGAAGAAACAAGGTATGAGGAGTGTAGCTTAGGAGTATTTCCAAGGAGAAGCTGCATGAGTTTTGGGTCTAAGGGAGCTTCCGCATCAGTTCAGCTAAGCCGAGGTGCTGACTGTTGGAGGAGGAAGGGTCGATGGTGTAAGGCGGCCGCAGTGGGACCTGGTGAGTCTGGGCTCTTTCCTTCAGCCACGCACTCGCTTAAGAAGGTGGAAGTGTGGGGGAAATCGCGAGTTACTTGGTTTTAAGGTGGTTGGATCGTCAAATGAACCATCAGAGTAGATGCCTGATCAATGTTGAGATTTCCAGTCCAGATAAAAAGGAGGGTATCTCAAAACCGTACCAGATTGCGGACAGCTTTCGAACGAGGAATCTTACCGTATCTGACTCAAAAGCTTCTGCTTTTAGAATATAGATAGAGACAACAAGATATTTCAAAGTCAGACAGATAATTCCCAAGCCTCAATCTACATCAGCAAAAGAACCACTCTGCAATTCCTGACTGAGCTCACGGCATGCGATCAAGTGTTGTTGGATCTCCAAGGAGTACAATTTGCTTAGCTAAGATCGTCACAGTGTTTGATAGCAGTGCATGCAAATATACACGGCCTTTCCTTCCTCAGTGACTTCCAGGTTGGTGGGGCTTGGTGGTGGGGCACCGACCTCTCCCATGGCTGGAGAATCCACCCACTCTGATGCACAGCCGCAGGTTGGGAGCTTCGTCGGTGACAAGGCACACACTTCTGGCTACCTTGGACGTACGTCGTAATCAACTCTACGACACATTCAACGACTCGACGGCCCATTCACCCCTTCGTTGATGCCGCAACTGAGCTAGAGTCTCCCCGAGCGCATCCGAAAACACATTTACGATGGCGAACCAAACGCCTGCCGTTGTCATGGACAAGTAAGCCACCAATGTCACCCTGCCCCGCATCCCCCGAGGCAGACGTCAGTGAGACCATCGCCAGCTAACAGTCCATCAACAGCGGCACGGGATTCTCGAAGCTCGGTACGCCAATTGAAAAGCTCTATTACACGTATTCCGAACCCTGTCTCTGACGTATTACTCAGGTTTCGCCGGCAACGACTCCCCGTCATTCGTATTCCCGACCGCCATTGCGACGAAAGGTGCTGCTGGAGGCAGCGCAGGAGGAACGGGCTCCGGCCGTCCAGCTGTCGCGAACAAGCCATCCTTCCTGACCGGTGGCGCAGGGCCCGGTGGCCATCTGAACTCGAAGCGTGGAACTGAGGACCTGGACTTCTTCATCGGCGATGAGGCCATTGCCGCTTCTGGAGGACCTGGTTAGTTGGATGCGACAGTCGTTGTCTTGGCCGACAGCTACTGACGGAAAATTCTAGGCTACGGTCTTCACTATCCTATTCGTCACGGTCAAGTAGAGAACTGGGTATGTGGCATCGAGGCGTTGATTGTGCTGAGCCCGGGCTAACAGCTTGTAGGATCATATGGAGCGGTTCTGGTCCAACTCCATCTTCAAGTACCTCCGCGTAGAACCCGAAGATCACTTCTTCCTCCTCACCGAACCGGTATGTTATGGGGTCTCTGCACACCCGCATCTGGAGAGTTTAAGCTGACTTTCACACAGCCCCTGAACCCCCCCGAGAACCGCGAGAACACGGCCGAGATCTTCTTCGAGTCCTTCAACTGCGCCGGCCTGTACATCGCTGTCCAGGCTGTGCTCGCCCTTGCCGCCTCATGGACCTCTTCCAAGGTTCATGACCGTTCTTTGACCGGTACGGTCATTGACTCTGGTGACGGTGTTACCCACGTCATCCCTGTCGCTGAGGGATACGTCATCGGATCCTCCATTAAGTCGATCCCCATCGCAGGTCGCGATCTGACCTACTTCGTGCAGTCGCTGCTGCGTGACAGAGGCGAGCCGGACTCGTCACTTAAGACGGCCCAGGAGATCAAGGAGCAGCACTGCTACGTCTGCCCCGATATTGTCAAGGAGTTCTCTCGCTACGACCGAGACCCCACCCGCTTCATCAAGCACCCAGTGCTTCACCCTGGTGGCCGTCAGGTCTCTGTCGACGTCGGATACGAACGTTTCCTCGCCCCCGAGATCTTCTTCAACCCCGAAATTTATAGCTCCGACTTCCTCACGCCCCTCCCCACCGTTGTCGACAACGTCATCCAGGCTTCGCCTATTGATGTGCGCCGTGGTCTTTACAAGAACATTGTCCTTTCCGGCGGAAGCACCCTCTACAAGGACTTTGGTCGCCGCCTGCAGAGAGATATCAAGCAATTGGTCGATGCTCGCATCCGAGCTAGCGAGGTTCGCAGCGGTGGTGCAAAGTCCGGCGGCTTGGAGGTCCAGGTTATCACGCACAAGAGGCAGAGACACGGCCCCTGGTTTGGTGGAAGTTTGCTGGGACAGACGCCCGAGTTCCGTTCCTACTGCCACACCAAGGCTGAGGTAAGCATGCTATTCATCCTCATTTTGGACACGTTTGTTGACTCGTATGATAGTATGAAGAGTATGGCCCGAGCATTGTTAGACGTTTTGCTTTGTTGGGCGGCCCTGGCGGTTCATAAATCTTGGGATTTTTGCTATAGAGACTGCGAGCCAATACTTATCTCCAAAAGGCTACCATTACCACTACCACCTATTTACGAGAATCAAAATCATGACCACTTCAAGTCATGCCGTTTTTTGCATGCACGGACGAGGACCTGTACACGCTCGGCGATCGAGATGGCGTCCTCGGATCATGTGTTATGTGGTGTATCTTTGTGTCTAAATTTACTCGATCTGCCTACAGCACGAGATGCCACGACTTAAGAAAATCACTCAGTTGGATTCGGCCAATGCGAGCCATAGCTCCCTGCAATGTGTATATATTTGTACCCATTATCAACGATGCAAACGATCCGTTATCTATCATCCTTAAGAACTACGGTTACAAGTGTTATACAAGGTCGAAGTGGACTGCTGAATGTTTCCAAATTTGTTCATTACTCGTTTTCCAATAGGCTATGAAACGAGAAAGATTTATCATACACGCTGAACTCCCTCCCAGGTTAGGTATCCTAAACAAAAGCCCCTTTAAAAAAAACGTCCAGTCATCCACTCGCCCGCCGTAAAACCACACCACTGCCACCGCCGTTAAGGCCCCAACCTTTTTCCGTCTCCAGAGTTCACATTACGCCTCTCAACTTTTATCTTCTGACCTTGCGAATCTCTCTTGCTGGTGTCTATTTGCTAGTGTCGACAACGTAGCGGCCGGCAATCTGGCCCTGCTTCATCATATCAAAGACCTCATTGAGCTGGCTGAGGCCGACGGTCTTGTAGGGAGCGTTGATGAGGCCGCGGTTGAAGAACTCGAGGGCCTCGGCGGTGTCCTTGCGGTTGCCGACGTAGCTGCCCTTGATGTTGATCATGCGGATGACGGTGTCGAAGACGGGGGCGCGGAGGTAGGCGTTGGCGGGCAGGCCGATGCAGACGACGGTGCCGCGGGAGCGGACGTACTGCGTGGCCTGCTGGAACGGCTTCTCGCTGACGGCGAGGAGAATGACGGCGTGGGGGCCCAGGCCTTCGGGAGTGGCCTTCTTGACGTCCGCGACGAGGTCGGACGAGGTGGTGAAGTCGACGAATTCGGTGGCACCGAGCTTCTTGCACATCTCGCCCTTCTCCGCGCCGCCGTCGATGGCGACGGTGTGGATGCCCATGGCTTTGGCGTACTGCAGGGCCAGGGAGCCGAGACCGCCGCCGGCGCCGACAATGGCAACCCACTGGCCGGCGCGGACACCGGATTCCTTGAGGCCCTTGTAGACGGTGATACCGGCACAGAGGACGGGGGCCACGGCCTCGAGGCTGACGTCCTTGGGGAGGCGTGCGACGTGGGCGGCCTTTGCGATGGCGTACTGCTGGAAGCTGCCGTCGACGGTGTAGCCGGAGAGGAGGGCGTGGGGGCAGAGGGGTTCGTCAGCGTCTTGGCAGAAGGTGCAGGCGAGGCAGGAGCCGTTGAGCCACTTGATGCCGGCGTAGTCGCCAATCTCGACGTCCTTGACGAGCTCGCCGCGGGCGACGACGATGCCGGCGCCCTCGTGGCCGCCGACGAGGGGCATCTTGGTGTCGAGGGGCCAGTCACCCATCATGGCGTGCAGGTCGGTGTGGCAGACGCCGGAGTATTTGATGTTGATCAAGACCTCGTCAGAGGCAGGCTTCTGGACGGGAATCTTCTTGTAGACGGCGGCTGGGATGTGATGTTAGAGATATGAGGACGGATCATAAGGGTAGATTGTTGACGTACGGCCTCCAGTCTTCTCGATGACTTGAGCCCATTGCTCGGTTGGGATCTCGGGAGCGGCCATTATGATGGTTTGTGTTGGTGATGTGTGTGAAGATGTCTCTGGAGAACAGATGAAGTCTGGGATCTTCCTGTGAATGAGAGGAAGAGATTGGAATGTGGGATTGAAGGCTATTGAGCTTGGATCGCTTGATCTGATCAGACGGGATTCGAGAGCATGGCAATGCGGGTCTTATATAGAGACGAGGGCAACATCTTGGGCAAGACCAGAGACGGTCGTATAAGTGAGGTGCAGGGGTGGTGGTGGTGGCAGTGGCATGGTGCGGTTGGGGGAGCTCGGTACGGCAGGGGATGGTTCGTGTCAGGGATGGAGGTTCTGGGCGAGATACTTTGGTACATCTGTCATGTCAAGGTGAAGCAGTACCGGAGAGAAGGATAGAGTGGGTTGAGAGGCAAGACAAGCCGCAAGACTGAGAAGAGGACGAGTGAGGTGAGGTGGTGGTATCAGGGCCGACTGAGCATCCACTGGACAAGGCAAGAGCAAAAAACGTATGATGTTTTACGACAGGCCAGGAACCGCAGTCTACGGAGCTTTGCCCCTCACAGTGACAGAAGAGTTCGAGACACACTATACTGCATTACAGAGTATCCGTACACACCCGTGACACCCCCCAATGTGAGGGGCCAAGGCCAAGGCCGGGGTCCAGGGTGGGCCGGATCACCGCACATCAACCACAGCTCTGAGAACTTGTTGGAGATATGGAAGGAGAGAGAAGAGTGGGTGTTGGCAGGCAGACCGTACGAAGTACAGTACGGTGTACTCGGATGCGCGAGTTGGGGCTGCCGCTGGGCGCCATGGCGGCGCTTCCTGCACGTCCCGAGTTGTTCTGCCTGCACCTGCACTTGCAGCAACGGGCTGCCCGCAGTCTCGCTCCACCGGGTTAGGGGGAGAAAGTCGTCGTGCTGCTGCCACCTTGGGATAGAAGGCTAGGTACGGATACAAAGGGAAACAATTACCCCACGCTCATCAAGGACAAGTGGTAGCATGGGAGGATAGCGGCGTTTGACCGTGATTGGCCTTGGAAACAGCTTTCCCCGGTGCAGTGGCACACGAGGCATCTTCTGGCATGCATCATCGATGCAACGGCCGCCGTCGACCAAAGACGCGGACAGCGGACGACGGGCAGGCCTAGCCATGAGGCGCCCCTGGGACTTGGAGACCCTACACACTCACTCACTACGTTCCTCAATGACCTTACACAGTACCAAAGGTGAGGTATGGTGTGGGGTGTGTGAGCTAGGATCAAGGGCGTTGGCGCATCAGGACACCAGTCGTGGAGAGATGGAAGTTTTGGACAAAATCTCCAATCGAAGGAAGCCTCACAGACTGTGTCACTGTGTGCCATGGATGGATGGGGGGATTGACGAAGGAACCGCCGACTCCACCTGACAGGCGCGGATTGACGTCGGAGCACAGCGCAACTCGTAGTGTAGTGGGCGGCGTCGAGGCGAGTGGGGAGTGGGCTTCGTCTGCAGCTGTGACTGTGACTGTAAGCCATGGGAAGGGTGGAACCACGACAGTGTCGAGCCTTCCCTCTTCTTCCTCTTCTTGGAAACTCACGCGGCTTTGTTTGGTGGACGGCCGTCGCCGATATGTTGGGTTGGGTTTCGTTGGCAGGTCCGTACGTGTCTGCCGGTGTCCGTGTCAGTTATCCGTGGCTTGGTCCAGTAGGCATCGCACACCGTCCCATGCCTTGCCAACGTGCCAACTTGCTTCCTGCATGTTCTCCGGTCTGTCTGGACTGGATCGGCGGACCTGATCTGATCTGATACATACGAGACCGAAAGTGACGGCGAGCATGCAGGCGAGAGAGCCGAGGGGAGTTTTGGCAGCATCCATCGTATTATTGACATAGGTAACGACTTGTTGCGCATTAAGACGGTCGTGAGACAGGGCCGATGGATTGCGTGTTGCGGTGCTGCTGAAGAGATTTCGAGCTGTAAGGCCGAAGAACTACCAGAAACGCACCAGATTCCGAGCTGAAGATGGAGAATCACCAGATGAGACGAATGGGGTGCCGCCAAAGCCACGACAGGTCCGCGCCACAGCAGCTCAAAAACAGCACCACGCAGAGCCCATTCCCCAGTACGGAAACTGCCGGATCCATGCCCAGATCCTCTCATTGACGAGCCTCCTTTTTCTTAATCTTTTTTAATCCCGCTCTGCCCGTTCCCACTTGCAAGAAACTCCCGCAATAAACAAATGTCGCTCGGGGGAATTACAGAAAGAAAAAAACAGAAGGCCTGTCAGTGGCATGACACCACTCGCTTGTCCGGAAGGAAGGACGGATGCGACCTACCTTAGGATGCCGCATTCTCCCCCACTCTCTTGCTCTACAAAGTACCTCCCTCGCCTAAGTCTCACTACAATCTACGTTGGAATTCGGTAGTGACCAGGCAAGCTCTGGCGGAGATCGGCCACAGGGTCCCTACCTTACCTTACGTGACAGTGACAGGCTGGCTCCCTACACCCTTCCCTTCCGTTGTCGCCGCAATCTCTCGGCATCTGGACGGCCTTACTGGGAGAAGGACCACCTAACGCCATCATCCGCACCCTCTCCCACGCACCACTTCCCGGGCACGCTGCACACCACCGAATCCGCCGAAAACAGCCCGCCTTACCGCTTCAGGCATCTGAATCCCGCCCTTCAACGGTTCCGTCACTGCTCACCATGATTGTTTTCCTCTCTTCAACTTGCAGCTTCGTGTGAGGTCTCTCAGTGCCCGATCTTTCGGCAATCACCAAATCCGTCACCTTAGGCACGGCGAACTCACACGCGTCTATGTCTCTTTCTTCGTCTTGCATCGCGGATCCTAATATGTACGTAGCTCCCACGATACGACGCAGTTGTTACTCGAGTTCAGCAGAAGTCGAGCATACTTGGCCAAATAAGCGCCGCTGAAAACTACCATGAGCCTCGCTCTAACAAAGGGAGCCTAGCTGAAGGCAAGCTAGCTAGGGCCCTCGTGGACATTGCCTATTGCGTCCCATGCCTGCCAAGCAGCCGCACGAGTCTGAGTCCGAAGTCGCAGGGAGGTGGCTGCGAATAGCTTCAGAATCCTCATCTCCGTTCGCCCAGAGCGGGACCTGCGGATCATGCAGCTCGCAAACCCAATCCAACAACACAACACCTCAGAAGACACCATACGACACACGATACGGATACTCGACACACAATCCCCCGGGCCAGAGCAGAGATCGGTAGACAACGAAGCGGAAGCTGCCTCAGCACTTCGACTTCTTTCTTAGACCCTGGTTGACAGCAACCGGTCCCCCCACAATCCCCGCCTCTGGCGCCACTTATTCACGCCTCACGCTGCACCGCCTGCTGCATGCTGTCTTCCCCCAAACTTCCGCCGTACGCTGGCCTACCACCTGCGGCCGAAACCACCGCCGACATGTCTACTCCAATAATGAGGGCCAGCCTCCACACCTTCGCTCGAAGGGAGCTTTGCAAATCCAACCTCCTGACGCGGAAAATGCCCACTACGTCTGACATAGTTGACCACAAGCGCGGCGGCTACTGATGGGACCCCGCGATTCTCAAACGCTCCCCCATCTATTCCCCGCATGCGCCTATGAATAGCTGAGCCTTTGATACAAACAGTTGATCCCATCTCGCCTCAACACACCCAGAACCCCAACCGACCACCCTCCCTCCGTCTCCAGCTTTGCGGGGAAGAAGATTCTGCAGCTCGAAACCCTCGGTCAATGCCCTGACACAGCATGTCGACTTCCAACACCGTGTGCCGCGCACTTTGTCTCGAGACCCCAGTATAAGCTGATGCCCGGGTTCATCCCCGGATCCAATAGTGCGGCGGCTTCATGGACGAGCGGAGGATTGTTCTCTGCGTTTATCGGTACTTGGTGAGTTTCGGCCAGCGCACGCTGGTCGGGGTCGCGAACCCGACGCCCAGTACCCTCCGGAGGAACGGAAGATGCTAACAGAGACATTGTGGAGGGCGACGAATTTGGGGCCGATGAGACCCTGCGCAAACCCCATGGGCTTCTGGGGACCACGCGGAGAAAAGTCACGTTTGTCAACATCGAATAGGGCTCAAGCTCGGAGCTTCCAAAAGTAACCGAAATTCCGAGCGAGGCAGTCATCTGTCACCGATGTTCCTCAGTTCCTCAGAAGAGCTTCTGCCGACACAACCTCCACGTCTGGCTTGACGTTGAACTCGACAGCCAACCAACAGCATTCATTCAAGTAACAGACAGGAGATGATACAACAGTCAACCCCACCAACTCGATGTCCACCAGCCTCTCATCTCTGCAGGACCGGGCATAGCTCTCTCTCCCTCTTCTCAAGCTGTGACTGCAACGTTATTATTCAATCGCTGCCATGGAGATTGGCCTCCTTGAAGGCCAACTTACATCTTGGTGGACTGACGTCGCGAAAGGGTTCACGCTTCATTGCAACTTCAAGGACTGGTTACCAATATCGAAGGCCGACACAGAGGTCACGGATGAAGTTTCAAGTGCAAACCTAAAGGCATCATTGCAAGTCATCGCCATTATTTCTCTGCTAATTCTTTCGCCATTTCTGACAAATCACTTCATCTCAAACGCAAAGCCACACCATTTTAGAGATGAACGCTCCCAAGACTGTGCACAATCCGATCTAAGACTGACCCAAAATTTCAAGATCAGAGAGAAGCCGAGGATCTTCCCGTTGGCTTTGACAGCGCGACATCGTTTCCTTTTCGAGCTGATCATCAAGCGACAGTTACACGAGATGTTAGCGGGAGGTTCTGACAGTTGCGATGATGCTTAGGAGTTCAAACAAACAAAGGGCACAGTGGTCTGTCGACGTCCAAGCAGTGACCTGTCCAAGTTTGACGCCAGGCCGTCCGAGCTCAGGCATGTTTCGTTAACTGCTCTCAGCTGAGATCAACGTCAGAGCTGTCACATAGGCCACTCCCGTGTTGTCAGAAAAAAAACGATGAGAGCACGTGGAGGGGCTTCAGCATAAGACTCACTCAACTTGGCATTTGAGAGAATATCGCCGACTGGCTCATGAAGGTTATGAACCTGGATACGATCACCCGCTAAGTGGGGTTGGTCCATGCTCCGAAATGGAGCCCGCTAATCCTAATTACGATCCATAAACTTTCACGAGCTCTCAAAATCTCGTCCAATAATCAAGTAGGATCGATAGCTCAGTGGTAGAGCGAGAGATTGCAGTTACGCGCAGTTTATCTCTAGGCCCCGCGTTCGAATCGCGGTCGGTCCTTCATTTTTGTTTCTAACTCCCGACCAGACTCCTGCGATTGACAAAAAATGTTCCCCGAGTTGCAAAGTCCACTTGTTTTTTTGCTAACCTCAGCTAGCCTTGAGGTTGCCGGTCAATCATGCATCCAGAGGTGATGGGAGTCGGTTGTGCTCTCGCATCGGAAGCCGTTTGATGACGGCGATGACGGCAAAGACACTCGCCCTTGTCGTGCGGGGGCTTGGCCGAGTTCCCCCGCCTTCACAGCTCACCACCTCTGCGGTTTAAGTAAGTGTCGGAACTTACGGGCAGCCCGGACGATTTATGCTGGTTTAGTGACATTGAGACAAGTGCAGTTGCAAGGCAGATTCTAGGATGGTCCGTGTAAGACGCTTGATCGCGATGCAGGAGCCAGGTCTTCTTCTAGCCAATCGTCTTCCCACATGAAGATGATGACCACCAAGTCCAAACGAAACAAGAGAAGGCATACCCCAAGTGGAGGGTCGAGCCTAACCAACCGCGGCCTGAGCAAGCACACTTCACATGTGCCGCTCGGTGAGGATTGAGACAGCTCAGTTAAGACGATGCTGCTCCTACCTCCTACCCAGCTCTGTGATTCTAAACACTGGATGTCACGAATTGCAAATACCAATATACAGCATTGGATTTACAATTCGATTTTTCAAACCTCCCCTTTCATCAAAAACACTTCATCTGTCCTGGAGACACCTGTCATTACAAGAACACTAGTGTAGTTGCTAAGGGATTCAATTCGAACGTTATTCGAGATGGGTTTATTCGAGAGCTTGACGGCGGCCAACCCGTTCTACATCGCGGGCTCCGTCTTCGGGGCCTACCTCCTACTTCTGGTTTTCTTCAGAGTCAGATTGGAGTATTTGATAAGCAAGTCTGGCGGTGTAAGAGCTCCGATCATTGCCTCCAACCCTTTTACAGGTAACTTTGATAGAATTTCTCTCCCCACACCAAATAGCAGGCAGCTAACTAGTGCGAAGCCATTCCAGTATTCCTGAGGATTGGACGTTATCAACTCAAGCACCAGCTCCTCGAAGGCTTCAACACTCTCTTCAGCGTCGCAACACCCGAGTCTCCAAATACTATCGAGATAGGCTTCTCGGGCAAGCTCCGCTTTCTCATCACCAGGGAGCCAGAGCACATCAAGACGATCCTTACCTCCAAGTTTGCCGACTTTGGAAAGGGTCCCATGTTTCATCAAGTCTGGTCTCCGTTCCTGGGCGACAGCATCTTCACCACCGACGGCAAGACATGGCAGGATAACCGGAGCTTGATCCGGCCCATGTTTATCAAGGACCGGGTCAGTGACTTGCACATCTTTGACAAGTGGACCAACACCATGATGGATAAGTTCCCGGCATCCGGGGTTACGTTTGATATTTCGGATCTCTTCTACCGCATGACACTTGATGTGACAACCGACTTCCTGCTTGGACATGGGGTCAACAGTCTTGGCAAGTGAGTAGACAGCGAAGACTTTCAGCCGGTGTTTGTGTGCGATACTGACAGGTGTGACAGCCCAAAGCATCACTTTGCGCATGCTTTCAATGAAGTCCAAAGCTATCAAATGTTTTTCACCATCATGTCGTAGGTGTTTTCGACGCCCACAGAGAGAATCAATCGAGCTGACCCAATGCTAGACCCTTTGAGAAGATCCTGCCCCACGGCACTTACAAGCGCGGTATCAAGGTTATCGAGGAGTTCATCCATCCCTTCATACAGGAAGCTCTGGCCTTGCCGCCATCAGAGCTCGAGAAGCTCTCCAAATCGGACAAGGACTTTACTTTCCTACACAACATTGCTCGTTTCACGCGCGACCCAAAAATCATCCGTGACCAGCTTGTTGCTATCCTTCTCGCCGGTCGCGATACCACTGCCGCAACGCTCTCGTGGACCCTGTACGAGCTCTCGCACTACCCGGCCACTTATGCCAAGCTACGCAACGAGGTCTTGACGACCTTGGGACCGACGAGGGCGCCGACCTATGAGGACCTCAAGAGCATGAGGTACCTGACCAACTGCCTCCAGGAGACGCTGCGCCTATACCCCGCGGTGCCGTTCAATGTGCGCTCCGCGTTGACGACGACGACGTTACCCGGTAGGAACGGCAACCCCGACATCGCGGTGATCGAGGGGGATTCCGTCGTGTACAGCACGCTTGCGATGCAAAGAAGGCGGGACCTGTACCCCGAGGTCTCGGAGACGTTTGCGGACCCGGCCATCTACAGCCCCGAGCGTTGGGAGAATTGGCAACCAAAGCCGTGGCAGTATGTGCCGTTCAACGGCGGCCCAAGAATCTGTGTTGGGCAGAACTTTGCGAATACAGAGATGGCTTATACGAGTAAATACTGGCCCTATCCCCCAACGCCCCTCCCTCTGCTTTCTGTCTTCCACCTTGGTAGCGAGAATGCGGATGGGCACGGCGATGCTGCTGAGCAGGTGCTGACAAAAATCCAGTGGTGAGAATTCTACAAAAGTTCGACAAGCTCGAATACCGTGGAGACTGGAATGCGCAAGTCATCAGGGCCGAGATCGTCGGCGCGCCAGGCCATGGCGTTCCTATCGCGCTTTTCGAGGCTGTCGATGGCGAGATGGCTTGAATGCTGGAACCGCAAAAACGGCAGCGATTCTTTACGGTTCTGCAATGATGTAGTCGAAAGAATAAAGGGCCGATGTGGCATGATGAAACCTAAATCACAAAAAAGACTGCAGCGAGCCTGGATGAAGCTGCCCGGTATACGCTTGGGGCATGGGATTTGGGAGGACTTTCAAGACTATGTATGGTAGCTGAGGATGATCGACTAGGAGGGAAATAATCATGTCGATAGACTGATCGATTAGCAACTCGCCGCATCACCCCGCGGCATGGATGAGTTCAACGTGATTAGGGGGGTTTGATACGGTTCATCAGGATCGTCGAGCAATGTGCTATAACACTGTAACACGAAGGACGTGGCAGCCACGCTATCTTGACATGGGTTGATATAGAATAAAAGTTTCCAGTGCTGTCACATATCTGAACGCGGAGTGAGCACGTCTTGCGGTGCACCCGTTCGGATCTAATTACAACAGCCCGAGAGAGGTCACGACATCGGCGGTCAACCGCTACGGTGGGAGCAATAAAGGCGACAGGGACCCCTGGCCGCAGCTCATTTCCACGACCCGAGTCGTCTTCCTGGTCATATAGCGTCACGCACCGGTATCTTAGCCGACAGTGCGGGCGCACGGGTGATGATGAGCAGAGATGGCACCTGAGGATTCCAGGAGAGAAACGCGTGCTGTCAAACTTGGTGTGTCAGGGATTTCCGACTTGAAGGGATCTGAAGGACGTGTGCCGTGCTGTGCTTCACCCGAATACAGAGTTTCGATCTGTAGGTATTCAATTAAAGAACGGCCGGCCGGACGACTTTGCCTGAGCGACTGGAGGCGGAGGGGGATAGCTGCTGGCCAGACGTTTTAATGTATGCTTTTTCTGGACCAAGGGGGGGGGGGCATTTTCCCGGACAGAAGTTGGGGGTCATTGGCTGGCACTAACTAGCCTTGGACTCTTGGACCTCTTGAGAGCGCTCTCTCTTGAAGAATAATCAGTGAGACGTTTGGTGGAAATCACCCGGGCCATGACATCAGGAGAACAAAGGAATTCTTCGATGGGCGTGTTTCACAACCGCGATGCAGAAGTCACCATTCCATTATTGTCCTACTTACGCATCATAGGTAGTTGGTCCGTCAACGGCAGCGAAACGAGTATTCAGACTGCTGACTTATGACCGCTAAACGGAAGAACCCATCAGCATGCTGTAAGATAGAAACCGCATAAGGTAGTGAAGCCTCGGTGTGACGAGTTCTGTGATTGGATCCTTCCCGCCAGACCGCCTTCAATAACCCCTCCAGCTGGTGGGTTGGAGTGCCCCATTTGGGAAACAGACTGACGGGGTTTATCCAGAAAAAGGGCAAATCGACCCAGTTGGTCGACTTGACCCCCGCCCGTTGATGCTCTCCTCCGTCTCCCACACTCTCCATTGGTGCTCACTGCTGCAACTGCAACCCCATCCAACCAAACGCTTCCAGGTTCCTCTCCCACCTCAGCACTCCCACTCCCAGCTCCCACCTGCAGCAAGCTGCGACCAACAGGCGACCGTCCATTTACAGCACAGGGCAAGGCAATCCAGGCACCGCACATCACCCCCTTCCTACACCAGGGCCCTTCCCGGCAGACTGCTCCTTCGTCCAACCAGCTCCAACCCTGAGCCGACCTGGACGTTGGAAAACCGTCCATCCGCAAAACCTCTTCACCTTTCGGCACATCACGTCCTTCCTTCTTCTTCCTTATCCTCGGATACCTGCACCCTTTTTTATTTTCTCCCCCCCATTACTTCCTGCAGGGCTTGGGAACATTTCCCCCCGGATGTCACTGTATGTCCCTCCTTCTTCATGCACAATTGATTGTCTTGACCAATTGAGTGAGACAGAGAAATTGACCTCCATCGCAGCTTTCCATCCCCTTAAACATTCACTGCCAGCCAACTTTTTTCACCTCCTCGACTTACACCGCTCGGCGCGCCTATTACACTAATTTTGCCAACTCCTCCTACCTATCTCACTCTCTTTTGGACTTGCGATAACCGACCTCGAGGCACACACTCTTTCCTTTGCATTCTCAATCGCGTCACTGACTTACCTGGGGTGACCTCTGCGACGTAAATCTTCTACACCACCCGGAATCCCACCTCATCTTGCGACGACGCTCGCGAGCCAATGGCGATACAATGAGCGCCACTCCCTCGAACCGGCTCAGACTGACGCCGGGAAATTCCCCTTACCTTCAACAACGATCTAATCGAAGCCCTCTCCGAGGGCGCCTGCCCCATGAGACCCGGCTTTCCCTCAAACGAGTTATTGGCACGACCTGCGCTTCGCCTACAGGCTTCGACACCGTAAACTCATCCTTTGCCTACATAGCAGGCGGTGCTGTCGTCGTTGTCGATGTTGACGGGGAGCACTACGCCCAGCGCTTCTACCGAGCCCGCCCGACTGCGAACCCGGTATACGGCTCTTCGGCATTAACAAACACCTACTCGGCGCCCTCGACGCCCAAGGCTAACGATAGCAGGAATCGCACCGCGATTGGGATCCGGGATTCGCAGAACTGGAATGACTCGCCGGGATCGACGTGGACCAGCCGTGAGCGCATCAAGGCAGCGACGTGTCTGGCGCTGAGTCGGGACGGGAGATATTTGGCAGTCGGAGAGACGGGCTACGCGCCTCGCGTGCTCATCTTCAATCTCGAGGACGCGTCATCTGATGTGCCTCTGGTGTCCATCAGCGAGCATGGGTTCGGTGTGAATGCGGTTGCTTGGTCGGCGGATACCAGGTGGCTTGCTTCCCTGGGAACGGCCAACGACGGCTTCCTTTACATTTGGAGAATCGACCCTCGTACAGGTGCTGCCAAGCTGTACCAGCAGAACAAGTGTACCTCCACCATCAAGGGCATGGTGTGGATGGGCAGCAGTCTTATCACACTCGGCGTGCGACACATCAAGATATGGAAAGTTGAGGAAACTCAGACCTCTTCCCCTTTGAAGACCAAGTTCAACGAGGGCAATTCCGCACCCCAGAGAGTCCTCAACGGTCGCAACGTACTACTCGGATCACTGCTGGACGGCACCTTTAATTGCGCGGCCGTTGTCGATGAAACGAGTATAATCATATGCTCTGAGGCCGGCGACGTCTGTGTGGTGGAGGATGACGGCAAACAGACGAAACTCGTTAGGTCACTCACGGTCGACTTCCCGATAACTTCCATCACTATCAGACATGCCACTGCATACCTCTCGGGAAAGGCGGGTCAATTTGCGACTCTCAGCGTCAAAGCCGTCCTCGACAGTCTCCCAGACGGTATCTTATCGAAAAGCGTCGCGCCCGCTGGTCTGGTAGCCATGGGTTTCTTGACAGAAAACCTCGTAACTATCGACGAGAAGCACACAGTAGACATTTGGAGCTCGAGCTACCAGCCGGGGCAGCTGGAGAAAGACCCATCGCACGTTTCTATTCCGGGCCACGGAGACCAGATCTTGGGCATTCAATCAATGCCAAAGCCGAACGACCAAGGTGCAGATTTCTTCACGTGGTCCGGCTCTGGCAAAGTCATTTTTTGGGATATGAAGGGCAAGATCAAGTGTTCCTTAGATATACCCATTGAACAGGTCATCCCTGAGAGCGAGATGGAACCGGTCAACCAGCTCAACGTGGTCCGAGCGACTAGGGCTGGGAAGATGCTTGTAGCGGCCGACAAGTTTGGCGTTCTTAGGATTATTGACCTGTCTACGAAGGAATGCCTGCTTGAGACGAAAGCCCATTCGTCCGATTGCCAGGGCGTCAGCATCTACGAAGATGACACCAAGTTCTTACTGGCTACTTGCGGCAGGGACAGGACCGCGCAACTTTTTCATCGTACATCAGGTGGAGACTTCCGGCACTTCCAAACACTGGAATTCGCTGCCAGGGTTGTTCAAGTGTTAATTCCATCAGAGGACAAGATAATGACATGTTCCATGGACAGGACATTGCAAACCTACGACATAGTCTGCAAATTGGACGAGGAAGACGAGCTTGCTGCTCTTCCTTCTCGGGCAAACACTCTCAAGGCAGCGCCGACTTCGTTCGTTCTGGGCCAGGATGACAGAACTGCATTCGTCTCCATGCTTGACCGATCAGTCTGTCAATATGATCTATCCAATGGCAGGCTTCTCCACTGCTTCAAGTGTGTTGATGAGAGCGGAGCCGAAACTGCCATTCTGGAGTCTCTCATTTTCACTCAGCCCGCCGGGAAAGAATCGGGCTTTTTACTGGGTATATCAAACACGGACAAATCCGTCCGTCTTTACGACGCTCAGTCCGGTCTCTTTGTAGACAGGGAATGGGGCCACACAGAAGCTATCAACGGCGTCACGTTGACCGACGACGAAGATGGCTGCCAAAGGGTCATCAGCGTAGGGTCTGACGGGACCGTGATGCTTTGGTCCATGGAAGCGGACGACACTGCTCCTTTGTCTACAAGTAGAGATCCGTCACCAATGAAAGACGGATCTGCTTCCACCAGACCGCCACTGCGACGAGTCCTCTCCAAAGCGGAGCTGGCCGAGTTTCAACGCCCATCTTCCGCACAGGGCGGTCGGCGCTCGCCGCCCAGGACCATTCGGAGTCGGACGTCTCGGTACGGCCTAAGCAACAACGCCGTGAGCACGCCCAAGACTGGCATGCAAAGCAGCCCGCTAGCCGAAGATACACCATCCCGACGGTCGTCAGGGTCTGGCAGCCCACCCATTAGTCCGAAGTCGAGGGCATCTAGGCGGCCCTCGCTGCCGTCGTTGGGCCTGCCGCCAAAGAAGAGCTCGCCCAACTTGCGCGGGTTTGGTAATCTCAACATGGCTACAGAGCAGGCGTGTCGTACGTTGCGGGCTTATAGAAAGAAGCTCTCCTCTACGGAGCCTCTTAGCGAGGACGTCATCTTTGAAATCGACCAAGAGTTGCGCCTAACAACTGCCGCTCTCGGTGACAGGGCCACCAGGACCAAAGCCATGCACGATTCTGCCCTTTTGAGCGATCTCCTAGACCAGTATGAGGAGCGTCTGGCCTCCATGCTCGATGAAAAGCTGCGGAATACATTCCAAGGGAGAGAGGTACAGACTCCAAGCGATGAGCGTGAAGAAGAGCTCCTGGCCGTACGGCCTGATACTGCCGGCGGCGGAACCACTTCGGCATCATTTTCTTAACACAAAATCCTTGTATTTTTACACCAACCCTTCCTACCCGCACTGTACAACACTTGCTGGATACAACGGCGTTATCTGGAGAAGAACAACTGGCGTTTGGGAAGAGAATCATCATCGACCTACTTTACAGCACAAAGTCCAGATGTGCCAGGTCGTGGACTTTGGGGATAATCCAGGCGGATAGGGGCATCGTAGCCCCTCCTTTGGATTGTCGGCAAATTTTTTCTATTTTCCCTTTATCGTTCTTTCGACACAGCAGCAGCGATATTTTCTTTTGGTTTTTGGTTTTTTACTTTCCAATTTTTTTTTCGATTGCGAAAGAGATATTCGTCACATAGAGACAAGATAACGGAGTCCTGGGGAGGCAGAGGCGAACTGGAGCCAGGAGTTTTCAACGTGCCCAAGGACATAATGGGACAGATAGCTGGAGAGGAGGGGTATTGCGGACGGGAAACTGGGGATGACAGACTACTTACTTACTACACCGGGGTGCCTTACATTGGACATCGTGGGATATGAACAACAGGAGACGAGGAAACTGGGATGCGGATTCTTGCGTCCTTGAGAAATTTTGACCACAAGCTCTTTTGGGTTTTACCGTTTTTACATATCTTGACCGGGTCGCGCGCCCCCTTCCTTTTTTTTCACTTGGATCAGGCGCGGGAAATAGAACCTGGCAAGGCTTGACTCTTGACTCGTCCTTTGACCCTTGTTACTGACGTCTTGATCGATGAAGCTACCACGTGAAACCGTAACGAGCCTGATTGAGGTGTTTGATTTGGCCTCGAAGTAGGCAGCGTGAGATTCGCATTGAATTATATATACAAGGTGAGAAGAAGAAGAAGAAAAAGCAAAGGGCCCCCGAATCCTTCTCAAACAGACCACCTTACCTCTCGAGGAATAAGACTGTTTTAATCTGTTTGACGGAAAATAAAAAAGGAAAACAAGAGGTGCCGTGTTCCAGGAAATTGTTTTTCTATCCAACGCCCGCAAATGAACCTGCTTGTTCTGGCTTCGTCTGCACTGTATCGTATGCGCGGTGTCCGCAACGGCACCAAAGTAACCCTACCTACCTACCTACCTACTTACCTACTGCTCCTCATAATCAAACAGCGAGTCCCTCTTCCAACGCCTCATCCCGCTCCAACTTTTCGAGCCCCGTCGCCACGGCACCGTATACCCGCAGCGGGACCGCCACCTCGAAGCTCTCGCACGCCAGGTTCTCCACGGCCACGAGCACCAGGCCCCCGCGCTCGTCCCGGGATATCTCTTCTAGTAAGGGGTGCGTGCTGGGCGCTTCGCGCTCCAGTTCCGTCTCTTGGCTCGGTACCACGAATTCTACGCGTATCTTCCACTCAAAGGAGATGCCCGTCGTGACGAACTCTGGCGTAGCGGTGATGGGTATGGTCGGCGTGAATACCATTCTCCGCGAGTAGAGCGTGGCTTCCGAGGCGGATACGTAGACTTTTCGCGTGACGCGGTGGATCGAGGCCTCTGAGCGGATAGCCAGATGCGGCTCGACTCGCTCTGCGGACTCGAGGCACGAGTGGACCGCGTAGCAGGGGATCTCGGCGTCTGTGAAGTCGATGGCCATAGTAACGACTTCGCCCAGACGGTACGAGGGGCGCGTAAGCATAACGACGCCAACGCGCTGTCCATTACGGGCAATCTCGAAGCGGTTCGGGCTTTGTTGACCCTCGAACGTCAGGTTACTGCGCATAATAGCCATGTTGATTGCCTCTGTGGCCGTCGTCGACTCCTCAAACATTGATGGGCGCCGAGAGCTGGGATATGCTGTGGGCGAAAGTAGACCTGCATTGGAGCCCTGCCGGGGCCTCGTAAGGAGCTCGTCGACGTAAACGAGAAATTCATTAATCGTTGCGTCCGTCTTGGTCGTTTTTAACTTATTAATCTCGCTGAGGGTCGACAGCTTGTCGACGGTCTTGATTTTCGCCTGGTCGCGAAGAATAATATACGGGTTCATGAGATCATGGCCGAGAATCTCTCCATGGCTGTTCACGCTGCCAAGTACTCGGAAAGGTATCTCCACAGAGCGAACCTGTTGTTCTTTAGAACCACCTGCTCTCTGTGTGCCAATAACTAGATTGTAAGAGATCTTTACCGCTTTTCCCTTATGTGTCGGTGGTAAGCCTTTTGGGAGCTGAAACGAATACTCGAAAGCCTTGTGTTCTCCGGGGGCAAGGTTCAAGTCCACGAACAAGATGGACTGAGGGGTTGATAGCAAGGGAACGGACTTGGCACTAGCGATGCCGCGCATATCTTTGATGCTGCTGACCTCACCGGCTCCAAGCAGCTCTCCGATGGAGTTGCTGATGCTTCCCCATCCGAAACTTCGAAGCAGTCCACTTTCCCGTTTCGAAGGCTCCACTCCTATGACACCACCTCCTTGGCCGCCGACAACGGCCTTACGCTTGACTTGCTCAAACGGTCCGAGGTTGATGAGCGAACCATCTAGAGTGAATGAGCCTTGAATTTGAGCATAACCCATCATCAACGACTCCGGCTGCCTCGGGTTATGTGACGCAAGGTTGGAAGATTTTCGGAAATGTGGCGGCCGCATGGGACCCCGTGTGGGCTGCGTTGGATATTCTGAAGCCAAAGTTTCAGTAGAGTTGTTGCTCATTGAGTAGAATTCTCCACTGCTGCGTGGTGTTCCTCCGCCCATGCTTGTCGTCGAAAGTATCCGCATGGCTGGTGTAGGATGATCGATAGGGTTGGTAAGCACGCCGTCCTTGTTTCGTATGGCTAGAGTTGGAGGTACTTCGGTGTTTGGACTCAACAGCCCATCGTGATGTGACGCTACTGGGGTGCTTTGGGTGTCCGACAGCGGCGACTGTACCATTGGAAACCGGAATTCAGCCAGCGCGTTGGAGGGTGATCTGATGGGACGTTGGGGGCCTGCTACGCCAGGGGTATTTGGTGCGGTCGAGGATCGCGAGTTGGACGGAGGTGTGTCGGAAGCGGATGTCGAGTTGAATAAAGGCGAGCTTATATGCCTCGGCGACGCTGCGATGGAGTCAGTATTTGGACTCCAAGTGAATATGTGGCACTCAAGTTCTGACCAGAGTGAGGTGCTGTGAGCCCGAGCCCCAGTGCAGCTCCCCGAGGGACAATCTGTAGACTGGATGCTCTGGCATGGCCGCGAGCAGGCCGATGCGCCTTTACGGAGCTAGCATTGCTCTGATTGTCGTCGGGTACGGTGCTGGTGGAACCAATTGATACAATGGAAACGGACTTCTTGTGGCCATTGCCACGGTATTCGAGAGCACTCGGAGGATGCGATGGGGTCCACGGCACTGAGCCTGCGCGGCTTCGCGACTGGGTGACTGGTACGTTGAGGGATAGAGCAGATCGATGACCGCGGGTTTGAGCAGAGTTCGGCGGGGTCAAGCCAGCGCTAGACTTGCCTCTCAGCAAGGGCGAGACATGCCTCGGTCTGTCTACAGGTGTGAGTCGCTGGGACTGTCGTTGCTGGTTGGGATCGCGAGCAATGTTCTTGAAGGTGATGGTGCATTTGATATCCTCGCCAGCGAAGACAGTCTGGTCGTGCCAGCGGATAAAGACTCGAATGTTGCTGGAGGCCTCTGGAGACATGATGGCGCTCGTCCGGGCGGAGGGGAGGGGAAAGGATCGATTGAGGTTGCAACGAATCAAGTGGTCATCACATGTCTGGTATCAACCATCGTCGCGTCTAAACTCGTGGGTTGGAGATGGACAAGGAGTCCTGACAGGTGCATTGAACGTCATGGGCTTCCGAGTTGGCGGGAGACAGGAAGTTGAGCGAGCTGGGCTAGCTCCAGTGTCGCTGCGAGTCGGGCGGGCCCCCTTCGGCGCGTGCTGCAGGGGTGGGATCCACGTCCCCGTTTCCTTTCACAGTTCTAGTGTCACTGTCACCTCGGCGCCTTACCTCAGCAGTACGGCCCACTGACTCGGAGACGGGAAGCGGAGCCGGTACGTACCCAATCTCATGGATGTCACTTACACGATCTCAACAACACAACCATCAAGAAATTCAAAGATTCCTATCCGACGGATCGTGAAAATAATCACAAACATTCTTGCACTAGTATTGGGACTCATCTCGAAACCAAGATCCAACCACCCCCCCAACAACAAACAACCAAAAACCGTAAAACAAAAAAAAACCAAAAAAAACACTAAACAAAAAGAAACCAATACAGAGCACACGAAAAAAAAACCAAACAACACCACAACCCAGCAAAGATGACTTATCCCCATCTCCCCCCCCCCCCCCCCCCCCAAAAAAAAAGGGCCAATTCCGTTCAGTCCAAAGCCAGAAGTCTCTCTGAGCAGGAAGGAGGCAGGTGCCTCTTGGGTAGCGCACCTCCCATCCTCCCTGAACTGCCTATTTAAAATTTGAGGCGGCATTGAAGAATCTGTAGAGAGAAGGTAGTTATTCAGAAGGTGCCGGGTCTCTTGTCTGCACCTGCCACCGGAGTCATCCACATCCACATCCTCTACAACTTCTTTCAGACAGCCCACGTCCCCTCCTCTTCCACCAAGGCGCGACACAAAGTAGCTTCCTTTTACCTCAGCCATGCAATTCTTTGTCTGTGTTTTCATGTGTTCACATTCTTCTACCAGTATCTTGTTCAAAAGACAAATTTCCAAGGCTGTGGTCTCCTCTGTTCTTGATTCCTTTTCTCCATCACCGGAATTTTCACGGTCATTCATATTACGCTCACGAGATTTGGCAGCACTCCCATCAAATTGAAGATTACATACATTTCTTTCCCAAGATGGCAATCATCGATACCCTGCCCGCAGTCGAAGTCTCTGTTCGCCTCGAGAGGGGCTACCGAGATGCTGATGAATACCCCGACCCGTATCCGTATTATGAGCCTGAGAGATACATGAACGATTCTGAGCGTTGCGCCCGCAACTACATTGAGAGCAAGAACGGAGCCGAGTTCGCAGTTCACATCAAAGTCTTGGATAATGCCTCCATTGATTCTTGGGTCCATCGAAGCGAAGGTTTGATTTTCCTTCTCTTCCTCGACGGTCATTTCATGGGAAGGCGATTCTGCTACGATGATGAATTCAAAGATGGAAGCTGGCAGTTTGCCTTTAAAGGCAAGAGACATCCCAACCAGGACCGAACTTCAATGGTTGAGAGTAACTTCAAGTTCGAGACCGTCACTGCAGGTAAACACAGCCCATCACTCGACATTTCACAAATATTAGAAGCTAATGTTTCTACATAGTTGACCAAGATGTCACCGATGGCGACTTTCGGCGAGCCAAAAACCTAGGTACAATCGAGGTACGCGTTAGGCTTGCCAGATTTGCTGGTGTTCCACGCCGCAACAGACGTGTAAACTTGGAGAGACCGTTCCGCGAGCCGCAGTATAACAAGTGCGAGATCTCTGAGGAAGCAATCAAGGGCCGCCCAATCCACCATGGGACTTCGTGTGCAACGATCGCCCCCCAATGATATATCCATCACGCTGACCAGATCTCCACAGCTTCACCCAGCCGGTCAACATGCCTTTGCGACCTCCCAGAAAGATGCATCGAGCAGCCATTGAGCAAGTCCGCACGGGTGCTCTCTTTGCGACCTACATGTTCAAATATCGCTCGCGAGGTATGCGCCAATATATCGCAAGAATACGTTTGTACCGATTTGAGATTGACTGTTGTAAAGAAGCGCTGAAGATCGAGAAGATCGTTCCTCAGACCCCCGGGCCCGAGCCGATTCCGATGCCACCATTCCGCCAGATGCCGGCCTACTTGGCAAAGTCGAGCCTTCCTAGATTCGAGGACCTTCACGACGATGAGGTCGAACGCCTTGCTCGGGAGAGACATCAACAGCTTCAAGTAGGGGTGCCGTCAATATTAATTAGTTTGCGAACTGACACTTTTCTACTAGGACGAGCGAGCGCAGCCATCGACTCAGAAGAAGAAACGGAGCTATGGCGACTTCTGTGATCTTACGGAGGACGCTGATGAGCGATCGACTCGACCTTACAAGATTATCAAGCTGAGAAACGGCCATGATGCTTTTGATCTTACAGGCGGCTACTAGAGATTTAGACCACGAGATCGTGCGTTCAGTGTGAAGGAGGAACCAGTTGATGATGGGGTTTGCTGGAAGAGTCTCATTCGTCAAAACGAGCCTCATGTAGGGGGTTTGAATCATGAACTGAAGCCCATCACAACGAAGGGCAACTCCAATTCAGGAAGTTCAGACGAGGGACAGTGTTTGGTTGAAAGGATGTTGAATTTACTTTGATCGAAACTTCGTTTGAGGGAACGGGTGAGAGACAAGTAGTAGGACTCACGCCCCATCAGAAAGCTTGCTCCCAGAACAATATAAATACTGTTACATATATAAATTCTCAAGCGTCCAAGTGTTTTTTTATTGTTCTCTGTAACTTTTGATGTAACATCTTATCCTTGTCAAGTAAGTTACAAACCATCCTACTTATTTATGGAATGGCTGTCACACCTGTGAAGTCCTGCTGCTTGTCCCAGGCCCAGAGCATACAAATGTTCTTCGATGATGTTTCAACTACTAAAAAGCCTCTTCCGACTTATGTGAGAGTTGTAACATCAGAAGAATTGAGATAATTTGCAATCACATCAATAGAGATTTGTGCGCCGTCAGCCGTTTGATCAGGGCGCGGCTTCCTTGGGGCTTTTTGCCCAGCTTAATGTAGCATGGATAAGGCTCCGTCTGCGCGCTATCCATCTTCGAGCAGATGGCCTTCGCTTAGGAAATCGGAAGGAAGAGGGGACCTAAAACGGAATACTCCCATGGAAGGCACATCTGGTGCCTCCCTGGCTAATATGGCTACCCACCGTCCAACTGCTGCAAATCGACCGTGTCCAGCCACAGCCGTGCCTCGGTTGTGGACTCAGCTGGTTCCAAGCCGTAGAAGTACTACCACACCTACAAGCTGCAATATTACCTCTCAGTTTCAGCAAGCCGAAACAATGGCAGGTTTCGACTTCCATGTCTACATACGGGTGGTCGTTCGGGTGGCTGGTTTTCCAGCCCTGGAGCGAGATGACCTGACAGCAGAGAGCCTCGCAAACGAAGCTCCTTTCAGCTGCAGCAAAGTGATCGAGGTCAAAGAGGGTGCCAAATTTTCGATTCATGTTCTTCTTGGCGCAGGCTTTCCCAGACTTCTTGCTGCCGACGATGGGCTGATGATGCTGCTGGAACTCGACGATACCGAGGTTCTTCGACGGTTGTACACGAAGAACATGATTATCTCCCAGAAATCACGTCAATTTCGCATGGAATTTTTTGGGATTTTGAGTCAAACCGAGAGAGGCAAACAGGTTTTACAACATTTCAAGTTTGGCACGGCCAAGAAAGACGATAAGGCGATTCGAGGCACCATCCGGATTGATTTATACATTGTCAAGCTTCTCGGGTCACCAGAGAGGGGACTTCTCAACGACATTAGTACCTCCGGTCCATCAGTTCAGACCAGAAAGTGAGTTGACTCCTAACGCCATGTAGAATGAGAGACATCTTATGACAGTGGCCACTAGCTTGGGACCTGGGAAGAAAGTGAAGAACGTCCTGGCAGCGGACACATACAATGTGAAGCGGCTCAACTATGAGCGCCCGATCGGAAGGTTCAATTTCAGGTATGGACCAAGAGGTCTGTAAATTTCTCCATCAAGTTGTTTCTTCCTAAGACTGACTTTCTTCAGGGAACTTGCCCCTGCCCAAGCAAAAGAGCAACGACGAGAACGACTGCGATGAGGACCTGATCGACTTGTCTGACGTTCCAGCGCTTCCAAAGCATGGATTGAATATGTTCGGAGGAGTCAACTTAATGCGAAACTCCTCCTCATTGCTTCCAGATCTTGATAATCTGTCAGTAGTCCCTGCACAGACTCTGACACTTATGGACACAGATCCCAGCTCAATACATTCAGCACTACTGGACACAGAAGATGGCTACGACTCGGAACTGAACAGGCGGTTCGTTCCCATCCGACCGAAACCTCCACAATCCGTCGTGGAAGAGCCGCACCTTCAGAGAGATATACCCGATGACGAAGCCATCCCGATTCAATCCTTTGAATCGAAAGATATTCAAACTTCTAGGAAGCGATCTGCCGTGGCGGCTTTCGGCTACGGTTCCCCCTCTAGACCCAAGAAGTTTCTCGCTACTTCTACATACTAAAGGTTCAGGCCAAAGCTCAGACGAGAGATGGTGCCAAAGGTGAAATGGAGCAAGCTTTTGCGCATCAAACGGGGAAATGGGTTGACCAGAATGAGAGATCAATGTTGACGAGCGAACTCTCGAGTCTGCTATCGAGTATGGAAGGAAGAGGCTCAGGCAGTTAAAGCGGATGCGACTATGACCTGTGGGTTCTTGGTGAAAAGAAGCGAGAAGGACTTTGAGGCCAAGCAGGATGCGCGTGAATGATTGGTGTCAGCGGGAATAAGGCACTACCCTATTCTATGCCCATAGTGATGGCAGCGTCTTTCAAAGGTGAATGATTGGGACATCCGGTCACGAAATGAAATTTGAGAAACCATCAGTCTGCTTTGATCCAACGGCGTTGATAACATCCAGTCGTATGACTTGATGATATCAGACGACGTTACTCAATTGACGAGGAAACTCTGTCATGGCACTGAAAACGAATCAGTGGTATTTTTACGATGCATATAAACGAAATTATGTTTGTAGCTCGCATCAAAGATGACTAGGCTTGGTGATTATCGTGTATTTGATCAGCAAACAGTTTCTTAGAGCCGTGTCTTCTGTTTGATCCCACACTGGGATCAAAGGTAGCGGGCGGTATCACAGAATTCATACGCTTGATAAACAAACACATCAATGTAAACTGTGATATGAGGCAGCTACTTTCGCCGATTCTATTTAATTTACCACAGCAAATTCGAATTTAGGCATGAGTTTCCTCTCGCCCTTCAACTTAAGATTATGGCAATAGAGTACCCTCCGCAGCAATAGCCACTTCTATTTGGCAAGTTTGAGATATCCCTCAACAACCTTCTCAATCATCAACCAGATCAATCGTTCCATCTGCGTCCATCTTGTAGATCTTGCGTAGCTGAAAGTCGGCCTCCTCATCCGCCTCACGCTTCACGCCAGCTCTATTCTCTTGCTTTGTCTTCTGCTGAAAGAAATGTCAGCCTAGAACAGCCTTAAAAATGGCGTGACTTACCTGAAGCTGCTCCAAACGTTCCTGGGCAAGTTTGTGGATTTCTGCTAGCGGCAACATTGCCACGGTCTGAGGTAGAGATGACGGAGAGAGCTCAGGAGAAGGATCTCGAGGAATGATGCCATCGACTTGGAGAGAAGTCTTGGGCTTGTACCGGAAGAAGAATCGAGCGATGCGCTTGCTTCCATCTGGAAAAGAGTATGATTTCCGGGCTGTACTTGCGCTGGCATCTTTTTCGATTCCCTCCGAAAACCTAGTTGTCATATCATCAGTAAGAGTATCGGAAGCCAGTGTTGTGATTCTTACGATGTGCCGTGCGACAGGCTTTTGCCTTTCAGTGCCTTCTCTGCGATTTTCTCTGGCTCCTTCACTTCTCTCGAATCCCTCACTCCGCTCGGCTTAAAGCCCTTGAACTCGACACAATAGACAATCACTTCAATGATGCCGACTTTTTGTGCAATGAGTTCATCTGCTGCTAAACGTTCCGTACTTCCTTCGACTGGTTCATCAATGTCAGCAGTCAAGAGTCGATGAATGTAGGGATAGCAGCAGAACCACCTGTATTGATCGGTGCAAACTTGAATTGCCTGAGAATGACCTTGCCAGGTTTGCCTGACTTATCCTTGACACAGCGGATGAACGAAGCGATTTTTTGGTGTACCAGGTGGCACTTGTGATGGTATCGGGCAACGATGCGATTACCGTCTATGTAGAGAGCTACGGCCAGCCTGTTGTCTCCATCGATCCAACCCCGGCTGTTCTGAATCTGGTAGTGGATAGAGAATTTGGTGTCGACTTGGCTTTCGATGACTTTGGAGATCGTATGATTTGACGAGCCCGAGGATGAGGGGACTCCGGGGGGATCTGGGTCAACAAACTCGATGCAGTCATCATGTGATCCATTGATACGGATGGAGACCTTGATCTCAGGGAGGCTGTCAATTACTGCCATGACGTCTTCAAGACGTGGTGATGGGAGGGTGCTTTGAGAGTGGTTGTTCTTGATTTGTGACCTCTGATGTTCGAAGAGCCATGAAGATTGAAAGATCGAGGTCAAAGGAGGGGCGATGGTTTAAGGGGATTTTATAGGCATGTAGAAGGAAGGAGGACGAAGGTGACGAGGTGGAGTGGAGAGGGTATTTCAGCAAACGGAAGGAGCTTTGGAGGGCAGTAAGTCAATGGAACCGACGTAGATAGGAGGCATCCGAGAAGATTACAGTAAGGATAAACCTCTTGATATGACCAGGTTGGATTATAATGAATATGTATCTAACACTGCCCAAATTTAGGATGAAGTAACTTGAAACATGAGCCTCTCGAAACAAGACACGGTAAAAGTGAGGCCATTTAAGAAGATGATGCATTCAGAAGCTTACGAAGTGAGCCATGAACACCCTCCTTACCTCGAACTATTGACATGAATTTGAACTACCATGCCTTGTAGACAGTGGGAAAGCCAAAGTTATACAAAAAAAAAAAAAGCACTAGGCCTGGATGTCGAGGGGTTCTGAGGTCCAGCGGCCTTGACTAGTCTAGAAAGCTCTGGGTCTATGTCAAGGTTCCCATTCGACCCTCGATCGATCCATTCTTTTTCTTGTTTCTCGTTTAATTATACGGTCCTTTCCACGGACGGGCATTCGAGAGGATAGTATCTTAAAAATCACAGACACCTTTGATCCCGGCATGTCCAGAACGTCTTATTATGACTGCTCTGCCGCCTCGACTCGTCATGTTGAGGCCTCACTTCATTTTGCCTATTTTAGAGCTTAATGTATTTGGGGATCTACTGGCCTACCGATGTTGCATTCATGATATTACTGCTGTATGCTGAAATTGAGATCGTGTCGACGGACCTGATCCAAGCTCCGAGCTTCCTTCGATAATGGCTTGCCCGAGTCCGCTCTTTTCCCAGTGCTATCTAGCGAGGTTCGATGCACAGATCGGAATACGACCGGTGTAATGGGTCGTCAACGACAGGATACGGGAAGGACCCGTTTGCCAACCTGGAAGTTCAAATTTCTTAACCAAGACTCGTGGCTGGTGAAATGTCTCTGACTGACAGTACCAGTAGAATCATCGACCAAGATCTGGCGAGTAAAGATGGACCGGGAATGCCAGCTGCTTCACTTACAATTGGTAACATACCCCACCTCTGCCTGGGGCCAAACCAATCAGGCAGCGAGCGCAGCTCGATGTAAGGCGCCCCCCCACCCAATAATTACCTTTTCAGTCGCGTTCGCACCTTCTCCCCAACTTCACGTGGGTCTCATCGTCTCAACCCAGATTGACCTCATTCCACTCTTCCACATCACGGCACTACCTTAAGGTAACGACTGCACCAAGCAGGCCAAAACAATCTGCTCTGTCGGAAGGTATTTCAAGCGCAAGTTTGGGATCGTGAGGCAAGATGGTCGTCATTGACGAGCTCCCGGGTATAAAAGTTACGGTCCAAGTCAGCGGACAGGATGCCGTTGAGTACGACGACCTGGATGGCTTAGAGAACGACGTGAACCGCAAGCATGCCACACACCGGACCTTCAATTACGTCGAGTCCAAGGACGATGCCTACTTCTCCCTCAGGTACGAAGTTGACAACAGACACCGGTGGGAGAGCCCGGACCGCGCCTTCTCATTCGTATTGTACATCGACGGCAAGCGCATGGACGGCGTCGTTTGCGAGGCGACTCGCTTCCACCAAGTAGATCCGTTTTACAAATGGAGCACCGTTGCCGAGGGCTCTCGAGAACGTATAAGTGTCTCCCGCTGTGAACGTCTGAGCAAATTCAAGTTCTCCAAAGTCACCACGAGTAAGTTTGGTCACCCTTGGCAAGGCGCCTTGAGTGTTGCGAGTGCTGACTTGGCCCTAGTTGATGATGCTACCAAGGAGCGCGTTGAAGGAGACTCGAAGAAATCAAAGTCCCTTGGCGTCATCGAGGTCTTCATATACCCCATGGTCATCACAGGACTTCCGCACTACACGGAATCTGGCCGCCCCGACACTAGGAATACCGGCTTCGACATCGCGGAAAAGGCGCTCAAAGGCCGTGCTGTCTCTCACGGCACCTCGTAAGTTGACTCCCCTCTCATCCATGAGATAATAACACCTGTACTCACATGAATTAATAGCTTCACTGATGGTGGAGTGGTTGCCCAGAGAATCTGTGTACGCGGAGAATTTCTGAACGGCGGTGACCCGATCGCGTGCTTCATGTTCAAGTACCGCTCCAGGGGTACGATACGCAGGCCCAGCTCTTCGCTCGACTCAACTTACGTTTTCCTAGATGCACTACAAAAGGAGCTCATCATACCTCGGACTCCAAGCCCCGAGGCCATTGACGAGCTTTCCGAAGCCGAAATTCGACGGCTAGCTGCAGAGCGCCTGGACGAGCTCAACGTGGGTCTCACTCTCGCAACTCTACCGAGAACTTGACACTGACTTGGTATAGAATGGACGTCGCTCAAACACCGTCAAGCGAGAGAGCAAAGGCCCTATTATCAAGCGCGAGTACGCCGAGGTCTACGATCTCACCGAGGAGCCTACCAAACGCGAATGGAAGAAGGTCAAGATCGATGCCAATAGGGAGGCTATTGACCTCACCGACGACTAGACCCATGCACATTCCTGTGCGTGCTCTGTACGTGCTCGTTCTTCGCACTCTCCACCAGAGCAGAGTGTCACGACAGCGATCCTCAATTTTCGGTGCAGCTTTTCCTTTGACGCGACAAAGCGACTTATGATTTTATTCGGTCTCTGAGAAGCATTGATGTGGTCTCCAACCACACTTAGGGGACATGGAGTATATTCAGGCTGACGATTTGGGAATCCCGGCCCCCGGCACGGCCCCAATGCGAGCAGCTTTTCGTTTCTGTGATTAGGAGTTCAGGGGCAAAGCACCAATTTATACCCTCTTATTGCACCTTATCCCACCTCTCCATAGTCGATTTGTCGAGAGAATACGAACCGCAGAATCATGCGTACGAATCATGAAATATACAATAGATTGCTTTTCCCAGTTTGTTTGTCCATTTGCCCCACTTTGTGCCCATGACATGCCAATCCTTCTGGTCGCTCTCCTATCCCATAACTGTATCTTCAGCCTCCTGAACATCCATGCTCTCCTGCTTCGCTTCATTCTTTTCCGCTTTGAGTATACTGACTGCCGCCTCCGCGGCTTTGACCTTGACCTCATCTCTAGAAATCCCTCCGTCGACCTCGACAACACACCGGTCGCCGACCATAACCTTACACGAAAACCGCTTCTCGCCGTCTTCAACCTCTTGCACGTCCAGAACGTACGTAACAGTCTTGTTGTCCGCCAAATGTCCCAACTCCTCCTTGGGGTGCAGCACGTGCACCTCGTCCCTCAGGATCCGATCCAGGTACTCCAGGATGCCGAACCGCTCCACGACCCCGGCGCAGACTTCCAAGTCTCCAGAGTCGACGTACACGGCGCCGAGGAGGGACTCGAAAACGTCGGAATAGAACTTGCGCAGTTGCATGCGTGCGAGGAGGGCCCAGGGGTACGTCGTGCCATGCTCCATTGCCTCAATCATCTCATCTCTGAGCGCGGTGTGCCGCTTTGAGACGTTGACCTGCTCGAGGCCGATCGCGGGGGCTTGGTGGCGCATGAATTTCCACAAGGGCAGCGCGAAGCGCGAATGGTGTAGCTCGGGCTCCTTACCACTGCTGCCGGCGCCTGTGACGATTACCTCGTCCTGACTGACTGACTGTTCTAGAGCTAGAAATCCGAGAAAGTCTCCATTGACCATTGCTGTTTTTAGGAGATGCATCGTCTGATGTGGAAGAGGGGGTTCGATGGTAAAGAGGCGGTTGACAATGACATAGTCCAGCACAGAGTCGCCGATGAACTCGAGACGTTCCAGGCAGCCCAGGGTGTTGCCGAGGTTGAAGGACGCGTGGGTCATGGACTGAATCAGCAGAGACTTCTTTTCAAATTCGTAGCCTATGAGCTGCTCCAAGGGCTCGAGGGTAGAGGGGAGTTCGATGTCAGAGGGAGCGACGTCGTACAAGGCCTGTCTGCAGTCATCCAGGGTTTTCCACTTGATCTGCTGGAGGAAGATGGACATGCACTTCAACGCTTTCGGTAGACCGCCGTCGATCATCGAGGCCCCGATGAGTGCTTCGACGATGTCAGCGAGCGTCTTGGTAGAGATCTTTCTCGTGGAGGTCTCCTCGCCGCGCTGGAGCATGTCGTCCACGTAGATGGGGCGCCATTTTTGCCCCGTGAAAGGCTTGGTGAGGATGAACCTGTCGAGGCCGTGCTTGATGGCCGCCTTGCAAAGGGTCGAGTTCGCGACAATCGCGTCTTTCTTGAAAGACAGGAGCCGTTCTGGCCAGTCCGGGTCTGGTCTCATGTTAGTTCTCCAATTCGTGCATAGCACGCCGGGTCACTGGAGATGGACTTACTCAGAGCGGCCACATTGATTGTGGCGGAGAACTTGAGAATAGAGTCACCCAGGAATTCGATGCGTTCATAGTTTGTGGGTTCACACGCGCTTCCCGCGCTGATGGCTGTGAGTACCAGAGACGGGTCGGAGATGGCCAACGGTCTCAGAATACCCATAGACAGCTCTCGCGCCACTAGGTGGGTTTCGATATGATGCAAGATCGACGGTATGAGAACACCAAACTGAGCGTACTTTGCAGGTATGTTATCCACCTTTGCCCACGGCATCGGGTAGACTCTGTTGTACGGCTTGACAGTGCTGGGGCCGTGACTGGGATCGCTCTGTGGCCGATGAAGAAAGTCTGACCTGCGGGACCACTTCTTGAGAGCTAGGTAAGGTACGTCCTCTGGAGCCTTTTCGAATTCGTAGAACATCTTCTGCACAGATTCGGGTGCTGGTTTGTTGGGGATGACGTTGTCGTACGTATAGGGGGAACCAGACTGGTCGCGTATGAAACAGGTCAGATCGTGGGCTGACATCGCCCCCGGGACGAAGCCTTTGACGCCGATTTGATCGAGGGAAAGATCTCCAGCACCAACTGCGCTGAACCTTACGATCTGCTGGAGGCCGGCCGAATTCCAACGATGACCATACGGCAGAGCAAGAAGCACAGCTGTATCATCATTGCCGGCCAGCTCATCGATAGGAAGCTGCTGCCCGAATTCAAGTGACCAGGTGACGTTATAGCCCAGATAGATGGGTATCGTCCGCAGCCCAGGAACCCATACAGGGATTACCATTTCGTACTCTCCCTGGACAGCACCATCTGAGTCCTTGAGCAGGATCCGAGTTGCCCTTAGATTGTTACCGACTTTCCAAGCTTTGGCAACTCCATTCCAGGCATTGAGTAGGCCGTTGACCTGCAGAATAGCAGCTCTTTTGTCAATTCCAGGCACAAAATCCTCCGGCTTGAAAGGCAACAAGTTGTCGTTGATAAGTCCAGCCTCACGTAACTTGACATAGGCTTGAAAAGCAGCGTCTTTTGTAGCATTTTGTTCTGATTTCCAAGCCAATTCACTCTCGGCGCTACGAACCGAGGCTGGTAGATAGCTCGGAAGGTTTACGGTAGCCCGTAAGTCTGGCGCGCCTTTTATGATGGTCTCGTGAATGATGTAGTCAGGCCTCCAGTCGATATACTCTCCCGGAGATAATATTCGGCAGAGATGATCAAGATGTTGTTTTGCGTTATCGAGATCCAGAACAGCTCCTGTTTCTTGGACTCGGTAGATCATCTCTTTTGGCTCATCGGCCTGCTCGATTTCTTGGAGGCGTTCAAGTTCTCGCTCTTGGTCTTCGTACTGGGCCTTCATCTCCGCCTCCAGCATCTCCCATTCTTTCCCCAAACTTTTCGAGCGATCAAACAGCATCAAAAGCTTGGATTGTTTCTTCCGGGCCCGTCCGCGGCGTTGAATGAAAGACTTGAGGTTCGGCGGGTTATCGAAACAAAGGACCAAGTTACAGGCCGGCACGTCGATGCCTTCTTCGAGTACGCTGGTGGCAACTAACAGGTTGGTTCTCCCGGACCGGAATTGATGCAACGATCGCTGATCCTCGACTCTGGAGAGATCCCATATATCTTTCTTCTTGGCTTGGAACTGTGACGTGCCCATCATAGCACCTATTCGATATCGCTCTCGTAGCAACTTATGCGATGTAAGCAAATGACACAGAACAGCGACAGTTGCTCTTTCTCTCGCGAAAATGATACCAATGGTTTCGGGTTTGTCTTGTAACAATTTCTCAATGACAACGAGCACCTTATCCGAAACGACCTCACGACTGAGGTCATCTTCCGATGGGCATTGGCATTCGACTTGACTGAGAATGTGGAAGAGATATTGTTTCTCTTCATCCTTCCATGTGTCGAACCAGACGCTCTGGGCCCTGACTGCGGCCCTGAATCTCGAAATCACTTCCCAGATATAATATTCTGCGGCCCAAGGTCCTAGTTCGCTGGAGATATGATTTGCTTGGCGACCAAAAGAAGTCATTTGGTTCTGGATGTATGTGTCGTGACTTTTTAGAACTGAGATAAGATCACGCCGACTGCGATCTGTTCCCTCTGCTTGAAGGTATCGAACATAAGGGTCTTCCGAGATATCAAGAGACTGTATAGCTGTCCTCAAGCTTCGCAAGCTGTTCGGATCATCGAGCTCGTGTCGAGGTTGGAAAGATGCGTATGCCAGCTCTGGTTTATTGACAGCGGCAAGCAGGTCGTCCCGGTGCATTGTAGGGCTCTTGCAAACAGCATCTAGCGTGGCTTCGAGGGTGTTGATACTTTCAACTTTGGAACCGAAAGTCGGGCTTGCTGTAAGACCCAAGATGTGGGGAGTAGGGCGGCCTTTACGTTGTTCTTCATGATAAAAGAGCGACATGATCTTGGCTCCCGGAGACTTGCCGACGCAATTATGAGCTTGCTCGTATCGATTAGCCTGTACACTTGTCTAGATTTCGAAACCACATACCTTCGTCAAAGACGATTAGAGACAGTCTTGACATAGGCACAAACGCATGCGACAACGCGTCCAACAGGATCTGATACGTCGATACAACTATGCGCACATTGAGAAGAACTGCATCCCACACTTGCTGGTCCGACCATGAGTCCACATTATCGTCGCCACTGAGGAACTTGATCTGGACCTCTGGAATCTGGGTTTTGAGAACTTCAAATTGTTGATTACAAAGCGAGACCGTGGGGGCTAAGAACCAGACAATCTGCAGAGTTAGCCCGGGATAGAGAATCTGTATTGGACCTAACTAACCTGTTTGGATGACGTTCTCTCTATTTCTGCCCTTATTCGTAAAACAGCTCTGTAGAAGCCCATGTCAACATCACGCATCTATGCTTTTTCGGAGATAATCCACTTACACTTGCGTTTTACCACTGCCAGTGTCCATCTACCAAGTATTAGCTAATCCAGGGTTTCTTAGATTTTAATCCACAGGCTCGACGACACTTACAGCAACAACAATGTTTTGCCTCATACTTTCGGCCAACATCTCGGATTGGTAGGCTCTCGCATTCATGATGACCGAGGTGCCTGAGGCGGGCTCAGCTAGAGGCGAAGAAGCCTCATTGCTCAGGAACAACTCCTCGGCGGCGGCCGAGAGTGTCTCCTGGTTATGAGGCCCGAGGACCGGCGCACTGGCAGGCACCTCATCTTCCAGAGGATCTGCACCCTCGCCGGAAGATGATGGTGAATGGTCAGCCATTGTTCGTATGGTTCTAGCGTGGACCTCAGGACCCAGTCTTAGGGTCCTGACCACAGTCTTGGGAAGCGTGGTACTTCGGGAGAATCCAAGTGAGCCAAGCAACGGTACACTAGCACGCTCAAAGTACTGGGGTACAATGACAAGACTCGCCCAGCAGTGGGGTGGTCGGTATGAGTCAAAAAAGATGTCTAAGTTTAAATGACGCGGCTCAAAACGGAAAATTGGCCAAAAATTGCGACGCGGGGACCAGGATTCTTGGGGCTCGATGCACAGCACCGCGGGGCGCCTGGGATTTCTGTACACTTTTTGCCGTGTGCGGTGGGCGCGATGCATGCGTGACTCGGCGATGATTGCCTGACGACAATTGTTGACTTGGTCGTAAATATGGCGATGATGCCGTAACCCGGAGGTTGGGATCCCTGTGAAGAATGGCGTCGCAGTGGGTGCCTGGATGGCGTTTGGGAACGTTTGCCGATTGTTTGCTTCTTTTCCCGCAGCAAATGAGTCGGGAGGAAAATTGAGACCTCGAGGCCACACGTATCCGTGGCATGCTATCCATATTTGCACTCGCAAGCCACCACGCACTCCAACAGGGTGGTTGTGTTGAGTTCAGGGACTCTGCAGGAGGCCGGCGGCCCACATCTGCGGAGGACGTATACCACTTCGCAACGCACTTACGCGCCGTGTCAAAAGAGACATCTTGGCGCTCGGAGTGAACTTTTGAACTAGAAAACAGGGATCGATGTATGGCGATGGAGCAAACGACAGCCTAGGGCTCGGGGTACCACGTCCTAGACTCGAATAGCCGAGGTCCTGCTCCGTATGGCAGCTCTGATTTGCTTAATGTGTCCAGCATAGGAGATGCTGATGATGAAGTCGATAGGAAGAGCAAGGTACAACTCGGACGAAAGAAAGAGCGAGTCTGACATTGGTTCCCGACCAATCAGTCTTGCATTTCCGGCAGAGTTTGGGAGATCAGGCACCTTGCGGTTATCCGTAGTGACGGATATTGGCCTGGACCAGCCAGCTATTTAGGCTCGCTGACGCTCCGAGAGTTCCCACAGTCACCCGCATCCACCCCGGCCTGGGGTCTGGCCCAACCGGGTCCGATGCCGAACTCATCGGTTTTAATCCTCCGGAACCCCGAAACTTGGCTGTCCGGACTCTGATCGATTCCAGGTCCGGCACTGTAGCTGCAACTAGCTGATGCCCCCAACAAGACTTGCGTTGGTGCCTTGTCAAGCCGAGAACAGCGACTTTTCCGCTTTGAAGACTAACGCGGCGTCGGCGTCGGCATCGGCTTCGGACCGGAGCCTCCCAGGGTTCTTTATCCGATCTTCCAAGGTACATGTTCATCTAGGATGCCAGCCTGTAGCCACATTCAAGCCAATTTTTGATTAGCAATCTCAACTCGAGATTCCACCCTTCTCTGCAATTGATGGCACTGTGGCGAAATGCAGCGATACTGGGCCTGCTTCCTTCATGCAATAGAAAATCGTGTGAACTTTTGTTCGAATCTATTCACATGACGGTGAAAACCACGAACCTTGGCCGCAAGTTGCAGATCACAGCTTGATTCGTAGAATCCTGAAAATTGGAAGGGTGTGCGTTGAAGTTTACTTTGACTTGCTTGGTTGAAGTCGCAATGCTGTGCCGCCCAGGTGCGATTAGCTTAATGCAAGACCAGGCTCCTCGCATGCGGCTTACTGCTCCTGAATTAGTCTAGACGACTGTAGACCGCCGCTGGAAAGTGTCATCTGCCTGGTGATTAGGCACTTGAGGCACATCGGATGACCGGTCGCAAATGCTGTCAAGTGGGACCATCAGGTGACTACCTTATGTAGGTTGCTGCGGCCCAGCAATTAGCGAACAGTTTCAGGTTCCCACAAGCCAATGAACTGACTGTGAGAGGCGGCCGATTGTCTCCTGCGTTTCTTACTTAACTTCGGCAGTAAGGGTCTTGCAGCTGCTGCCTGATATATGGCAGCATTCGACTCGCCGACCAAGATTTCTGTGACTGATAATTACCAAGCGACGCCGCAAGGTCGGTCTGTTCCAATGCCAACATCTGCAGTCCGGACAGCAGCAAAGACAGCTCGCATTTTGCCTTGCAAAGAGGACTTGACACCCAGAGCCAGTCGGCAATCATATCTAATCATAATTGCAATGTGCTTCGCCATATCGTCATTGCAGGTCATCCATTGAGTCTAGAGCTCGGAGTTCTCATGTGTCCCCATGTCTCTATGCTGTTCTATGGTACAAAGTAAGACCGTCCTAGCCGTTACGGAAATTACAAGTTCGTAAGATAGTCCTCGATCTCCTGGGGACTGAGCTTCCTGAAACGAGGACCCTTGGCACCCTCGACTCCCTCGATGCCGAGCAAGTGGTCCGCCGGAGGACCAATAATACCTACGCTTCGAGTTAGACACATGCTCAACGTGGAACTTCGAATACTTACCAATCTCAATGGTATCTCCGTTCATCTCTCCCTCAATGGTCTCCTTGAGTGTAAGTAGCGCAATGTGCACGGCGTCCTCAAGCTCTAAGCCCTCAGTGTATCTCTTCTCCAGGAACGTCTTCGCAGACGTGGCGCTCTTGCCAATCGCCGTCGCCTTCCAAGGAAAGTAGCTGCCAGAGGGATCAACCTGGTACAGCATGGGACCACCCTTCAGAGTGCCACCGGTCTTGCCTGTAGGCTTCTTCTCCTCGCCCTCCTTGGTCTCGGTCTCGTCTTCGGGCAAGATACCCTCATCCCAGCCGGCAATAAGCAAGCTGACACCGTAAGGTCGGACACCGCCAGACTGAGTAGCCTCCTGCATGACCCGAGCAACATCCTGCACCAATATCCGCGTAGGCGGGTATTCGTTATAAATGCGCTTGTATCCGGTGTGCGATACCTTGCGAGCCTTGTCCACCAATATTCTGTAGTCGGGCCCCATGCCTGAGTACACCATGCCGATGTCGGGGGTGACAAGGCTGATCTTGGACAGCGAGCTAGGGTCGGCAAGGGGCGATGATGACTTCTTCTCGGTCGCAAGAACGATACCGTTGGTGGCTGTCGAGGGGTGAGCAGGGGTTGCGGAAAGAGGGGCAATTCGACTTGCCTTTGATACCAAGGGCGGTGACGCCCTGGTTGACGGCGTTTAAAGCATATTCTAAATGGCTGTCAGTCCTGCTAGTCGGGGTTCCGTCTCGTTTCTGTAGCTGGGAAGCATCGGTGGGGGCTTTATTGGAGCATACCAATCTGAACCAGCTTGCCGCTATGATCCATTAGCATGCGGACGTCATAGGATGGGAGCAAATGATTTACCTGGGCGAGAACGTCGTCAGCGAGAAAGAGTAACGGTCGGCCATTGCTTGATTATTTGATTGTGCGGTCGAGGTATGTTTTCAAGTAGAGTGGTCGAGGAGGATGGGAGGTGGGTTGGCTGCGGTCAAACGAGGTGAGGCTGTCAGAGCTACCAAGCTCTCCCTCCTAGGCAACTCGCGCCGCGTCAAGCTGCCTGAAGCTGGGCGCCGTCTGGGGAACTGGCAGCACGTGACATATCCGGCTGTGGTGTTGATCCGGTATCTGTCTGCTGACGTAACTGGGCGACGGTAGAAGCTATGACCACCTGGAGAAAGCTCGCAATAAAGTGGTGCTGGAATATTCTTTTTCGCTGCCGGTGCTCTTTTATCCCATGCCATCCCAAAGATCTTATTCGCTTGGCACAGCTTCTCCGAAAGGACAGTTGGCCAGGTCTTGATACTGCCTAAGCTAATTCCTGCCATGTAGGCGCTGCTGCATTTGGTCACGTTAGGCCAAGTTCCCAACCCCGAGCCAACCGGCCTTTTCGTCCAAGTCTTCTGTTGCATTTCTTCCTCTCACAGCATAGAATCACATCAGCAACGCGGCACGGAAAGCTCAATGCTTAGAAGGAGCATCAAAGCCCCGACGTCTCCAACAATCGGTTTTCACTCTCCACCATGGATGCTGCGAAGCCTCGGTGGAATTGGCCGTCTGACCTCCCACCGGGCAACAGCCCTTCTGCAGCCGACGTACCCGGGAAGTCAGAGCCTGCCAAGCCTGTTGATCAGGACCAAGGGCACAGAGACAATCCCCGGGAGCAATCTCAGTCTCAGCCCAAGCAAAGATTCTACGGACCACGAACATGTCGGATCTGCTTCGAGTCGGTTCATCCCACTTTTCAAGAGCCAAATGTCATGAGTGGCTTCATGAATTCACGTCCACGACCGGTCTATAAATCCGACGATCCCGATTCCGGGCGGCTCATATCACCATGCAAGTGCAAGGGGTCACAACGCTACGTCCATGAGGGGTGCTTGCAATCATGGAGATACGCCGATTCGACAGCCACACGGCACTTCTTCGCATGTCCCACTTGCAGCTACCAGTACAAACTAGAGCGATTGTCTTGGGCGAATCGTCTGCAGGGGACTTTTGCACAAATACTACTAACCATCCTCATCTTCGTCGTTTCGGTATTCATCCTGGGTTTCATTGCGGATCCGATTTTGAACCTCTGGACTGATCCCATGGGCGCAATCGCCGACATGGCTGCGAATGTTCTCGACGACATCGAAGCAATACACGAGCCTGTATCCGAAATGGGCGAGGAGCCTGCAACATGGCTGGAACACTTCCTCAAAGGTTTCTTTTCCCTCGGACTACTTGGGTTTGTCAAGTCTCTCTTCGCCATGACGCCCTGGCAATGGTGGAATTTGAGGTCCAGTGGTATCCTTGGTACTTCTGGACGTCGAGGAGGGACTGGTCGCGCGCGTGTTGAGAATATCAACTTGGGTCTTGTCGTCATAGGCGCCGCGACGTTTCTGTGGGGAGTCTGGAAGGGCGTGAGAAAGTTCAGTGCTTCAGCTCTGCAACGTGCGAGCGACAGAGTCTTCGATGTCGGTGGTGACGATGATGAGGACGAAGATATCAAGGAAGACTAACACAGGCCGGAATGTGGAGAAAAGCAAACATTCTTTATTACTCAAGAGACAGAACGCCTGCAGCGCCGTGTGTCACGAGACCGCGATGCCACCCGCACACTCTTAAGTTGCCTCGAAGATTCTCTTCCATATCGTGTCAACTAGTCTGTGTGCGGAGAACAAGTCCCCGCTCTGTCTTTGAATTTGACCGTTTTGGTCAGATTCACTTTGGACACGCGGAAGACATCAGACTGCTATCAATCAATCAACATTCTGTTGGCTGAAGATGCCGACGACAAGTCTCAATACTCTTTGAGTTGGCAAACGCGCAGGCTGATACACGCAAGTCTCATGGCAATCAATGGCTTAGCCAGCTTAGCCAATTTACTGGATAATAACGATGAACATGAATAATCTTTTGCATGCAACATTTCCACTGCCAGAAACTGATAATGAACCGCCTGCACAGTGAAGTTCTGTGACGGTGGATCAAATCGAGTGTCTGAAATGGATTTTTTCCATCTTTTTTGTTTTAAACAACTTGAGCAACGTCCAGCTTCACAGCACCACCCCGCGGAGAGCATTAGGTTTAGGTTGTCATCGCTTTGGTAGTGGGGAACCAGCGTAACCCTTGACAGGAGGGGCTCGGGGGACCAGGGATCGCCCGACCGGACAATAATACTACCGACCGGGCCAATGATTGATGGATTTCGATGTGGTCCAGATCTAGAGTTCCCAAAGTGGATCTCGAATTAAACGAAGCCATGGTATCGCATTCGTGTTCAGCAGTCGTACATCGACCGCTCGCCCTCGCCCTTGCACCACAGCTTCCCTTACAAAACTTTTACTCTCCAAGGTGTCGCCTGGACTTCTCGAGGACTCGACGTGATGCGCCTGTTTGGATGACGCCCTGCGAAAACCCCGACGATCATTTGGCCTCGACTATCCACGACACTTTCCTCCCTCCTTTCGGTGTCAAGCCTCCTGTCGCAACAGCCACACTCAGCGTCTACTTTCGTGTTCGACCGCCGACGAAAGTTTCTTTAATAAGCGACCGTCATTTCCGGGACATTACGGCGTCGCATCTCGACGCTGGTCCAATTGCGACAACACGCTCGATCGATCGCGGGCCAACGGGCTCTCCCTTTGAACTAATCACATAATTCGACACGATGCATTTCGCATACCCACCACGAAAGAGCTCGAACCCGCCTCCCTTCAAGGCGAGATCCTCGAGGATACCACCGGTCCTTCGACGCAGCAGGCTGAAGGTCATCGCGGCAGGCGCCCTTTTATTCTTGGGCTTCATATACCTTCTCTCAGGGGCCTTCAAGTCGCCCCGTGGCCCTCGAGTACCTTCTGGCGACCCACCCGTGGTAATAGTGACAGTGCTGGATGAGGTGAAATTCAGCAATACCTATCTGGCAAGCATTCGCGACAACAGGAAACAATATGCGCAGTTACACGGTAGGCATGCATTGGTGCATTCTGGTGCTGCATATGCTGATTGTCTTTGTTCCAGGCTACGAGGTGATGTTTGTCAAGGCGGGCGATTACAATCTGAACGGTTCTCCAGCATCATGGAACAAAGTGGTATCGCTGAGGCATGCAATGACAACGTTCCCAGAAGCCAGATGGTTCTGGTACCTCGACCAAGACGCCTACATTATGGACCCAGAGACGACCCTGGAAAACTTGCTGTTGAAGTCAGAGAGACTCGATGCTTTGATGGCTAGGGATCACCCGGTTGTGCCTCCCGACAGCATCATCAAAACGTTCCCTCACCTAAGGGGCGACGATATCGATTTCGTTGTTACTCAAGACAGAGAAGGTCTATCTTCAAGCAGCTTCTGCATCCGTAATGGCGAGTGGGCGAAGTTCTTCATCGACACCTGGTTTGATCCGCTGTACCGCAGCTACAACTTCCAGAAGGCCGAGGGGCATGCTTTGGTGAGTTTACAATTACTTCTTCACTCTTCTACGCCTCTGAGCCACGTCTGACCATCCCATTAGGAACACATCGTTCAGTGGCATCCCACCATCCTTTCCAAACTTGCCATTGTGCCGCAGAGGATATTCAACTCCTACAATCGATACGAAAAGGGGGAGATTTACAAGGAGGGACATTTTGTTGTCCGGGCAGCCGGCTGTACCGAGTCTGGAGAGCGGGCCTGTGACGAGGAGCTGAGCAGTTTCAAGCCGAAGTGGCAAGCGGCCTTCAAGGCGCAGTAGACGGAGAGATAGGAGAGAGTAAGTCCTGTTCCCACCAGAGGACCCAGGCACAGAGAAGCTCCAGGCGTTTCATTCACCAGGAACCATGAACTCGGCATTTCAAGTGTACAAGAGCTGGACGAGGGCGTTTATTTTGGTTTGGGGTGATCATCTCATGAGGAATTTTGTACGGGGGTCACTGACAGACGGTCAAGGGCCTTGGAGGCTACCCGGTGGCATGAGCTTCTCGCACGGCGCTCATGAGGGTTGTTATGCTTTTCTCTCTTGATCCTGTCGAGATGATGACTCGTTTTGACGACTGAAGACTTGCGTCTTGTTGTGTTTTGTATACCATATCGATAGACATTGGCCATCCTGCCAGAGTGCGGATGCTAATACGGACTTTGTTCGCAACTTTCCACACTGTTGACAAGCACTTGCCTTGAGTGGCGATCAGCATGACAAGACCGTCTCCACGTGGGGTAACTTACCCCAGGAGGATGTGTAATTGCTTGACACGGCGAGTTGGACAGGGAAGACAGCCTTATCAACCAATGAGGAAGAGCCTATGCGCAAGTCGAGGGTTGTTGATGCACTTCTACGATTCGGCTGCAAGATTGTCATCCGCTAAGATCGAGGAGCCGAGCAGCGCCTGGATCCGCTTGGATCTCTCGGACGTTGGCGCTGTCGATGTGCCGTGGTTGAGGCTGAGCGCATGGCCACTGTGTCGAAGCTTCTTCACCATGACACCGATCGAGGTTGACTTCCAGCACTATGGGTGATGCGCAACCTGATTCAAGCGCTAATGTCTTGCGATTCCGCACCCGTACTTTCCAGTGCCAGCGTTATGCGAAGAGGCAAAAGGGCGGCTCTCAATGGTTGGAAGGGCGGTTTCCAAGTGGGGTCGGATCCATCAAGCCGGGAGACGGGTGCCCGCGGACCCGGTCGCGCCCCGCTATAGTGGACCTTGTCATCCCGGAGCAGTCCGCGGACGGACAGACATGGATGACTTTCTAGGTTGTTTTAACAGATAATGCTCACGTATCATGAACCAAAGACGGAGGGTTTCGGTAAGCCGAATCAACACCTATCACGCAAAGAGGGGTCAGGGTAGCAGCAAAAGACTGGCGATCTGGACGCAAAGTCATGCGTACATCGGACACGTTACCCAATCGGCCGAGTTTGAAGGTCCTTGGTTCGCATGGGAATTGTCGTCACTTATCGGTCGCCGCGATAAGATGACGGGCACGTCGCGCGGAGCGCGGTGCGCGGTGCGGACTGCCCTCTTTTGGCCGGAGGTGTTCATCACTGGCCGTTCCATCTCGACACTGACACCTCGCATTGAGGAAGAGCCCAAGAGGAAGCCATCGGTTCATTGTGAATTCAACCTTGGGTGACGTCCCGTCCCCAAGTCGACGGCGTAGGTATGTGCTATTATTATCAAATTGGAATCAATCCGCCGGTAATGACCTGTCCGAACGGCGCGTGAATGCTGCAGCCAGCTGGACGCGGACGCCGTGGGAAACAGGGCTCATCTTGCTCGGAGTGGCGCATGTGACAGATAGACCGGATGGGCGGCGCTCCAAAAGGTACTCCGCTATCTTCGATGCACTGACAGGGGTAAACGGCGCTAAGAAATAATCAAGAAGACGCCATGCCCCACGATTTCCTGCTCCTCGGGATCCAGTCGTTGGCTCTGCTTACCACGGCCAGAAGCTCAAACGCTCTAGGTCCTTGACCCCGGGCGCCGGTGATGCTCCTGCTGGGCGCTGTTAACGTCGGAACCTTCCAACTCCTAGCCTTGATCTTCGTCCAGTCTCCAATTTATTTTTCTCTTGAGCCCCCCGCGTTCACCTTCTACTCCGCGCTTTTATAAATTGTAATCGCATCCACCCGTTTTCGTCTCTACTTCCCAACATACTTATTCTTCACTTTTCCCATTGCTTGCTGTTGCGAACCGTAACATCCCACCACGCTTGAGTTCAACAACGGCAAACAACACGATGCCCGGCAGCTCCCGCATCCCCGCAAGCCTACGTGAGGGCTTGAATCAAGTCAAGCGCAGTCGGCAAGCGAGTCCTCTGCTAGTCCTCAACCTCGATTTGTGAGTTGCCAATGCTTCTGTATTTCACTTCGGTCACTCTCCCGAAGTACCTCGGCATCGGCTGATTAGGGGGGCTCGCTGTCTATAGATTGCGCAACATAATCTTCTTCTTCTTCGTCTGGCGATGGACGCGCAAGACTTTCCTTCAGCTCAAGGGCCGCGGCCTGATTGGTAGCATCGTCGAAATCTACATTGATATCCGCAGAGTCCTGTATGGCTACTTCCTGCGCGCCCCCGGCGTCCGCGGCCAGGTTCAGAAGCAAGTCAACGAGTCGATGGCGAAACTGCAGTCCAAGATGATCCCCGCGAATCTTACCCGATACCTGACCCTTCCAAAGGAGGGCTGGTCCGAAGACGAGGTCCGACAAGAGCTCGACACCCTGGCGAACATGGATCATACGAGATGGGAGGATGGCTTTGTCTCAGGCGCCGTCTACCACGGTGAGGACGAGCTGATGAAGTTGCAAACTGAAGCTTTTGGCAAGTTCACCGTAGCGAACCCCATCCACCCTGATGTGTTCCCGGGTGTCAGGAAGATGGAGGCCGAGATTGTGTCCATGGTACTCTCCATGTTCAACGCTCCTGCCGGTGCTGCCGGTGCCACCACGAGCGGTGGTACTGACAGTATCTTGTCTGCTTGCCTGGGCGCCCGCCAAAGAGGTTACTTTGAGAAGGGCATTACCGAGCCCGAAATGTACGTTGTCTCTGTGAAACTACTTTCCCTCTGGTTCTCGTCATTGACACGCATCAGGATTTTGCCCGAAACCGCCCACACTGCGTTCCGCAAGGCCGGTGACTACTTCAAGATTAAGATCCACTACGTCGCCTGCCCCGCGCCCAGTTACCAAGTCGATGTCCGTGCCGTCTCCCGCCTGATCAACAGTAACACGGTCCTGTTGGTTGGTTCCGCACCAAACTTCCCCCACGGTATCATCGATGACATTGGCGTTTTGTCCAAGTTGGCTATCAAGAAGAAGTTGTGCCTCCACGTCGACTGCTGCCTCGGTTCCTTCATGGTCCCCTTCTTGGACAAGGCCGGCTTCGAGACCGAACTTTTCGACTTCCGTCTCAAGGGCGTCACGAGCATCAGTTGCGACACCCACAAGTACGGATTTGCCCCCAAGGGCAATTCCACGGTTTTGTACAGATCCGCGGAACTCCGCAAGTACCAGTACTACGTGTCGCCAGACTGGTCTGGCGGTGTGTACGGCTCTCCTGGTATGGCCGGCTCGCGTCCAGGTGCCCTGATTGCCGGCTGCTGGGCCAGTTTGATGAAGGTCGGTGAGGCCGGCTACATTGACGCGTGTGTCAAGATCGTCGGCACTGCCAAGAAAATCAGCGAGACGATTCGCGAAACACCAGCGCTGGACAACGAGTTGGAGATCATGGGCAAGCCTCTCGTGTCCGTTGTCGCCTTCACCGCCAAGAACCTCAACATCTACGACATTGCCGACGGCATGTCAGAGAAGGGTTGGCATTTGAACGCTCTCCAGAACCCTCCCGCGATCCATGTTGCCGTTACTCTGCCAATTACCAAGGTGTACGGGAAGTTGTTGGCAGATCTTGAGACTGTCGTCGAGACCGAGAAGGAAAAGGAGAGAGTTCGTGTCGTTGAGGGCAAGGGTGCCAAGGGCAAGGCCGTCGGCGACTCAGCCGCTCTGTATGGTGTTGCCGGATCCCTGCCAAACAAGAGCGTGGTTGTTGACTTGGCCAACGGCTTCTTGGACTTGTTGTACAAAGCATAAAGAAGGAAGCAGAAATTGGTTGGGAGTCTTGTAAGTGCATTAGCTGGCGAGCATTCGATCTCGATTCGGGGTGGACAATGCCCCCAGAACATATAACGGTGTAACATATTTATTTATTCAGCAATTTTTTATTTTGTATACCAAGTTTAACCGATGTCGCTCTCATTTTGCGTTGCTGACCAGACGAGGCTTATGGAGCTAATGGGGATTAGCTCGCCGTTGCCCAAGCGCGTCCGGCTCGAGGATCGGGACGGGGCGACGGGACCCCCACATGTTCAAGACACGAACGAGTTCGTTCGGAGGCTTACACTCCCACGAACCGAGTCGTCTCATTTCATTGCTATCAGGATTTATTTTTTTTTCCTCTAAAAGGGAGGCTAGGGTTTAGTCAAGACTACCGCTCTGACCACAATTCAACAGCAAACGCGAGTGCTGAAGACTCATTCGGCCCACTGGCTGCCAAAATCGGGATTGCATCTCGATTGAAGCGGGCTGCCGCGCGGACATGCGAACCACTTCTCTCAGAATCTCGGTGGACGCCTTGCCGCGGATGGCCAGCGGGACATCCGGGGCGTTGCGGCCCAAAACCGGGGGCAACCCATGATATCGTTCTTTGTCTCCTCCTGCACTTCGCATGCAGCATCCCACACCGCACCCTGGGAAGCTTCCGCGTCGCATCCAAAGGGTTTCTTTCCCCCGAAACTGCGTCTCAAGTCGAGGCCAGCGGTCTGGTCGGGGACCGCTTGGTGGCACCGCAACAAACTCCAAAACAAAACCTGGCGACGGGACGCCCGCGCTGACTACGTTCAGGATCAACTGGCAAACATGGCGTCGCCTGACTTGGATTGTACAACGCGATTCAAGCCAAAATATCTTGAGCGACACAGAAACAAGACTTGGGCGAAGCACCTCGAAACGACGGGAATAAGAAATTTTGGCACAGTTTTCATCCCAGACGGAAACTTTCAGCTTCCCGAACGCGTGTGGCCTCAAGATCAAAACCTTCCCGATGTCATCGCACCCTCTGATGAGGGCAGGTCCTGGACACCCTGACGAGGATAATCCACCAGGCGACGTCCCTTTCATCTCAGCTTCCTATGGTGACGCATCGAAACGTGGCCAATGTGCCGTGTACCAGGCCTTGACATTGCCATGCTGACAACTTGTGGCCCAATGAGACGAGGATGGGCCTTGTTGAGGGAACGGCGGAAGACAGAAAAGGGCAACTTTGTGTGGTTCTACGCTACCTTCGCCCGACTCATTTGTACGAGCTACCACTGCGCACAGCCTGCTGATTCCCATTCTTCAATTACGCCATTTTCTCCTCCTATCTCCCGTAAGGGCCGTGAGGGGAACACTATATTTTTATCTCGCATTTTGAAAATGCACATTTCCGCATCATCCATGCCGCTCGCGGTGTTGCCTCCGTGATTGACCGACCCTCACTACTTCGTGCTGCACCTTATCAACCCACCTGACGTGAGGAGGCTAGATGTCAACATCTCATTGGGGAGCCCTCTCCAGTATCCTCTCGGCGTCCGAAGGGGATATGGGTCTATAACTATTCCCGCGTGTTCCGTGTTTAATTCACCGTCGTCTCGGTCTGCCCCCATTTCGTCGTCCATTTGCTCGGTATATACGGCTGTCCTTGCTATCGCGTCAACGGCCCAATCGCTTCTTCCGGCCCCCCTTCAACACCTACATGCCTGTTTGTCTCGTACAAACGATATAGTGCGAGCTTTCGGACGTTCGCATGCTGCGGCAGACGGCATATCCTACAACAACATCGGCGCCCGCCATGACTTCCTCTCTGGCTGGGAAGGCCGTGCGACCAAGGCTGAACACTACGACAAATTGGTCTCTACCGAGAGATCACGCGGGCCGTCCGGAGCCGGAAGAGCTTTCCCCGCTGTCACCGGAGCGGGCTGCTGGAGAGTACGGCTGGGGACAACAAAAGGAGAGCCATGGTCACGGAAATGGTCACGAAAACCGTGTAGATGAACAAAGGGGCTCGGACAGCTTGATCATGGAGACGCTCACTTCCAGACCTCGCGATAGTCTTGGCAGTATGTCATCTGACATGTTGGAGGAGTTGAGGAAGATCATCAAAGAAGAAGGTCAGTCTTGTTTAGTTGTCTCTTTGCAAGAATCGAGTTTACTGAGAATGTTGTCAAGTTGCTCAAGTCGTTCAACTGAAGTCCAATGAGACCGGCACCCCCATCGACATATCTCGGCTTTCCCCCTTTTCCAGTCGAAACTCTGTCTTCACCCCGGCGTATCCTAGCCCTCCGCCATCAATCATTGCCGCACTCGGCACCACCAAGACTTCGTCGCCAATGGATCACAGCCCGGAATTCGCCCACGCCAAGGCTGCTTCGGCGCTTCCTCCGCAGCCGCCGCCGCCAATTTCGGTTCCTGTACCAGCACCCCAGTCCACCCCGCCCATTAGTCCCGAGCAAAGGGCCGTTCGCTTTCGAAATAGGGCACCGCCGGTCATCCATTGCCAACCGCGTGTTGAATCGGATAATGAAGATTCTGTCTCGCCGACTGCTCCTGCGGCGCCGCGCGTTGAGTTAAGTAGTGTCGACAAGGCGTGGGGCGTTTTGTTTGACTCGGAGGGATATCCTACCAACCGACTGAACTGCGTGCTCAGAGGCCTCGCTAACTACATGGTACTACCATCCATCGCCTCCTTCATAAATACATAGCTGATAACATTTTCAGATTTCGGACTTTGGGCCTCCGGATACACTCGTCGTTACCCCTGAGAAGATGCTCATGTTGTACACTAAATACAAGGTCGAACCCGAGAGGTTTCAATATGAAGGTAGAAAGACTTTCCACCGATGCCTCAGAAGCGGCTGCTGACATACCACAAAGGCATCTTCAAGTCAAGGGGCAAGGAATCATTAGAGCGAATTGAGTTCCTGTATCAGGATTTAGACTGCCAGTACCATCTCGTCCAGGCCGCACCCAGATCTGACACCAACATACCCGGCTTGACCCCGGCCGGTTTCGCCAAATGGATGATCAGCAACATCCTCGCATACCCAGACCCGGAAGCCAGACGTCTGCACGCCATCATGACTGCCCTGCCCATCAACGCCGACGGGCCCCTCCTCAACGGCAAACCCGAGAGGCTACCCAGACAGCTATCTCGGCACCTGTTCCCAGAAGCCTACGATCAAAAGGTCCGCAAAATCACCGACGCAGCAATGCGGGATTGCCTAGAAGACATCGCACCGCCCCTGCCCTCCATCCCGCGATCTCGACCGGGTCCCGGTCCGCCGCCCCAGGACGCAGCGAGGCTCCCCGAGGCCAATACGCACACCCGCCGGTCTGCGAGCGACCTCAAGCGTCCCGCGTCCCTGGAGCACCGGTCCAGGACGTACGATCGCGGCAACCACCGCGTTGAGCAACACCCGGCCCGACTCCCACGCGCAAACTCGGACACCGGCGCTTCTCTGCATAGACACCGCGACTTGCCGCCCCCGCCGGTGGGACGCCACTCGGTCTCCTCCCAGAGACAGCGCAGCCCAGCGCCGACGAACCGGTACACCGCCTCGCTGCCCTCCATCTCGCAGCATCGCGGTAGCGGAGGCGGTACGGTGTCGCCTTTGTCACAGGTTGCGCCGTCATCTTTGTATGATATCCGCGGCGGAGGCGACGCCCACTACGGGGTGTACTCTGGTCGGGACCGGGATGGCCATCGCGGTTCGGACTCGAGGGATGAGTCGCCGCGGTCGCCGCGGTCGCCGGGCTCTGGGAGACGGGGCGGCGGCGGTGGTGATAGAGGTCCTACGTGGGAGGATGTGTTTAGTCGCAAGGGGTCTGCTGGTGGGAGGGGGTCGAGTGTTGACGGGGGATCCCATCGGTCGTTCCGGTGATTTGGGAAACGTTGGTGCTGTTTGATTGAGAGCGTGCTCGAGGCTACCGACGACTAAAAGGAATGTTTTGAGGGGGTGGGGGGGATGAATGAAGAAATGACAGTAACGACTTATGCCCTTCTCTTTTGTCGTGGGATGTCTAGCTGAGGGGATTCAGGCCGATTAGTTTGCTGGGGGAAAATTTGACTGAGGAAGGGCTGTATGATTTGAGGATGGTTGTATGCTGTAAGGCAACGCTGCGAGGATAATTCCTCAGAATCCGTTGAGACGTTTCCAAGGTTGCGGAGGCGATGCCGAGTTAACAAGTCCTCGAACTGACTGGGAAGGTTGACCACAGCAAGAATCAGGAGCGATAGCGGCTAGATTTCTACGGCCGTCAGGGGAGTGTGGATCTCTTACAACGTCTCGACTTATGGACGGTTGCTACGGGAAAATCTCCGCGTACGTCGTTGGACATAGCTATCCTTAATATTTGTTTCTTGGCGAGTGCCCCAGAGAGGCGGGGACTACTGTCTCGAACATGGCATTACCGATGAGGAAAACGCGCAGTACTTGACGGCGAGTCCACTCAAAAGTGGCGGAATACGAAGATGCTTTATGGTATTGATGGTCTGTGTACCGTCTTTATGGATATTTATAGTGTACATTTGGATTTCCCAATGCTTCAAGTAGCTTTATGCTACAAACAGTGATGCCAGATTCGGCCCAGACTCAGAGACCCTCTGAAGTTTAGATGTCCCCAAACACTATGTGAACTATGATTAGCTCATCGCAGCTCCGAGATATTCCTAGCGGCCGACTTTACTGAAATGAGCGCCTTGTAGGCGTCTCTTAGCTTTGGCATGAACAACTGGCTCTTTGCTCTCCCAGTCTTATGAACTATCGACACTTCCGGACGGCACAACCTTGCTCCTGACGACCTTTCCGTTGATGGCCATCTTTCTCTTCTTCACCGACTTCTCATTCTGAATCCCCAGAAACCCCGCCAAGACTGCCCGCATTGCCTTGGGCATACGCCTCTACGGCATGTCCCTGGCGACGGCCACGACGTGATTCTTCAACTTTATCCTCGCCGTCACATGACCCTCTTTAGAGACGGCCTACATGCCGATGGGCGCCTTTGGGTGGTACACCGGCTGGAACATCGTTGGCATCTTCCTCGTGCTGTTTTCGCTCCCCGAAACCGAGGAGAAGACGCTCGAGGAGCTGAACGCCGTTTTCAACGTTTCGTTGAGGAAGTTGGCGCGGTATGGGCTCGCGCAGTCTTTCTACCTTTGGAATAGGTATATGTTTGGGTAGAATGGTGGCCCACCTGCTGTGCCGCATGCGGGGGACGTCGAGTATTATCGGGATTCGTGTAAGCAGGAGAAGGAGCATGGCCCGACTGCTCGTGTATAATGAGGGTATTGGAGACATGCCTTGGTGCGGCTTGGTCAAAGTATTGAGCCAATGGCCATGGGGATCCGAGAAGGGATGAGGATTCTGTATTAAAGGGTTGATGATACCCCTATCTCTTCAGGGGGGTATTGAGAAAACCAGGGCGAGGTCTATTTCAAAGTATTGTATATACGATGTCAAATGATTCACGGAAACAATCTATAATGATCACACGACTACCAAGGCCTACGTGACACAAAACGTCCCTCGTAGCGGCCCTGGTCCCGCGGAGTCGAGTTTCACCTCGAACGACACCAGAAAGGTGGAAAACTAGAACGGTTGCCCTTGTGGATTGAATTCCGGGGGTAGGAGCAAGAGAGTTGAACATTGACAGGAAGGTCGTTTACGCCCGCCAGGCAGGCATAGAAGGATCCTGGACGACGTCATGATGCTTCCCAAATCTGCACTCGCAGGCACTCGCAGATGGGAAGGGGAGGGGAACTATTGGTCGGAAACGGCGTTGAAACGTTCGAGGGGCGAGAGTAAAGTGAGGTGCGAGAGAGACTGCAGTCGAATGTAGATCTTTGGGAGGGCGTCGAGTGGTACCCAGGTAGGAAGGATTCGAAGCAGGGGTGCAAAGAGGCAACCGAGTGTTCCGTCAGCAAGAATTTTGACTAGTGAGTTTGTTCGAGTGCAAAGAGGACGGGATCGACGTCAGATCGGTCAAAGTTGAGAGTTGGTGTTGGGCTTCGCCGTCAAGTTGGTCTGCTTCCGCGTGAGGTTTGTGGTAGGGAGAAGGCGGTCTGTTATCGCCTCGACAGTTTCTTGTGCATGCGATCTATCGTCGCGATATATGTCTTCGTCTTTCTATGAATGAACGGAGTCTTGTAGTCAGGCTCGTGTCCCCCGTGAAAGCAGACTACCCAAGTAAGGTAGGTGGCCTTTTAAGGTTGAGACGACCTTACCTAGTCGGTCGCAGTGCCCATTGAAAAAGGTTGACGGGACCCGTTCAACCCGTTCAACGGCGCCGGTTTTCCAACGTCCGCCGTCGGGTCCATCTCAAGTCGATGCCCACCTCATTTCTCTCTGCATGTTGACTGCAGAAAACAAAGTGCAAGGCCCCCCTGTATCATGTGGCAGGTACTCCGTATGTAGGTATGCGGTCACAAGCAGCATCACGCCGTTCGGTCTACGAGAAGCCATGTGCCGTTCTTGCAGAGTTACGTCATATCACAGGAGCCGCCTGAAGAGGTTGCATCTGCGGCGGATTCTCCACTGGGAGAATATGTGGGGATATCTCATCGCATCCCGTCCTAACGGCTCTACCAGACACAATCACTAAATCCAATTCCAGCAGACACGCAAGCGCTAAGGGTCTTTCTTCGGATCTCCGGGGAAAACAGCGGGCCATTTGCACCCAGCGTTTTGGTCGATGAGCACTGATCTGCTGTGCTCACGTGCATCGTTTGTCTACAAATCGCTCATTAGCGAAAGCAATTTGCCGAAAGATCACTGAACACTGATTGTAGAAACCATTGACAGAAGGCGCAAAAGCTAAGGTAGTCATTGGCCAAACACACTGCGAGTTACCGTCACTCTTGTAGTGGGTACTTATGAGTGTGGAAGTACCAACCAAGAAACCGTCTGTTCGCTATCCGTATTTCTACGGCCGAAAAGCCGATACCCTTACCGACTGACTACCTTGCGGGCTTAGAAACCGCATCGTGCGCTAGCTGGAAATTCCCGAGATTGTGTTCTACATTACACCTACCCAGGGATTTCATACGTTAGCGCAGTGAAATGACAGGGAGGGTCCACTACAAGTACCAGTTTTATCTTCTTCGACTAATTTCTATAGCTAGTCTAAAGGTAGTACTTTTAGATCTAAAGGCCGAAATTTTTTATTAAAATTAAACTTTTTAATTATAAATATTCTATTACTTTCTTACTAATTTTCCCGCCGACTTTACTAAAATTATAATTATTTTTAATATTTTAATAAAATAAAAAAAGGTATCGATTTTTATTTTATTATATATTTTATATATAAATATAAATATTATAATTTTATAGGGCTATTACCGAATTTAGTTAAGTCCGTCTCCGTAAGTACCGTACTAACGTATGAAATCCTAGGACGTTGTAGAAACAATGTCGTACCTTAATAACCGGAGAAGTCCATGGCATTTATAAAACCTAGACGTGGCACTCCCAAAAGTCCACGCTACCCTAGACGTTCCGCATTATCTTTCACCCATTTTCAATTCTGCTCATTTTTCCGAGAATGACTTTTCGTTGACATGTGTTGCTTGTCGCTGTTAACGTGGAACATTGGAATTATGTCGTCGCAATACGAAGACGATCAGCGGCCCATTACTGACGAGAATTGAAAGCAGTCAAAGTAAGGATGAGGATGAGTACGAGCCGACTCGCGAAAAGGGCTTTTGCAAAACATTCACATTTTCGACTGCTTCAAAAAGTAGAATGGTGGCACCCACATCTGTAGTTACATCTCTACAACATCGTGATACTGCTAAAATTTGCGTAACTATGATGTCTCCATTGCCCGCTCGAAGAATAATGCGCCGTTTCCGAAAGCTCACACAGCCTCGCGTAAGGCCCCGATGCTCGCTCGTGGAAACAACACACCACGTTTGCCCCGAGGATTACGGTGGTCCGAGATGGGATCAGGAACAAAAGCTCTAGCCCTACCCAAGGGGAGGGTGCGGGTCAATCGACCATTGTTCACCTACTTGACCTGACCTGATCATACTATGTAGGTACTGGTGAAAGTGGGTTGTACTGTGGAATAGGTTCGCAAGACTACGTCACACGCAAGCCTACCGATTGGGAAAAGCCGGGACTACATTTGCTCTTTTGTACCAAAACGGCCAACGAGATTAGCAGCACTATATAGGAGAGTGGAATATTGACCGATCGGGATTAGAGTGGAGACTGACCCCGTCGCCGGAAACTATCCGACTTGGGGCTTCGTGCCGGTTTGGACGGGAGCCGGAGTCTACTGTGTAGTGTAGATTGTAGTAGCGCCCGACCACCCTGTGCAGGATGCGTAGAAAGGAGCCTCTTCTTCAGCACCGCCTTCCGCTTAGGCTCCTATCTTCTCCTCCTGTTGTCCCTTTTCCCGTATTTCCGACTTCTGTCATTCGCTTAAATCCTTCTTTCCACTATGTGGTGTTTCGCAGTATCGAAAGAGTAAATAAATGCTACGTTTAGACCCCATCCACCGCATGGGTAGGGACGGTAGTGGATCTGCAGATGGAGTCACCGGCCGGGATCTGATTCAAAAGGGACGGCCAAGGCTCACCCAAATCGGCTGGGACCCCTCGATCTGGCAAGTTATTCGTATTCTGCCAATAGCACAGCCTTTTTGACGGGGGCACGTTGGACGGGGCTACTACGATTGAGGGCTTCGTCAAAAGTCAGGAGTCCGGTATGTGGGAGTATACTGCTCGCGACCCTTGTTGGTGCGAAGATACAATAGACGATGTTCTACCGCCATCTTTACACTCGAGCTAGGTCTTTTCTCTTCCTGTCCTCCACCTCCTCCTCCTCCCTACCTCTCTCTCTCTCTCTCTCTGTAGGTGCCGCAGTTGAAGCCAAGGCAATCCCTCGTTCTGCTTTGCGCTGTTGTCATTCGTTTGATCCCTGCCGAGCATTATACTCCAATCGTTTTACCAACCGACTCTCCTTCCATCGTATCTTCTTTTGCTTCTTGTTCCCTCTCTTTGGACAACCAAGCTGTCTGTGCCTTGATACCTTAATCTTCTGATCCAATAAATAATCATGCGCTCCTTCGCAACATCACTTTCCTTGCTGGCCGTCGGGGCTCTCCAGGGCGTATCAGCCTTGGACGCCGCCGGATGGAGAAACCAGAGCATCTACCAGGTCATCACCGACCGCTTCGCCACGTCCGACGGCTCGACCCCGGTTTGCGACATCACCCCAGGCCTGTACTGTGGCGGCACCTGGAAGGGCATCACGAGCAGGCTGGACTACATCCAGAACCTCGGCGCCACCGCCATCTGGATCTCGCCCGTCGTGAAGAACGTGGATGGTAACGTTGGCGGCAACGGAGAGGGCTACCACGGCTTCTGGGCCGAGGATATCTACTCCATCAACCCGCACTTTGGCACCGAGGCCGACCTCAAGGAGCTCGCCGACGCCCTCCACGCCCGCGGCATGTACCTCATGGTCGACGTCGCCCCCAACCACTCTGGCCTCAACGACTCCCCCGGCAACTACACAAAGTACAAGCCCTTTAACAAGCCCGAGTACTACCACAAGGAATGCGCCATCAACTGGAACAACCTCCAGTCCGAGCAGCTCTGCTGGCTCGAGGGTCTGCCCGACCTGCGCACCGAGGACAACTACGTCCGTCAGGTGTACGCCGCATGGATCAAGGACCTGGTCACAAAGTACTCCATCGACGGCCTCCGCGTCGACACCGCCCTCGAGATCGAGCCCGAGTTCTGGACCGTGGGCGGCTTCAAAGAGGCCGCCGGCGTCTTCCTCCTGGCCGAGGTCAGCCACTCCTCCCTGAGCCTGCTGGCCCCCTACCAGCAGTACCTCGACGGCATCATGGACTACAGCAGCTACCACCTTCTCTCGCCCGTCTTCTCCACTCTGGAAGCCAGCATGGACGGCGTGTACGAGAGCACCAACCAGATGGCTAGCATGTCCACCATCGACCCTTCCATCTGGGGCTCCTTCATCGAGAACCAGGACCAGCCCCGCTTCCCCTACCTCAACGGCGATATAGCCCTCGCCAAGAACATGTACGCCCTCACCATGCTCCGTGACGGCATCCCCATCGTCTACTACGGCCAGGAGCAGCACTTCTCCGGCGGTCCCAACCCCAACAACCGCGAGGTCTTTTGGACCGGCGGCTACAACGACAAGGCGGAGCTCTACGGCTGGATCCAGCAGACGAACAAGATCCGCGTCCACGCCGCGCACGCAAACGCAGACTTCCTCACCAAGGAGCGCACCCGCGCCGTCTTCTCGTACGGCAGCACCAACAGCAGCCGTGTCATCGGCCTTCGCAAGGGCCAGCTCTTCTCCATGTACACCAACGGCGGCAGCGCCGCGTCCAACGGCGTCATGTTCGCCATCGCGCGCAATGTCCACGGCTTCGCCATCGGGGCCGACGTCGTCGACGTCTTGAACTGCCAGTCCTTCCAGGTCGCCTCCCACGGCCGTCTGTGGGTGCAGATGCCCGCCGGTGGCCTGCCGCGCGTGTTCCTGCCCAAGGAGCAGACCGAGGGGCTCTGCAACGACGTCACGCCGCCTGTGGCGGACGCCACTATCAAGGTCGGCGTCGACAAGAACACGGGGTACAGCAGGCGGGCGGTGATGCTGGAGTAGGTGCGACGTGAAGTGGGATTGTGGGGTTGTAGGTGCGTGCGGCGGTGCAATGGACTTGAAGCGGTACGGAACGGAGACTGATGATGAGGCTGTTATGTGAACCTGATCATCATGCTCATGTAGGCGACATCTAGATGTAGAGCGTTGCCTGCATAATAATTAATAGTAATACGAAGCCATGTGATTCAAGTGCGCCGCCTTCCCTATAGTGACGATCAGTACTCTATAAGAAAGTCTCTTAACAGCCTGGGTATGTTTTTCTTTGACTTGAGATGCCACTCACGACCCGAGCGCAGATTGGGCCGCATGTCGTCTAAAAAGGGGGTAACAAGCGTGACACTGACCAGCAAGTAAAGAGCGGTGGATAGGGTATATCAATAGGTAGGCCAACCCTTCTGGCGGGCCTCCATCGACCGCATTTCAGATACTGGGCCTGAGGTTGGCATGCAGGCCTGATTGCGAGTGACCTTTGAATAGTCTAAGTTGGAATACAGTTATTTGGAAGTTACGTTGCGTATTATCGCATGTTCTTCGTCTCTTTGCAAGACCTCAACCACTGAGAACAATTCCCGAAAGCCACCCCACAACATACCTGGGCTGTCGATCATGGCGAATCAATCTTGATGATATACCAACGCTCAACGCCCCCTTTTCTCAGTCTGATTCGCACGCCTTGCCGTTGATAATCATCTTCCTTAACGGGCGTCCTTGTTCTTGTTCTACTCCGTCACGGCCCAGGCTTACCTGTGCCACTAGGAAAGAACAATGCGGGCTCAAATGTCACATTTGTGGTCATGTCAAGGTGTACTGAGCCTTTTCTCTCTCCGTTATACTTCTTCTCCTTTCCACTTTTACTTTCCCAATTGTCCAGAGAGAAAAAAAACAAGAAACTGTATTCGTGACTTTTGGTGGTATCCGCTATGTTGTAGTAAAGGGGCCAAAGAAGAAATACGAGATCGCGTGGACTGGGTATCCTGCTGCTTTTCCAAACACCATTGCTATGCTTCAGTCGTAACCTTACTTTGATAACTTTTGTGGCTTCATCACTCGTTCAAAATCTCTAGAGTCATCACGCGTAAAAGACGAGGGCTGTAAAAACAAAGTCTGGGTCGGGTCACCGCCGCAACGGCGTGCCCACGGGTGTGCTGTAAGCGGAGCGGTCGTAGCTCTTGTGCTTGGCGCGTTTTCGTTTGAGGGCAGTCCAGTCAGTCTTCCAGTTCTGAATGCTCTGGGCGAGGTCGTCGTCAAAATCTGTTGGGCACTGCACTTCTATAGCCTTGAGGCCGAGGCGCAGGTAGCTGAGTTCCGAGTCGTTTTCTTGGAGTTCTTCTTCCCTACGATGAGTCAGTATGAAAGGCACACAAACACCCCTCAGATGGATGTTCCGAGACATACAAGTCCTGTACTCTTCCTTGAAGGAAAATGATTCTTTGTGCTGCGCGTTCTGCGCGGGTTACGAGAAGTTGGTGGATATGCTGCAATCCAGTCAGTGAGTCTCCTCCCCGAGTAAGGTATTCTCATGTCGCACCTCTGATTCTTCCTGACGGGCCTTGAGGTTTGTGACGAGGGTTTCTAGTTCCGTGTTGAGTTTCGCTGCTTCAGATGCGATGCGGAAAGTATCAACCGCAGGCTTTTTTTCAACGGTAGGTTCGGGCGAGGGCGTGTCTCTTCTGAATGAGCTCCGGAAGGACGGTGAGATTTCCGAGAGGCCCGACCGGAACCATGACGGCGAGGGCGAAGTCCACAAGGACTCGTGCTCGACACTCCGTGCGTCCGCCGGCCACATCTTCGGCTTGCCCTGCGGTGTTGCTTGAGGCGGCTCTCCGGCTAAGACTGAATCAATCTCGTCAAGCTTGCCGTGCATGGCGCTAACGTTGGTGTCAGGAACATCTTCGCCCGCAAGGAGCTTTTGCGCTAAGTCGTTGAGTCGCTGGATGAGACCGAGAGTATCCCGAGTATTTTCAGTGTTCTCATTCGTCTTCTCAGTCGCATTCGAATGAGTTGAGGTAGTGAGATCATCCTCGGTCCATGAGCGCGCCAGTGGGCTCTTGGCCACTGGCGTCGAAAACTGTTGACCAGGCGTTGAAAATTGCTGGCGAGGAGTCGGTGAGAGAGGTGAGAAGCCCCGAGAGCTCATCGATGAGGGAAGAGACGGCGTTGAGATTTGCGGTGAAGAAGCATGCGGCGTTACGGGACCCGATTTGCTGGAATGGCTCCTGGTGCGGCGCAAGGCTTTGCATGGGCTGTTGTCGTCCTCATCGTCATTCAAATCGAGAAAACGTAGGCCCAGCCCCGAATCCGATCTGCCGTCCGACATAGCTGGTCATTGAAGTGATTATTGGGACAATGTTTATGGCGGCGGCCGGCCAACCGAAAAACCGGGTCTTTGGCCTCCTAGACAAATGGTCCACGTGTATGTAGGTATTCCTCTGAGAGGTATGGGGGCCGACAGACGCGACAACGCAAAGAACTGCCGGTTTAGGTTCGATGGCAATCCGACGAGTCGACTCTGCATGCACCAGATGAAAGCAGTACGGCGCGGGAAGCTAGTGGGAGGTAGTATCCCGAAGACGATCCGAAAGGACGGCTTCTGGGCAAAGATTGGGGGAATTTGGGCGCCAGCTGCAGGAGAATCGGGCGCTGTTTGGTCAAAGACACTAACCAATTGGCGATGCGTCGAGTCTTGTCTTTGGCGCGTTCGACGCGTGAGGTGGCTTTAGGAGGCGTGGGAGGCGTGAGAGGCGTGAGAGGCTGGTGAAGGCAGGACGAGGACTCGGGGGGCTTGAAGGATTGTGGCGCCATGCATGTGACCACAGGGGTCAGGCTGGGACTGCAACAACCTAACGGGGGGAAACTGGGTGGTAGATACGCTGGACACGGATTTACCTAGGGCCATCAAAGGCAGAAGAGAAGGACGCGACCGGGATGTGATTGGGGAGGAGATGGCCTAAGCGGCTGCTGTAGTGGAGGTGCACCTATGCCTACCCACGCTACCTTACCTCAGCAGTTACCTCAAGACCCAGTGTGGGGGAAGAACGTAAAGGCACGGGCACGGGCACGGGTGACGGCGCAGCTTTCTCGGCTACAAGGAAGGGCAGACGCTGAACGAGAGCCACTCCGCCGCGGTTGACCGTCGTCGCGTGCTGCAGACTTGGAGAAGGACATTGATAGTGGCGGAAGTACACATCAACTGCCATGAGCCGTTCCTTTCCGCCGTTCGTCACCCCGTCACATGCCCGACATGTAATTGTGACTCTTCATTGGCATCTACCGATACTCGTGTTTCCCCGTATGTGTGCTGGCAAATTTTCTTCATTTCTTTTTCGGTTTATCTACGTGGTTTAACGGTTCGGTCCTTTTTGCGTTTTTCTGGAGCTGTTTCATCATGAGCCTCTTCTCGGATGACACAGCAAAACTGCTCATTATCGGCGCCATACCCAATCTTTATTCTGGAGATGACATGGCATCCATCCGGGAGACATTTCAGATTGTATGTGCGACTACATCATAGAATAAGTCAGAGTTGATATTGCACAGAGACTCTTGCAGTGAGACCGTCGGAAATTCATCGCCATTAAGAGCACTCAAGCTAGAAATCATGCATGGGAATACTTGACATAGACATAAACTACTCGCACCTCGGGGTAAACAGTTGAGGACCGTTCGTACGGCCAGAACCGACGGGAAACTCGCTCGAGGCGCACCTCTGTGACCTTTGCGGTCGGCTATGTAAGCCGGCTGAGGTACTTGTCATGCTATTATCGAACCATGGGCCTAGGCACTGCCTTATGACGCCGAGTCGGGAGAAGTACCTGCGTACCATTGCCGTCCGCCCAGAGCATGAGGAACTCTCCACTGAGGAGCCCTGGCCCGGCCTTGTTCCTGTCGTCCCCGGCAATCCCAAGCTCTCATCTTCTCGAGGTCCCAGTTCCCATTCCGTCTCCATTGCCAGAAATAAACCTACACGAAACACCTCCGTCACGCTGCACGCGACCTCTCCTTGCTCCCATTGACCATGCAGCAGTAGATCTGGCTTTTATCTTCAACCTCGTCTCGCATTTCCTCGACCTCTCTCCCTCCACATCTCGCCCGCTCGTGTCTGTTCCATGTTGCCCTGCGTCATAAAGCCTCGGTAAAGGCCACCCCAACTCGGTCACGCGGGGTTCGATTCGGATACCTCATTTCAACAGTAGATCGCCAATTCCGAGCCGCCCGACATGTCGTGGAGGAAAACGGATAGATTGATGGACACCATCAGGCATTACGCCAGTTTCCCGGCAACTGGCGTGAGCTTGAGGCAGATGGTCCAGTTTGGAGAGAAGCCCTCAGTCGGTTCGTCGACCCTTTGCAACTTCTCTCACCCCGTGGCGGCCTGCGATTGCTTCTGCAATGCCCTGTCGCTTGCTCAATTTTGATGCGATATCAATGCGCCATTTCCCACTTGCCTTGCTTTTCATTCTCGCATGCCGTGGTGCTGACCGTCGACTGTGCTTGCAGGAACCCTCTTCCGAGCCTCACAATTCCTTGCCGAGGAGCTGCCAATCCGCCTCGCCCATCGCGTACAAGAGCTCGACGAGCTTCCCGATGGCCTCAACGATATGCCCTCCGTGAAGCGAGTGCAGGATTGGTACGCACAGTCGTTCGAGGTACGTCAAGGCTCTGCTGTCGCATTATGCATAGAGGGCATGACTCACTGACTTTTGCCCGTCCGCGCAGGAACTCACACAACTCCCCCGACCTGACCTGGATAAATTTACAAAAGAAAGGCTGATGAGGCCTGCCAAGTCGCACGGCAAAGGTCCAATGCTCTCCGAGGCGACCCGAAACCCAAGCATCGAGGAAGGCCAATATGCGTCTTTGCCTCAATCCAATGGAAATGGCTGGAGCAAGCAGAAGAACGTTGCCGCACGGAGATATTTTGCCATGGTGGACGATATCGGCGATTGGCCACCTGAGCTGCGGTTGTACAACGAGCGTTTCGCAAAGGCCTTGCACGGCATCAAAAGGCGCCACGACGGAGTTGTCACCACTATGGCACAGGGCATCCTGGAGTATAAGCGCAAAAGACAGCGCATGCAAATTGACAACAACATCCAGTCATTCCTCGATCGGTTTTACATGTCGCGCATAGGAATCCGCATGCTCATCGGTCAGCACATTGCCTTGACCGACCAAAGCCATCACCGCGATCCGACCTACGTCGGCATCATCTGTACCAAGACCAACGTCCAGGACCTCGCACAAGAAGCTATTGAGAATGCGCGCTTTGTCTGCGAGGACCACTATGGTCTTTTCGAAGCACCCAAGATCCAGCTCGTCTGCAACCCGAACCTAAACTTCATGTACGTTCCGGGGCATTTGTCACACATGCTTTTTGAGACTCTCAAAAACTCCCTTCGCGCCGTAGTCGAAACGCATGGCCAAGACAAGCAGGAATTTCCTGTGACCAAGGTCATCGTCGCAGAGGGCAAGGAGGACATCACCATCAAGATCTCGGACGAGGGTGGTGGCATTCCCCGAAGCTCTATACCTCTCGTTTGGACATATATGTACACCACCGTGGATCGGACGCCGAACCTGGACCCGGACTTTGATAAGAGCGACTTTAAGGCACCCATGGCCGGCTTTGGGTACGGGTTGCCTATTTCACGACTTTATGCCCGCTATTTTGGCGGCGACTTGAAACTTATCAGCATGGAAGGGTGAGTTGCGCGCAACGCCTTGAAATGACTTTTTAATAACCTAAGTTAACGTGTTAAATCAGATATGGAACGGATGTGTACTTGCATCTCAACCGTCTGTCCAGCTCATCGGAACCACTCCAATAGGGACCAGCAGTCATGAGGGACAGGAACGCTCGAGGATTGACGCTAGGGTTAAGGTATACACTGCACAAGAGACTAAAGGATCGCGAGATTACGGAGCGTCGGCAGGTGGGAGACGCTCAGGAGATGATGAATCGGGGCGACACCGATCCTGGATATTTCAAGCAAGACAACGACTTGTGATTGGCCTGTCTCGACACAGGCCATTAATCGCTCTCCAAAGTTCGGCCATCGAGACCTGAAGCTCCCAGATCGGTCTTCTTTCGTTACTTGATCCACAGCGGCAAGGCGAAGGAGGTCGGGAGCTATACGGTTGACGTCGCCTAGTTGAGAGTGGGAGTATTATAGGCCAGCATCATGTTGGAATTTGGCCAAGGATCATTTTCGGGCCCGTTGCGGCACACGCAGGGGCATTTCGTTTTTTGTTTTCTTTTTGGGTATGGTTTGGGGGGCATTTTCAAAAGAATCACCCCGGCTGGACAGGAGCACGGGATTACACATTGGACAGGCCGCATCGGCAATGAGACTGGATGGCGGTGGCGTCTTGGGCTTCTTTTGCTACATGTTTCTGTCGTTGAACAGTTGGAATACATATCATTGCATAGGTCACATTGTGAGTCGCAAAGTGAAATGATTATTAAGGTAATTGAGGCTGCTGGCCTACCTATCGTAAGAGCAAAACTTTTCCGGCCTTCCTTCCCATACTTCGGCCCTCTCAATTTCCCATCATCTTCTAGTTGGAGAGATGTTAAAACCAGAGGGAAGAAACCATGATCACGTGTCTGACGTTCGTTCCCCCTATAGATGGCAACTCGCCAGACCTGTTGGATCCTTAACGTCCCTTGAGAGAACATGCTCGTATCCTCCATCTACTCCCGATTTTCTATGCAATGAATGCCCAGATTGTCCCCTCTCCGCATTCCCGATTTACTCGGGCGTGGCTCCTGTGAAGCTACCAGGGAACTTAGCTGCGCTGTAAGTGGTAGCAAAGATTGAGCCTCCCAGTCCCCAATGCATGCGAGGCTAGTCGGTGTTTTGCTGACGAGGGAATTGGCCTTGAATATTGGGATGTAATGGCCCTGCGCTGAGCTGCTCCCAATGTGCAGCCGAGAGAGTGAAAGAGAGGAAAACAACAATACAGATGAGGGCTTCAGTCTCCGCCGATGGAAAAGTTTCCATGGCTATAATCAACCGCCGCTGCCGAAAAAAATCGTTTGGTGACCGAATGACGCTTCAAGCAACACGGTTATCACTCATCGTCATCGTCGTCGTCATAGTTGCCGTAAGGAACAGTGACGGGCTGTCTGGAAGGTCTGTTTCTCTGGAGGTCGCGATGCTCCTGCTCGGTGAGCTGCTTTCTATCGCGCTGTCGATCCTAGAAAGTCTTAGGTCAGTCGAATGCGAGAAAAGGGCTCGGTGGTTATGATCTTACTCCAGGCCAGGGGCCGCTAGGTACAACTCTGGCGGGATTGTGAGCCTGAGCGTTCGATGCCCTCTGAGGGCGACCTCTTTCGTCGGTCTGGGCGTGACTGTTCGAAGCAGCAGCCATGGAGCTCATCGTGGAGGAATGGCCAGACTGCACAGTGTGAGTCTTGGTCTTGAGGTGCTGTTGACCAGTCGAGTCATAGGCGTTATATTCGATGCCAGACCTATAGCTCTGGGCAATCTTGGCATGCGTGAACCATATGTTTGGTCCTTTGAGCAAGCTCTCCGAACCCGTCTCGGTGTTATTCGAGATGACCGAGCTAGCCTTTCGATTGGCAAAGGCAGTGCTGTCAATACCCAGGGTTGGGGCGGTGATCTTATGGCTAGCAGAGTCGTTAATGCTGAGAGATTGAAGCTTCGTCTCGACATTTCCTGGGACAGTGATGCCGTTGGTGCCAGTGACGGGAGCGAGAGGCTGTTGAAGCATATTAGCCTACTTCAGGTTGAGAGGTAATTCTTCTTACCCTTTCAGCCTCGCTATGAAAGTCAAAGATGTCAGACGGTTCAGTTGGGAGGCGGGTCTCGTAGTCATCTGTATCCTCCAAGGGATCCAGTTGAGTATTAGGGCCGGCCCAGGGAGTATAGCCGGGTTCCTGGGTGTTGATCCAGTGCTGGCAAGACTTGCAGATCTATGTACGACATGTCAGCGGAAGTGAAGATACTGCGTATGTTTGATACTCACGTTGACCCCCTTCGTTCTGTTATTTTTGGAGAACTGGTCCAAAACCTGGATCTTGTCACAGGGGCCCTCGCATCGGATCTCCTTGACAGGCTCGCCCGAGTGGACACGACAGACCATGCCGCTGTTGGCATGGTCGATGCTGACGCGTTGATCAAGCTTATCTTGGACAAGCTTCTGCTGCTTCTTCGAGAAGCTGGACCAAGGCCTCCACTCTCCACCAATCTTGCAGCGATACCTGGCGGTGAGAGTTAGCATGACGAGGGCCTACCTACATGGGCGCATTCCTCGCCCGTTGCAACTTACTTATCGGTGGTCTTCTGGCCATTGTTCAGGGGACTGCGATGGTGTGAGTCAGTATTATTGCCTGTAGTTGAAGGTAATGGTAGAGTTCACTTACCCGTTAGGGCGAAGGGCGTTGGCCGACATGGTTGTGATTTGGGTATCCGACGAGAGTTGTATGCAGGAAAAGTTCGCCAAAGGCCTGTGAGGAATCCGAAAATGGAATGATGTGGTAGGAAGCCGAAAGAAGGTTACCTTGATTTTGAGATACAGACAACAAGTGGTGAGGTTCGTATTGACTGAACGGAAAAGTTCTGGGAAAGAATGGGAGTAAGACGTGTGTCGAGTGAAGGCTTTTGTTAAGGTGATTCTTTTGGGCGATGGAGATGCAGCTGGGTGGGACGAAAGAAGAGCCAGAAAGAAAAAGAAGGCGGCCTGGATTGGAAGTAAAGCCGTCAAGGTGATCAAACCTGGGTATATGTGGAAGGTGTGCTTGTGCTTCCTCTTGCCCTTTTTTGAGAAATGAGGGAAGGAGGGAAGGGGCGATGGCCATACTGGCTTTTCGTCCCTGAATGGTCACACGGCTTCAAACGGAAGGAAAGACGGAGTAATTTGTACCTAGGCAACTTGCTGTCAATCAATTCCTTTGAGAATACGAAATCTTCTTCTGCATGTTAGGATGTGAATTGGCAGTTTCTTTGAACCACCATCTCCTCAATTCCTCGGACTCCCTTAGCACCAAAGGACAGTTTTTCACTACCTAATGGAGTTATACTAGACCGCTAATGTTACATATTAAAATCAAATACATCTAGACGGCACTATTCACTAGCACGTAAACCTCTTGAGGGGTCCGATGTATCCACAGTCTTAAGTAGATAGATCCTGTCTCCTGTGACATCTTTATTCGTACGCAGTCTAGCCCCATGATGCTCTCAACTCCTCGATAGAATCATGACAAACCACGCGCAGGAAACTCTTACCACTTGCCACTTTTGAAAGACGCTATTGCCAATTCCTCCCCGAATCTTGAACGTATCTCTCCTTCAGATCTGGAGGTAGTGTTTCAATTTGATTCATGTTTCTAGGCATCACAAGGAAATGCTGAAGAACTAGCCGTGTGGCTTTCAAGGCCCATTCTTGCTGATACTATGTTGCTACTGTAGCCATCTGTCGACATAATTCCCGTCGTTTTCGGTGCTTTCTTCACTATTTTCACACTTCCATTACTGTAGACCATATGAACACAAGGGGAGGTGCTTCTAAAGCAGTTACTCAGGTGCTAAATAGCGCGCATTTTGTAGTCATGTCGTTAGCCACCATCCGGAGCCACCTCCGAAAAACCTGCCGGCGCTGTGGAAGCCCCCGGCAGTCAGACGCATAAAGCTTGTACACTTCCGGCCTCACAAACCCCAAAGTCCAAACGGCTTATGCATTTCACATGGGGGGGCTTTCGGCACGATACTCTGTTGTCCGGTTGACGGGCATTGGGTGGCCCAGCTCTCCATTCGGAAATGTACACCGCTGCGTCCGCCGTCTTACTCAACGTGGTGTTTAGTCTTCCATCGTCCACGGGTCCAGAAGGGAAGAAGAATTCCACAGCTTCCAGAAGCGGAATTGAATCTCCACGCTTGGCAGGGCGCTAGACGTTGTAGGGCATAGAGCTACTGCAACAGCGGCCTCCGTCTTTTTTGTCAGGGCCTGTCGATAAAATTTCGAAGCGAGGCGAGCGCGGGGACTTTTTCCATGCCACCTAGGGAAGAAAGGGGGGGGGGGGGTGTCGTGTTGGGATACATCATATGTCTACTCATCTCGCCTGAATATTTTCAAGGGTCCCAGGGGGGGGTTTCCAAAACGAAACAGCGTTTTTCAGAGGGATCGTCGAGATTTCAATACATCTTTGTCGTTGCCACAGGCACCTTTCATATCGCGGCCATCCGCACTAGGAAAAGAGCTTCTGCCCGGCCACGCGGCGGCTCCGGATCGGCGGTTTCCCAACTTCGTGGGACGAGATGAACCGGAGGAGGGGCGGATGCTTCCTACATTATAAGGTAACCAGCCGCGGCACCCCTGGTCGCACCAGCATCCTTCCAATGTCTCCAAGGGTAAAGCTGCAGCTGCAGCAATTAACGGAAACTTGCAAAGAGGCTAGGAAAATTCACGTCGCCCAGAGAAGAGGAAGAGGAAGGGGAGCTGGAGGGTACCTTCCTCAGGGCCCCTGGAATGCTATGGTATGCAATAATAGAGATGCACAGCGTCAGAACTCTAGGTCCGCTGCCGCACAGGTGCATCGGCAGCACGACATCGTGATCTCCGCGCCCCCGAGTCAGCACTAACTGGGATAGCAAAGCGTGGCTTCCTAGGAAATCCAATGTCCATATACCCACCAATCACGAGATCAGGTTCTGATCAGCCATAAAGCGCTGAAAGATCCCGAAATTGGCACAATGCCATTGTCTCTCAGTCTCGTGTTGATGCTAAGACTAGCGAAACGAGAGTCCCGGCTTATAAAGCTCTATTCGTTGGATAGAGAGTAAGAAACGCATCGGTAAACCACCCTCCGTAATATGAGGTTTGGCGGCAGCGAGTGGATGAGAAGCATCCCAACAAATGGAAGGCTGTAAGACAAGGTGGGACAGAAGAGCCCGAGAAACATAGCGTGGGATTCGCAACGCAACGCACCCACGGTAGTACTTGAGACGATATGAGGTTCATCGAACCCCCCTTCCCCCCTCCTCGGGCATGGAACCCGCGGCCAAGAGCTTCTAGAAGAAATCTTCTGTGTGTCGTATTGCAATGCAGGTCCGAACCGAAGGTCTGTTTTGTTCCAACTACCTTATCCACAAGATAATTCGCACGTCCCCCCGTGTAGACGGAAGAGAGAAGAGGATAGGGGGGTTTGGTGGAAACACGGGCGACAAATGTATCCGTATCATTACGAAAATCCCACGAGGGGTCCCTGAAAACGGGCCAGTGCTCTCCAGCAGAAAACCACCCCTTGTCGGGCAATGTTCGAAGCATATTAATGGCCCCCAAGTAAAATCATCGAGAAGAAGAAACACTCTCTGCGGAGTATAGCCCCGCGCTCGTGCTCTGCAGAGACGGAGGTGCATCATCCATGATCCATCATCTGTGGTTCCATGCTTCGACTTCGCCATGATAATGCGGCCATGCGGTGCTCTATACTCTGTAGGCGACCAAGCCCAGCTGAGCATGGTTCTCGGTTCCCATTTGGAGACGCAGTTCCCCCAAACCAAATTGGCCCGAATAGTTTGCGGCAAGAAAGTCGGGGAGGAAGGAACCGGAAACCTGGCCAAACCTTAGCAGATTCATGCCCGTCAGCAAGTCGGTGACATTGCAGTCGCACGGCATGCATGGGCAATCTGCCAGGCATATTGTTACCCATTTGGTGGGGTGTTGGACGAAATGCCAAAACGCAGCCGTCCCAAGAGACTGGCGGACGGCGCGGGCTTTGCATTCCATCCGTTACCCTCTCCCTCCCTCCCTACCCCAAGGGTCACGGATACTGTGTATGCGACCGGCGATTGAAAGTAGCCATGTCCATGTTTTCCTTGCCAATCATCCCAGGCCGAAGCATACAGAAGAGCCCGGGTCCGTCGTGTTAATCCACCGAGGTCCCCCGCCTCCTTCATCTTCCTGCCTGACGGACCACTGGGACGAAGTATCCATCAGGCTGGGAGACCCTCAAGAAGGGCAAAGGGTGCATCTAGCGGACGAGAAAAGTGTCGTGGAGCCCGTACGATGGGGGCGACATAGTGGAGAGATTGTCTTAACCTGGTCAACGTGTAAAGGTGTTGCCGCAGCGGCGACGCGGCGATGGCGCCAACGGGAGATAATAAATGTACACTACCTTACTCATACAACCGACAGGTGCTCGTTTTTTCTCTTTCAGCTGGTAACTTCGCCCATGAGATTTACCTCATCTCACAATGCAGCCAGTGGTCGGTTCCCTGGATCCTGGGCATAGTTTTTGGGCTTGGATGGGATTATGACCTGGGCTGGCACGGACACATAATAATTGGGACTAAGAAATGGGAAGACCCCACTCGCTGTCATTCCAAATGACTCCGTCGTCGAACCGCGGATGTGCCGGTTGGTCGTCCGGCTTGAAGCTCCCATGAGTAGCGACCTTGTCTTCGAACCAGGCCCCTGGTCTGTGTAGGTACCTTTCTTCATCGGCTTTCTTCACAGTGAGGAGGACTTCCACGGGCCCTCACGAGAAAGACTGGGATGAAGGTTGGGATATGAGTCGCGACGGGGTTGGCGGGAGAGCCGTGCGAAGCTACTTTGGAGCCAGTCCGGCTTGTAACCTAACCACCTGTGGGAACGGGAAGGGGATCGCTGAAGACGGTGGATCGTTTCACGGAATCGTTCACCGTCTGGAGCGGATGAAGAACTGACCGTCAATGGACCCTCGGGCTCGGACCCAGAAACGCACACTTGAGGCGACGTTGGCATGGCAGGTGTGCATTATTTCTAAAAGGCATCGACTCACAGAATGCAAAGCTCATGCACTTAACCGGTGTCACCAACCTGGTCCAAATTTATGCAGAGCTTCTCTGCAGATCCTCTGCAGATCTCTCGGTTTCTCATGCTACTACCGGGTACATTCCAACGACCACTTAGTCTACCAAGCGTTGTTTGTTTGACAAGATGGTCAATTCTCGTGAATCATTCTATGGCTTATGTGCAAGACGTTTGAAACGAACCCTATGGACGGTTTTTCATACCTCTCTGTTTAACCAGCCGAGTACCAAGTCGAGTACCCAACTCCAATCTGAGTGAAACCCCTCAGAGATGAATGCAATGTAGTTCAAAATGCCAATCCTTCCCCAACGCCTCTCCTGCTTTTTGATTTTCTGTGTACCCGCCCCGGCCCTTTTTTGAATGATTGCGTAAGCAATTTGCACTTTCTAGTTCTCCCCATCGTGAGCCTCGTTGTGAATGCTGCAAGCCGCGGAATTAGTCAACGTATCCCAGGTTGCAAGGCAAGCAATGTACATACCCAATGTCCGCACGGTTTCCCGGGGATTGCGGATCAGCTCGTGTCCGGGCTGCCAATCCAGTAATCTTGGCGACTTTGGCAGCAGGAGTAGAGTCTGCGGGGCCGGAAAGCACGGGACCGCTGCTGGCAACAAGCGCCTTACGCTTTCTGCCGCTGTTGCGGGCATCGTTGAGCTGCTCCAGGTAGGCCGCGGAAACTGGGGTAACGTAGCAACCGCTGAAGACACCGATTTCGAAGGTCTGCGTCTTCGGATCGCGAGGAGACAGCTCGGCGCATGAGGCCACGAGATCCTCGACCGTCTGGTAGATGATGTCATCAGCTCCGATTTGCTCGGCAATCTCGGCGTTGGTGCGTCCATGGGCAATGAGATCCTTCTGCGACGCCAAATCGATGCCATGGACGTGGGGATGAATGACCTCGGGCGAGCAAGAGCTGAAGATGACCTTGCGAGCTCCGGCCTCCCGCGCCATAGTGACAATCTCCCGGCTGGTTGTTCCGCGGACCACCGAGTCGTCCACAAGCAGTACGGTCTTGCCCTTGAACTCGGAATCAATGGTGCTGAGCTTGCGGCGAACGCTCTTTTGCCTCATTTGCTGCCCAGGCATGATGAAAGTCCTGAACACATAGCGGTTCTTGACGAAACCCATGGAATATGGCTTCTTAAGCCGCTCTGCCAACGCGGCGGCAGCCGTGTTGGAAGTCTCGGGGATGGGGATTACAACGTCAATCTCCTTGACGGCCTCTTCACCCAGTCTTGCGATGATGTTGTCGGCCAGCTTGATGCCCTGGCGGTTTCGAGACTCGTGGACACTGATCCCGTCAATGACACTGTCAGGCCTTGCGAAGTAAACTTGATATCGTCAGCAAGTTTCAGCATGATTTCCAGATTGGTGGCCTTTTACCGTATTCAAAAATGTCTGGGCTGTAAGAAGCCGGCTCTTGAATCTGGTGGAAAACAGGAGGACAGCCCTTCTTGAAGAGCACAGCTTGTCCAGGCAAGACATCAGTGATGTTCTTGAATCCCAGCTGGCGAAGGGCGATCGACTCAGACGCAACCATGTAGTCGTAAGCATCATCGTCATCGCCAGTAGTTGACTTTCGGGAACCCCAGACCAGAGGGCGGATGCCATCAGGGTCTCTAAACGCAACCACGCCGTAGCCAGCAACCATGATGACACTGGCCCAGGCACCCTGTATACGCTTGTAGGTGCGCTCAAGCGCGCTGAACAGATCCGTCTCGTTGATACGCGCCTTTCCAGTCTCATTAAGCTCATTGGCAAAGACGGATAGCATCAGCTCACTGTCGCTGCTGGTGTTGATATGCCTGTGAGCGTCTTTGTCCAGGAAGGCACGGAGCTCGGCGGCATTGGTGAGGTTGCCATTGTGCGACAGGCAGATTCCATAAGGACTGTTGACATAGAACGGTTGCGCCGTAGTCTGTGTTAGCCTTTCAAAGGCCGTGAGATTTTGCAGGTACAGCTCTGTTCTTACCTTCTGCGCGTCCGCTGCTTCCCCAGGTCGGGTAACGAAGGTGACCAATGCCCATCCATCCAGGCAGATCAATGACTCTCTTTCCATCCTTGAACACGGTCGCTGCCATGCCCGAATCCTTGTTCATGAAGATGCGTCCTCCGTAAGAGCTGTTGGTGTCAGCGAAAGACTGCAGTTGACTAGACATCCACAATGCTCCCTTACCTGGTAGCAATACCGCAAGCATCTTGGCCTCGGTGCTGAAGAAGGTACATGGCCTCATGGATGTCCTGTGCAGCATCGCAGTTGTCCTCATCTCGGTCATAATGACCCATACAAATCCCGAGAATTCCGCACATCTTGTCTCTATCTTTGCAAGCTCTTGCAGCTTATTCGTGTTCTTTGGATTCGAAATGATGCTGTCTTTGCCAATGTAAGTTTGACAAACGGTTGCGCAAAAGAGACCGCTGTGGGCGTTGATGTTCGAGATAGCTTCGGCTAGGGGTGGTGGCGGGGTATCCGATGGCGGGGTTTTTTTTTCAGGACAGGGTCCACGCCGTAGTTTCTTCGTCTTTCGGACGAGAAAAAGAGAGTCGGGGGACGAGGAACGACACGAGATCTTCGGAACGAGACTAGCCGGCCTCTTCGGGCGGGAGGGATTGGCGCTCGTACTTCGATGAGGGAACAATTCGGCTCCAAGAGGGTGGAAAAATATTTTTTCGTGACGGACGTCGTCGGCGATAGGTAATTGGAGTTGGCAGACGGAAAATTCCTCTGACAAGACAAACTTTCAGAAGGAATGAACAAGTGGGGCCGACTATCGGTGCTACCAACGATGCGGCAGGTGCGGCAGGTCGGGTTGCAGGTACCTATACCCCGGATAAGACTCCGTGTCAGCTTCCCCGTGCTCCCTGAGGGCGTTCGCTCATCAGTTCCATCTTGTCGAACCTTTCTCTCCGAAGTAGGTATAGGTAGCAGGTAGTGCTCTTTGTTGATCCCCGTGAACCGTTTCTCCGGCCAGCCTGCATCTTGTGGGATTTTCACTCCCATCGGTTCAACCGATGCATTCCGAAGACCCGAAATGGCTGTGGGTTGAAAAGGGTAGGTCCAGTGACGGTAGCCACGTGGTACTTGTCCTACTAATTTAGGTAGGCCTGAAGAGATAAGCTGGAGGACAACCCGTGAGGCTGCACCCCAATTCTGGCTGCATGCGGTGTAAGTTGGTGACACTGGACCATAAAGATAGGAAGAGCTGGTGGATGAAGGACCATTTGTAGGTATAGTCTGGTATGTATGCCTTCGCAACGACCGAAGATGCCAGCAGCCCCCCATGGTACCTGTTTTCCTTCAATGAAACCTAGACCGCATAAGCCGACCACCCATCCTTTCATCCTTTATATTCAGTCAGAGACAGAGACAAAGTCTATCAAAGCTGTTTCGTTTACTGGTTTCTCGGGTGGTCTGCGGGATTGCTACTCTGACTCATGATCATTCTTAATCAACTGGACACGATGGAAATCAAAAATCACATAAGTAAAGCACATAAGCAAAGGTCTTCCTTCCACTCGCTAGAATAAGAACTCTCATCTTGTTTACAGGGTTTTCCGTAACATATGCAGACAGGTGGGTTTTCCAGAACCACAGTCTCCCTACAGAAAATCGACCTGACCTTCCAAAGCAGCGGTGAGGAATCTAGAAACGTTTAAACGAGCTTGGATTAGGTGTGCAACGCTATGGCAATGTCGTCGGCACCGCAGTCAACTCTTTGGAAATGGATGACTGTGACGTGGCAAATGTCCCTCAGAAGTGGTTCCAAAGCTCTCAAGAGCCACACCGGAACCAAGTTACCAGCCAGCAAATCCTCAATCTCCAAGACTGCGTGAGTCGTGATAAAGGCCCCCAGTCTGACGGGAGCAGCTCTTTATCGGGGGAAGCACATTTAAACCAAAAACCGTTATGTACATATCCACACCCGAACTTCATTTTCATGCACATTGTTTTATGCACAAAGTGGGTCATTTTCCGACCAAACCCCTGGTCGAACGCCTGTTAAATTGCCCCGGTTGCGTGGTGCCCAACATTTCTCCGTTAGGTAGCTTGTCGATCAGTGCTTTTCCTCATCAAAGTCCCCTTCCAAGGACGACGGTCCCCTCTGATCCCTCTCTGGCTGCCAATTTAACAGAAAGGCCCGTGGGATGAGAAGAGGGGGAGGGGAAGAGTGCTGGAATAGGATACTTGGTTGGCGGGGTTTTGACAGACATCATTTCCCTGGGCAGGAGGCCAAAAACACACGTTTCGAGACGACGACGTCGAGGTGAGGTGATAACGGTGGGCGTCGCAATACGACGTACTCGGTGGGTGCACAAATTGTTTGCTTCACCAACGTCGCTGTCGTCGTTACCTCCGTGCCATGAGTCTGTTGCTTTGGCCGCATGTTCCTGGGACCTGCCACCTTATCACTTGTAGTGGCAGTTGACCCGTGTGCGCACTGCGCCTGCGGCAAGGCGGCAAACCGTCCCAAACAATCAAAAGCACGCCCTGATAGCCTTTTGGCCCTGTACAAGCAGGAATCTCACATACGGTTGATGGTTACGGAGGGGAGCAGAGGTGGGGGACTGTTAGAGATGGTGACATGTTCCAGACGTTTTCCATACTATGGACCCAGGCAATAATATCGATCTTTTTTTTTTTTCCTCTCGGCAGGTTGCGGCGGGCGGATTGCAGTGTGTCATTCGGCTTGGGTATCTCCACTGTTTGTCTCGTTGCGACAAGCTGATGGTTTGGAACGAACGGGAGGAGGGCCCTTTTGTCCCATGAGCTCCGTTCGTTGGCGTGGTCACCGGTGAGCTTTCCCAAAGCATCACAAGTTCCCTGTGCCTATGGAATCCTAGTACCTACGGATACGCAGGTGAGGAAGATTGAAGAGAGGGGGGAGGGAAGCTCCATTGTCAGTTCCGGTTCCCGGTGTTCGGGTCAAGCTTGATCGAGAGCTTCGAGGCAAGCCGCACGCCGCACGCCGCACGCGGGACAGGGCTATTCTGCTTGGCGACCCCTTGTTGCCTCGGCCGATTGAGATTTGCGCCATCATAAGCCCGTGGTCGACATTTGACCCAAGTGTCTGGTAATTGGGTATTGCGGTAGAGGAGAAAAACAGCCGAGCGAGTCATCCTATATCGACAGACTTTGCTAGGTGGTGGCTTCATCTGGGAAATGCTGAACGCTGAACGGCGAGTTTCCAGCAGCACTGCAACGTCACGTCCTCGCGCCGCGCGGTGATTAGTGCCAAAGTGCGTACATCATGGAAGCTAGCTACCTTGTTTCCTGACAATCGGCAGTACATTTTCAAAGTGATTCTCGGTATTGCGTCAAAAAAACAGGCCTCCAAATGCTACGGAGCTAGGTCCTGAAGTTCATCGCCGCGGAAGCAGGTACTTTGCTCATGTAGCTCACTACTATTTCTGGGCTAGAGCAGGAAGCAAGCACCCTACACCTGCATTCTCCTCCTTTGCGCCCAGCATGTCATCATCCGACATCCAGTCTCTCTGAGGCAGGCACTGCCCTCCTGATTCCCTCTCCCGCAACCTTCCCGCCGTGTTTCATCATTTCTCCTAGGTCTCCAAAGTCAAGACCAGGCTGCTGGGAGTCTGGGCTCGCCCATCCGCGCATCAATGTCGAGTGCCAGCCTGCCAGGTGGGCTGCCTCCACGTTTTTTGCGCCCCCGTTCCTGTTTTTTTCTTGTTCCTGACTTATAGCCATGCCCACACTGACGCGCTTCTGGCCACAAGATCAAGTTCGCACCGACAATCTTTGAGTCTTACCCCCGCCGATGTCGCCGCTACTGTCTATCGGAGAAGGAGTCCAAGAACATGAACAAATGTGCACTTGCTGGCTATCGTTTCGGCTGATGTCACGGCGTCTCTGAACATCGGATATGAGCTTATGTCTGTGGAGTAGCTTACTCGCAGGATGACATAATAGGCGGGTTGATGAGACCCTGACCCTCTTTGGCGGCATCACTGATGGTCCGTCCTCATTTTCACCTCGGGCGAATCAAGAGATAGCAATACCAGACAAGCAGGAAGTCTCTCCAGGGCCGTTCCGCAGGCCCCGAGCTAAGGTAGCACTGGGGGCAGGCAAACGAGCCGGCGACGAACAAGGGCACATGGCGGATACCAATAAAGCATGTTGGTACGGATACCTACACCATCCTCCGCATCGCTGGCTTGGGTTGAGGCTTGTGGACGATTGGATTTACTCTGCTTTGGTACTAGCAGAGTGTGGGTAAGTTATATGAGTGTCGGCCAATGCAGAGGCTTCTTATTGACCCAGCATCTTGGGCTCAACAGCGGGACATGAAACGACAAGAAACACCTGTAAAAGTCCCAATGTGCAGGCAGGGTGGGCGTTCGCATTTCCCACCGGAGGTGATGATGAGCTTCGCAGATTTGAGCGCTCGTATGCATTGCCACGCTACCTCCACAAAATCATATGAGCTACCTATCTACCGCGCTTCATCGACAATTTATTTGACCGCTACCGCGATAAGCCTATAACTACCTCAAGCTCGGTTTTTTTTTTATTAGTTACATGGCCGGATCATCACCTCTCCCCACCATTCGGATGCTTCCAGTCGCGTTCTATACCCCTGGCATTAACTACTAGTAGCATTCAATGATGCCGACGGCGTTGATGCGGCAGCTTATCCACCAATGCCAGGCGCGCCAGGTACCGAATACCTCCCACAAAACCAAGGGGGACAGATGGGCTCCGATTCCTGACCATCCCAGCGCTGGGATGTCTGCCAGTGAAGTTGGACACACGGACCCGGCATAAATGGCCCTAGTGAGCGTTTGTCTGCTGTTTCGGGGGCTTGTGCGAGCAGACCAAGGCACCGCCAGATCCATCGGCAGCACTATGTATGCACCAAGCGACCCAGCTGGCTGTCTTCTATTTTTTGTTAGGTTCTTAGAAAAGCGATAGTGGTACGGATTCGCGTGCGGCCCAACGTGCCCGCCGCTCACTCGGGCAGCCTTAGCCTTTGGGCCCTACAGTGGCGCCTCCCGGGCCCCCGGCTGATCTACTGGCTGGCGTGGATAGTTGGTTTCCCATCATCCCCATCTTCTGCACTCGTTCTGCCAGCCGGTACCGCTTGGTGTGCATCGCCTGACGAGCCGGCTGTTGCTGCTAAGCTCCTCGACCCGAGGGAAAGGAATAAGGTAGGTAGGAAGAGGAACGCGGCAGCTGTCCTTTGACTATGGATACACAGTACCTTACCCGCAGGTACCTAGAATTGAAGCTGCTACACAAGAACTCTCCGCTGGCCTGGCTCCTAAGATGCAACTGCGGGCTCAGGCTCGTCGCGTCCTGCCAGGTCCCGTTCACGGTTTGGTCGCGTCGATGTCGTGTTGCAAATGAAGCATCTCAGTACGTACCAATGGAACCAAACGGCTCACAGAAGGCCTTCTTGTGTAGATACCTGGCACCTGAGGTAGATGAAGTGAAGCCGTGGAAAACAGGTACGTACTGGCTCAATATCGGGTAGGTACTATGTACACTCATTGCCTGAGCTCACGAAACTGGAAGTGACCAAACGGACGGACATGAGCTGCATCCACTTTCCACCTTCCCCGAGCTTGCAGCCCCCCTTTTTCTTTTTTAATTTTTCTCTCGTTTTGAGGTGTGATGTGATGGTGATGCTTCAGTCCATCCACCACCATCACCACCAGAAACACCACCTTGAGCTCGGTTTCATGGCTTGAATTGATAATTAGCCAGATGGAGACGACGAGAGACACACTGACACCCAATAGTCCCTCGCCCCGGCATCTTTGGAGGCTTGAACCTGGACCCCTCCGATCACTCCCGTCACCAGAGGCCCTTTTTCCAAGCCTCCAAGGCTTTCAAATGGCACTAGCATTGGTGATGAGCACCGAGCTCGCGGCAGCTGGCCAGGTTCCCCTTTTCTCCTGCTCTTCGTGTTGTGCAAGAAGTGGAAACGAGGCTTTATGCGCTTGAACCAACTTGAACCATCCAACAGCGGGCAACCTGACACGGATGACAGCCTTCAACCTCTTCCATTCCCCCCCTTACGCAGACGCGGACGCAGGCACGCAGGACAAGGCCACTTTCTTTTTTTGCCTTTTGGTCTCCGGTTTCTCCCCTCCAGATCCGGCCGTTCCAACGGTCTTGTAGTCAGGGTAGTCTTGATCAATCATCGTCTCGGGCCAGCCTGGGGGCAAGAGTTTAGGTACGATTCTCCCGTCGCTGTTGTGCCCGCATTGTTCCCCTCTTGGTTTGCTCACTACTGCCCAGGGACTCCCTCTCATACCCGTCATCCAAAATGAACGACGAATGCACTTGCACCGACTTGGACTCCGTACGTGTCGCGACGAGACGACACACACACACACGCACGCACGCACACATAAACCAAAAGGTACATAGGTACACAAATACCAATCGTTTCTGGAGCGCATCATTCACCAGACGACGAGGACCCCCGTCCCGGTCGACCTCAGCCAGTGTTGTCGAATCAGGCTGCTGGATCCTCATCGTGGAGCTCCATTTCTGAACCTGGTTCCTGTCTTGCCCTGTTGGGCGTGGCAGTCTACGGATGCATGCGCGCACCGTCAGGAACGTTACTGTGTACGCTACTTTAGCCTGAGGTATTCACGTCTGGCCACGGATAACGAATGTCTGCGGTCACAGGCTCGCAGCGAGGCACGAAACCCCCCAGGCACAAGATGTACGTACACCACACCAGCCCAGCATCCGGCAAGCTGTTTGGTCCTGCGGTTGTTGTGCTGGCATATCAAAACACAACACATATTCCGTAAACAACACGCATATTGCCTTATTGCGCAGCCCCGAGGTACTCACCTCTCCCAAATTCCTCCTGCACGCGCCCCGCGCGCAGAGATGTTGCTCCAGTCCAAGATTTTGTGTCCTGATCCGCCGTTGAGCCGGTTGGGGGGTTGTCGTCCAACGGCGTGGACGGCTTGCTCCCCGGTTTCCCACCCTGGTTGCACCGTGCCCCTTCAACTGACCGAGGCATTTTATACGGATGACTGCTGTCCGTATCGTTACGCGGCATCCAGGGTTCCAGTCCTGCCAGCGTCGCTGGTGCTTGAAAGCTGATGCCGATGCTGCTGCTGCTGCTGCTGCTGATGCTGACGATGTTGCTGCCGTAGGCTTGCATATGCAGAGTCGCTTTCGCGCACACAGCCTGATGTTATTTCGGCTCTCCGTCTTTTCTCGCAGCGCACGATGCTACGTTCGCGGTCGTGGTACCTGGTGATGCCGCCACTGGCAGCATATCTGCAGCATATCCCATGTCTAGGGCTACCTCGTGAACATGTATCCGTGGACAACTGCCTCGAAGCGGATACATACCAAGCTCTATCGGGCAATGACCTCTACGTTTCTGGGCCATCACTGCCGACCGCCCCGGCCAGAGATACTCAGTCGGGCTATGCCAGTTCATCAAGCATCGCCGCTGCCCCATCAACTCACGTCCCGTCTGTCTGGATTGGAGTGAAGTCGGGTCGAAGGACCTGCGCGGTGTGCAACTGTGCAGGCGTGGGGCGTAAACCCCTCGTCTTCCCGTGCGACGGTCCGTCTGTCAAGTCAATACAGAGTGTACCAAAACAAGAGACGGGGTTTGGGTACGATGGATGACGAGCAGAGGAACAGACATATTAGACAGGCCGTGAACCGTGACGGCGGGAGGCGAGACCAGCAGAAGTATGATTTTCCAATAATTCAATTCTATCCCAGGGATCCAAGCAACCGACGCCGCAGACGAGACAGCCGCCGGACAGAAAGGAACGAAAAAGAAGAAAGTCTACGACGAGAGTGGCACTTGCAACCAAAACGTCCGAACAGAATCAAACCAAGCTCGACCCTGCATCCCACAACATAGTCTTTTTTTGTTTTTGCCTTCTCAATTTGCCCGCCTCTTACTCGTGAGGTGCTCCTCCCTCTCTGCCGCTGTCTCTCTTCCTGCCTGCTCCCACTGGCATCTGGCACCGCACAGAGAAAAAGATACCTGCCTACGGGGCCAGGTCAGGTCAACGGCCAGGTACCTCGCACGCGCACATACACACACCATTTCCCTCCCAGTACTCGAAGGGCAAGACAAGAGAGACACTGGACGGTGGGCACACACACACACACACACACAAACATACAGCCTGACCCTGGTCGCCGGCCCCCCCTACCTAGGCTTTTTTGGCCGCCCCAGGTCCCAGGACTCCCAGACCACCACCATCACACCCCCCCTTGCCTTCCCTTGGACACCCCTAACCCCTCGAGCGCAAATTGGCCCGCCAGAGCGAAAGGGCAAAGGACTGAGAGGGAAAAAAGCACGACTCCTCGGTGTCCCCCCCAAAGGTCATTAGCGAGATTGGGCCCCTATCACAGTACTCCGTACCCTCTCGCTCTACTTCTCACCCCCCAGATTCATTCGTTCATGCTAAGAACGGGCCCCTGGCCACCCCTCGAGTCGAACTCGACTGCATAGTGGCCGGCTCCTCGCTCCATTTTACCACATCCTCTCGGTCAGTTGAAATCAATTTCCCTGCCGTCTGCACTGCATTTCATACAGCACTTTGCACGCCTGGGGAGTACGGGAGTACCTACGGGAGTACCTCTGATCCCTACTCTGTACTCAGGGCCTAGAGTCCCTCCTCCCCCCTCGTCCCTCGTCCTCATCCTCGTCTTCGCCCATCCCGACGCGGGTCCGCGGTGAATCACTCTGCTGGATCGTATGTGGGTTTCTGCTCTCTCACGCCTCTCTGTACCTTACACGGTACCGTACAGAGTACTCTCTCTCACACACTCTCTCTTTCCTCCCCCGTCTCCTGTCCACTTGACCCTCGTCACCCATTCATTCTTGCTCTCCCTTTCCACTTCCGCCCGGCTTCTGGCTCCCCTCCTCCCAAAGCTCCCTAACCCCTTCCTCTCTCATCTGTTTCTTCGTCCCTCTTTTTTTTTTTTGTTACTCATGCGTCGCAGTTCTCGTCCAGTTTTTGCTATCAACCAGGCAGAGCATACAACAACTGCCGCCGGGTTCGCGAATGCTGCATAGCATTTACGAGCAACTTGCTACTACTCGAACTGCACCCAAGCACACACCACACGCACTGCGCAGACGGGACAGGAGAGACATCCAACAACACCACTACCACCCAAACACCTCGTGCGTCGATGCTCATCTCTCCCCTCGTCGCCGGCTTCACAATTCCACGCGCTTCCCAAAGAGACCAAACCAACAAAACCTGGCCATCCGACACCCCCCCCTTCCGCTTCCAAGGGTCGCTTCCTCATCATAGCAATCTCGACCCACGCACCCGAGAACATCGTCCCCTCTGGATATCCACGTCTGAGGATCCATCCCCGATCGACTGGTTCTAGCTCCCTTCCCACCCCCTGGACCCTTACCTGGCCCTTTTAATAATATCGACCACCTCCTGGCTTCGACCGTCCTTCGCTGTCTCCTCTTCTTCATCTGGTTTCGCTCTCTTGGTCCATCCCAGCTCAGTCATTCTCGCCTTTTTCTATTTCCAACATCAACCATTCCCGACCCATTACTCGCGACAACATACGCACAACACATTTCCTTACTACAACTTTCACACTTCTTCAACCACACACCAAACCAAACTTGACTACCACCAACACTGCACCACCACCACCACCAATACCACCAACACTGCACCACCACCACCACCAATACCACTACCACTGAAAAAGCTCTCCCAATTAGACCGGTCTGAATGCTACAGGTTTCGCAAGCGGCTCTTACACAGAGCTCCTCCTAGTTAGGCACAGCATTGGTACGGTCCAGGCTAATACGCCTGAGAAAGCGGCCTTGGCCAGCTGACCCGCCTCAGAAATACCGTCGTCACGAGGATCTTGACTGGACTCAACGATCACACCCACCCACAAATCACACAAAATGACGGTCGCACACGATCTGGCCCACAGAGGCTCATCATCCCATTCTGCCAACAACATGGCTCTCGAAGACCGATTCGAGGTCCTCAAGGAAATTGGTGATGGTAGCTTTGGTAGTGTCGTTCTCGCCCGAGTCCGTAGCGCAGGTGCTAGCGTGGCTCGTCGCGGTACGGTGGTAAGTTCCTGCATATCGATCCCGTTGCACCACACCAGGTCACTAAAGCGTCGTCTAGGTTGCCATCAAAACCATGAAGAAGTCTTTCGAGTCATTCACACCATGCTTGGAGCTTCGCGAGGTTGTCTTCTTGAAGACATTGCCCAACCATGCCCACCTCGTCCCCGCCCTTGACATCTTCCTCGATCCGTACAGCAAGAAGCTGCACATCGCCATGGAGTACATGGAGGGCAACCTGTACCAATTGATGAAGGCTCGGGACCACAAGTGTCTCGACAACGCCAGCGTTAAGAGCATTCTTTTCCAAATTATGCAGGGTCTTGAGCACATTCACGCACATCACTTTTTCCACCGCGACATCAAGCCCGAGAACATTCTCGTCTCCACCTCATCCCACCAAGACACCGTCACATCCTTCCGTAGATATTCGGCTCTCGTCACTCCCCCCTCCACGCCTCCCAACTACACCGTCAAGATTGCCGATTTTGGACTTGCACGCGAAACCCACTCAAAGCTTCCCTACACGACGTACGTTTCGACGAGATGGTACCGAGCACCCGAAGTGCTCTTGCGGGCTGGAGAATACTCGGCCCCCGTCGATATCTGGGCCGTCGGCGCCATGGCAGTCGAAATTGCAACGCTGAAGCCACTCTTCCCCGGCGGAAACGAGGTCGATCAAGTCTGGAGAGTGTGCGAGATCATGGGAAGCCCCGGAAACTGGTACAACAAGTCGGGCGCTCGTGTCGGTGGCGGCGAATGGAAAGATGGTACAAGGCTAGCCGGCAAGCTGGGCTTCTCATTCCCCAAGATGGCACCTCATGCCATGGATACAATTTTGCAGCAACCTCAGTGGCCCGCTGCGCTGAGCCACTTCGTTACGTGGTGTCTGATGTGGGACCCGAAGACCCGCCCGACCTCAACACAGGCAATCGCCCACGAATACTTCGTCGACGCCGTTGATCCCCTGAGGCCGAAGTCCTCTGCATCGAGAATCTTGGGCCGCAAGCAGTCCGATCTTGGCCGGGGCAACAACTCTAACTCGTCCACCCCGACCTCTTCCAAGCCGTCCTGGTTCAGGAAGTCTCTTATCGGTCGCTCCGAAAGCGCTGAAGTTGCCGTTCCTCAGTCGATCTCCAAGGAATCAACCCCGAGACCATCCCCCGTCCCCTCACAAACGACGAACGAGGTCCCCGTTGCAAAGACCCGTCCCGCTCAGTCCAAGCGTACGACATGGACTAATGGCCCATCCAACGTCGCTCCCATGCCGATACTTCCAACGATCCGTCCCATCTCGCCCATATCCGATGCGGTGACTGCCGAGGCGAGAAACGGTGTGACGTACAACGATTCGTACGCCAACGGTCGCCAACGTGCTGTGCAGATGGACGAGAAGAAGAAGATTGGCAGACAGTTGTCGGTTGCCTCGAGCACTAACAACTACGCGGAACTCCACCGTCAGCAGGCCGAGCGCGCTCTAAACGGCAACAGTGGTCTTGCATCGCCGCCCGGCGGTCACAAGGAAAGCTTCTTCTCGCACCTTCGGAAGCGTGCGCGTCGTTTCTCTGGCAGGCACCAGGTCCCTATGTCACCGAACTCGGACGATGTCGAGGCTCAAGCCGGCTGCGGCCCCTGGAACAGCAACAGGTCCTCTATGGTGATTGATAACGCCCCTACTCCCCCGCCGAAGCCTACCGAGCTTCACGAGCCGCTCGACAAGGCACTGAGAGATGTTCAGCAGAACCACGACAACGCTCCCGTCCCACCTGCGCATCTCATCACTCCCAGCAGCACTTTAAAGAGACATCACTCTCTGCCGCAGCACCACCCACGGTCTGTTGACAACCTGATGGGAGCTGTTAAGGGAACCGGACCGATCTCAAGCCGAACCCGTCGTGCTCACGCACACGGCGTCCAACACTACGATGCGCCCGATGAAGAGGATGAGCTGCTTGACGAGGTTCTGAACTCGACCCACCGAGCCATGAAGCGTCTCGAGAAGGACGGAAAGCCTGGACTGCGGCAATCTGCCAGCAACATTGGCATCTCAAATCCGTACCCAACTCCGTCCCCTTCGGCCAATGGCAACAATTCTGTGTTGTTTGGCGACAACCACGAAGCCGTCGCACCCAAGCCTTTGGATCTGAAGAAATCGCATGGCGTTGAAAGTCAATACAAGTGGCCCACTCCTCCGTACGAGGAGAGTGAATGGGCTGCATCAGCATCCGCCAGCATTTGGGCGGCTAGCAATCGGTTCTAAGGCGGGGCTTCCTTTGAGAGAGAGATACTCTCCCAAGGCTGAGCAGATATCACCGCAAAAGTTCTTTGTGTAATCACATGCATGGGCTGGGTGTTTGGCGTTTGTCGATGTACCGGGCTCATCGTCCAGATTGGAGATGAGTCTGACTCCGGATCTCGATTTTCTTTTGCCCAAGACGTTTTGGAGGAGGGTGGCATTTCGGCTATTCCACGATATCTTCGATACCATAGGGCGGCATCTTTTACGCCATCGCGAACATTTCTATTTCTTTCAGCTTTTTTTCTTATCGACTCATCTGTTTCGAAATACCCGATATTATAGACTGGAAGGGCCGCCATTGGCGCCCTGTACCAAAGATAACATTTCTTTTGTTTCTGGGGCTCACACGGGTGAGGAGTGGCAGTCTCCCAATCGGAAGAAAATGGACACAGTCCAATAGGGACTGGGGACAAGATAAGGGAGGGTCAAACATGGTCACACATTTCCGTACAAGGAAGGACAAGGGCACACTATCTTCTAAGATTCTCTGCGGGCTGGACACGTCAGATGACTTGAGGAAAGCCGAATCTGGCCACAGGACGCCCAATGGATAGTTTGTCATATATGGACCGCGGAAAACACAAATGGTATACATATGGGCAATCCTGTCAACGCTACTCAGAGGCTGAGTCTCGCGATTGTTTGTTCAATCGCATGGAAACTGTCAAATTTATATGTGGAATTCTTGAGGATGAGACGGGATAAAAAAAGACATAGTCACGAGGGTGAGTGGAACTGAAACTCCTACGTTGGCGGGCGATATTAGGAAGTTCTGCTATAACCGTACTACATAATAACAAGATGGCATCCAAGAGATGTACATCGATTACGAATCACGCCTATAGGTTCTTTATGCCGTGTGCCGTTCGTGGGGACGAGATTTTTGGTTGTCAGTATGCTGTCTGTGTGTGTGTGTGTGTGTGTGTGTGTGTGTGTTTGAGAGCATGTGCAAACGATGGGATTCGAATTGACTCTAAGCTGAATCATGAGACGATTTAGACGCGCGGGCGGGTGTGGCGTTGGCGCCTTTCCCGCGGCCGGTGAGCCGGCCCGGTAAGGTTTCTAGGTAGGTGTAACCTTGGGGTTTCGCGGTCCCAAAGCAACGAGGCGGAGCTCACAGTTATGTCGTATGCTGGGCTGCGGCTACGGCGAGCTGAAGAAGGCCAGGCGAGGGGGCGCCGTGTTGTACGAGAGGCCATGGATGGGAATAAGTGAATACACCGAGTAAAGTAGCAAGACCACAAAGGGCCTGGGCAGCTTCGTATGCATATAATGAGTATCTTCGGTTGGGTACTGTGTTTGGCGGCCGGCAGGATGTGCTACCACTAGTGGTCTATTTTACTACGGCCGGGATTTGGGGGCCAGTGGAAGGATGCATGAAACGGCAAAGCTGGGCAGGGCAGGGCGTGTACACTACGGTGTGAGGCTGTGTTTGACGGGGTGCGGTTGTTCGAGAGGGTGTCGTTATTGGCGGTTGTTGGAACCGGTGTTGATCGTCTCGTATCATACGTTTGAACTGTCCGGAGCCCAGTGATTGCAACACACTCGTTATTGAATCATTCTGAATGTTGATACCCTGCCGAGATGACTAGCGTCATTTCTTCATACTGACAGAAGCAAAAGGAAATTATCTTGGCCTCGACAATATGCGTGGTTTTCTCAGGGCCTTGCCTCAAAAAACGGATTGCTTTCAACCATCTTGGAGGTAATTCTTCGTTCCCGCGCTTTCTTCTTCCAAGGCGTTTCTTCCCCCTTCCTTTTAATTTCACCGACGCCTCGCCAGCGCGAGCCGTGGTCTGGGACAATGCGAGGGGTCTCGGCCTTCTATTTTTTTTTTAAAAAAAAAAGAGGAGGGGAAAAAGAAAGTTGGGCGTATGTCTCGTCTTTGTGCTGTCTCGGGCAGGGAAGAAAACAAGGCATTCACATTTGAGCTAACGTCTAGGAAGAACAAGTCTCTTCCTACATCGTCCACTGGTTGCTGGCCGCCCTTTGCAGCTGCTTGGAACACTTCCGAATCGGTCTCGAGCAGCAGTAGCCGCAGTAGGAGCACCATAGACGGAGTGACGTACCTCACAGCACGGCGCAGTAAGAAGCATCTACTCTATCAAACGTGCCGGTAACGCCCTCCCGTCGTAAACGTCAAGTCTTGGCACCCATGCTGATGTAAATCGGCAGAGTTTCGAGTCAAACCCACGTATAGAACAGGTTGCCTCATCACATCCGTCGAGGGAAAATGGAAGTAGGAACATGTCTTCTTGCCCTCAGGGACGTGGTCTCGCTGGCTCATCTGTCAAGAGGCACCCCGACATTCTCGACGCCCCAGCGATCGTAGTTGAACGGTTAGAATACCGTATTGTGGCCTTCCCAACTGGTTCCGATGAGATGGAAGTTCGATGCCTTCTGATCATATATACGTCGGAGGTTTCCCATGGTGGCGAGTGACTGATGGCGTCGGTGAACCAGAAGCTGGTGTAAGAAGCAAGCGCTCGTGAGCAGCGGCTACAGGCAAAGTACACAGCTTAGGTACGGATAGTCAAAAAGTCTCCAGGCGCACTACCTTACAAAACACCTCAGTCAGTAGCAATGTCGGGTTGCGCAAGTCTGCAAACACCTGGCGGAACCAACATGAGCCAGTTGCATACAGATGTTGGCTGCGCGACGGTATTGTAGGAAGGTCCGTATTGTTTCTTGAACCACTTGCTGGTGGAGCTCGGAAGCGCCTGAAGAGGGAGGCTATGGATAGACTTGCTTTTTTACGGTCTTTGTTGCGGCAGCTCCACTGTATAGGCTCCTTCTTTTGCGCTACGTCTGACAGAAGAGTCAAGGGCGCAACGAGCGCAGACCGGAAGAAGGTCAGACTCAAATTCGGTGTCCAGGAAGATGTGTTGCGTAATGCGAAACTTATGTCTGTCACCGCGCATGTTTCTCTTAAAAAAGCCGATCAAAGGGTGCTAGAAAAGGCCGATCTTCCGGGATGACTGATGAGGGCGGCGCACTATTCGTACTTTACATCAACGGTTGACTTCATCCAAACGAGACGTGCCAAGGATGCGCCTCGGGAATTTCTCCGGGCCTCGGGCGCCGCCTCATGCGGGGTCACATGATGTTGGCCGCCTCCCGTCACAAATTCGCTTACATCAGCAAGAACCGAAGCACGGTTCCTACTTTGCGAACCACTCTCCATGCTGCCCAGTGCCGCCCTGCGCCTCGTCAGCGCAGAGCCAGTAGGGAGAGCTGGTGAACCACCTACCTTAGGCCAAGGACACGCTTTCAGCCCTTTTCACTGCGCAGCTAGGGACGTTGGTGGGGCAGTGTTTGCCTGGTTCTCCTCTCGCCCTGCCACTTCCCCCCCGCCCCTCGACGTTAGGCTGGTGCTTGAATCTCAGCTACGGAACCTTGTCCATCAGTACTCGACCGGCCAGCGCTATCTTCCTGTTCTCGTTCCTCCATCGAAGGGAACCAGGAACTCGATTAGGCAGCAGAATATCCGGGGTTGACATCTGCTCGCGCAAAGCCCCTCTCAGTTCCTCAAACGTGGCTCAAGTGGACTTGCTCCTATCGATCAAGAATCAGAGCTTTTGTCGCTCTACCTTACTCCGTCGTCATTCCTGGCGGGGTGTCATCCTCTGCTCCTGGAGCTACCTCGCCAACTCGCGCTGCACTGGGCTGTCTAGACCTTGCTGTCATCTCTCTCCTTTTTTCCCACCAGCGCGCCCGCCCACCTCAGGACTGAACCCCTCCTCCGCCATTCCACCCCCCACGATCATGTTCCTGTAGCCTTGCTGTCCTGAAGAGACGATCAACGCCCGCCTCTTCTCTTTGCGCACAACTGCCGACGACTTCCCATTGCTCTCGCTGATCGACTCTCTGCTACCCAGTCTCGCCCCCCCGTCGGCTGCCAGCGAGGGCTTGTCCCGTTCGCTTTTGTTTCTTGCCATCGGAACTGTGTGCGCATAGTATGGGTTTGAGCGCATATCCCAGCCGGATATTGCCACCATGAGCTTCAACCTCCCTCTTCGGCCGAGCTCCAGCAGCATACGAAACCAGGCGAGTCGAAGCACCTACTTCAACAACTACACGCCCAGTTCCTCCACCGAAGCCATCAACGGCCCCCTCAGGGAACCTGCAAGGGAACTCTTCGGCACTACCGATCGGCTGATTGTCGGCGTCGACTTTGGAACCACATTCTCAGGGTGAGTCGCATCCCTCTGCAACCTCACTTGACTTTTCGGCCATTTTCAATGTGACCCCTTGCCTGAGCGACTGCCAAACATGCGCCCACTCTTTAACCCCTCATCATTCTTTGATGTTCCATGCGCACCTGTCAAAGCATTGGCGGCCTCACGTAATGGCCCAGTCCATATGGGATGACATGCTGACACTCACCGCAGCGTCGCTGCTGTCTACACTTCAACGCCAGACGATGTCGAAATCATCAAGACGTGGCCGGGCGGCAACGGCATCACCTCTGACAAGGTGCCTACCGAGATCAGCTATGACTTGTCCGCGAACGCGGCTGCTGGTACCGATCCCACGGTGAAATGGGGGTTCCAATTCAAGCCCGAAGAGGCGCGCCTTCGCTGCATCAAATTGTTTCTTGACCGCTCACAAAAGCTGCCCTTCTACGTGAGCCCGCTCGACACTGCGGCCCAACTGAAGCGCTACAACAAGAACGTCCTGGACGCTGTGAGCGACTATCTAACACAGGTGTATAAGCACACCATGGACACCTTGACTCGGAGATACGGCGAGTCGTTTATGCAATCTACCAAAGTCGACTTCGTCTTGACCTGTCCGGCTGTGTGGTCCGACGCAGCAAAGAATACGACACTCCAGGCGGCTGAACGAGCGGGCATGGGGTTAAAATCCGAAATCCAGATGATCAGCGAGCCCGAAGCCGCAGCAGTATACACATTAAAAGCCATCCAGCCCAACCACCTCAACGCCGGTGACAACTTCATCGTGTGTGATGCAGGTGGTGGAACTGTCGAGTATGTCAGCCCGTGATCGGCTATCGATCTTGGTAGCATAGCTAACGGCTAATCTAGTCTGATCGCCTACAAAATCATATCATTAAAGCCGCTTAAAGTAGAAGAGTCCGCCGTCGGCACCGGCGGTCTTTGCGGTAGCGCGTTCCTCAACTATAGATTTGAAGAGCATGTCAGAAACAAACTGGGCCACAGCCGCTTTGACGAGATGAAGGTCAAGAAGAACAAAACATGGCAAATGGGCCTGAGGTATTTTGAGGAGTTTGTCAAACGTAACTTCAACGAGGATGAACACCAGGAAGTGAATGTGCCGTAGGTCTATTACCCCTTGATTTGAACATTGCCAAGGAAGTCGCTGACTCGACGCAGTTTCCCAGGTTTACCCGACGATGAAGAGGCTGGTTTGGACTGCGGCTTTATGGTCATGTCAGCTGATGAGATCAAAGAAATATTTGCACCTGTGGTCAAAGAAGTTTGCGATCTAGTCCAGGGCCAGGTCACCGGCATTCGTTCCAAGGGAGGTGTTGTGTCAGGCATCGTACTGGTCGGTGGATTCGGGCAGAGCGACTACCTATACCGAAAGCTCAAGACACACTTCACCAGTGCCGCGCCGCCTCCATACACGGAAAGGCCGACACACGGCAGCGTAACTGCGCTACAAGAGACGAGCTCGATCGAGGTTATGCAGCCAGTGTACGCCTGGACGGCCGTCGTGCGAGGAGCGGTGCTGCGAGGACTCGAGGGCAACATGGTGATTTCGCGTAAAGCGCGGTATCACTACGGCACATCGTACGCAACTGTGTACGACGAAGAGAAACACTCGGTCAGCGAGCGATACTGGTCACCGCTGTGGGAACGGTGGATGGTGTCGGACCGCATGCAGTGGCACATTGCAAAGGTGAGTTGGCTCAGAGATGCATACTCCGTTTCGCTCCAGGGGACGAATACTGACCCGGTCCGTTGATACAGGGAGAAGCAATATCCCCACTGTCGCCAATCGCGTTCCACTATACTCGAAACTTCAGACCCGGGCAGTCATTGCTGGTGACGGACGACTTGATTGCGTGCGAGGCAGACGAGCCGCCTTCTGCCTACACCCGCGACCTGATCCACGTCTGCACGCTGACCACCGATCTCAATGCGGTACCGAGAAGCCTATTCACGCGCTTGACGACAACGCGCGGTGTGGAGTTTGACAATCTTGACTTCACGCTCGAGATGATCGTCGACAGCGCCGGTCTAGGTTTCGAGCTGAAGGTGGATGGTGTCAGGTACGGACGTGTCGATGCCGAGTTTCATTGAGCAATAGACCGTGGACACGGTCTCTTTGGACGGCGAAAGGAATTAGCGTAACGGAAGGTATTACCAGGCAACGGAAGAGGTAATGGTGCTCAAGCAGGAGTTTGGGCCATGAAGTGAGTTCAGGAGGGCAACTCATGTTTTGCGTTCGCCCTCGGAATCTCGTCTCATATATATATATATATATATATATATATATATATATATATATATAGTTAGCGAGGATCCATTCGCGAGAAGACACACCACTTTTTGTATCTCGCCAAGGAAGACAAGATATTGTGCCACAAGTTTGACGCGTTCCGAAGCGTGCATGATGAGGCGAGCGGACTTGGGGGCGGGGGGAGGGGTGGTCCGGTGATGAGTATCCTGGTTGTGGTTGGGGTTGGGGTTGTCATAAGTTGCGACGATGATACACTTGGTCTGGAGGGGCGACGGTCGAGTGAGGCGCACATGTCAGCCCCGCATATTCAGGTGGGAGTTCTAGTTCAACGGTCGTTTGGAGTACAACGGTGCATACAACAATGTCTCGCCGGTCAATTTTCTTTTTCTCCATATCGAAACTTGCGTCTCCGGCCCATCCATCGTAACACGAGGATATGTGACCCTACGTGCCTGCGTAGAAAACAGTTGACTCTTTTTACTTGGGGACGGAGACGCCGGCACGTCTAAATTGTCGCCGCCGTACGAGCCGAGTGAGGCTGTGCAACGGCGCGTTTAAGTGGTTCAAAACGTCTCCGAGACTTTGCAATCTTTTGCCACGCCACACAGCCCTACTTTCAAAAGTGACTACTGGCGAACGACGAATGCCTTGATTTCGCTCGACGCAAAGTTTGAACTATTTGTCTCGCCATTGGCCCAACGGGCCGAATAGCTGATAGCGATGGGGCGGAGGTTGGCTCGAGTGGTTACCCTGGGGTTCAAGGCGGGACATTTTTGATATAAGACGGGATGTGGGAGGCCCGCTCACAGACTTGCTGTGTACTAGGACTATCCACCCTCTTCCCATTTTCAACTTACAGATCACAGAAATAGGGACGAGTGTCGTTCAGTGTGCAAACAGCGATGGTGAGAAATGTAAGCCAAGCGGAATATTATGTAACATCTGGTGCCTAATCTCGTCTGTAGTTCTTCCGCTCTTGCTGACTGGAGTGGGGAGCGTTCTGTTCCTTCCCTATTCGAAACGAAAAGCATGAAACGAAACCTAAAGGAGCAGCCCCTGCAGTAAAGTCGGGTAAGAAAGAAGAATGTCTTGCCGATGACCTGACTGTCTGACGGGTCGTACCTGCCTGAAGAAAACATGAAAGGACATACATGCAAGACCGCACTCTGCTCTTCCCTAAGTGCATCATCGGATGAAGTCTCCCTTCGCACAAATGGAAAAGGCATCATGACAGGATGCGAAACCATGAAGAGACCTCGATAGAAAACCATGCAACCGTCCCTTTAGAGAGCGGCCAACAGCGAGCTACCAAAGGCACGCTGCACACTGAAAGAGGGGTCGATACTCCCAGAATACCGAGAGACATTGTTAGCCCTGCCTGACTTGGTCTGCTGCCCACTTGGGTCGCCGCCCTGCCCACCAGTCCTATCTGGGGGCCAGGTGACCCCCGAGTATGCCTCGCGTCTGCAGCTGGCCCCCAGCCTCGCACATGTCCTCGGATTCGGGTACACAAGACAAGGGGGGTTTCGTTCAAGGTAGCAGACCGACCTGCGGGTTCCTGCAGTGCTAGCCTTCAGCTAGGTGAACAACCTTTGTGCAGAAATCCCGACTGACCGGATAGTGGGAAACCTTATAAACAGATGAGAAAATCAGATGAACCGTTGCCACCGTCCTTGATGCTGGGAAAGGCTAATCGGAAATTCTGCCGTTTCCCCTGGCCCGTGATCGACGCCCTCGCCCCGGCCCGCTCCGGTATCCAAGCGCCAGTTTCCCACATCTCCGGAATCTTAGACCGCTGGCAGTGACGACAGCTTCATCAGCAATGGGTATCACCATGACTGGGTCCCATCGTCATCAGAGGCGTCGCTCTCTGTTCCGCCTTCTTCTTCCACGCCCTGCCACGACAACGTCTGCCTCTTCTCTGACTGGCCTCCACCCGGACGGATATACACCCTGAACACGAGGGCCTTCGCTGGCACTTGTGGCCTGCTGGAAGTCCTGAAGGGTCAACTTTCCAGTTTGATGTAGGTGCTCGACAAAACTGAAGTCGGGCCGTCTTTGTTCGAAACGATATCCATCATAAAGCATGTGGTGCGCAATGTGGTGCATCCGTTGACTGAAATTCTCCCCAGGATCAGCGTAACGTTGGCCCACATTGTAAACATGGTCGTCGCAGAACCAACACACGCACTTTGCAGGGTACTCGCCTCGCAGATGGTTGTCTTCGGTATGCCTAATCCAAGAGTCGACATCATCGAGTCTGAACTGCTCTTGGCAACCAGTCCAAGGTTGAAATTCGCAGTACAGCATGTTTCTGCTCGGCGGAGGAGCATGCTGCAGCTGCATGATGCCTTGCTGGAAGGTGCTCAACGCGGAGTATTCGGATGGAGCCGGCGTTTCGGAGTATACTGAAGGCATCCGATAGTCGTCATAGAGGGGCTGCGCACTCGCCGAATGAGTGTAGTGGCTCTGGCTGCCATGACTGCTCCGGGATGCCTGCGAGGCAGACGAAGAACTCGCATAGGATGACACGCTGGGGGTATATCGAGGAGTATTGTTCCAAGAGCTGGGCTGGGGATTCCCCGACCATGATGACGGAAAGTATGGGTCATTGGACCCCTGGCCGTTGGACGACATGTTGCGCAAAAAGTCTCGATGCTCGAACGAAGTGTTGAACACCTACTATGAGACAAACTTTGTGGGGCGACCGTGATGCTCGGACGAATGGAAAGGGCAAAGGCAAGTCAAGGCAAAGGGACCCGCTGACCGTTACCAGTAAATGCGAGAATAGAAGAGCTAGATCGAGAAGTCGAAGTTGCGAAGCGATACGCGCTACATAGAAGCGGAAAGCCGACGGACGACCTGGGTAGGTGGAAACGATGTGCTGCTGGCAGTAGGGGCAGGACTGGTTGGGCGGTTGGTAGTCGCAGACGACTCTGCAGCTCAGCGACCTGCACTTCGACCGTTCGAGAAAAGGCAGTACTACCCAAAAAAGGTGAGACTACAAGCGTGGAACGAGGTATTGCCCGCGCACGAGCGGACGGGCACTTGAGGTAGGAAAGATATGGGTACGATGTGAGCAGTGAGATGGGGAAGAGTTGACCTTTTTTTTGCATTATTCCTTGCGAATTGGGGAGACGCGTCAGACCTTATACGATGATAGTGTTCTTACATGCACACGGCTGCCCAAACATGGCTGGCGTCCTCTCGACGGCATTTCATGCGAACCACGGCCGGCGGCGGCACGAGCCCACACGCCTTCGGGACGGATAGATACAGCTCTCCACACCAATACCAGTATCAACCCCTCCAACCGGTCACATTCCACCAACCGATGAGAGTGGACCAGAGAGCAACCATGTCAGCAGATATCTTGAGTGGTCTTGGGCCATTACTCCTTCCCTTGTGAGGAGGTTCGTCCTGAAAGGAGTCTGTCTCCGACGTCGTGTTCCGCCGCGCAGGAGATCGTCGATCGCTACAACGGGAGCGTTAGACCGGAGATTGTGTCAGATCAAATGCGCCTGTGGCAGCTCCAGCTCCGTAGGGCTACCATTATCTTTGAGTGCAATGACACTCGGGCTTGCAGTGCAATGTCATACGAGACCCATTCACGTCGATTCTGTCTACAGCTCAATGCCCTCTCCCTTTCTTTCTTTTCTCCATGGATACAATGGCGACGACAACCCACTATGAGCTGTCCACGTGTACGGCCGCGGCACTAGGAAATCGAGAGGGGAGCGGGGGGGGGGGGGTTGCCGGAGCAAGGGAGTGCTGTACGGCGAGCTGCAGTGACACGGCGGAGTTGCCGGGAGTAAGTAGCCTGCACCGCGAGCGAGTCTTGTACCTCAAGTAGGAGCTCGAGCAAACAACTCAAAAAAGGGGCAAGTTGCCTCTTTTTTGAATTCTTTTGCTGCAGAAATGACATAGCCGAAGCAGTGCTCCGAGTTGCAAAGATGCTCTATTCCATTGGCGATCGTTCGTTGACCGCATTGTTCCAACAAGACAGCATCGAAATGGAGACAACTTGCCAGTGGGGGCGAAATCTCGGATACTGCAGCGGTTGCGGCACGACACATGGACAGCAAGGGGGAAGGTTGGCAGCACAGCAAGAGTGCGTCGAGGGTCGAAGCAAGCTCGAGGGGCGAGGGGAATCCACCTGACCCGGAGAGAATGATGCGCCGATGGCTCGCAGAGCCTCATCTCTTCCCTCTACCTGCCAAATGTTTTCTTTTTGACCGGAAGGATCAAGTTCGCTCCACACATTGATTTTGTCGGTAGGTAGGGGGAAGGGTGAGGAGGGGAAGGGGAAAGAAGGAAGGGAAGAGAGACCGAACCCCGCTCTTCTAACACACCCCGGCCGACAAGCTGCAGGAAGCTCGCCATAAGGGCTGCATGTGTCCAGGGTGGTGAGGAAGGCATGGGATTGCAGTGAAATGAGGTCTCTCGATTGGCCGGCGTCACGGCTCTTACGGCGTCGCCGAGTGGTATATCGCATCCTCTTGGTCGGTAACTTCTAGTGCGAGCTCTGGTGGAAAGCTTCATGCCGCTCGTGATGGGATAAATCTACGGAGAAAGTGTAGCAGCAGGCAAGGCTCGGTTGAGCCCTCCGCCCGCGCGGGATGATGATGAGGAGGGTTGACTTTCCGATTTGCGTCCCTTTCCGTAGGCACGTCATGTGGGCGGGCCGCCGGCGATGGCTGACGAAGGGGATAAGCAATGATAAGTGATGCTGCGAAATAGGTAATGTGCAAATCTCACTTGCGCCAATGATTGATAGTGGTTCTGCATCATCAAGAACCGCGGGTTACGGGTGGGTAGGTGGAAATATGGTGTTTGATACACTCAGATGAGCGTCAGGAACGAGGGTTGCGAGTCAACCGTCGAGTTTGGTTCGACGAGCGAACAGATGAAGCATCAAAAAAGTAGAAGGCTCATCGTTTAAGCACCAAAACCGTCTCATTCGGGACTACATAGTACCCTTGCCTTGGCAATGACATTCTGATACTGCATGTGCCCCCCACTCTCGTCCCCGCGCTTGATGATGCCGGGGAAAGTTACGCACGCGATATCGCGCTGCGACAGCGCGTCCTCGTCCTCACCGCCAATGTCCTCCATGGTGGCGGCATCGAACCTCGTCTGCTGGTGCGGCACAATGTCGGGCATGTGGACCCGGAAGACGGCCTTTTGCATAGCGAGCTGCCGCGCTAGGTCCGCCGCGCCGCCGACTAGGGCGCGGAGCCCCGCGTCGCGGGGATTGGCTTCTGTCGTTCCCGTGGCCGCTGGCGGAGCCGCGTCCGTGACGGCATCGAGGATACGGTTCACGCGGGCGATGACGCGGTCTGTTGCCGCCGACGTCTCAGCTTGCATTTTGGCTTCCGCCTCGCGCTGGAGGAGGGCGAGGGTCGTGGAGCGCCAGTTATTGATTGCTTCTTGGGAGTCCACTGTGTTGCGGCATAGTTAGCTTGCCTTTTCTTTTTCGTTTTCTTTCCTCTTTCCCTCTTCTTTCCTGCTGCCGTTTCTGCTGGGGATTCATAAAGGGTAAGGGGTAAGCGGGTTGGTAGGGAGAGGGTTTGCTGACCATAGCCTAAGAGAGTCTGCTCCACGGCCTTGAGCTGCTCGGCCTGCTCCTTGGGGAGGCCGAAGAAGTACGAGTCGAAAATTGTGTCGACGAGCACGCGCGAGACGACGGACTGCAGCATGTGAACTTTGGCCGAGGGCTCGAGATCGGCGTACATGGGCACCAGCTGGCCGAGCTCCTCAAGAACGTCATCGCTTGCAGTAGTAAAGTCTGTCATGATGATCAGCCTACAGTATACTCTTCATTCCTCCGATGGTATATTCCAGGGTTTCATCCGAGGCATGTGCCGAGAGAAATTCGTTTTTCGTTTTGGAAAAAGAAAATAAAAAGAAAAAGGGAGAAACGCACCCAACTTGGCCCTGCGAAAGTTGACAATAACCCAGTTCTGCAACCCGTTACTCAACCTCGCCATACCGTCGCAAAACACCTCGTCGGACGTCTGCCCGCTGGTCCGCGTGCTAGTGCTCACAAACTCCTTGAGCCCGCGCACCTGCGTCCTCAGCTCGCCGACCTCACGCCGCAGCGCGTCACGGTCGGCATCGCGAGCCTCAGACTCGCTGCGGAGCACTCGCAGGTCGGCGTCGACGCGGAGGAACTGCTGGTTGACGTCGCTGTGTTTCGCCTGCCAGAAGACGGCCGTCTCGCTCTCCGTCTGTGAGAGCCTGTCGAGCTCGCTCGTGAACTCGCGCTCCATAATCTCGAGCTCGCGCTCCAAGTGCGCTATGCGCGCGTCCTTGTCCTTCAAGTGTGCTGAGCTGCCGCCGTGGCCGTGGCCGGTAATTTTGGTGCCGGCAGCGTTGCTGCTGTTGCCCCCGCTGCCCCCTCCAGAGGCTTCCTTGTGTCTAGGTTCCTTGTCTTTGGCATCTTTGCTACTACTTGACGCAGTGGCCGTTACAATGCTGTCCTCGTGGTTCGGACTCGCAGAGGAGGAGTTCGCGGGGGCGTGGTGGGCTCGGGGAGGCGGGGCAATGATGTTCGCCGCGCTGTTGCGTGGGTTCGAGGTGTGTAGGACGTGATGGGTGTTCGGACTGCCGCCTTGCTGCGACGATGGGGAATGCTTGGACGAGGACGAGGAGGGCCCGCCGGCATTGGTATTCGAGGCGCTGCCACTGGTGTTGTTGTGTTCCTTGCTAATACTGCTGCTACTGATGCTGCTGCTGCCGCCGGGGATGAAGGAGCGGCGCTTCTCCGCCGGTGTCGTGGACATCCGGCCGAGCTTCTTATCTTTCGTCATGGGGACGGCGAGGGAGGAGCATGCGGATGGCTTGGTACTGCATGATGGGGAGGTAAGACGAAAGTTGGGGCGTGCGGGTTCGCTCTGGTTTTTTTTTTCCAACCCGCTCAACCCGCTCGCGATGAAGGGGAGATCTGACAGGCTATTTAATCTTTTTGGTTTTGGCCTGCTGCCTCCCCTTACTTTTCCGCCAAAGCTGACCTTCCCGTTGTTGATGACAGGTCTTGGGTGTGTACCGAGCTTCGGGACGGGGTATTAAGGTAACGAGAGAATTAAGATGTGGCGTCACTGGTTGCCTGGTCCTTGGCCTCTCGGCGGGAGGCAAACACACGCGGAAACCACCGCCTCGTGGGGATGTGTGATCAGGCGGCGAGCCAAACAGAGGTTAGTTGAGGTGAGGTGAGGTGAGGTAGACTAAGATAGCCTTCCCGTATGAAGCTGGGTCGGGGACGTCGCCGCAAGTCGTCCTCCTAGGATGTTAGGTCGACATTAGGGAGGGGCTGCGAGGGTCCCATCTATCGTTTGGAGGGGGTCCCATAGTTCCCCGCCGGAGCGGTATTTTTAGCGGCCCGGCGCTTGTGGCCGCGGTCGGGGCTGCACCGTGGGGGCTGTGAGGCTTGGTTTGCGCGTTCACATTGACTTGCCGCTGGGCCCAGGAATCGTGGCTACCCTGGTTGACGTATACTTTCTACTATACGCCATGACCAGCTCACTTCATGTATCTCTCTCTAATCTGGCTATGCTGCTGACTTTTTATGTCTAAGTGGCCTCCGATCGATCCCCTGTCATTGAAAATTCTGTAGAGGTCGTGGTTTTGAGAAAGCTTTAATGAACATGGTCACAAACGTCAAGGCATGGAATGGGGGAAAACACCGTTCGTTTGTTGGGCACCGTTGAAACTCGCAGGTTTCTCAACAAGATGTATGACAGACCAAGGCTACGCGATGACACTAAAAGTCGATTTCGGCGACGACCTCATACGCTTCATCATCCACTCCCTCAATCTTCTTGGCCCCCATGCGACAGATGGCAATCTTTTCCAGGGGCACATTCTCCATCCAGACGTAATCATCATATCGGTCGAGTATATCCCTCGCATCGATGGATAGCTTCGGGCCCGTCTTGCCTCGTCCGCCCTTGACATAGATCGTGTTGACGATGGTAGCGTGCAACAACAAGCCCCGGTCATCCTTTTCCATGACCCCGGCCTCTTCAAACGTGGCCCTGATTCTCTCGCAAAATATCTGGAACACCCCCTCGGGGTTTATGGGCGGCGCGTACAGGACCGACGACTTGCTGGGATCCGCTCTAGGGCCCGATTTCATGCAGTGTAAGCCGCGGAGCGTGATTCGGAGCGGCGAGTCGGTTCCAGGAGCGCTGGTGGATGACTGCGCTTTGCCGGGCAGCGTAGTGATGGAGGCAAGAGACGAGATTCCGGCCAGTATTTCCCGCGGTTTCAAACTTTTCAGGACCTCGGTTGCTTTGTCGACACCTTCGCCTCTTGCGAGACTCATTACCCCAAGCGTGAGGTGCAGGGTGCCAAGTGGCCGCACGGCATCTGTAGGAACCGCGAAACTGTCTGGACTGGTCACATCTGCCTTGAAGGAGGCCAGGCTCTTTGATAACTGAGGTCGTGAGGCCGCAGTGACCAAAGGTATGCACAGGAAGTGTGTGGGCGAAGGCCTGGCGTTTGGTCGAGGAGGCATGGCGACTGGTTCGAAGAAAGGGGGAGCAAGTCGAGGAAGTCTTGATACTACGTTGCCCACGGTTCAAGGCGGTCTTCTAGGTCTGGCAGACCGCGGTACTTGCGGAGACTAAATAGCCTGACAATTGGCCGTATTCAAGAAGCCTGTAGACGTTCCGATAAGACGATGAAATCTGCGAACCACGTCAGAGCCTAGTTCCTTGGAGGTCCCGCAAACGGAGACAACACGCTTCAAACCACGCGATCCTGTCGGGCCGGCCCGGGATCCAGTCCATTACGAAAGACCTGCCCAATATCCGTCGCTCGCCTGGCGGTAGAGCAGATGCGATCCGTTGTCGACGTGAGGTAGTCTCTCCGATATTGGTGAGATTCGCTTGAAATGGACAGGCTTGGGACACAGCGCATGAGACGCAATTCCAGCAGAACCCGCACCGCCACAGGGCCTGCGGCTTTGGGACCCAGTGTCACAAGAATAATATGTGGACGTACCAGATTTGAGCGATGGCGTCAATTTGTCGATCTTTGGGCGTGGGCTTCGTCACTCCTCGCAATGATGTCAGTCGGTTAAGGCTGAATGAAGGGGTACGCCCGGGTAGATTTTGATGGGTTCCCCGCTGTCCGCACCGAGAATAGAATCCTGCTTGTCAGCCTGTCTGGCATCCCCGGAAACAAAGTGCCGCCTCCGGGTTGCGTAGTTTGTGCTACAATTTTGATATACATCGTCTGTCCGACAAGGTTGTGCAAGTTGCTTTTCTTGGAACTGAAGGGGAAATATCGCTCCCGAGGAATTGCTGGATTTAATTCACAAAGCGGCTATGTCGCCATTACTCGCGTGGGATCGTTGGCTTTGTACCGCCAAGACGTCTGGGTATGGCCTCTTTGTAAACGAACGCAGGTAATGCTATTGCCCATCTATCCAGCAGAGATGGTAAAGACCGTGAGAGCATGCTGTTGATTTAGGACTATGGCAGGCGTAGATGGGGAAGCCCATGGCACGAGCCTTCAGAATCTTTCCGTCATCTCAGTCGACTGGCTGCCTCGGCCATCCAGCTATTCATTCGGCTTTTCCCTTTGCAAACAAAAAGTGGTCTTCCATGCAAAGCCAATCCAGGTCACCATGCCAAAATGCCAGTTTTTCTTCGTGAATCAAATTCGTAAGCGTAGAGAAGGGGGTATGAGGAGAAATGGGTTCGTGAGCAAAGTGTCAAAGGGCCAAGGTAGTGGGAGAGCCGCGCAGCCCTCGAGGGTGTAGAGCCCCCTCCGTCATGGTCCACGTCCTTCGTGTCGCCACAGCCATCGTTTCTAATGCTGGGCGACAGTAGGGCCGGTGCTAAGACACGGAGCGGCGGGGTTGACCAGGAGTCGTCCATGGCGGCTTTAGTCTTCTTCGGTGCCAAAGAACTTCTTCAGAAGCTTCTCGGCGTCCTCGTACTCCGTTTTGAGGGCCTTGAGTGTCTCGGTAATTCGCTCCAAGCACAGCTCCTCGTCCTTCTCTGGGGATCCATCCTCGTTCTCCTTCTTGCCATAACGTTGGATCTTTTCGCAGCTGTCTCTAACCTTGACGAGTCCCAATGTGGCCGAGGAGCCTTTGAGAAAGTGGCCCAACGACGACAGCTTCTCAAGGTCCTTTTCCTCTCTGTGAATGTGAAGAAAGAAATGAGAGTCAGCCTTGTCCAGACCCAGAGCAATGAAATCATGCGTTGGAATACCAGAGAAAGAGATCCTCCCTGCTGCTGAGAGTATTTCAGGGGTGAAGGGAAGGAGAAGGGAGGAGAGGAGAGCGAAGAGGGGTGACAGGGAGGAGGAGTGGGGGTGATGATGATGCTGATGATGATGCGACTCACAAGGCCTCGTCCATCTGCTCAAAGGTCTCTTCTGCTTGCTCGAAGAAGCCAAACACGATCGACTGGCTGAAGTCGCGATCATTTTCGTCCTCATCCATCTCCAGGATCTGACCGAAGGTGACTGAGTCAATCGCATCGCCAAAGTCGGGGTTGCTGAGGGGACCGTCGTCGCTCTGTGTGCAAATACCCCACGTTAGCCCAGCCCTCGTGGCCCAAAACATCATCACAAAAGCATCATTTGGAGGAGAACTCAGTCACATACCTTGTCTTCTGAAGCAGGCATTTTGGCGGTTGGGTATATGGTTTGTTAAGTGTTGTTGTGTGTATATGTAGCGTAAGTGGGTGTGAATGCAGGGCGGACAAAGGCGCGGTTTGAGATGGTTTTGGCTCAGGGCGCTCGATATGAGAGGACTGTGTGTGATTGGCGACAGCAGGTAGACACAGGAAGAGAGGGGAGGCTACCGAAGCGAAGAAATTGGTTAGAAGACAACGAGCCAACACAACACAGCAAATGTTCAGTCAGGCCGGCGGTGGATCCCACGATGTATGATTGAGTGTGTGTGGACTGCGGAACGAAGGCTTCGGTTTCTTTGCGCCCGGCTCTTGGGGATAGGCTGGGTGCCCTGGGTAAGGATGAGGAGAGTGGCCAGGCTGGGCTTGCCGTTGCCGCCGGTGGTGCTTCCGCTGCCAGCGCCAGCGGTGCTTCCGCTGCTGGTCCGACGATGGTGAAGGGGAGATATACCGCAACCGCAGGAAGCATGCAGCTCAGGGTGGATATTGGGACAGAGGAAGTCGGAAGAGGTTGGTGTTCGTGGGCGGCAGAACTGGACACACACAAGACAAGTTACTTACAAAGACGAAAGGGGACTGGGGGTTGAGCTGAGGTTTGAGAGGGTGACCAAGTGTTTGCCGAACTAGAATGAAAAAGAGTAAGCTATCGGGTCCGTAAATGGTCGGGCGCGCATATAAGACGTCGGGAGAGCTGGTCGGTGGTGTTCAAGAGGCGGGCAACGAAGCAGGTAGGGCTTCCGAGGTGTCTAATAATTTTTCGGCGGGGGATGCAGTAAGTGGATGTGGGTAGGTAGGTGGGCTTTTTTTTGGAGGGGAAGACCGCGCGTGGTGGGGTTGATGTGCGGTGCTGGTGACTGCCAAGTACCCAGATTCAAGTACCTCGACCTTCAAGGTAAAATAGGTAGGTATCTTAGCGACTGGGTGGTAAGTAGAAAACAAAATGGACAACCCGTTCGTCTCTGTTTTCCTGCGCCGGCGTGGGATATGGCCGAGGAGGGAAAGACCGAGGTCGATTAAAGCGGTGTCGTACCTTCCAAGTTGTTCAAAGTCGAGGTGGTGGTTTTGATGAGACAACGGGGACGAGGCCCGGCGAATGGCAAGATGTCGCAAGGTGAACCCGGCGGCAACACACGGGGGCAGGACGGAGGTTACTCAGATGGGCGGGCTCTGGTAACGAGGTCGAGGTGAATTGTCCGAGGTGAAAGACGGACCGGAATAAGACCCGTCGAGTGCTTGTGGATGTGTGAAAGGCCAGTAACAGTAATCAAACTTTGGGGGAGGGGAGATGAGTCGAGGTAGGTAAAGTACAACCAAGGTACCTGAGCTTCAAGAGATGCGGCAAGGTAAGGTGAGGTGAGCTAAGGTAGGTAAGGTAGAGCAGGGCAAGGCAGGGAAGGCGACGATAGCCTAAGGACGACGATTAAAAGCGGAAGGCGTGACGACTGGGGCAGGCAGGGCGTAGACCAGGGCGGCAGGACCAAAGAGAGAAAGAGAGTGGGAGCAGGAGGGGTGGTTACTGCTGGTGGTGGAGGTGGTTCCTCTGCGTCTCTCAAAGAGGGCAAGGGCGAATCTGGAACTGATCTCTAGTGCAATTTTGGTTGGCAAGTCGGAGACTTGGGGGCCCTGGTGCGAACCCTTCGCCAAAGCCGGGGCCTTGACAGCAGCGGGCAGGCGGCAGGACCTCACTGAGTTGAGTTAAGGTACGGATAGGCAGGCAAGACAAGCGAGGAGAAAGCCTTGGAGCAGCGGCGAAGCGAATGCCGCAGCTGACCTGGAATTTCCTGCGAGTGCTGTGCTGTCGCTGCGGGAGGGTCGATGGAGGGGTGACACCGTGACGATGGAGGGGGAGGGGAGCCAGGAGCCAGGGTTTCCAAAAAGACAGGGTCAAGCGAGGATACGGCGGCGGGATTGGGCCGCTCTTTCGTCCTTTCCTGCAGGGCCCTCGTCCGGGAATGCCACCTTATTGTTATGTGCGTTGGCGAGAGTGCGTTGTGCGCGCGCGAGAGAGAGAGAGAAGGAGAAAGGCTACCGGACGGAGGCGGCGGCGGCGGCGGGGTGAAGCAGACTCGAAATTTTTGACCGCGACTGTTCGGACCGGTGACGAACAAGAAACAGGATGGATCGAGTGTCAGTTCGAGGGAGGGGACGAATGGAAGACGCGCCAGCCCAAAAAATGGAGGGAGATATGCTGCCTGCCTATGTTTGAGACGAATAATCGCAGCGACCCGATACACTGGGATGGCTTGGATTGGATCTTGGGTTCTTGTCAGTCAAACGCAGCTGTGGTTTGGCGGATGCGGAGGGGGGAAAAGAAGGAAATAAAACTGGAGGCTCGGGCAACGACAACCGGGAGACGGCCGGCTGGAATCTCCACTAACCACGGTCTAGACGTGTCTACCTGACCTCATACTCGAAAACATACCTACTGAACCTAATTGAGGCGTCGCCAGAGTTGCATCATCAGAGCCACCCCGGCAGGGCAGGCACTGCTTGAGGTGCCCGGGACATCAGAGCCCAGGTCACGCGCGTCCTGCCTTTGCTTTCTGTCTTTTCAACCTTCCTCCTACCAATGTCAGGTAGTTCCAGACAAGGCAAGCAACTTACCTGCCTAGGTTGAAGCCTGAGTTGAAGTCTCATGCAGGGCGGGTAGCTAGGGTTGGAAGACGGTACATCTGCAGGGCGACTCCTTCCTTCTGGGAAGAACCTCCAAGCCAACGGGGACGCGGCAAGCATCCCCTTACGTACGGGGCGCTCTGGCATATCTCTTTACCTTGGGCCATCATCTTGCCCAGCCGTTGACCAATGCTGCCCCAAGAGGACAAAGAGCGTTTTGGGGCATCTCCAGACCGAGGAAATTAACGGGGAAATCGCCAACTTCTCCATCCAAGCTTGAATCGTCCTCGAAAACATTACGGTTCGAGAAAGCAACTCGGGGCAAGCTTGACAGCTTCAACGGTAAGCTTTTGCACCAGATTCGATCCATTTTGCATCTGCAGACTTGGTCTAGAAGACGCCTAGTCAAGCTCGGTCACCCTATACGGCCATGTTTTCTCCATGTCATTATTGGAATCATCAACGGGTCGGTCACGAGGGAAGATCCTCCGTCTACATGTCGCGACACAGCCCTCCTAGACTCGATTCCTTGCATACTCCCGCCGCCGTTTGCTGTACCTCGACAATGCAAGAGCGTCCGCCGCATTGCAAGTTTGACGCGATCTCTTCCTACCCTTTAATTGTCGCGGAGCTGGCTTCGTTCGATATCCCCCTCGCCTCTTTGGTTTGAATGTTGGATTCTCAAACGAATCTTCATCAAAGGCACTTCACCTCCAGTCTCTCTTCCGGGTCGAACACCATCGGCTGGTGCCGATTGTCTACTGTTCTCGATTCTTTGCGGCTCCGCCATCACTTCTCTTCACTCCCGCCAGCGACGTCTTTCTGACTACACGCCAGGTCTGTATCGCTCTTTGCCAGCGGGTTGGCCATTCAAGCAAGACTATTTACCACTCGACAACCCTACCTCGGCGGTTAGACATGTTTTCAACTGCCCGATTTCGCACCTCTCGTTTCCGGGGCGGACGATCTGGCTTGTCCACCGCATACCTCTGGGCTGACGAGAACTACATTTTCGCTGAGCGAAGGCAGCAGGTGTGACGATCCATACGCAATTCTCGATTTCTTCCACGCCGGCCGAGAAAGTTCCCAGAGCATGGACGATGTGGCAAAGTCGATGATCACACCATATCAACACCACCATCGGATTTCACGACGAAGACATTCACCGCTCCACACCGATGGGGGGATCCAAAAAAGGCAGGAGGGGTTAAGTCATACGCCAGGCCAGTAGCTGAGTCTGATAGAAGTGATCAAATGAAAAGGAAGGTCAAGAGGTGGGGAGAAGGCTGGAATGCAGGGTCCATACCCGTCCAACTACTTTGACGATCTGTACCTGATTCAAGTCTCTAGGCTGCTGACAATCCAGTCGATACCACTCTTGCCAGCCAGGTGGCAGGGAACACGGTGAGCAACCGTCCCACACCGCTGCAGAATTATCTCGGACACAGCCTGGTCGACAGAGGCTAGACTCTCTCGGCCGACAGTTGGCACTCCACTTTGGCGTACTTTTCCAGTGGAAGAAAAAGGATTTTCCTAATCTGTTTGGCCGGCTTAGAAGGTCGTGGTACGGGGATCCATTGAGGTGGTTAAATGGTATGTATGGTGGAGCATATGCATATGCACTCAGGTCTGGGGGCTGGAGCTGGGTTCCTACCAGACGTCATACCGCGCTTGAACGTCATCGGTGGGTTACACTGCAAAGCCTGCATGGACCAGGATGTTTCGAGTGGGTGACGTTTCCGTTTTGGTCCGTCGTCTACCGTTGGCGGTCCATGCCAACGACACTCGCTCAATCACCAACCCAACGCCGACAATATTTCACTCTTCATGACCCCCTACTCGAAGCACTGAAGTAATCCAAACGTCGGCGTTTGCGTCCTAGTGTAGAGGCAATGGATTGCCGTCTAATATTTGTGGGAAAATAAGCTTCACGAGGTGTTGGGGCTGCTTACACAGCTTTGAGGCTCTGCCGCCGGTGACAAAAGAGTTGCAGCTGTCAGAGGACTCTGGAATCCGGCCGGACTGAACCGTAACTCCAGTGGACTGTCCCGTGTTTTACGGAACATCCACCTTCCTCGACGGTCGGTACAAGTAAGCGCAAATCGGCATACCACTTCATCTCCATCAGCTCCGTTCTCACACGTCTCCACCGTCAATTGATCCAGCCTTTTTTTCCCAGAGCTCATTCATTCACAGACGGCTGCCGGCCAAGACATTTCATCCCCGTCCCGCCTTCTAGACCAGTTGGACACGACATTGCAGGAATAGATCATCAAGCCGCTATCACTCGGCTGGCCGTCTGATCATTGGATCGGTTGAACTTTGATGTCACGCATGCGCCAGGCCAGGGAATACAGCAGGCCTTGAGGCGGGGGACAGCACCGAACTGACAAGAATCTCTGACTCCTCTGCTCAAAACTTCGATCGTCGCATGAGTGGAGGGAAGCCGACTATCGCACGGCCAATGGCCAATATACGGTGACATCTTTTTAATCATCAGTCACCTCACGACTGCTGTACTCGGGCTCATGCTGAAGCTCAAAGCCGGTATATCCGCCTTCCCCGCTACGGATCTGGTCTCGGTCGGCAAGCTTGGTCATTACTACCAAGGTATCACATTGGTGACACTACCTGCTAAAGGCCGAGATTTCAGGATGTGGTATGTCGGCACAATGGCGAGCCATACTTCTACGAAGACTACTCATCTCCCAGTTGTGAGCCGTAGCGTCTCTCATCAGACGACATGTCAAGAAGGATGTTCAGAAGGGAGCTCGCGCTGGACAGCACGCCAAAGATTCGGCCGCGTTTGAAAAGCCAATGACTTTTGATCTATTAAGTCTCCGTAATACATCCGGATGTAAACTCCACAAGAATACTTGTAATTCGTCTGAGCGATAGAAGATGCTTCTGCGCCATATCTTCCACAGCCACACGAAGACACGTTCGTCAAAAGAAGTTAACGGGGATCGCAATCAATGTCCAAAGTACGTTGCAAACAATGGTCTGGGGTGGAGGTTCACAACAACAGCTTGCGGTGTGTTGATTGCGAGAGCTCACAGACCCGGTTCAATCGCTTTCACACCGTCTCGCGCCTCAAGCCAATCTGCAAGACACAACACGAGGTTCCCGCCGGCTGCTGCATGCAAGCGCGAGGTGATACTCCCAAAACCGGTTTTTGGCCATACTATGCGGCCAGTGGTCCCTCTCGCGCCGGCTTGGCCGGCCGCCGTTGTCCATGGAGAAGGGCGCGCGTTCTTTACGATGGTAGTTCAGACAAATCGCTCACTCTTTCAGTGGTCCTCTGCGACCGGATGAGGCGCCGTTATGCTGCTTCAGGCCTTTTCTCTAGTCTATTTAGACCAAAGCCATAGTACTATGAGAGAGGTCTGCCGACGCTTCAGCGTAGCCGTCAATAAGGTCGGAACCAGGGTGATAGCCCGGTCCCGCATCGGTGTGCATGTCACGTGGTTTGCAAGCTTGTAGGACAGATGGTATGTATCGATCCGATCCGCGGCCATTAGAAACTTTTGGTTTGATTACGCATGGTACTTGCAGCAACACGCTGCTACTGTAAGACGAGGAAGTGCTTCATGTAGCGATGCCAGCAAGCATCCGAAGTTTATGTTGCAGTGCCGATCCCCCATGATTGGAATGCTTCGCGACAATGCAGACGCAGAAATATGAGGGTTGGAAAGTAGGCAGCGAGCCACTCGACAGGTGACGGGCCTGTGATGGGTACGGAAAACGCCTTTCGAGGCCGAGACACGGAGAGGAGCTGCTGCTTCCTGCAGCACATCGAAGTTTTCGAAGGATTCTGCAGAAAACCAACGTGGGGCAATTGGAGCATACAAACATACCCTGCAGACTTCGGGTGCCGGGGTTCTCAATTAGTCTAACGGTGAAGCTTCAGTCTTGCTAGGGCTGCGGTGATATCCACTTCACCGTTCTTGAGTGGTCTAACGACCAGGTCTCTTGATGGCGCTGTGGTGGGTGGTGCAATCTTTTCATCTGACATAACTCGACTCTTCTTGCTTGTTTCTTTCCCTTCATAGCAAAACCTTGGTAGCCACACTGAGCAGCCACGCCGCGTCCTGCCAGCCACCCTCGTTGGCTTTTGGGGGCGGAATCCGTTCCTCGGGAGCGCTGATAACACCCTCAAAATGCCGGGCTGACCACGACCGGTGGAGCCCATGCGCCCCATCCTCGTCAGCCTCACCCTCGAACTCCCCGTCAACATCTTCGTCGTCGGACTCTTCCTCGTTTTCCTCGACAGCGAACAACGGCCATCCCAGGATATTCCCGACCCAGGAAGCACCTCCAGCTCTCTCATCCTTGACTAGCTTCCTAACGGCAGCCTCGTCGTCTTGGGTAGTGTCAAAGTCGAATGACTCGAGCTGCTCGTCAAGGTTGACAAAATCCGGGCCGGGAATGTAGTCTTCACCATCGTGGTGGCGGGGGAAGTATCCCTCATCCAGCGAATGGCGTTCCATCGGCGTCAACATTTGGCTCCGGGTGCCGACTCTGCTAGCTGACCGGCTTCCAGGACGACTTGGCCGAGCGGAATGCGTGTAGGCGCCGTCCGGGTCGGCGAGACTGCCGCGCCGGCTGCTGCGTCGACTAGTAAGCTCACGCTCCCGAGCCAATTCCCTCTCGAAAGCCTCCTCTTCGGCATCTCGCATACCCGTCAGGCTTGTCGAGCTCTGCCTTGACACCAGCCATGCCTGACCCTTGGATTCGCGGTTCTCATTGCTGATGAGCGCGCCAGTCCTGAGGAGCCAATCGCTGTCGTTCCGATCCCGGACCGACAAATCATCTTTTCGACGGCGCACCGTCGGCGACGTGGTGCCCGAGACGACCTGACGGTTGTGTGATTTTCGGTCGGCAGCGGACGGTGTCAGATGGGTGGCTGATTTGCTCTTGGGGAGGTGTGCGTGCGGTAGCGAGGCACGACGGGCGTGGGAGTTGGAGCGGGCGGGTGACCGGGTCAACAGGCCCGGCGTCGTTGGGGCGGACTTGCCCTCCAGGTAGGAGGTGTGATGTGGCGAGGTCAGGTGTTCGGGGAGGGCATCGTCGTCTTGTAGGGGCAGCCTCGAGGTGAAAGGAGCGAGGGAGAGGTGATTGAGGTTCGTGCTGGAGCGGTTCTTCCGACGCGCTTGGTTCGCGTACTGCTTATAAGCCTCCTCCATGGTGTATTTTGCTTTTTGAGAATCTTATCGGGCTTTGTAACGTCTGGTAGGTCCAGACGGATGGATGGCAATTGATAAGCGAGGAAGCAAAGTAAGGCCAGGCAGAGAGCAAGGGTAAGATTATAATGAGTTTGGTTCGACAGGTAGGTAGAGTGGCAGGCATGCACGGGGAAGGGGGGTTGGATGGGGTTGAGCAGTTCGGGTGGTTTCGCTTCAGGTCTTTAAGAAAGAAAAAGAGTTGGGAAGCACACAGCAAAGCTTGTTGAGGAGGCGTCGGCAGGAGCAGGAAGCAAGCTTGCAGCCAGTGACACGGACGGACGGGCAGCACGGCAGCCAGCAGCGAAATTGGGAGAGTCTTGGACTGGGAGTGTCAGTGTGGAATGCGCAAAAAAAGCATATGCGCTAATGGCAAAATCCGGGGAGCAGCCAGGAAAAGGATACCGAGGAGTCGAGGAGAAGACCGGGATGCGGATCTTGACCTGTGATTTGCTGATTGGGTCCTGCGGGGACGGGGGCATCGGGTGATGATTGGGGCCCGGTCTTGCATGATTCCGTAGGTACCTCGGTACATGGGTCATTGCTCGGGTATCCCCTATGCGGCGGGAGGTACCCGTACCCGGATCATGCAATCTTCCTATCCTATCACTGCTATCGGTGAAGGGGGTTAGACGGGAGGTGCTGAAGCCTCTTCTAGGCCCTTTTCCCACTGTGACGCTCCAGCGGGGAGGGAGACAGAAAATGGAGGTGTGCTGAGACGGAGGTGGAATGAGCTGACTCTAGTACGAGATTTGCGAGACGTTTTTTTTTCTTGATTTAATGCAAAGGGGCTCGCCGCGATGGCCTGTGAGTTCTGGGTTCAATGGCATGTTTTCCCTCTCATTCCCTCTTAAGACGTTATGCCATGTGCGTCTAATTTTTTATTTATGAGGTTCATGCTTGTTTGGTTCACATAAGTGCTGAAAACGAAGTTCGGAAGTGGCCGTGACGTGAAATTCCGTCTGATGATGATGTAGATTGTGCTTTAGATAGATATGAGCTAAGGGGAAGTGGCTACGCACCTAAGGTAGCTGAAGCTGTAGTCATCTGTTAGTGTCGCTCCCGAGATTTTTAGCACGGCAGCACGGCAGCACGGGCGATGTTGAGTGCAGGCATAATAACCATGTTCAATGGAATGAAGGTAAGAAGTGTGGCTTGCGCGGGCTGCTCCCGAAGTTTGGACTTGACTGTGAGGCGGCAGTGGAGGGGTAACTTGGACCCCGCCAAGTTGCTGATGTACCTGACGGCGCCGCATAGGGTACAGGTACATCCTTCTTGTTCCGCCCCCGCAAGGCGGCTGGGCTATCGCATTGAGATTTTTCCAAGCGGCAGGCCTAAGAAAAAAAAAAAGTTGCAGTGACGAGCTCGCATTACGACTCACACATTCTCGCGACCGAAGTAGAGCATAATACCCCGAACTCGAACCAGAACGACCCTATCTTTCATGCGTTAAAGGAGCTGCAACGCCCCGAAGCAGCAGCAGCAGAGGGTTCAAGATGCGGAACTTGCGCAACATTCGATTCAGCGCTTGGGAGCAGCAGCAGGCGGCAGACACCTCGGCCGCGGACGTGACCGCCTGCTGCTGGGACCCCGCCAAAGACGAGCTTCTCTGCACGACTGGGCCGACGGAGGCGAAAGCCACCATCGAGCTGGTGAGGCTGACGGATCACCACCAGCAACAGCAAATGTGTGGCGCCATTTCTTAATTCCCCTTGAACTACGTATCCTGTGTTGTTGCATTCCCTGTTTTCACCGTTGCTTGTTTAGCCAGACTACTTCCCCATGTTATTTAGGTTGAAATCTTGAATTTGACTAGTTTGATATCCCGTCCCGGTCGTAAGGTGATCTTGGCCCTGGGACGGGGGCCTGTCTCTCTTTTCATCATGGTGTGGCTTGAACACACCACAAAGTCTCACAGACCGAAGAAACCCAAACGGTTGAGAAAACGACTGTGACTAACATGGACCTCTTAGTAAATCAAACACAGTCACGAGCTGGGATGCGCCGAGCCCCAGCCCGGACCTGCCCGCAGACAGGGTCGTCAGCCTCCATCACTTCAGCGACACCCTCACCACCTGCGTGATCCTCGAGGGCGGCGACATCGTGACGGTACAAGAGGAGGACGACGGTGTTCAGCATGGCGGCGATGTCCAGATCGAGATCGTGGGGTCCATAGACGCTGGCATCGCCGCCGCACGGTGGTCCCCGGACGAGGAGCTGCTGGTCGTCGTGACCAAGGAAGGCAATGCCGTTTTCATGGGCCGGACGTTCGACCCCATCGCCGACGTGGTAATGACATCTGACGACTTGAAGCTCTCCAAGCACGTCTCCGTCGGCTGGGGAAAGAAGGAGACGCAGTTCCAGGGGAAAGGCGCCAAGGCGATGCGGGACCCCACGATCCCCGAAAAGGTCGACGAGGGCCTGCCGAGCGCCAACGAGGATGGGTCCGCGACGGTCAGCTGGCGGGGCGACGGCGCGTACGTTGCTGTCAACTCTGTCGCCGGCGGCGCGAGGCGGGTCGTGAGAGTGTACTCCCGCGAGGGCGTACTCGACAGCGTCAGCGAGCCCGTGGATCACCTCGAGGGCGGGTTAAGTTGGAGGCCGTCGGGAAATCTGATTGCGGGCATCCAGCGCTTCGAGGACCGGACCGATGTCGTCTTTTTTGAGAGAAACGGGCTGCGGCACGGGCAATTTACACTGCGGTGCGCCGATGGGCCCCTCAGCGCGCACGAGAAGATCCGGTTGGAGTGGAACTCGGACTCGACTATTTTGGCTGTGATTTTGAGTGACAGGATACAGCTTTGGACGACGGGAAACTATCACTGGTATCTTAAGCAGGAGATCCCTCTGGCGTCTGCGTTTGCTGGGTGGGCGTGGCATCCAGAGAAGCCGCTGCGTTTCGTCGCTGCCACCACGGGTGAGTCTCACCAGCCCGCTTTTCGCGCACAAAATGTGCTTTGCTGACTAGGCCACAGCAATCGTGAATGTGGCCGAGTACATTTTTACCGTCTCCCGCGGATCTTTGAGCCCTCCTTATGACCATGGAGCTGTCGCCGTCATCGACGGACAGGCTGTCAAGTTGACGCCATTCCGGACGGCACAGGTGCCTCCCCCCATGGCCCTCTTCGAGCTCGACTTCCCCAGCAGCGCCTTGGACGTCGTGTTTGACCCGAACAACGTGCTTATGGCGGTGTTGCACCGAAAGGGGCTCGACGTGTACGAATGGCAGACAAAAGGGGAACGGTCGATCAAGCCCAAAAAGCGGGCCAACATCGCGTTTGAGACGGACGCCAAAACTCGGGTGCCTTTGCAGGTTGCCTTCTCTGGTGCCGCGGAATGTTGCGTTCTCGTCTCTGATGGAGGTCTTAAGCTCGAGAGCTACACTGTCGAGGCAGATTCCATCAGCGCCTCAGGAACCACCCAGCTCAGGCCCGCGGAAACTGTCTCATCGCTCTTCAGCCGCGAAGGCGATTCGGGTGTTGAAGCCTGGGCTCAAGACCGCTCTGGAAAGCTGTACTCGGTGGTTGGAAAGCAAGCCCCCGAGCTTCTAGGGACACAGCTTTCGATACAGCTGCCGTGGTGCGAGCTGCACAACATCAACGGCCGCAGTGTCGGGATTGGAATGACGAGGAACGCCCACCTCTATGCCAACTCGAAACAGTTGGCAAAGAACTGCACTTCTTTTGTCGTCACCCCTGCGCATATCATTTTAACGACCAACAATCACTTCCTCAAGTTTATCCACCTGGTAGACCCTGAAGGTCAGTTATGCCCCCTGTTGTCCTATCGGAGATGCCGGAGTTCAGAGATGCTTACCCCTTTTCACAGAGATGGAGGTCCCTGGAGATGATCCAGAGATCGACGAGAGATGCCGCAGCATCGAGCGCGGCGCCCGCCTCGTGACGGCCACGCCAACCAACATGAACCTGGTCCTGCAGATGCCGAGAGGTAACCTCGAAACGATATTCCCCCGCGCCATGGTCGTTGCGGGTATCAGGCAGCTCGTCGACGAGAAGAACTACGGTAGGGCTTTTGCCTTTTGCCGCACGCAGAGGGTTGATATGAACATTCTCTATGATCATCAGCCAGGCCAGTTCCTGTCCAATGTTGGTCTCTTCCTTGACCAGCTCAAGGATATTTCGTACATTGACCTGTTCCTGTCGTCTCTCAGGTACGTCGTGGCCTTTCTTGTCTCCTCGATTATGAAAAGAGTCTAATTCTTCTAGGGACGAGGATGTCACGCAGACGATGTATAAGGATACAAAACGCTCTACAAGATCATTCGAGCCTTCGGCAGAGACGCCGGCGCCCGCAGACGCCTCCACCAAGTCCAAAGTCAACAAGATTTGCGACGCCATCCTCAAGAGCCTGCAAAGCAAAAAGAGCACGAACCTGCAAAATGTCATCACTGCCCACGTCTGCAAGGTCCCGCCGGCCCTGGAAGACGGCCTCACCCTCGTCGCGGAGCTCATGCAGGAAGATGAGAAACTGGCCGAAAAGGCCGTCGAGCACATCTGCTTCCTTGTCGACGTCAACCGCCTCTACGATAACGCCCTCGGTCTCTATAACCTCGACCTCGCCTTGCTGGTCGCTCAGCAGTCTCAGCGCGATCCCAGGGAGTACCTCCCCTTCATCCAGAACCTGCACAACCTCTCCGACCTGCGCCGCAAGTTCGAGATTGATGATCACCTCGATCGGCGGGCCAAGGCCCTGCTGCACCTCAAGGCCCTCGACGCGTTTGACGAGCTGGCCAAGTACACCACCAAGCACGCGCTCTACCAGGAGGCACTCGGCCTATACCGATACGACCAAGCGCGCCACCAGGCCCTCACGGGCCTGTACGCGAGCCACCTTGAGTCCAACTCAAAGCACCGCGATGCAGGCCTCGCCTACGAGACGCTGCAGAACTTTTCCAAGGCCACGAGCTGCTACCGTGCCGCCGGCGTGACCTGCTGGCGCGAGTCCCTCTTCGCCGCGCAGCAACAATCCCCCCCGCCGTCGGAGGAAGCCCTCGCGGAGCTGGCCTCGTCCCTCGCCGACGCCCTCTGGGAGGGCAAAGAGTACGCCGCCGCGGCCACGATCCACGCCGACTACCTCGCCTCCCTCGAGACGGCCGTGAAATGCCTCTGCAAGGGCTACCACTTCGCCGAGGCCCTCCGCCTCATCGCCCGTGAGCGCCGCGCGGACCTGCTCCCCACGACCTTTGATAACGGCCTCGTCGAGGCCCTGAGCAGCAGCACCGAGTTCCTTGCGGACTGCAAATCCCAGCTCCTGGCGCAGGTCCCCCGCATCGCGGAGCTCCGGCGCAAAGCAGCCGAGGATCCTCTCGCGTTCTACGAAGGGGAGCGACCCGGTGGCATGGGCGATGTTCCCGACGACGTCTCGGTCGCCACCTCGCGCGTCAGCACGTCGGCGAGTCTGTTCACGCGGTACACGGGCAAAGACGGCAGCGTCGGGACGGCGGGGACGGGCGTCTCGCGCGCGACGTCCAAGAATCGCAAGCGCGAGGAGAAGAAGCGCGCGCGCGGCCGCAAGGGCACCGTCTACGAGGAGGAGTACCTGGTCAACAGCGTCCGACGGCTGGTGGAGCGCGTCGAGGGCGGCGCGAAAGACGAGATCGGACGGCTGGTCTTCGCGCTCGTGAGGCGGGGGATGACGGAGCGTGCTAGAGCCGTGGAGGTGCTCATGGCTGAGGTTGTCGAGGGGTGCAAGGCTGCTGTGCGGGAGGTTTTTGCTGTCAAGGAGGCGGAGCAGCAGGGGGATGTTGTTGTCGGGCTTGATGGGGAGACGTACCTTGCTTCTGGCGGGGATGCCGTCTTTCAGGAGCACCTCGAGGCGAGGACGAAGAAGCTGGAGCCGCCTGTTCTGAGTGCCTTTCAGACGCTGACGTTGCTGGGATCATGAGAGAGGGATCTACATACATGCCTATAGGTTTAGACGGGGTTAGACGGAACGGGCATCATAAAAAAGACAAAGAAATGGGGAGATGATATACAGGAAATAGACTTGCTTATATGACGAGTCTTGTTTTTGACGTATTCTATAAAAGTACAGTATTGCACATTTGAGATTTTACTATGGCTGTTCATACATGCTACAACCTCCCCGGCGCCACGTCCCCCACCTGGATTTTCTCCCCTCTCCGCTTGTCCAAGGTCAATTACCCCTTATTGAGGTGGAGGATGACTCTCAGTATCATTTGGTGCTTCCGCCGGTGCCGCCGCACTCGCCCCCGTCTTGGCATCAAACAACTTGGGCGTAGGCACGTTCCACGACGAAGAGTCCCCGCCAACAGTAGCCTTGTTCCTCGCCATGAGCTCGCCAATCCTCTCGAGCATGTCCGAGGACAACTCGGGCTTGCCGAGCGCGCGGCGGGACTCGCGCAGCTCGCGGTTGAGCTCCTGCAGCGGCGTGCGCATGGAGGCGAGGGCGTCGGCCGAGGCCTTCTTGAGGGCCTTCTTCTCGGCCTCCTCGGCCTCCTTGCGCAGAATATAGTCGTCCTCGTGACGGGTACGGAAGCGAGAGTACTTGTTGCGGAGCTCGTCGATGACGGACTCGGGCATGGGTGGGGAGAGGAGCGTGGGCACAAAGGTGGCGGCCTCGGCGTCGGCGCGGTTGGTGTCGCCGGGCTGGTCCTCGCGGACGACCTGCTCGCGTTCGGGCCAGGGGATAGCGATGTTGGCGCCGGGGATGTAGCGAGTCCAGGCGCGCCAGCCCGTGGTGCGGGACCACTTTACGGGGCCTCGGGCGAGCTGCCGGACGACGACGTCTCGGGCTACGCCGGTCGCGGGGTCGACGATCGGGTGGACGAGACGGATCGCTGAGATGGGGATGTTCATGGATGTGTTTTGTGTTGTGGGGGCGTCGAGGATGTTCTGGAAGGATTCGGGGACGTGGATGGTGACCTGATGGGCAATCGGTTAGCCTCGAGCTCCTCTCCGAATCGCTTTCATTCGTCTCTTCCGCTTCACAAAAATTCTATTTGAAGGCTCACCTTTGCAATGTTCTCCAGCTGTACGGTGCCGTACTCGAGGTTGATGCTCGAGATGCGGTCAATCTTGCCCTTTTCGGGGCCCTCGAGAAGCACAACGCGATCCTTGACGGCGAGGTTGAGATACTGACATCCGCCGGCCCAGGCACACCGTGCCTCAATCTCTTCGGGTTTGAGAGGCGTCGAACGGCTTTGGCGATTCGTCTGGAGGGCTCCGTAGCTTTCAAAGACATCGCGGCGTGGGGCCAGGGGCCCGAGGTCCCATTTCTCTTGACGGACGAGGCGGGCGGTCTTGATGTCCTTGTTGAGCTCCGTGAGCATATTCCGCTGGTCCCTGGCGCGCTGGGCCTTTTCGGCACCGCCCTCGCCACGGGCGCGCTTCTTCATGCGCCGGGCGACCTGCTTCTCGGCCTGAGCCGTGCGCTTTATGAGCCTCTGCATCGTTGGCAGATGGGGGTTCCCGCCAATTGACAGGGGAGTCGGGGTTCGGATCTTCTGATCGACTTCTCGAGGTCTTCGGGGTTTCGTCGAGTTCGGTAGCGGATTCGGGCGAGGGGTTAAGGGCGTCGGCGAAGCTGGGGCCGCTGTGGTCTGTCGTCGACGTCCTCGAATTGACGATTTGGAAATTTCAGACGGGTCGGGAGCTTCAACAACCCCTGCAGCTACGGGCCGGGGTCTCCACTGGTGCCATGTTGGAGCGGCACGGATAATCAGGGTTGCCGAGTGCCAACAGGGGCCACACGACAGCAATCCCAATATGGAATGGACGGATGGATGACCCAACCCCACATCACCCGGTCCAGGGGAGACGGCGGTAAGTATCCGCTATCCAGTGTAATTTGACTGGGTGATATGCACAAGGTGAGAGAGTTCTAACACGCATGTTCATTGCCGGCGCTTGCACAGACAACGAAGCATAACCAGACGGCTTCCCAGGTGTCGACGAAAGAGAAAACGAGGGTCCACCGGACGATTGCAAGTATCGATTATTGCAAATTTCCCGGTACTAAGCGGCCGCGCTGCACAGCTACGACAACCATCGTCCGAGCCCATCCAAGGCTAACGATGCCATCATGCAGCATCTACGATGATCCCTTATGCGCCCATTTCCCAGAATAGCCATGGGAAAGGGAAGATGCGGACGACGCCCCAGGGCGGGTGGCTGATGGAATCATTGTCCACTGCTGTCGATGGAGTCAGGAGATGGTTGTTTTTGACTAGCATTAGGAATTCATTCGCCTTGGTATGTGTCGGGATAGACTTGGCCGTTCAGTATGTTATTAAAACCAACATTGTCAGAGGACATGGTCATTCGAACGTCCGGCAACGGTGCTAAAGGTTGTTCGTTGGACCCCTTTCCCAGATCTTGGGACTCAAGGCTGGATTGGAGTTTCAAGGCGGTTGGTGACCGAGACATCTACACACCCTCTCAAACATCTTGCTCGATTTCTTTCCTGAAGATGGTGCGGCTACTCCCTTCCCGTATTCCATACTCCGGTCGTCAGCTGGCGGAGGCTGTTAGTGCCGTCGTTCAAGATTCAGAGTCGCGGTCAGTCAGTGGCATGTCACATCAGTCAACTCACAGGCGCCCTGCGGCCCAGGAGCCGAGCCTCCAGCCCCGACGCACAGTCCCTGGTAGTAAGGCACTGTGAAGTGCGGTGGCAGGGGTTGAGTCCTAGATCCAGGACTTTGAAGTGTGTACCGCCTCGGGGTGCGGCGCAAGCAGCATCCACCAAGGCGTCATCCCGAGGTACCTACTCACGCGGGTGACAACAAAAGCCAGACACTGGCTTCCGCTAGCCTTCCTCGTATTCCTCCTATTCAAGGCCTTCTGGAAGAATGAGGAATTCCCGAAGAAGACAGCAATACCAAGACTGCTGAGAGGATTCATCAAGTGAGAGAGGTGAGCAGAAAGGAGTTCTCCTCGGTCACAGAGGTTCATCGGTTATGGGGTTTCATGGGTTATGCTCAATGTATGGTCGGCGTTAAGAGTCTCGGTACCGCAGCAGCGGCGGACAGAAATATGGTTCCGATCATCAATCATCTTCTCCGCCACGTACCTGTCCCTGTGGGCGCATATGCACGAATGATCGCAGAGTGTGGAGGGATAGCTTGGAGCTTGTGCAGGCTAGGAATTGCCAGATCCAGCACGCACCAGAGGATCGCGCAGGGCAGCGTATCGTTATCGAGAAAGAGTGTCTGCACTGCTGGTCCCAGCCATCTTGAGCGCGAGAGTCTTGAATCAGTGGAATAGAAGCATGACTGGACCTAGAACGTCTTGGTGTAGAGTGCATGTGGCTTCGCCTCACCGCGGCGGATGGGAAGATCAGACTAACAGGTTCCTAGTCCGTTAGTTTGGCTCCCTCAGGAATCAGCAAAACAGCAATTCCCTCCCGGGCCCCGGGCTGAGGAGGCGGAAGGTGGCAGGTTGCCACGCATGGCTTCTCGCCCAGCTGCTTGCCATGGCCATTGATGAGACTAGCAACCCCGTTCGCCTGTCCGTTGTCGACTCTTCTGACGGCGGATATGAAAATGACAATCTGACTTGGCCACGGCACATCGGGTTTCAGCCCGAGCTTGGACCCTGGGAAAGCGATTTTGGCCGATTCCCCGAGATGGATATTATGGCTGTTTATGCTTCGGTCTGGGCAGTACATCAGCGCAAAAGGGGTTTATGTCAAAGGCATAGGACGACAGAGAACATACCGTCGGGATACCACGGGCGCGGCTCACACCGGCTGGACCCGACGTCGCCGGTGTGTCGCCCGCTGTTGCTTGGTGTCTCTGTACCTGTGCCTGGACCCGTGCCTGGAGGGATGAAGAGTACTTGATATTGAAAAGAATAGGACCGCAGGGCTGGAGCCTGCGAGGCCTACGAGAGGCTGAGACCCGGTTCTGCCCCCAAGGACGACAAACAGATGGAAAGGCGTGGAGGAACGGGGGAGGGGGCAAACACAGGTTGGAGGACGGGATAGATGGGTAGCTGAGGCGAAGTTCAGTCAGCTCGGCACTTATGAAAAGAGGCTTTGTTCGTCACCGGATCCCTTGATCGCGAAGGTCTTGATGTCTGGCTAATACCTGGCAACCTGGCACGCCTGGCGGTCAAATATTGACGTTGCAGATCAACCACTATCGACGCAGCTACCCTGCTTTATTCTTATCGCATCACTCTCGGCTTCCACATCTGTCACCCACCGCTCTCCGCGACTGTTCCTCCTGCCAACGTAACAGATCTGACGGAGACACGGTGACTGCCTCTCCTGCCTGCAGACATCTGCAGTCACATTCTCTCTCTTTCTCCATACAAGTCAGCAGTGTCAGAAGCTGTACTCAATCCTCCGTCCATACATCGCCTCACAGCGCCGAAGCAGTATAGAGTACCTTGCTGCAAGGCAGTTGGCAGGTGTGGCTCAGCGGACGAGATTCCCACAAGGCCAGCAAGACAGGGGCCAGACGACGGCGCAGTAGTGGGAGTCGCCACCCAATTGAAAGACACCGAGGTGAGGGAGCCCCCCCAAAAGCCACCCCGCCCCCTGTATCCGTAACGGCCCCTTCCTTCCAACCTGCAATTCAATTCGCCTTGTGTGGCTGCCTCAGGACTTACTTCCCTACCTCAATAAGAAGGGACACGCGCGCACGCACCAGCCAACCAGAGCAGCACAAGTACTGATTGTATAGAGAATGCAGCAGAAAGATACTTGCGTCTTGAAAACTTACAGGGTAGGAAGAGAAAAAACAAGGACGCGGCACCTGTCCCGGCTCCCTCTTTTCACATTCACTGGTCGGAAAACCCCGTTGCAGTGTCGTCTCTACGTCTCTCTGCCAGGACTGAGGTCAACAATCAGCAGAGCGAGAGACACAGACAGAGGAGCAGACTGGAGAGAGGTCCATCCAGTTCCCCGACCCTAGCCACCGTCACCGTTACCGTATCCTCGCGTTCAATTCCAATATTCAGCTGGGAAACACACACCAGTGACCGAATCACGACACACACCACCCACCCACACCCAGCAGAGTCCAAGGTAGGTACCTACCTGGTCTACCTGCTCTGTTAGATACTATACCTTGAGTATCGGGAAACACGCTGTCAACACGACAACACTTGATATTCTGCCTCTCTTCTCAAGGTACCTTAACTCCCGCCTCACCTCACTATCAAAAGATACCAACGACTAGAGCTTCTGTCCGAGGCACGTCGCTCTATCACTCTACTGGCTGCCCTGCTCCGTGTTGTCCTCCTTCTATCCCCCTACCCCCGTCATCGTCTCTACAAAATCCAGTGATTGCGTGTCCCCGAATGACACGGGAAACACAAAAGTCAGCAAAGTCACTGCAAAAATAAAAACAAGCCCAGACCATCCCGTCCTGTCCTGCAACTGCCTGCACCAGCACCTCCCTCTGAGGTACCTTACCCTGCCTAAGGTGAGGTATCTTACCAAGGTACCGTACGGAGACCTCCCTAGTCGCCCTTTTTACGCAGTCAACTAGGCCTGTCTGCACCTGCACCCTGTCCGTTGGCCTGTCCTCCACCCAAATCTTTGTCCCCCTCCCCCCATTTTCCACTGCAGCTACCAGGTCTTCCCGCTCGCTCTCGCTGGCTCCCTTCTCTTTTTTTCACCTTCCCTCCCGCCTCTTTCCATCCCCCCCCCCCCCCCCCCCCCTCACCCCCCCCCCCTCCCCTCCTGCCCCTCCTCTTTTTTTCCCCCCCCCCCCCCCCCCCCTCCCCCCCCCCCCCCCCCCCCCCCCCAACACAAATCTGGCCCTGCTGTTCCATTGCTTGTACGTCGTCGTCAAGTGAACTCCACCCGTAAGGTACTACTGTGACCTTACCTTACTTCTACCCATCCCATTCTCTTCCACCTTAGATTCCCCCTTCCGACGCAGCTCTTCCTTCTCCATCTTCCTCGTCTCCGCCAACAAGCTCAACCTCCTCAACCGACCGCAACTCAATCCGCTCTCCATCGCTCGCTCCCTTTCTCACATACACATCCAATCCAGACATCATGGCTGAGATCCGCCGTAAGCTCGTCATCGTCGGCGACGGTGCCTGCGGTAAAACCTGTTTGTTGATGTGAGTATTGAACTGTTCTGCCTCTCTCCTCTACCTACCGCCCTCTGTCGTCCTTCTGCCTCCCTCTCCGCCTCCGCCTTGGCCCCAGCGACAACCAATCCTCCATCTTCGCATCGCCGAAAAAAATAAACCACAAAGATGCAATTTTCTATCATCAAAGACTTCATCATACTAACTGGTTGAATAGCGTCTTCTCCAAGGGCACCTTCCCTGAGGTAAGATTACCCTTTTCCCCCACGCCGACGCGGCCTCCCGCTTCCTGTTTTCCTATCACGAAGCCAGGCTGAGATGCATCAACCCATCTACGATCCAGCCAACCGATGCTACACCCTACATTCAAGAAATCCACTCAAGAATTCCATTCAAGAAATCAATCAAGAAACCATTCAAGAGATCCATTCAAGAAACAGTTTCCGATTCGGCAATATTCTGACAACTGATTCAGGTCTACGTTCCCACCGTCTTCGAGAACTACGTCGCCGATGTCGAGGTTGATGGCAAGCACGTCGAGCTGGCCCTTTGGGATACGGCTGGCCAGGAAGATTATGACCGTCTCCGTCCCCTTTCCTACCCTGACTCCCACGTCATTCTGATCTGCTTCGCCGTCGACTCCCCCGACTCCCTGGACAACGTTCAGGAGAAGGTACGCTTATTTTTTTTTCTTTATTCCCCTTTAGGAATGAATGATTGCACTCGAAAAGCAACTTTCGCTAACACGTGCACTTCTTCCCATAGTGGATCTCCGAGGTCCTGCATTTCTGCCAGGGTCTGCCCATTATTCTTGTCGGCTGCAAGAAGGATCTCCGCTACGATGCCAAGACGATTGAAGAGCTGCGTAAGACCAGCCAAAAGCCCGTCTCCCCTGAAGAGGTAAGTTTTTCTCCTTCCCACTGGGACAGGGGTCGCTTTAGGCATTTAGAGATGCTCGGCGGCCTCAGATGTCGCTCGCTGCCATGCACACGTACTAATATTGCCTGAAGGGTGAGGAAGTCCGCAAGAAGATCGGCGCCTACAAGTACCTCGAGTGCTCCGCCAAGACGAACGAGGGTGTTCGTGAGGTGTTCGAACACGCTACGCGCGCCGCTCTGCTCTCTCGCAGCCGGAGCAGCGGCAAGAAGCACAAGTGCCTGATGCTCTAAATACCCAATGGATGAACTTCCCAAACCCTTTCTCCCTCTTCGACCACAACCCCCATTTGTAATCATCAAGGTCCCAGCCTCCATGGTCTTTTCCCAAACTTTTCGGATGAGAAAGGGTTTCTGGTGGCGGTCTGGAAGGCGGGGGCAATATTTGCCTGCATAGGTTCTCGGAATTTGGAGTTTTGCTCAACATTGTGTCTCATAACCAACCTGGCACCACATCGATCGGCGTGTCACCGTGTCTGGTTCTGCGGGGGTCTTTTACTGAATCCGTGTCATTCCCTGCCGAACGGTCACTGGGAGAAGCAACAGCTAGCCGCAATCCCCACAAGAAGCTGCGAGGAAAACGATTTCTACTACGGATGTCTCTCATGGTCTCAGGGGAGGGAAAGGCTTGTTGACTGGCGCGGCCGGCAGCTGCTGGGTGACGATGGACAGTGAGTTGTTTGGTAACCTCGGGAACGGCGGTACGGCAACGGTCTTCTGCTGTGGAATCGGCTTGTCTGGCCGTAGTACTGCGACGAATCCGGCTACATCATAAATCTTGTCGTGTTTTTTTTTTCTCTTTTGACGCCTCGCAGCTTTAGATGGCGGAGATGGACATGTGTTTCCTGGCTGCGTTTTCTTCTCTCTTGTCGGTTCTCTCAATCCAGGTCTTTGACAACTCAAACCACCCCTAACGAACCGTTGTCTTTCGCCGTCTGCTGATTGCCTCACGCCCAGTGCAAAATTGTTCCACGCTGATATCGATTGTGAATCCTCCAAAACTTCGTCATCGCCGTCATTCTCGCGTGTCAGGGGTTGCAAAAGATTGGATGAAAAAATATACAACAGCAAGGCACCACATTTCCAGGAACAACAGGACGCGCAACATCTGGAAGTAAGGGAGCCCAGGCAATATGGCTATAGTGGTAAAACTATTGCGATGGAGCCGTGGTGTACAGTTCCTGGCTTTTGACTTCTCTACTTTTACTAACAGGCACATGGAGGTAAAGAGTTTTGAACATGGGCGAGAATGGGCATTTGGGGTAGCCGTGACTTCAAGGTTGGATAGCGGTGTCACTTTGATTACATGACCCCGCCTCTGGTGAAGGGGAAGGCCCTGTTTGATGTTTGGACGGCGGACTGAGCGATGCTACGGAGACGTACAGGGAGGTATGCTAAATCTCAAGGCTAAGGAGGGTTCATTGGGGGTGTTTGTTTAATTTGATGTGTTCTCGTGCGTACAGTGGACGAGACTTTAGTGTCACTGCGTATGCTCGTCAAAAGCTCAAAATGAAGATGAATCTCGAGATAGGAAGGATGGACGTCCTATCCTTTCGTGATCCCGTTTGATTCCCGTCCGATCCCCGTGCGTTTGTTGGCTGAGGCGCAATGACAATAACACAGTTTTTGCGTGTGAAGGAGCGTGAGGGGTTTCCTGTTCTCATTCCATCCTTGTCTATAAGTCTTCTCCAAGCCCAGGATCAGGTCAGGTGACATTTGCGATGAACATAGCTTTCGCTAGATAACCGCGACTTTCGAGAGACTGATTTACGCGGGGCAGGTCTGTATCAAGGAAGCGTTGAATATTAGAATATGTCTCTTTGGGGGAGATGTGTAAGAATGGGGGAAGGGGCATGAAAGTTGAGGTTAGGTGAGGAGGTGGTGGTGGTATGAGGGGGTTGAGTGTGACTCGTGGAGTATGAAGGCTTACAGCGCCGCAAGCCGAGCAGGTCTTGGCGGTAGAGGCAGTGGCAGCGCCGCACTTGGGGCATGCGGAGGTGTGGGCGTTGGTCATGGGCTGCATGTTTGCGGTATTGTTGTGGTTTTGTGTTTTTGGTGAAGTAGCAAGTTGCTGGTTTTGAAGATTAAACGTAGGGAAGCTGAAGAAGGAGGGGGAGACGAAAAGCAGACGTTGGTGGAAAGCGGGGTTCTTATTATTCTTCACTTCCTCAGTCCCCGCGCGAGGCGAAGCAACGACGGCCCTATCTTGGTTTGTCTACCTTTTCCCGTCCCCCTCCTTCTAGGTTACCAGTGACCAACGCATAAGCTACCCTGAGATACCACACTCTTTTTGCTCGTGACCCTCTTTGTCTCTCCAGCTATCGGGCCTGTGGAAAGGTCCCCTACCTAGAAATAGGTATCTGTAGTCGGGAGTGGGAAGGATAGTGGAGGTGGTGTGGACTTTGTGAGCTTACGGACGGGTTGTCATGCGAGATGGACGACTTCTCGTTGGCTAGGAGGGATGGGGAGGGGCCTATTGGAGGGACGCTTTACTTGGTAGGGGGTCGCGGTTGGAAGCGATGGGCTGGTATGGCTGGGTGTCGTGCAGTAGAAGAGGGCCCTTTCCCTCTCTCTTTGGGGCGGTCTTGGTTAGTTGTCATACGTTCGGGATGGGCCTGGGAGCGATTTGTCGTCGTGCAGGTAGGTATGCACGGCGGCACGGTAGGTGGTGGGCGGAGTGTCGGCGGCGTCGGCGGCGTCGGCGGCGGGCGCGCGCGATGCGTATATAGCGTGAAGGTTTAGTTAGGCAGGCAGGCAGAGGTGCGAAGAGATCGGGTGGTTAGTACCTCCGGACGACAGGGCGTATCTTTGAGCTTTGGATATCTAAGGCGTCCAATGGTTGAAGAGTCGCTCAGTGACGTGGTTCGGAAACGCCCATCTGGGCATCCGAAAGTAGGGCGACATTAATAGACCAAGAAAGGTAAAGTTGTTGGCATCAGCTATGCGTGTTGATCGGATGTCGACGAGACCTGTTTCAGACAATTCTGTAAGGGTCGACCTGCATCAGAACTCTCCTGCAACTGGATGTTGAAAGATGTCTGCAGCGCCGAGAGGCGCAAGCGGGAAACTAAAGGCTCTGCCTCACATTTCTTCAGAGAGTCGTTCTGGTGCTTTGCTTTGCCTGCCCCGAACGACTCAGCCCATGGGACGTTGTAATCGGGGAGTTGGGCAGCGAACCATGCGTGAAAAAGCCCGAGGGAAAGTAGGCACATGCCCATTTGTATTACTACCGGTATTTCTTGCCCTTCGGAAGCGGCCACCGGTGTCGTGTGGACTACCTGTCGGGCGGTCGGGTCGGGTGATTCGGGGCGTGAGATAAGCGACCGTTTATCCCGTAGCCCCGTGCTTTCTGCCCAGGGCCAACCGTTCACAGCTAACATCACACGGCCCCCATCCCGGATCCCCCATCCCGCTCCAGACCAGCGACTAGACACGCCCGAGAGGACCGGAGGCGGTGGGGGCCACGCAGAGTTGATTCCGTAAGAAGTGTGTACCGTCAGAAGCGGGCTGCTCCCGTGGACAACAGCCAAGGTAGACCAAGAAGCCATGGAGTTGCCCAGAAAACGGGCGCCCAGGCGAAAAGATGATCGCATTATACTCCACTTTGTACGTCCAACCCCAAATTCACAATGTCGCCAGAATGCCCCTTCGTCGCCTCCGATACTCAAGCCCATTCCGTCGGAAAATGACATTCCAATTAATATTAACTTTGCTAGGATTATGACTGCTTCTACGCCTCGGTTTTTGAGAATCGAGACCCCCGGCTGAAGGCGCTGCCCTTGGGCGTGAAGCAGAAGAACATCCTGGCCACGTGCAACTATGTCGCCCGCAAGCAGGGCGTCAAGAAGCTCATGCTCATCACGGAGGCCAAGCGGCTCTGCCCGAACCTGGTCATCATCGAGGGCGAGGACCTGACGCCCTTTCGGGATGCGAGCAAGATGCTCTTCGGGTTCATGAGGGGGTACTCGTGGAATCGCAAGGCCGAGAGGTTGGGGTTCGATGAGATTTTTATGGGTGTGTGTGCGGTCCTGCTGCAGGGACACGACGTGTGAAAGGGGTGAAAGTGGCTGACACATGGACAGACGTCACGGATATCATCAACTACAACATGTTCTGCCTCAATCGGGCCTCGCTGACCGAGTCGTTTTTCCACCTCTCCAAGAAAGACCCCGAAAAGGGTTTTATCTGTGACTTGACCAAAGTCGCCGGGTGCGTGTACGGGGAGAGGTCCGACGCGGGAGACCTCGACAACTCCGCCTACGTGCGCCTTCTTCTAGCAAGTCACCTAGCTTTCCATCTGCGCATGAGGCTCGAGGAGGATTTCGGCTTCACAGCCTCGGTTGGGGTATCGACGAACAAGCTCCTCAGCAAGCTCGTAGGGAGCGTGAACAAGCCGCGCAATCAGACGACACTCATATCGCTCGACGACGACGCCGTCGTCACCGAGTTTATGGACGCGCACTCAGTTAGAAAAGTCCCCGGCATCGGCTTTAAAACGTCACGCGCGCTGGAGGACAGGTTTCTCGCGATGCCTCTAGGACCCGACGATGCCGACAGGGAGACCTCTCCCCTTAAGGTCTACGACGTCAGGAGTCACGAGCAGACCTCGCCCGAGGCGCTGGAGAAGTTGCTCGGTGGCCCCGGTTCTGAGCGCGGGGTCGGCGAGAGGGTGTGGGGTCTTTTGCACGGGGTTGATGACACTGAGGTGAAGGACGCGAGCGATGTGCCGTCACAGATTAGCATCGAGGATACGTTCAAGGGGCTGGAGAGTGTGGGTCAGATTGAGGGTGAGCTACGGAAGATATCTGCTTCTCTTGTCCGGCGGATGCGGACTGATCTCCTGGTGGACGACGACTCGATCGAGCTGGGAAGTCAGCGATGGATCGCACACCCCAAGACACTGCGGCTTTCCATTCGATCTTGGCCGTCCGACTCGACGCCGGGGTTCCCTCGTCACTCTAACCCGGAATTCCAGCGCATATCTCGATCCCAACCCCTTCCCAACTTCATCTTCAACACAAAGGAGACCCCCGAGTTCATTGCAGACCGGCTGACGACGGAGATTCTCCTACCTACGGTGAAGAAATTCTATCCAGCGGGACACCGTTGGAATTTGCAGCTTCTGAACGTCTGCGTTGCGAATATGGCCGCTAGTGGTAGCGAGGCCGGACCCGGAGTGGGACGAGATATTTCTGTCATGTTCCGCAAGCAAGATGATGTTCTCCGACAATGGAAGATTGATACGACGGTCGTGGAAGAAGAGGGCGATGATGATGATGCTCAACACCAATCGATCTCGGATGAGGAAGTCGAGGAGATGGAGGTCGAAGAGTTTGATGATGAGGGTGGTTCATGGGAGGGTGATGAAGTTACGGCACGGTGCCCATTGTGCGGCCACAGCATCCCGCCGTTTGCGCTCGCTGCCCATGCGAGGTTCCACGACTTTGAGGGTTGAGTCTCTGGCTGTTCCTCTAAGGGGCCCGATAGGGGCAGTACGCGGCCGGGAGACTGAGGAGGTCCGACGCGAAGGGGGAGTACGTCGAGCGCATGGCGACAACGTGCCTGGTCGGGGTTTCGAGACCATCTACGGCATCGTAGTAGGTATCCTCCTCATCGTCGTCAGAGCAGACCTCGGATGACCAGTCATTGTCGTCGTCGTTGTCAACGCAGTTCTCGTCTGAAGAGTACCGCGACGAGGGAGGTCTGGCCGAGCGTACGCTGGGTTGCCGACAGGGTAGGTCGAACCTGACTGAGCGGCGGCTGATGGCCCCCTCCCGGCAATGAAGTCTTGGTTCGGTGACCAAGATGCCTTTTGGGTCTTGGTCCGCTGCCATCTCCGGGTTGTTGTGGACGAAGGGGCTGTCATACGACTGACAGGAGGACATCCAGTCGTATATTTCTGCGTCCTTCATGAGTTGGGGGCTCTTGCGCCTGAGGATCCGACACCAGAGGCATTGCTTGCGGTCGCCGTTGTTGCTGATGCGGACTCTCTTGGCTTTGGCCTTGAGGTTGGTGTAGCGGTTGTGCATACGGATGGCAAATTTGATAGCCATTGTGGTTTGTTGTTTGGTGAATTGGAGTTCTTGGTAGTAAGAGACTTTGTAGGTCAACTGTGTGTTTTGAAAAGTGGTTGAGATGATACAGAAAGTAACCGAGGAGTTTTTATGTGTGACTGAAGTATGCATAGCATCTTGGGAGTTATTGGGCTGATGCCTCTCCTTATATAGAGTACCTACGGGCAGTCCATTCTCCGGAGATAGATTTGTATACCTACGGGCATTTCATTCTTCGGAGATAGGTTTATATTTAGAGTGTGCCCGGTTCGCGGCTTGATAAGAAGGTTTTCGCTGTTGGGTAGACGGGTACCATGGTTGCGAGAAGCTTAATATCGAGGTGTTCGATACTTGAACGGTCCAAGGTCGTCTGTTAAGAGACACCTTGTGGGTATTCCCGGTAATGGAGCTGTCGATGTGAACAGAATCAGGGTTCTCTTGCTATATTGCGTTCAGCATAATGGCATTGCTTATTTGTATCGAAATGAGTTGAGATCGGAAGTTCTACGAACAATGCTATTTCCCATTACCACCATCGAATCTCTGTGGGAACGCTAAAAAGCGTGTATAATGACCACCGCTACAAACAACTTCCCTGGAGTCCATCAGCTTACCCTTCTTCAAATCCATGACAGCCCTCGAAAGAGAGAAGTAAGTAGCTTGTGTATCGTTAATGCACCAGTCAATCGGACGGCTGTACCTTGACGTCGACTGTGTCTCTGGGCTTATGTATCCTAGACTCGAGTTCACTCTCGGCTATCTAGGTTCCTGTCCAGCGGCGCCACCAGTCCGCAACATCCATGGCTCGCTGCTGCGCGAGTATCTCCATTAACATTACATCCTTTGTTTTGTCTTCTCCGCCGGTTTGGGGAAATTCTAGCTAGTTATTTTAGAATACTTTTTCTAAATAGGTATCAACCAACAGTTTCCATCTTCTTCAACGTATTCATTTGATATACTTAGCGAAGGATGATAGGGCTTGTAGGATGCTATGGTAGCTACACACCTCCTCGAGGCTTTGGTGCTAAACGTTCTGCTAGGAGACCAGAGCTTTCTCAAATCGCAAATGATGAAGATGGATGGTGTCAAGACCATGATTTGCTGTGTTGTTCATCAGACCTTGCCTGGCCAAGTGGCTCGCTCGGGTCTTATTTTCTTTACCCTAACCGACTCTATAAACCTAATACATCCTCAAGCCCCGGAACTAAATACACCAGAGAATACACACTAGACACACTCAACTATTTACGGTTGTAATTGATAGCTAATCTGTCCATCCTGAATTTGTGATTGCTTCAATAGTGGCGTTGGCGCAGTGGTGATTGCGAAGCAAGAGTCATCTACATCTCGGTCTTAAGTCACATACCAACTGACACACTTACTCCTCGTGGAATTCTGTTTTCTAACCTCTCCATAATGGTGCATGGACTGCAAAGGGCACTTTCGCTGCTGTTTGGTAAAATTCTCAATTCTTTGTTTGCGAGCGGTGGTCTTGACACAGGTATGTTTCCAGATCTATCATACGTAGCTAGTGCAACATATACCTACTTCTTTATCCTTCTCTAGATATATCTAAGTAATACATCAGCGGGAACGGGAATGACCGCATGAAGGCGGGAATATCTAACTTGAGGGGGCTCTAAGGTGTTCAAAGGGTCAATGGGACAAAAGTTGCTCGTCAGAACAAGTCAGACCCGAAGGAATTTTTTCACGAGGGTTAAATCTGTCGGATAAACCTCAGCACTACATGCTTTTCACCTATGCGCATGGAACAAGAATCAGAAGTAACTTTGGAGCACTATTTGCTGGCACAATTTACACGCCCAACGAATCCCGAGTCGTTTATTTCCCATTGAAGAAATAAAGATATCAATAATTAAAACGTTGGAGCTAGATTTCTGCCCACTACTATGACACATCCCATCATGCAGACTCGTAGAGTTCCCTTTGACAGGTTTTCAGTGCGCGGCTAAAGCCCAGGTTGCAAACGGCGGCTATATAGGTACACCACCGAATATCTTTAATCATCTTAGTCTAGTCTTGCATCTCAGTCACAATCAACAGGCCCGAAATGAGTATACCCCTGACTTCTCGCTTGCTCTGGCAGCAGCGACTTGTCATCAACACCGGTCTCGCCAAGCCCCGCCGTATGGACTCTGGATGTTTACCTTAGCTCATGTGCTTCTCTAGCTAAACTTCGGTCTTATGAAGCAGTGCAATTGAGAAGTGTAGAGCAGAGGAAGGAATAGCTTACGCTTTGCTCGGAATGCGTTCTGATCTACATTCTACACCTAGGGACGAGTAGGATTTCTCTATAGGGACTGCTAATAACGGAAACCGGCCGCAAAAAGCATAAAAGAACTCACGCCGGTGGTGAACACTCAGGAGCGTGCGAAGGTTTCCCACACCGCCTGGACAATGTCGGCGATATCCTCAGCCTCTGGCCTCTTGTCCATACACTATCAGTCAAGGTAGTGCATTTGATATTTGGTGGCCGGTGTGACAACTTATGTCTGGCAATCCTCCCTTCTCTGGATCTCATGCCGCAGGAACACTCAAACTAAAATGAATCCCAACAGTTGAATTTCTTCATATGGGAATGGTGTAAATGTTGACTTGAGAAAGTAGCCCGTGCCATTCCTTGCTTGCCTGCGCAAAACACTACGTTTGGTCCGGCTTACTTTTCCTCTACCAACGAGGAATACCATCCCATTGCCTGGGCGGTGGCCTTCACCGCTGACCAAAAGCCCTCTTATGAAGGTTTTGGGCAACCTAGTTTTAAATCTGGTTCGTGTGCCCCTTTTTGCCTGTCCATGACAGTGACCCTAAACCCAGAGGTCTAGCTCTTCATCGACCATGAATCGGTTGACGATGGATTCCCAAGCTTATGTAGATAGTAAGGCTAGCATTGAAATTGCCAGGATCTCATTGCAGGTTACGTTTGATGCGACTCATGTCTTACACAAGAGGTTCCCACTCAAAAAGGTTCGCTTCTGAAACCGAGGAAGCTCGAGATTCAGAAACAGGTGGGAATAAGTCCGGGGGGGGCCGCGCCCGCGCGGCGGCGGCCGCGGGGCCGCTCTACAGCCTACCCCCGCGGACGGCCAGACTATAAGGGGCAGAAGCGCACGACGGGCAGGGGGAAGAGAAGACGCGTGGGGCGAGGGGGGGGGGGGGGGGGGGGGGGGGGTGACGAGACGTGTGTAGACCTTGGAAAGCCCTCTGGCCTCTTTGGCCAACCAAGGAGCCAGCTAACTCTAATGTCGACGACCTTGAGGTCACATATCTCAGCGAAAGCGCCCACCAGCCGCGGACTTCCACTCCCAACAGTACCCGAGCCTACGCCTACGTCCGCCGTCGTGGAGACAATCTTTTTCAGGTTTCGGCCATTGCGTTGTTACTGTAAGCGATATGAACGACTGGGTCAGTTTCTAGGCAGACTACGGTTCCTCTACCTCCAAGACACGCGTGACCGATCACAACTTACGGGCTGGGCAGGTTGGTGTAAGTTGAAGTCCTCTATTCAAGAGTCGACCTTCTACGCTGGTATCGTATGGTCGCTTGGTTGATGCGGATTTTGCACAATGCTATTTTGCGTCGGCGTTGGAATTTGGAATGTTCTTTCATCGTTTATAATAATGCCCTTTGGGACGGCACTGTGATTTGGGAAATGCAGATAAATTGCGCTCCATATCCTACTGTCTTTGACGATTTGCTTCTTCTCAACCTCCCAGCCTCCCATGACGACTCCACGCCCCATTCCTCCCAGCCTTACGCCTAGGGGGCAAGCTTCATCCACTCCATGGCACACAGGACTTCATGTCGACTACGCTTGATTTCGGCAAGCCGGCTGCCGCACCTAGAAAACTCTCTGGGCCAATCCTCTGGCGTCAGAAGCCCTTCGTCGCTGACGATGGCCACTGCGTCGAGCCGGCCGAAGAACGCGCCGAGCCCGTGAGGTGCAGACTTGCTGAGCATCGGCTGCGTCGCATCGTTCATCTTGCGCCGGCTGGTCGCTGACTCAATGTTGGTGGAGCAACTGTTCGGTTGCGTGGTTGTCCAACTGCATGTTTGTGTTAGAGGCAGGAAGTGTGACGAAGATTGGTGGTTGGCGAGTTATCTTGGCTGCCCGGTGTCGGTTCGGGCCAGGATGTGTTTCAAGTTGTTCTTTTCGTATGACTGTTCTCTCGGAATCGTTCTAGGTGGGCTGTGAACTCCTTGAGAGCTGGACCGCCACCCTCGGTCGTTGGTACGACTTTTTGGGTATAGTGCTAGCACAATTTACACTTTGTCGTGTATGTTCCCTTGAGGTTTAGATCTTCTCCTGGGTCTGCATCGCCTCCTCACTGTTTCTGGCTGGAGTTCGATGCGAGGCATGTGTTGTAGGCTGGTACTAAGTTCAATTGGGACTGTTGCAGCCCACTGTTGCTGATGGCTGCCGAGAGTAGTGCCATCTCAAAGATGGTGGCGGATACGTCGGAGCATCTTCGCTATCTTGCGAAACGATTTCCAGTGGTCCTCAGGTCGTCGATCTTCTAGCTGGATGAGAAGAGCTAGGCGCCACAGCGGTGATGGAAACACAAGAGGGTGTCATTTGTGCCATCCGACACCCCCCAGTTCTTATGTGTGCATAAGATATGTGCGTAGCTGTGCAGATCTGCTGGCATATGCCGGTTGAGGATTCAATATACTGCGTTGTCTGTGTGATTCATGCTGAGCCTATGTTTTGTGGTTTGGAATCCATGTAGGACTCATTTTGCTGTGGGTCTGCTGGCCCTTGACCATGCATGGGCCATTTGGGCTGGTGGCTGTCACGCCATTCAGCTAGGTCAAAGACCCAGAAGAGACATCTCTGCTGAGGTGGGCAGAGGTGGTGGTGGATGGAGTGTGAGTTGTGAGTGGTGTCTGAGAAGAATGAGGTGCTTTGGAGGGGGGAATTTGTTTATTCTTATAGCTATCTCGAAGGCATCAAGGTGCTGGTAGTATCACGGTCGATGGAATCTCCGGATTAGGGCACTTACAGCCAGGATTCCCTTCCATCGCACCCATGCGGGGGATTTGACGAACTTGAGAGTGGGTGTATTCAATATACACCCGGGTCGAGCATGACCCCTTTGGATAAATTTCAAGGCCACAGCTTCTCCGGGTCTAATTGACTCTGGGTGGACTTCAACTTTGAAAGATATCAGCCAAGACATCCAGGTCTGATGAAGCAGGCAGCGAGCATAGGGATTAGTGCTATCGGTACCTTAGTTGAGCCATGCTATGGAAACGCCTGCATAGAGAAAGCAGGCGCAGCAGTGTGAGTTGCATGGCTGATATGAACCGTCCGACAGCCTGTATGAGAGGGAAACACAAGTGAGAATCCAAATGAGAATGACCTCACTTGTCAAGGGTTTAGGTACGTGACGGCAAGAGAGTACCGGTGCTGTTTTTTTGTTGCCCGCTGGCTGTGTAACATGAGAAGCCGCTGCACCGTATCCAGAACCTGAGAAACGTCTCCCGGAGGAACGTCTTATCAGAAGAGGGCAGAGACACGTGGCTATACATCACAGTACCAACAATACGAGTAGAAAAGCGACGTGACTGAAAACAACGTTCACATTATAGGACGAAAATAGAGTTGACAGCGGACCAACAGGGGCCAAGGCAAACGGGACGGCAGCTAATATCCAGTGGGCCGGGTCTGAGCTTTTTTTCTTGCCCATTGGGAAGCCAGGCACGTGTCAGGGTGGGAGCTCCGGAGCTCCAGCTTGCCAGCTTCCAGAAAGAGGGCCGAAAAATCGTGCATTAGCGCATCTGCAAGCGTCCGCGAGGGTGGCTTGGAAGTTGGGAGGGGCGGCCGCACGGGAAGCCGCTGGAGACGTTGCAGGTCAGGTCATCTGCCAATCAGACCGGCCGGAGCAGTGACCCTCCCCCAGGTCATTTTCTATCGATAAGATCGGTTCGTGCCCCGGAAGCAGCGTCTGTGACCCTGCAGTGATGCGGTGGTGCATCACTGGGTGCGACCTGACAGCTGACGTCAGGGGTCTGAGATGGACGCGGCTTCCCGCGCGACTACAAACAGAGCTCGCCTCCCAGTTTCCCTTACACGATGCTGCCATCGATTGTGTTTGCTTGGCCTCTTCACTGTTTCAAGCTTGCGCTGCTCGTGTCGTCGTGTGTATGTGTCTAGGCACAAGTTACAGGCAGACACAGAGAAAGCAGGACCAAACATCCACACATTCACCGTCCGCTTGCTTGGTGTCCAACCATAGCCCGTTGTGGTTTGTATCTCTTCACCTCGTACCTTAGTCACCGTGGCCCCTTCCCGTTCGCCCAATTGGCAGTTGACCCCTCGAGATAATGCCCGTTATGGAAACCGCGCCTGGCTCAACGCCTTCCCCGGCAGCACCTGCCGCGGGGCAGGGTGCGGTCGTGCAGGAGGCAGCGACGAACGTACCACCTCACAACCACCCAAGGAGCACAAACACAGATACCCCTCCTGCCTGCTCTCAACCTGCCGCACCCCATCCAACTCCCAATTCTGATCCTAACATCAACACTTACCCCTCGGAAAACGACGAGGACCAATACAGCTACGCCTACTCTGACGAGGAGAACTTGGACGCATCTTCTATTTGCTCCTTTGAAGAAGAAGAAGACGGTAATTGGGAACGAGATCCAGACGACGACGATACCATGGCCGGCTCGAGACGCCCTAACGGCCAGCGCCGTCGTACCCAGACCGATCTCACTGGCGTCCTCACTCTCGAGGAAAAGAACGAGCTCATCAACCTGGTCAGCAACATCTTGGACAGTATGCAGGACCAGATCAGCAACATCTTTCACTCTCCCCCCATCACCCCCGCTACAACCGAGGACCCCCAGCACTCGTGGCTATCCCTCTCGCTGCTGAAGAACAAGGTGAACAACAAGCCTGCTGCCCCTCAATCCCAGGGCGGCGCCAACAAGGAGAATGCTGGCTCTGCTTCAACTTCGAACGTACAAAAGAGCGGATTAACGTACAACAAGGCCCATGAGATTGTCGAGAAGGAGGAGAAAGAGGCCATGACGCCTCAGCTTCAGGAGCTCAAGAAGGAGTGTCTTGTCGTCTTCAGGAAGTGGCAGGGCAATGTCCTGACGCGCGCCAAGGACATTTCGGTCAAGGATCCCGAAGCTTCAGTCGCCCCTGCCGGTCGTGGCGGTCGTGGTGCTGTTCGTGGAACCCGCGGCGGTCGCGGTAATCGTGGTGCACCCCAGGGAGGTCGAGGCACCACCCCGCGCGGCCGTGGTGGTAGAGGCGGCGCCCTCAGTGTCAAGACAGGAGGTGCGTCGGAAGCAGTTGACACCGGCACCCCTAACTTTTATGCAGAATTGCTGACTTCTCAAGACTCACCGGCTACCCGTCAACCTCCCGAAACTGACCTCTGGCTGATTCGACGATTTCCTCCGAGCGCCACACCACTTACCGCTTTACCTATTGAGCGCCGGAAGTTGTTGCTTCACACTATCCTCCTGCTTCTACTGTCGTTGGAGCAGTACACGGCCTTCTCCCGTGTCTTCATGCTCAAGTTGGCGTCATCGCTTCACCTGAGCCTCCGCTTCTTTCAGGAGGATGAGGTTCGGGTTGCCCGAGGTCTCGGCAAGACTGTGCAGGAAATCAACGCCGATGAGGTGGTTGAGGATAAGTCTGCAGAGAACAAGTCGACCAGGCGTTGGAAGGTTGGCCTTGCTGGCGCCGCCGGTGCTGCCATCATTGGTGTCACTGGAGGTCTTGCAGCTCCCCTGGTCGCTGCAGGTATTGGCACCGTCATGGGTGGTGTCGGACTTGGTTCCACGGCCGCTGCCGGATTGCTGGGTACTTTGGCCCAGAGTGGTGTTGTCGTTGGAAGCTTGTTCGGCATTTACGGTGCTCGCCAGACGTCCAAGATGATGGACCAATACGCTAGAGATGTCGCCGACTTTGCGTTCCTACCTCTCCATGGCGAAATGCGGGAAGAGTATCGCGACGCCAAAGAGATCCCTTCCAAGGACCGACGACTGCGAGTCGTCCTCGCTCTCAGTGGCTGGCTTACTCAGAAGGAAGATGTGGTCAATCCCTGGCGTTGCATCGGCCACCAAGGTGAGGTGTACGCCGTGCGGTGGGAAGTTGCCAACCTGATGAATATGGGTAACTCGCTCGAGACTGTCATCAAGAGTACCGCCTGGAGTGTTGCCAAGAAGGAAATCATCACGCGGACCAGTGAGTCTCTCGAACAGTGAGGTGCTTTATCCCTTGCTAATCCTTCATCAGTCTTTGCCAGTCTCATGTCGGCCATGTGGCCCATCGGCCTTCTCAAGGTCAGCAAAGTCATTGACAATCCTTGGAGCGTCGGAATGGTCCGAGCCGAAAAGGTTGGCATGATCCTAGCGGAGGCCATTAGTCGAAAAGTGCAGGGTGATCGGCCTGTCAGCTTGATTGGCTACAGCTTGGCTGCCCGAGCCATCTACACTTGCTTGATGGTGCTTGCCGAACGTCGCCAATTCGGTCTCATTGAGTCGGTGGTCATGATTGGCACCCCAGCGCCATCCGAAAGCCGAGTTTGGCTTGCTTTGAAGAGTGTCGTTGCGGGTAGACTCGTCAATGTCTACTCGGAGAATGATTACATACTGGGTTTCCTGTACCGCACGTCCAACCTCCAGTTCGGCGTCGCAGGCTTGCAACCAATCCAGGGCGCCGAAGGCGTAGAGAACTACGACGTGAGCAGCATGGTTAGCGGCCACCTGAGATACCAATACATGATTGGTACCATTCTCAAGAACATCGGCTGGGAGGATCTCGACTACGCGCAGATCGAGAAGGATGAACAAGTCCTCAGCCTTATGGATGAGAAATACGGCCGCGACAAGAGCCAGAAGCAGGCCTACGTCGACATGGACAAGGAAGCCGAGCACATCCAGGAGGAGGTCAAGCACAAGAACGACGCCAAGCTCGATTCGAAAATGAGCAAGATGAAGATCCAGGATTAGGCTATGGACAGCATCTTAGCTGGGATGATCGGCAAAGATATGATTAGACATGAGCCACTGTTATTGAATGTGATGAAAGGTGTGGGTGATGGATGGACGGACTATTGCAGCATTATTAGCTATGACGTCGGGAAAACGGGCACACGCATTTGTAACATGACGAAATACGATCAATGGGAAAAGGAATATGTTTATCAACAGGTTCTCTCACCGGGTATCCTAATTGGTGGGTATCATGACTCCTCTCTCTTGCTGCTTTGAACGACAAAGTATTTTCCGGCCGTCCTTGACGCGGTCTCCAGAGGATTCCAGTCCTCAACTCCCTTGGTATCAAACTTTTTTCCACGCAGTCTCTTTGGTCGTTTCTTGTGACCGAAGAGGATTTCCTTGCCCAAAGCGTCTTGCAGCTCTTGCAAGCCAATTGTTGCCTCTGCGACACCCTCTGTTGTCTCGTCGCGCAATGAACGCAGAGGTTCAACACCGGTGGTATCTACGCTCTGCACATCGCGCACAAAGTGTAGTTGCGAGTGCAACGTGCGCAGCATCGCGGTCTCTTCGGCCTCGGTTTCGGGGAGCGGGAGGGCGGATAGGCGAAGGAGGTGGTGTAGCTTTGCACGGGAGATTGGCTCTTCTGTTGCCTGCTCCGTGGCGCCAGCTCTCGAGCACGGTGGGAGGAGAGAGGCGACGGACCACGTTGGTTTCGAGAGGAGTGTTGAAGCTGGTTTCGGTGCTGAAAGGCGGACGGAGGAGGACGTAAATGTGCGGGTTTGGGGGAGGAGTGCGCTGCAGCGCCTGCACAATGGACGCATCATGGCCATGGTTCTTCTCAGGATTATGGAGCTGTGGTCCCGACTTCTTCAAGGTGCTTGAAGATCGCGGTCGTAGATTTGGCCTCGGAGTTGGTCGACCTGGAAATTAATCTACTTGGGACCTAGAGCTTGAACCCTGATGTTTCTTCCGCAGCGACCTAGGTAGGGGCCAGGGAAAAGGTCACTTGCGGTGTCGGCGAATCAGGGTGTCGGGACGCGACACCAACGCAAGTGGGAAACCCCACCATAGGAACCTGCAACACTAGGTACCTTAGGTAACAAGGCCCCATGGAGGGATTCGCAAGCAACGTAAGCCACCTCACTCACCTTGGTTTCCGCTAAGCCACAGCGACTCACCCCGCGCGTCATAGCTGGCCACTGGACCAGCGACCCCCGAAGTGGGCGGGTGTGTCGCGCTGCTACAGTTTCGAAGCGCTGATGCCAGCCCGCAGCAACCACCACCACTACCTCTCACAGCCGAACAACGACCCAAGCGACGCACATCCTTCCTCTCTCTCTCTCTCTCTCTGCAAACCCACGACGTATCCTCACGAGATAAGCAGTATAAAGAGAGTCTGCGATAACCCACCCTCCAAACCAACGTAAACGACGGCATCGCACCCCATCGAACTCGTCCACCCGATACTGATCGATCGAGAGACATACCCCCGTAGTCATAGCATAGTGCCTGCTTAATTTCGAAACCATGGCCCAGGACCCTCGCGCTTTGCTGCAAAAGGTGTGTCGATGTTGGAGGATACTCATGCTGGTGGTCTCAGTATGGCGACACGCGATCTCTGACGTTTCGTGATTCGCGCAGGCAGACAAGACGCTCTCGAGCGCCGGCGGCGGCTTCAGCTTCTTCGGCGGCCGGGAGGACAAGTACCAGAACGCCGCGGACCTGTACATACAGGCAGCCAACGCTTTCAAGATGCAAAAGCTCAGTCAGTCCCCTCCCCCCCTTCACGAATATCATCTTCCTCGTCGCCTTCCTTGTCCTCCTCCATAGAACAGTCAAGTCTAACGAGCGGCGAATCTGCCCCTTCTACAGACCGCGAAGCAGGCCAGGCCTTTGAAAAGGCGGCCCAAGTACAGACCAACAACCTCAAGGAACCCGACGACGCCGCAAACACCCTCGTCGACGCCTTCAAGGCCTTCCGCAAGGAGGACCCGGAGGCCGCCGTCCGCTGTCTCGAAGTCGCCGTCAACCAGTACTGCTCCAAGGGCAATTTCCGCCGCGCGGCAGGCCACAAGGAGGCGCTCGGCGAGCTGTTTGAGACGGAGCTCGGCGACTCGAAGCGCGCGCTCGAGAGCTACGAGGCCGCGGCGGGATGGTACGAGGGCGATAATGCCGCTGCGTAGGTTACCCTCTTTTCCGTTCAACAACTTATTTGCTACACATTCACGGTTGATGGGGCGAGAAGTGACTAGCTAACACCGGCCAAAAAAAAAACAGCCTCGCCAATAAGCTCTGGCTCAAGGTAGCAGACGTGGCCTCCCTCGAGGGCGACTACTACAAGGCCATTGAAAATTACGAAAAGGTTGCCGCCGTCTCCATCAACAACAACCTGATGAAGTACAGCGTAAAGGACTACTTTCTCCGCGCCGGCATCTGCCACCTCGCGACGGGCGACATGGTGGCCGCCCGCCGCGCCGTCGAAAAGTACGCCGACATGGACCCTGGCTTCGTCGGCCAGCGCGAGTCCCTGCTCCTCAACGACTTGCTCGCCGCCGTAGAGGGGGGCAACCAGGAAGAGTTTACGGATAAGCTCTTCCAGTATGATCAGGTCAGCAAGCTTGACAAGTGGAAGACGACAATGCTTGTAAGGGTGAAGAATGCTATTGAGGAGCCCGAGGACGAGTTTGCCTAAGTTGGTGAAGGACCGGGGGGCGGAGGGGGTTTCGAGAAGTGAAGAGTTAAACTTGAACATCTTTTCTTTGGCATCGTGGAGTGGACGGACGGTGATCTTTGAGAGAATGACGAAAAGACAATGGGAGTTCCCCCTGAGACGAAAGTTGCCGAAACATGGGATCCTTACATGGATGCGTTGAGGGGAGGGGGGTGGGGGGAGGTGAATTGACGAGGTTGCAACAGAGAGGACTAGTACACCAGAAGAATCGGCACGGTCAGTTTCTCGTTTGAATAGAAATCCACATCCACGTCCAGTGAACTAGGGCGAGGAGGTATTCCTTCCATAATACTGCGACCACTTGGCCAGAGACCCCGTCGCTAGACTACGTTTAGCACCCACTTCGAGTCACCAAACAGCTAACATGGATGAATGAATCATCAAGACCTTGGGGTCCAATATATTCGTCGTTTCCACCTTGTCTTCTTAATCTAGTATTGCGCAAAAAAAAAAAAAAAAAAACCGACCAAAGAGGTGCGGTTGCGTCGCGGCTGCGAGACAACCCCTTGCCACTCATCAATGCTCTCCTTTCCCTCTCTACCTGCTTTTCTTGCTTGCTAGTTTGCAATTCCTGCTCGACAGCAATGCAATTATCCGAAAATGGTTAAAGGATCCAAGTTCTGGCTCGCAGCTGGAAATAAAAGACTCGCAAAAGATGAAGAAAATACTTCTTCATGAGGAACCCCTTAGCCCTCTTTTAACCCCAGACTCCCCCCTTATGCCCGTTGTGATTTTATACAGTCCCGCCTCCTGCTGTTTATTAAACATACAGTCTCCCTATCGTACAGTGCAGAGAGGCAGAAGTCGGAATGGTCGTCGGATCATGACCGGCATAACGCCGGCAAACGTCATCGTCGACATTCATTCAGTTTGGTGGACTACCAACCATGCTGGGTACTTGCTTCCTAATGAAACCGCGCGTCCGCTGTTCGGCCCGAGGGACGCCCTGGATCGCTCGAGGCTCTCTCATCAGACTGGGGTCCAGCTTGGTGGGAATCCTAGTGACAACGGTTCGGTACTCGCCCGGGAATTTGGCACTCGGAGCAGGCACCGAAGCCGTCCGCCACATGTGATCCGATGTATCGCCCAGATACGTCGGTATCTTGAGCTTTGATGGCGCAGCAAAACCTGATACATTGCTTGATGCGCCGTGCGACATACGGATGGTCGACAGACGAGAAAACCCCGTTGAAAGTCCGGGTCGTCCGCGAGCCTTCTTGGCCATAATGATCTCGTCAAAGAGACGAATCGAAGCGTGTGTTGCCGAATGTGTTTCCCGTTCATGAATGAACTCGTTGAAAGCTGATGATTCGTTAGCAGAGCGAGTGAAATGGTTTGGACAATGTTCATACCTTGAGTTTCTCTCAACATCGTGGCGTACTCTTGCTGATCGTATGGGAGACTCTTAATGAAGCCGCTCATATCGAAATTGTAGAGCTGGCCGTTGTTCTTTTGTTCGCGCGTAGGGCGGCCCAGGTGCTTTCTGTATGTGTACAAGAGACTAGCGAGGCATCGGACGAAAGCAGCTCGAACTCGATCAGGGTGGAATGCTTCGCTGCATACCACGGAGACTTGTCCCAGGCAGCGGTTGTGGGCACGAGCGTTGCAGTGAGAACACTCATAAATACCGTCTCCTTCTGACTTGTCGTCACAGACGGAGCATGTCGAGGATAAGTCGTGGGCCATCCAGTTGAAGCAATGGCCCTCAACCCACACCATTGTATCAGTATTCCGTACGGGCTGAATCAGCATGTTGGGCATGATGGTTGATGCTGCCAGCGTAGACTGCGCATATGTCGAAGGAGCATATCCGGGTGTGTATCCGTTGTACGAAGACTGCGAATCGACCGAGATGGCGGATGCCGACATGCTGGGATTATGTCCGCTGAGGAAGGGCAAGCTTGGTCTATGAAGAGGCGGGTGCTTGTCCATGCCAAAGGACGAGCTGCGCCGAGACTTCTCATCAAAGTGGCCCGACTTCTTTTCTCTCAAAGTCTGTGCAAAGCCTGAATCGCTGCGTGACACAGGCGTGGTCGGCATAGGTGGGAAGTTCATTGAGACTGGGGAGATGGAGGACTGTGGGCTGGTTTTACCGGACTTGCTGGTATTGGGCCGGTCCTTGCTGTGGTCGCCAGCCTTCGAGTGCAAAAAAGCATTGAAGATTGGTGGTCGCATCGAGTTCGGCGGGGCAGGCTCTCCGAAAGACGAAGAGTTTTGTGTAACCCACTTGCCCAACGAGCTCGAGGCGACACTGGCGTTGTACAGCGTATCGTTCTCGACTGAAAAGGCGTCGTACGGGTACGACTCCATTGCATACGGCGGGGGTCCAGTAGTCACTCCATACCGAATGTGATGCGGCGCAGCCACGTGAAGCAAAGAAATGAGCTTGCGACGATGCTGTCGCGGAAGGCGGACAGGTTGGTTGGTGGCGTCGATCGTGTCAAGGTCCAAATCAACCAGCACATAGTCATCCTCAGGTAGCTCAATCTTCTCATATCGCCGCTCAATACCGACGATGTAAGGGCAAGGCGCCTCAAGTGCCGAAAGTAGGCGCGCAGGGAGCACGGGAATAAAGATGCTCGCCCACTTAAGGGGATACAGCAGGTTGGCCAATGCGTGGCATGCCAGGTGAAGCATGCCAGTGTGGGAGGAGAGGAAGATGATGCGAGACTCCGACATTGCATACTCGAACAAAGCAACAATATTCTCCATAGACAAGCACCTGAACAGAGCGTAGATGTCAATGGTCCGAGCCCCTGGAATCTCGTTGATGGCCTCCTTTCGGCAGTATAGTCGTAACTCTCGCACGCCCAGCTCAACCTGCGTCTTGGAGCCCAGGGGACTGAAAGCCTCGGTGCACAGATTGACGACGTAACGCTCAAGAGGCTGCCAACGACCAACCTTGGGGGAGCTTGGTGGTACTCGGAGGACTGCGCTGTCGGTCATGGGTACAACAATCGCTCGCAGCCATTCTTTCCAGAACGACATTCTCGTGGCGTCTCTTCCCAAGATCCCGTAGGCTCTGGGGGCCCACAGTCCGCTCTCGCCAGCCGTCAAGCCGTCGATCTTGGACGCGGCACCGTGCCGAAGTGGTCTCAG